AACGGCTTCAGCATGGGACTGGAGATGAGCCAAGACTTGACGGGGGTCTACATTAGGATCTTGGGCAAGTTCTTCTAGGGCTCGTGGTGTATAGATTTCAGGATGGGGGTTCTGGGACATGATTGTGAGATTGGGTTAACAAGGGAAAAATATAATTTGCTTAGGATAAGAGTGGGCAGAACAAGAATTTGTGGAGTCTGCAATGTCAAGGACTGACAAAGGGTTTGCAAGGAAAGGTAAGTGAATGAATAACAAGAATGATAATGAGCTGAGAACTAGAATGGATTCACGAATAGTTTTATTGCAGACTGAGGTTTACTATGTTACAAATCTATCATATTTATACTTGTTTGACTGAAGCGGAGACGCGCTTCAAGAACTCTAAATAAAGCTTACTCAAATATTTCCTAAGGACTTTTACCATATGCGGAACTTCAAGTGTTGAGTTAACTTAATACACAGGATCCGAGGAAGATATCTGGTGCAATCTTATTTCAAGGTTCCTTGGCACTATAAGCCTTGGTTATTGGTTTATAGCTCTTCTAGAATCCTTGGAGCTATTCACGGAGCTAGAAAACTAGGAGACGCGACTTGGCTTGACAGGCAAACTATGCATGGAGGAATGAGTGAAGGAAATGAGCGGAACAAATTAATCAAGCACACGTGATCTTTTTCAGATTCGAATCAGACAAAAGTCATTCATCAATTCATGAGCTAGACATTGCTTGCTGTTCGTGACAGTATGCCTGAGCGGATGTTAGCAGTCATAAGGGCGAAAGGGGGCAATACGAGGTTTTGATAGGTGAAAAAAAACGATGGTTAAAAAATTGTCCAAATGAGAGGTAAATTTCAAAGTAGTGAAAAGCTATCAGAAACAAGCAGGAGCGCTAATAGGTTTTGAGCAAATAAAGTATGTCTTCCAGGTTGCTCCCATCTAGGATCCAAGGGCACAAGCGCTGCTCACTGTTGAACACTTATAGTTTTCCTTTGGAAGAATGAAAGACTTGGACAATATTGGAAGCCACTGTACGAGTGGTTCCATATGTGCAAAAATCAATAAATAGTGACTCTCTTTTAAGAGAATAATATCGATTTTTCAAATTGTCTATTGAAGGAAAACCGAAAATAACCGAAACATGCTAACACTTTTTTGGAGGACTGTAGCTTTGGAATAGTCCTTATAGAGCGGATGAGGATAGTATTTATAATTTTTCGAAAAAGTGTTAGAATGAGCTTGTCAACTTTCTAGAGCCTTCTATCCATACCCAGTGCTCCTATTCGAACTGAAACTTTGTCAATTATGATGTTTCAAATTAAAAAAATAAATATCAATTGACAGAGTTTCAGTTCGAATAGGAGCACTGGCCATACCTATAAGCCAACGAGGCCTAGAATCTTCAAGAAAGCAACTAATAAGACCCGAGAATATATGTTAGTAACAGAGCTATAGTTTAATGGCAGGGTAGAGTCCTCGCCAAAAAGTCATAAACTGGATATATTTTACAATACTCAATTTGAATTAAAAATTTGAAAAATAAAAATTTACATACGAAGACAAAAATGCATATATTTTTTGAATAGAAGGAATGAATTAGATGCATGGCCACCAAACCAATTCAATCTTCGTTTTTAATTAGAAATATTAGAATTTGCGAGAAATGGGCAACATCATTCTCAATCTCATTCTCGATCTCATCCTCATTGTCAACCTACTTTATTCGCAATCTTCAGATAGTAAAATGTCTTTCCCTTTTGATATCAATAACCTACTCTCATACAACGATCTTGGTGGTTGGTATAGCGAAGGAAATATCGACCAAATGATTTCAGGCACACCCTTCACTCCGCCTCGAAGATCGCCACAACTGCCCACTGAAGCCGATCTCTCCCCTATTAGGTCTCCTACCGAATATCAATGGATTACTCCTCCCAGAAACGAGCCAAGGAGTTCTACCTCATTAGAGCAATTCGGTGAGCGTCCCAATACCCTCGATTTAAATCCATTCTTGTCAGACAAACAAGCTGGAGAGAGAAAAAAGGCATTTACACGCAGTAAAGCGTCCGTTACTAAAGACGAATACGCGATAATAGCTCATACATATAATGCTATAATGAATGCGCCACCAGCAGTCCAAGACTGGTTTAAGAAGACAGACAACAGAGCAATGGACCTTTCGATTCTGATGGGTGTAGGGAGAAACACTTGTGTGGCAGCAATTAAATATGCACAAACAGGCATCGTCGAAATGACAGGGCGAGGAAGAACTGGACGCCCTAAAAAAGAAGCGGACAAGGATTTAAACTCGAAGGTGCTGAATATCATAGTTGAATCAAACAAGAGCGGGACTCCTAATTCTGCGGGTTTAATTGCAAACCAACTGAAAGAAGACTTTGAAATCGACAGATCAGCAAGATCAATCACTCGCGACCTCCGTAAAATGGGACTGTATTGGGGCAAAGGGATCCGACAGAACTTTTTGCACGACTCCAAGGAGAATATTGCCTTCCGAGCTACTTACCTGAAGCGCCGTCTTAAGAATTTAAAACTAGTAGACGGCAGTTGGGTGCCTAGGACTCCAGAGGTCTTCTTGGACGAGTCTTACTGCCACATTGACCATGCTGCAGCAAGACGTTGGGTGCAAAGTGGCGGTGGTGTCATTAACGATGCAGGAAGGAAACCAATCATGGTTATATTTGCAGCCTTCATTGTATATTATGATGAAGCTGCTAAAAAGGTTGAAGGCAAATTCGTTAATGATAGCGTGTATGTTTGGCCATCAAAGGGACCAAAGCCTCAATCAAAAAAAGGCCAAGAGCAGGAGGCTGAACTGTGGGATGACGTACCTGAGGAGATCAGGAATGCAGGGGTCGTGGCAACAGATCACGATTATCATGGAAACTTCAACGCTAGTTTGTTCGATAGTATCTTTAAGCGACTTTGTGAGAATCTCAATAAGATGGGACTTGGCCCTTGTAAAATCCATCTTGATGGCGCTTCATATCACTTTCACAAGAAAAACAGGAAACCAACCAAGAGCGACACTGTGAAAACTATCAAAGAGTGGCTCACGGGCAAGGAGATTGTTATTCCAACAAGGGAAAATGGAAAAGCACTGAACAAAAACGAGCTTATGGAATTGGTTAACGCTCTTCCTGATGAGTCGTATTTCTCTATCAGTAAAATAGCCCAGGAGAATGGTGGACATGAAATCCTCAAGACTCCACCCTACCATTGCGAGCTACAACCTATTGAGAAGATCTGGGCAGTTGTGAAAAACATAATTGCCTCGAGAGCAATGGTGACAATGACATCCATCTTGCTGAAAAAAGGCTACTAAGCTTGTTTTCCCAGATTCCGTGTAAAGTCTTTTACTCTGTATGGAAGAAGTCTGTGAAAATTGGCATGAGATACTATAACGAGAGGAGTCATGCACAGGAAGAAATAGTCGAAGAGGTTTATCAAGAGGTTTTTGATGAAAACGAGCCTATTGTGGACCTTAGTGACACTTTCAAAGTCGACAATAGTGAGTGGGATGCAGAACTCATTAGAGTACTAAATCAAGAGCGAGCTGAAGCTGTTACCCTAGGCCCTGAGATAGTGGATCTTACGCTAGATGCTGGAAGCATGTTTAATGTGATAGAGGATAGCGAGTCTGAGGACGAGCCTCTTATCAATCGAAAACGCTCTCGTAAAAATTAAAATTTTGAGTTTGTACGTATTTTTCCTGCGTCTAAAAGTGGAAGTATTCTATTCAATTTAAAAGCCTGAAAAATATATCCAGTTTATGACTTTTTGGCGAGGACTCTATAAGGTATCATGACCAAATGAAATTGGCGACATGTTGACACTTTTTTGGAGGGCTGTAGGAAGTATTTTGAGTAAGCTTTATTTAGAGTTTATGGAACGCGTCTCCGCTCCAGACGTTCAAGGATAAATGTCGTAGACTTGTAATATAGAAAACCTCAGTCTTCAATAAAACTATCCTTGAACCTATTCTAGTCCTCAAGCCCATTACTATTCTTGTTTTTCAACTACTTACCTTTCCTTGCAATCATCTTGTCAGCCCTTGACACACCCGGGGCTACTAAATTATGATATTCGATCGCATGCTGTCGCTTGTGCTCATCGTACATTGCTCTCTGTCCAAAAGAGGGTCGACAGGTTCTCTGGACAGTGCCATCCATGAAAGAATAGATCTTGGGTGTCCACCTTTATGAGAGATCGTGACAGCATAACTTTGAAGCTTTGTCCTAGTCAATCTCCGCACATCCAACATTATGGCACGAATGATCGTGCAATAAGATTGATGGTTTCTTGTAATTGCACTACCATCCTTTCTAAAAATAATGCATGCGATCAAGTTTGGTGCAAGACGAGACATGATGTCTCTTGACTTGAAGGCGCAAATGAATAATTGGCAATTATATGTTAACTGGAGTATTGGGGACAACGGCAATGACAGTTTATAATGATAAACCGCCTTCAGATTAATCTTTCCAATGCATCAGATAAATTGAATGCGAACGCGGAAGTATATCAAAAAAAAAAAAAAAAAAAAAAAAAAAAAAAGTCGCGTCCGTGGCGGCTTTCATGGAAATACATATTTTATTTTTGCATATTCCTATAATCCTATAATTACAATATTTAATTTAAAAATATACGTCAAGAAAAGTCAACCCCTGAGCGATTGGAACGAAATGGCTTTATGGCTGCTGAGGTTTTTTTTGTCTTTTGAATCGGCTGTCCAGGACCTTCACTACTTCAGATCAAGAGAGTATTTCATGATATATTTTTAAATATAAATACAAATATTGAATGATGGTGAGTGCGTAAATGGAACCCAGTTTCATATTCATCAGCCACCATGTCAACTCAATTATACACAAGAAAACCATAGCCAATGAACCTGATTACATGACATGATATTATTGTCATGACGCCAGAGTTATGATAAAAACGACGAAGAGCCCAGCAATTATTGTCTCTTTCTTTCTTTCTTTTTTTTTTTTACAACAAACATTCTCCATTTCCAACGTTCATTACCATGAGCCAATTCAACACTGACATCAAGACCTATGAATTCGTAAGTATAGAGTGTCTTCTGTACTAAGAAGCTTTTTTTCTTTTTCTTTCAGAACATGTAATCACATTTTATTTTTCCTAATTCAATATAAAATAGAATCACACTATGATCCGTGTGAAGGATCCAGGAGCCTCGCTTCACTTTTACCAGGAGATTCTTGGTATGAAGTATGTAAAACATTTGTGGTTCGGTTTACCTCTTTTTTTGTTACTTTTAAATCGTGAGAAAAAAAAAAAAAAAAAAAAAAAGTGATGCACGATAGAATACTGCAAATTTCTTTTACTTACCTGAAATTTATACTAATAGACTTGTTTCCAAGATGGATAACGAGGGCGGCAAGTTCACTGTAAGAAAGTGTTCATTTCTCAAAAACTTGAAGAGCTTTTTTTTCTTCCTTTCACTAAATATAATTCTAATGCTTTTATTATTATTATTGCTGTCATTACACGCTCAACCTAGCTCTACTTCTTAGCTTACGTGAATGATGATGAGTTTGCGAGCTTGCAGGGCAAGACCGAAGAACAGCGTCGCTCCTATGTTACCAACCGTGCTGGCGTTCTTGAGCTGACACAGTGCGTAAAAACCGTGAAGAATGGGTTCTCAGATATGCCTTGAATCGTTATAATGCTGACATCAAACACCCTTTCTAACCTTCTTCATTCTATTTTTTTTTTTTTAAAAAAAAAAAAAAAAAAAAAAAAAAAACTGGTAGTAACTGGGGTACGGAGGACGATGCAAATTTCAGCTATGCTAATGGAAATCAGGATCCTGGTCGTGGCTTCGGACACACCGCCATCGTTGTCGATGACATCGAAGAGGCTTGCAAGCGCTTCGAGAGCTTTGGTGACAAAGTCAAGTGGGTCAAGCGTCTTACAGATGGCAAGATGAAGAATATCGCCTTCATTGCTGACCCTGATGGCTACTGGGTTGAGATCCTCCGTCGTGGCCACAACTAAAACAAAGGAACTAAGAGATCCAAGGATAGCCGATTTTTGTACAGTTAAAAGTATCTTTCGATGCTCTTTTAGGGTCCAGTGTGGACAAAAAAAAAGTCAATAAAGAAAGCCACATCTTCTCACATTAAAAATTTTACGATCAGACAATTGAAACACCACGCATTGAAGCGAACGTCAGTTGTCATGAGAAATGATGGCGTAAAGCCTATGCCCTGTTTGTAGTAAAAGGAGCTAAGGGTTGTCGCACATGTACGTACATGAGACTCGAGTTAGAAGTGGGTACCCCACAATAGCCTCGCTTCCCTTGCCCTCTGATGACTATTGACAAGTAGGACTACTTGAGCGCAGTAGCAATTATCTAAATGCACCCTCAGTTGTGCAAACGTTGATTGCCTTTGGCGTTGATTTACTATCAGCTAGGCAAACTTGCCCATGGCCTCTCAAGATGAGTGAGATGGTTATTTCATTTCTCCATATTATGGAAATTCGATCAGCTATTTCCTAAAACTTCACTTACTCTAATAATCGAATAATTATATATTTCATTCGAATAATTAATTCTTATGGGGTTGATGCTCTTTATTATTATCGATGATGCAGAAACCATAGTCCCCCATCTGAACTGGCCTAGAGTAGCACTCAAAGTAGCAAGCGAAGAGGGAGGGGGGGAGACCAATTACCCCTGGAACCTTTGACAAATATCATAGTACCTTTGGTATTCGTCCGGCGTCATTTGACTCTGATGTTCTTCAGTAACTTCCAGCAGTGGAACAAGGACACCTGCAACATACACATCAGGCAACGGTTCCTCATCATCGCCCCCTTCATACAATTCCTCTTCGCCACCGTCCTCTACTTCAGGTGGCTCGTCATCAGTTTTATATCGTTTTCTAAAAAAAAAATAAAATAAAAAATAAAGTAGAAAAAGATAGGGAAAAGATAGGAAAAAGAAAAAAACTATTTAGCTTACGTATTTTAAATCGCAACGCTACTTCATAATGAAGCAAAATTGAGTAACAGATGGGATTGCTAAAGAAAGTATAAGATGGCTTACCCAGAACTGTATTGGCCATCTTCCAGTGGCCTCTTGCCATTATCATTAGTAGTATCCAGCGTCTCAAATGATTCTTCATCAGCATGTTCCTGTGAAACAGCAAGGTTCTCGTAGTACTGTTTGTAGTCTACGGAAGAAAAAAAAAAAAAAAAAAAAAAAGTGAGTGAGTGTTTATGAAAGAAGAGAAAAGATATTAAAAAGAAGTTAGCATGAATCTTATATGAACTTACAATCGTCACGTTCTGTGTCATCTTCTACATCTTCGTTCTCATCTGCATCTGCACCATCGGCTGGCAATTCTTGAAGTTTTGCTGCAGCTGCTCCCAAAGTTGTCATTTCTCCAGAAACAGTCGACCAAGCATGCCATAAAGGCACTGCATTCTGTTGTCTTTTCTTGTTTGCCTCATTTTCACGTGCCTTCTTAGCAGCCTTGTCATTATCATCCTGGAATACCACTTGGATCTCTCCTTGCTGTTGACCGCCATCCTCTGCGAACGCCAGATCATCGTCTAATTTGATATGAAAGCAATAATAAGTAAATATGAGGGTCTTTTAGCATCGTCTCCTGAACGTATGGTGATCGCGCGAGATCGACTCTATTAAAATTACCGTCATGAGTCCGTGCAGCAGCCTTCTTGGATGCCATGCTCTCTGTGTATTGCTCAATCACAATATTATCTGTCAACTTGAGAAGATCGACGATTGGCTTCGTGTTCTCGCGCAGTCTTAGGGAAATAAACATGAAAATAAGGCCCAGTCCTTGTCAGAATTTGAAGCGACCGTATATGTAATAACAACAACAAAAAGGCGACAGTAAGGGTAACAGCGACAGCTTGATTGTAGTGTTATAATTCATACTTTGTCTTTGCCTCCTGTCCTTCCTGATCATCCTCAACAGTTTCTTCATCCAGAATGAATCCGTCGTTAGGGCACATGAACTTTTGACTTGATTCATCAAGGAGGTGCATAACGTCTACTACAGCGAAGGCATTTAAACATGCAGGGCACTTGAGTCCTGCATTTTCTACCTCGGCCTATGTTGGTTTTTATTAGAGCATATTTCGCTTTAGAGACTGATGTATAACAAATGATAATGCTATAGCCTATCGAAGTTTTTCTTTTTCTTTTCTTTTCTTTTTTATTTACCTTGGACAAAGTAGCATCAAGCTCCTTACCCATCCTGTGAATCTTGTACTTGACTACATCGACAAACAATTTATAATCAAGATAATAGTAGGTATTTGGAATGGGACGCTGATCAGGTTTCCGTGCCTCCATTTTCATCAAGCTTTTCGGAAAAAAAAAAAAAAATTGCGGATGTAATTATTAATAGCTTTTTTAAGATGTTCCGTGATATCTGACACGTATATATATGAATATAGAAAAAATTAAATAAAATTAAATAAAATAAATAAGTAAAATAAAATAAGAAATAAAAAGTGTTTCAAGGGTCGCTTACTCTTTAATTAAACGGTCTTCCTTGAGTTTGCCACAGATTTTATGAACCTCACGCTTGTTTAGCTTCAAGGTAGCGGCCAATTCTTCATCCTTGACCCTGGAATATTCATTTGATTGAGTGTGGAGACGAGTCCATTCGATATAGTATATATTTATATTTATAAGTTCGAGAATAAAGGGAAAAAATAGATAGAAGCCGTTGAGTTTAAAGTTACTACATCTGTCTCTCCTATAAATTTCTGTTAAAGACAAGAAACAAAATTGCTTTTCACACGATCTTCCCCCCCCCCGCCTTTCCACTAATATATATGTATAAAGATCTTTTCGGGTTCCCTTACTGCTTCATTTTATTGATCACATCCATCACCACGATATATTTCGGTTCGTAAAAGGCACGACAGACTCTGTAGACTAATTGGTCCAGAACCTGCTGGTCTTCAGGCGAGTTTGACATGTTTGTAACTTATAATCACTTTAAAAAAAAATAGAAAGTTGAGGGTTTTTTTTTTTAAAAAAAAAAAAAAAAAAAAAAAGAGAGAGAGAGAGAGAGAGAGAGAGGATGCCAATAACACAATGTCGCAGTATTGTTATTCGTTTGCGTTTCTTCTTTAGACAAGAGGATTATATATTCGTATATGGCAATATATGGCAGTTATAAGAAACGTTCACGCATGCAGCTTTAGACAATGAAGAAAAGCAAAGAAAAAAAAAAAAAACAAAGTCCATCATTCAATGAAAAAACAACTCCCTTTTATACTTTTTTCTGTGGCTTTGAAGTTTCGTACAGATAAAAAAAATCCATTATTTGCTGCGCCCGCATTACATTATTTTTACACTCAAAGTCTTCCTTTTTGTTTTTCATGCTCAAGGACTACTACGCCATCCTCAACGTCGCACAGGATGCTACTGTTGCAGAGATCAAGCAGCAGTACCAGAAACTGCTCCTAATCGTGTGTATTCCATTACATTGTTTTTTTTTTTTTTTTTTTTTTTTTTTTAAAAAGTCATTTGCAACAATAACTTTGGAATGACTTTAAGCTTAACTTTTTCTATCACTATTATTATTATTTTCATTCATAAATCCTGCTGATTTAGCATCATCCCGATAAACAACAACAGCAGCAACAGCAACAATCTCAAACATTACCGGTATCAGTGACATCAATCCCTCTTCAAGATATCAAAGAAGCATGGGAGTGTCTTCGTCAGCCAACACAACGATCCTTTTACGATTCGTCGTTAAAGGCCATGAAACTTCGAGCCAATGGACAAGTTAACGATGACATTGATTTAGACGATATGGAGTACGACGAAGGTATGCCAGTAACAATATATACATTAGAGAAGGATTAGTGGTCTATCATTCGTTGAATCTAACTATTTTTTTGACATCTGTTGTGTTTCAAAAAAAAAAAAAAAAAAAAAAAAAAAGATTCCAGTACCTATTCCTCACCTTGTCGGTGCAGCGGTGAATATATCATCTCAGAAGGTGAATTAGAGTTGGGTGTTGACACCGTAGTCTGTTCGACCTGTTCTCTCATCGTTAGGATCCACTACGAGTTGGCCGATGATGAAGACAATGAAGAAAATTGAGCTAGAATTTTTTTTTTTTTTTTTTTTTTTTTTTTGAGATGGAAGTAATCTTGGGACTAGAACTGGTGATGTTTAGTTGGCCTATCATCATAGCCAGGGAAGAATGAAGCGACATGTCCATCCTAAAGATATCCAACATCCACTCTTCACTCCCCTGAGTAATATTCTGTCCTCTGTCCTGTTCACTCTGGACATGGGCCATGAACCGTACTAATTTTTGCATGTTCCACTTGCCTTAACGCCCCACCTAAAGCCAAGGTAGTCTTTACGAGATAATTGCAAAAAAAAAAAAAAAAAGACGAATTAAATAGAAAGGCGTCCATGAAAGCGGCGCGTCGTTTTATTTATAAAAAAAGAGTGAATTCTTTCTCTTTTTTTCTTTTTAATCTAGTCCTGGCGCCTAAAGATATACATGTAGGCGTCACCAATGGGAGCTTTGGGATCATCAACAACCTTATTGTCGTTAAAGAGGACCCATTTATTGCCTCGCTTGATGTGGCTGACATAATGTCCGCAATGTACTGAAGGTCCCTTGTGCGAAATAAATGAGGCCAACTTGTAGTGGCCCTTCTTGTTGACATCACCTGCAAGTGGCTTCTGCCCAGCGGCAGCTGACTTAGGATTGTCATTCTCATCATTATCGATTGGGGTATCCATGTGGCTGAAAAGCCATTCTACTGCGCGCTCCATGTTGCCACCAGTCTCCTTAAGAGCCTTCTTGGCTTGCTTATCAGTGAATCCCATGTCTGCCAATTGAGCAATCTGTTCAGGATTAGCGGCAGAGGCACTATCGTTGGAGTTCTTGATGGGCTGATCAATGTCGGGATCGTCCATGTGCTGGATAAGCCATTCCATCGCAACTTCAGCATTCTGATTATTAGTTGCCAACAATGCTTTCTGACTGCGGATCAATGGGAAGCCCATCATTTGGAGCTGTTCTAGAGCTGTTTCATTATACGTAGGCGATGCCGCCACCGCCGGCGCATCCTCTGGAAGCGATTCCTCGTTTGGTTGTTGACCATGCCCGCGATATTTTTCAAAGTCAATTTGATCGTCAGGGAAGACGATCGGGACAGCTATGAAAGTAAACAATGGTTTAGTAAGGATTCCTGTCTATATTAATGGTGTCTAAGTGGTCTGCGAGAACATACCAAGCTTTCTGGGAACCCAGTTCTGATAAGCAAAGCGTCTCATGTTGATAACAAGCACCTCAGGGAAAGTAGCAAACTTATTCGTCCTATTATTATTATTGTTTTTTTTTTTTTTTTTTAAAAAAAAAAAAAAAAAAAAAAAAAAAAAAGTCAATTAGTAATGATATAAAAACAGTAAAGGCAAAGACAAAGACCATCTCTCTTGTTTTTCATACTTGGTGGCAGTGGTGTTTTTCTGGCAGTTGGGACAGGTATATGGAAGCTCTTCTACTGCAACATAGGCATCAAGACACTGTTCTAGAGTCACACTCTCGTATTCATCATCATCTTCGGGATTGGTTTTCGCCTTCTTGGTGGCAGGAACTGCAATTGATAGGGCCGTCGTATTGTCATAAGTGTATCGCACCTTCTTGCATTCATTGCATTGCAATCGCTGTTCATTTGAGAATTCAAAAGTTTTTGTAGGATCCTGACCAGCAATGCGTTCAGTTTGCGAAATAATCTTGATCAGGTGTTGGAAAAATTCAAACGAGTCTTGTTGCCTCATGGTCGAAAACTCTGGGTGACCGCGGCCGATTAATGACTTAAACATGGCAGGCGCAATGCCATCTTGGCCCTGTACCTCACCGCTCTCAGCGGACGTAGGAGTTGAATATCGTCCACTCAAAAGACCATCCGCCACCTTGGTCAACTGGCATTGTAAGCACTTGCCTGGCTCTTGATTGCACCTTTGCAGGTGATCGAGATCAGCCGGGAAATATCTCGAAGCAAACGCCGGGAGATCGAACACTGACTGCAAGACTGATGCCATATAACAACTAGATTTGATTTTCATTTTCATTTTCATTTTCATTTTCATTTTTTTTTTTTGACATGTGTTAGAGTTGTAAGAGTGGGTATAATTTGCGAAAGAGAGTTGTATTACTGCGGCATGTTAGGATACTTGATGATTACCTGTTACCCAAGTTCCTGAATCCAGTGTAGCTAGGCCCGAACAATGGCTCATATGCTTTACCGTCTTCAGTAAACATGTTGAAGTTAAAGTTTTGATTCTGCTCTAGCGACTAAAGGAAGCATTATGTTAATCGATCAATCTACTTTAATGATCAGCGCTATTAAGCACGTAGTTCAGGATGGTCAACGTACCAACTCGGTTAAGGACTTGATTGTCTTTTGTTGTGACTCCACGTTAATGCCAAACCGCGCCAAATGTACTCCTAACTGGTCATCAGAGCGTTCCTCATTGCAGTGGTAGCAGTAAATATCTAGAGAACGTTGTCCAACGGACAGAGTTAGCTATCACACAAATAGGAAACAATAAACATATAGTAGTTCCATACGCATCAAAGCAGTTTACCTGCTGTTCCCTCAGGTGTAATGGTTCCAAGTTTGCAGGAAACGCCGTGACCTGTTGCATCAAAATGGGCCAATCCATGACCATTGCCTCCAGTGCCTCCATACTGTTGACGCCCGCATCCAAGGTTGCCGCACACAAGACACAGCCAGAGATTTTCCTTCAGATCACAGTTGGCGCAGTGTGCATTCTCTAAAAGTTATATCAAAAAATTAGCTTCCTCAGCCCTACTAAGCTTCGCCCCTTTATTAGGCGTGCGTCATCCCGCTTTATGTTACGTACCAGCCGCTACAACCTTTGGATCGCCCTGCTGTAGGTTTCGAATGTGGTCGCATGAGACAATTTCTTCTTCCCATGCTTTAATCTCTGATTGTCGAGAAGCTGATAAGGATGTCATGATCGCATCAACCACTTTTGGGATCTATAACATTACAATACAACACGATGTCTTTTCCTTAAATAAAGGGCAACAAAATTTTTCTCTCGACTCCCCTCCATCTAGCGGCAGAATCATTAAACAAACATCTATGGATTAGCTTCTCCCAATGCTTACTTCGCCTGCAGTCTTGTCAACCTCAACACCACCACACTCGTAACATTTGACATGTGTAAAGTATTCGTAAAGATCTGCGTCATTCTCAGGGACGATTGCAATTTTGGTTATTTTTTGAGGAGGTTCCTGTCCATCCTGCAAGAAAGTTTCCAAAAAAAAAAAAAAAAAAAAAAAAAAAAAAATTAATAACAGCTGATAGTAGATTGATTTACAAGACTAGCTAGATTGACCAAATAGCAGCTATCGGCCAAAAGCTTGGTCTTATACTTACTCGACCACTCTTAGCACGCCTGACGCGCTTGATGTTTAATGCCAGTGGATGACCAGTCTTGCTAAAGTGCCGGATAGCATGATGACGCTCTGGATCTGTGCAGCCGCCGTTGAAGCAGGAGAGGCAGACATCCAATCCACCCTCATTGTCCTATAGAAAAACAAAAATATATCGGTTAATTTGAAAAGAGTAGGAAAATGGCAAAAGGGAGGTGCTTTTTTTTTTTTTTTTTTTTTTTTTTTTGCTATATTGAGCTGCGCGTCATGTCTGTAAACCTGGAGCGCACTCGCAAACGATATTGATGACATACAGGACTATCATAGCAGAAAGTGCACTCGTCTTTGTAAATTTGAGCAGAGTGCGAAGGCACAGAGAGGCGAGTAGAGGTAATATGATGACACGCTGCCATGGTTAAAAGAGTAGAAGAGAAAAAGAAACGAATGAAAGCGAAACAATAAATGGAATGAGAAGAGAGAAGGCACTTGTGGGAAATGCACAATGTCTTTTTGTAGAAGAGGTTGTTGTGACTGCGTGAGAGATTATTCAAGCCACGACTATGGCCTTTTTATTTTACTTTTTGAACATGCAATCTCATGTCCCTTCGCTGTTTCGCTGTTGCTGCATCAATAAAGTCAGACAGAATAGGGAGATTAAAGCAACCATGTCAGACAATATTAACACACCCTATAACAACACGGGCATTACTGGCACGACTGCAGCTGGAGGAAATAATAAAGCACGACGGCAAGGCTCATTGTCACATCAATCAAAACAACAGATATCTACATGGAGCAGCCAACCTTCGCCTCCAGGGCATGTCATGGATGACCTCACAGCAGAGGCCACATGCAAAAAGCTCGTTTCAGTGCTGGCAATTGACGCGGGTTTTGAGGGCATTACTGCATCCGCTCTTGAATCACTTACTCGTGCCTTTGAGAGTTGTAAGTAGCGAGATAATCAGCCATAAGCAAACAGGGGATCAAGGACATATTGGGAACATTGTCCTCACTCAGTAACCTTTGGAGAAAACTAACCCTTTCAGTGGCATACGGTTTTTTTTTTTTTTATTTTATTTTATTTTATTTTATTTTATTTTTTTACAATCACCGACACACATCAGATACCCAGCAAATGTACATGATCGCACATTCATTCGCAGAACTTGCGGGGCGGACACGGCCAAATATCCACGATCTCCAACAGGCATTCACAGATATGAACCTGCATCCAGCCAGTCTTGAGTCTTATGTCAAGAAAGCCTCACAATCAAGTAATGCTTGTTGATGTTTATTTCTGCACTCTACGTTACCAATCACAACTTTTTTTTTATTTTTATTTTTTTTTTATTTTTCTTCCTCGCGAAGGATGAATGCTAACATTTCCGATCATTGAATATTTGATAACAAAGAAATACCGCTTCTTCGAGGGCCGCTCAAGGAGACAATACCAAAAGTTCAAAAAAAGAAAGAGCAAAAGACAGTACTTTTGGATTCTGATATTGAAGATAACTCGGATAGCGAAGATGAGGAGCCACAACAACAACAGCAACAACAACCATTGACCACAGCAGCAGGACCAACAACCACATCAACTTCTACACCAACGTCAACGGCAAATATACCTGTGGCCACAACTGCAAGTACGACCACAACATCAACACCGACGTCAACAGCAGTACCAACAGCATCAGTAGCGACAATAACACCAACAATACCAATACCTAAAATCAAGGTCACTCCTCGAACAATTGTACCAGACCATTTGCCACCTTTTCCAAGCAAGCACTCATATAAACAAACGCCTGTAAGTCTCGCTAGCATCCTTTGCTGCCAAAGCAAGTATACATATCAATCATTAGAGTAGTAGGACTGGCCAAATTGTCGCCTTTACACCTTATTCATCCTAATACCCCTATATTTATTTTCTTACTCTTCAGGTATTTGTAAAACGTCCTACAGATCCTCAAAAAATCCGAGAGTTGAACGCAGAGCAATCGCGACTCGTAGAATCGAATTTGAAACGATTAATGGCAGCTGAAAACAAGGTGGGGATGACTGCAGCTGCACATAAAGATGCATCTGCTGCAGCAGCGGATCTATTGATGGTCAAAGAGGAACAAGTCGATACTACAACAGAAGAGGCTGTGAATCGACGTGTTTTAACCAAATTGGAGGCTCTACCCGTTGTGAACTATGAATTCACGAAACGACAGCAACAACTCAATGCTTCAAACCGACAGAGTAGTCAACGACATCAGGCAGAATTACAAGGTCTACAAAGTAGTGGGCATCATCATCAACGTGCAGAACCATTGTCATCATTGGCTGGATACGTTCATGGTGTGAATAGCGTTGGTCCTGTCAGGGGCAATACACAGCTGGACGGCAGTGGAACAGCAATAGGGGTCATCGGAGCAGGTGCATCCAGCATTGGGGTAGGCACAGTAGCATCCAGCAGTGCTAATAACAGTGCTGTAGCCCTCAAAACAGAATGGAGAAAGGAGAGGCGGAGAATGCGGAGGGAACAACAAAATGCGATAGAAGAGCTTGAGCAGAACTTACACAGCAATAAGCGGTTACGGCAAGAGAGTGGCCACGGGCACACCACTGCTTCACATCTGAAGCTTGTCAGTATGGACGTTGATCCACAATAATCCCTTTAAAAATTAAAGTCAACGTAATCTAATTAATAACAAGTACATGTATTTGATATTTATTTATTGAAATGTACAATGCAAGGATTAAGTAATATTTTTTTTTTTTTTTTTTTTTGTCTTGAAAAGCTTAATTAATGATCTGATGGAAAGAAAGGAAAAGCTCAGATCCAATTATTTCTTCGTCCTTCTCTAGTATATATCGTCTTTTTTTTTTTTTTTTTTTTTTTTTTTAAAAGAAGAATTGCCACAGACGAGTCAAAATGCCAGGCTGTCTTGCAACGACCATTGAGGATGAGGTTGTTGTAGTGGTCCTTCTGGAAGGGCTATCAGCGTACTCCTCTCCATCACTGCAATAGTACTTGATAAAGAAATCATTCTGGATCCAGAGCAACTTGCCGAATGCAGCGATGGCCTTGTATTCTGTATCTCTGTCCAGGTTCAGGGACTTGACGCCTCCGATCAAGACTGTCTCCACATAACCCAACAGCGCATTGATATGAATCAGATCCACATTGATCTTGGACTTCTTGGTCGGTGTATCCGTATGAATCTTTGCAACGTATTCAAGGTACTTTATCATCTTCTCGTCATACGGATTCTCCAGCAACTTTGCAAAATACCGTGACAACATATCCTTTCGGAACTTGATCTGCTCTGCATTCTCGGTCAACTCTGCAACGTCCTCAATCACCTTGGCGTCCTTGGGCACATAGCCCTCATGTCGTTTAGCCATCACAGACCAAGTAATGTCAAACTGGTGAAGCTTGCGGTAGACAGCATCCACAACAGCTGGGACCAAAGGCTTGATCAGCTCCGCAGCTCCTTTGATCGCATCGATGTCTTCTTGACCAAAGTCCATGAACTTTGCTACATATTGGAATCGGTACACGGGATCGTTGTACAATTGGGATCTCTCGATATGCTCCATTGTCTTATCTGTTTATGTGAAGAGAGAGAGAGAGAGAGTGTGTGTGTGTGTGTGTGTTTTTTTTTCAATGTCGGAATGTGAAGTGTGGAGTAGAAAAGAAAAGAAAAGAAAAATGAATGTGTTTTTAAAATGAAAAAGGAAAGTTAGGGAAATTTTCAATGTTTGATTGAAGATGAAAGCGAGAATGAAATGGATAAGTAGTAAGATAAAGTATAGGATGAAGTGAAAAGGAAATGGTATTTAAATACTTTTTCTTGACTGTTTTGTTTCTTTGTTTGCTTTCGTTAATGTTCTTTACGAAAAAATCCCTGGTTTCTGGTCGGAGACCATGTTTGTAGATCCATCCTTATTTTTCGGACAAATGGAAAGAAGTGTAGATCGTCATGGACCTGTTCGGAGTGCATTTCCTAAATCGGACGAGACGGATTTTTCACAAATTGTCTCGGTTCAAGATAATCTTCCATGATTTGTTATGAATCTTGGAAAATGTGGGAGTAAGGCACACCAATGAGATCTCATCCGAATAAAATTCTTTGCAGGGTATAAAAAGGCAACAAGGCATTTCATTTCATCAGAGGCAATTATATTATTTATCTGTATATTTGTACCATATCCACATTATGATATTTTCTCTGGACTTGAATCTAGACTAGGTCTAGACTACAATATCCGGCTTTGACTATATTGTCTTATATTATTATATATATATATATATTATATTAATATTATACTATGTTAAACTATGCTATTGTTGCAAAAAGGGCCTCAAAGTAAAATAGCTTATACTCTAACTAACCCTTGAACCAAGGGAATGGTAGAATCAGAAGGACCAGAATGACCAATAGCCTACACATCTGTAGATACATAAGAAGGTGGTGCACTAGATTTCCAGTCTACTTTGATTAAATCGCATGCCTTCTCAGCAATCATCACTGTGGGCGGACATGTGTGACCTGCAACAATCTTGGGGAAGACACTTGCATCGATCACCCGCAGATGATTAATGCCATACACCTTCAATTCAGGGTCAACAACCGCCATCGGGTCTGTCGGAGGGCCCATCTAGATGTTTTTTACAATTTTGGTAATAAGGTTTTGAGGTTTTACCGCGAGAAAGAATTTTTTGGGTAAGCATTTGGAAGATGAAAATAAACATAAACATCGGAAAGGCATTTTTTTTTTTTTTTTTTAATAGTCATGCGCCATGACGTATCATTTCGCTTTACCTTGCACGTAGATACAGGGTGATAGACAGTCTCGGTATTCTCGCGAGCATACTTTTGAAGGGCTTCTTCGTCATCATCCGGTACCTTCGCTTCTCCAGGGTACACCTCCACAGCCTCCACTTCTGGGTCCTGACCGAGTCGTCGACCAATCTTTCGAAGGAACCGTAAACTCTCTGCGAAAACCCTGACATCAAAGGGGTCTGCTAGGTAGTTTGGATCGATTACGGGCTCTGTCACAATCCTACTCTGACTCTGACTTGAAGAGGCCTTTTCATTTGTACACTCTGTGCTACAGTTCTTTTCCTCAGCTTGTCTAGTTACCACTTTGATAGAGCCTACTGAACCAGGGTTCAACAATGCCACACTCAAAGTAATATAGTTTTCTTTATCAGGGGCCATAGCCTCACCCTGGGCTCGAGCATAACCAGGGATGATAATGAATTCAACATGTGGCGCCGTTGGGCCACTTGCGCGCTCAATATATGTTCCATTTGCCTTTTCACGAGTCACAAATTCTGGAGACATATCCTCGAGTCGCATAAATATGAGGGCTTCCGCCAGATTACTGGTCATGGTACCGGTACCCTTGATGGTATACTTGAGGATCTCCTTAAAGGCCTTCCATGGGTCCATATTACCTTGTATAGTGGCACACTTTCGATTGACCTTATAGACAAGAGGTAGGAAGAGATGGTCCTGCAGATTTGCACCCACACCCGGGAGAGTATGAATGTGTGGGATGGAGGCTTGAGGGGCTGGTCCAATGCCAGAAGCAATAAGGATTTGAGGCGATGCATATGTGCCAGCACTCAAAAGTACCTCTCGAGAAGCCTCGACGCGCCTAAGAACTAGTTGTATTTTTTTTTTTTTTTTAGGAATAAACCAAAATAAATATCAATAAAATAAATAATGCTCAAAAGAGAGCTTTTTTTTTTTTTTTTTTTTTTTTTTTGGAACAATGTAGAATAAAAATCACTTACTGTTGTTATGGTCCATAAATTCGACCCCTGTAGCCACCTTGGCTCCATCGTTTTCCTTGTCGGTTTTCACGAGGATACGGTTCACATGTGCTCCAAAGATCACCCGAATTGTACCTCGACCGTTCTTGCCTCCAGGTACTACATCTTCTCTTAAAAAGGCTCTCGCCAACGAGCTGCGCACACCATCTTTTCGAATAAATGTCTGAGCTTTGTTAGCCCCTAAAGGACTAGTTCCGTTAAGATCCTTATTTAGGCTGATGCCCTCTGCTTCACCGGCTCTCAAAAACTTTTCGCTCACTTTAAACATCGAAATATTGGACACCTGCCAAAGACCATCGGTCCCATGATATTCTGGCTCATATGTTGTAAAGTCATTGTGTAATTGTGAAGTTGAATCAGACGCATTGAAACGCTCTGATTTCCTGAAATAGGGCAAGACGTCCTTGTAGGACCAACCTGGGTTGCCCAACTCTTCCCAGTGATCAAAGTCTGAGGCCACACCACGATGATAGATCATAGCATTGATAGAGCTAGAACCACCAAGCATCTTGCCTCGGGGCTGCAACAACGATCGTCCACCCGCATGCTCCTGTGGGACCGTGCGATAGCCCCAGTCGCAGGGTGTCTTAAACGTGGCGAAGGCCAATCCCGGCGTGCGGGAAGAAAATATATCGTCTGAATATCCTGCCTCCAAGACTAGGACATTTACTTCAGGATCTTCTGCAAGCCTATTCGCAATTACGCACCCTGCAGCTCCTCCTGAAAAAAAAAAAAAAAAAAAAAAAAAAAAAGGATCCACGCGAGAGGTTTAAGTCACCAAATCAACTTGACTGTCATTTTTTTTTTTTTTTTTTTTGCAAAAAAAAAAAAACCACTTTAGGTCCTTCAATGAAGAAAGGAGAAAATAAAAAATAAAAAATGAGGGTTTACCTCCAATGATAATGTAATCGTAACGTTTTGTAGAGTCAGTAGCATGATTCCAAGGTGATTTCCCCTTCTTGGGATGGAACTTGACTATCTGTGATAGTCGATTGAGTCTAAGAACTGTTTTTTTTAACTCGTCTGCAGACATTTTTTCTTTCGTTGTTTTGAACGTTGCAAATTTGTGTACAGGGATAAATGGTTGATGGATCTTCAGCAATTGATAATAGAGGTGATTGAAAGAGCTGAATGTAATGAGTATGGATTGTGGAGAAGAGGATGTGAAGATGAGGGAGAATGAGGAACTGAGGGCAGAAGAAAGAAAGATATAGAGAGTGTGTGTATGTGTGTGTAAAAGAGAGAAATAAAGAAAAAAAAAAAAAAAAAAAAGATGGGAGTATTTATTTTGTGTTAATGCATTTTCACTCGGAAGAAGAAACTTGTTTTCTCTTTGTGCAACGTTTGTAAACCATCCGTCTGGGTTACTGTTGTCAAACTAAAACGAATGATTGGTGTCTAACATGCAATACGCTCAAAGTTATAAAGTTATAAAAAAAAATAAAAAATAAAAAAAAAGAAAAGAAAAGATGGGGGGTCATGATTCAAAACGGAAAGAGGCTATATTTATTATTCATTAGATATATAAAAATACACCTTCAGGATGAGCAGAGAAATAAGGGGGGCCTACAAAGATGCCGGGATTCACAGGACCAAATGGGTTGACTGCAATGTGATTGGAACCCTCGAAAGACTATTTTTTTTTTCTTTTAAAAAGAAAAATTTCATCAGTTACTGCTGCTAATACTTCTTTCACTTCCTTGGTATGTACCGTACCATTGTTTCCATTGGCCCACTGGGCTGGCATGCCACATTATGGTGGATAAGTGCTGGTGGGTGCGCATCACCAGTTTAAATTGTATATTACTCTAAACCAAATAATGGCGAGAATCATGGGACAATGTATCAAGGCATAAAGATAACCAATTGTTACAGATACAATCATCACGATATAATTTAGCACAGCAGTTTGTAATTAAAAAAAAAAAAAACGTTGCATGAACCTTATTGTTTTTTATGATTTTTTGAGTTAAAAAATTCATGCATGCTGCATTCCAGCAAGGAAACCTTCAACTGGGAAAACATTTATACCCATCATCTTCTGCCCAAAAGCGATTCTCTTTCATCTTTATTTATTTATCATTCTTTATTTTCCCCTACCTTTCTTTTGCAAGACAAACATCGAACCCTTTCCAGATATTCGCTCAAGGAAATGCTCTTACCTGTCAAATCCATTTAGTCCTGCTCCTCATACTAGTGTGTATATACATTAGTACTGGAGTATAAAGTTAAGTTTAGACGCGCGTTGCTTCAAGGTTATTTATGGACAAAAAAGTTGCTTCTCTGCGACATCGTCTCATGCTACGATAGACTGTTATACTGTACATCCTTAGAAGCCATGTTAAATGCATGGCTGCTTAATGCCACCGTAGAGAGCAAAAGTCTCAGCACATCCAATTCTAAAAAAAAAAAAAAAAAAAAAAGAGAAATTGTTTACCCGGACATCAGATATGGCCTGATACCTGACTGGCTATCCTTCCTTGTACGGCCCGTATTGATATGCCTGACATTTCAAGACTCAATAAGAAAAAAAAAAAAAAAATAACTCATTATCTGCTGGACTTAATATTTTGAACCAAAACGTAATAGTGAAAATACCAATGATGACCCATGCCTGTATTCTAGACACGTGAAAGCTTCGTTTTCATTTATGATCCCATGTCCATTGTCACCAAGGATAGCACAAGAAACAAACACAAGTCAGGATCATCCAAAACACAGTTATTTTTTTTTGTACATTTATTTAGTAATGTCTGTGCGGTATTTGGGAATGAATCAAAGCAGCTTGAACGGGCATAGTATCGTCAGAAATAGATCAAGGTGTCGAGTACAAAAAAAAAATAAAAAATAAAATGAAAATGAAAATAAAAATCCAAGACAATTCTAACATTATAATTGACATTCATCAAATCCAGAACGTGGGTTCAGTGGATTGGTGGTAAACATGTGTGTGGAAACCAAAGAAAAATTTATCCATGGTTTAGGAATCGACTTGCATGTAGTCATTCATCTCAGCATCTAACTGATCCACAGTCTTGGTTTCTCTCTTCTCGCCATGGCTACGACCTCCACGTCCACGTCCACGACCTCCACGGCTACCACGGCTGTGGCCTGGGTTTCGTTGTTGTCCCTGGTTATTGTTGGTCAATGCCCTGATCGAGTAGAAATAAATAAATAAATAAATGAATAAATAAATAAATAAAATAAAAAAATCAGTCTAAATCATCAGAGCCAAAAACAATTCTTATTCAATATTTGTGAAATCATGTCTTACCTTGGTGCTTGTGCAGGGGGAAGGACAGCCTGAGCAACAGTGGGTGTCAAGAGAATTTCAATCTTCATAGGGCGTCCTATGAATTATCCAAGATGCAGCAAATGATTAGTAAAAGGTTCCACAAAGTAAAAAAAAAAAAAAAAAAAAAAAAAAGTCAAAAGCAATATATAATTATAGTCAATTACAACAACAATTACCATCAAGGGGGACTCCGTTAAATTTGTTATAGGCAACAGCGGCATCTCCGACTCGAACAAAATGGATGACAGCTGTACCAGTTGACTTCCCGCTCTGGTCGTACATCAAAGTGCACTTCTTGAGAGGTCCAACTCTGGATGAAAAGACAAGCTAAATGACGGCGTACATACATTCCAGTTTTTTTTAAGAGCCAACATGGACACCGTCGGGAAATGAGAGGACAAAAGGAAAGGAGAGATGGGGAGGAGAGATATTCATGAAGGAGAGTGGGAGAGTGTGCGAGATGGGCGTCCGTTAGAGTCGAGTCCACGTTTGGTTTGATCTTTTTTTTTTTTTTTTTTTTTTTTTGTCATGGCTCTGGTACGTCTGAACAAGATAGGATACACGCAGTAACTGGATAAACATCACCGCCACATTTTTAGCAACCCACTGCCCATTGTCCTCAAAGCGCTACGACCACTCTCCCTGTGTTCTTTCGATCCAACCATTTCGATTCATCATCTTGGCAACCGAGTTGACTTGGTTTCGAAGCGCACAAAGAGAACAGTGTAGAGAAATAGCCGCATAAGCTAGAGCCAATGTGACTCTGTATAAAGATCAAGGACAGATCGCGATGATCAAGGTCGGTGGTAATGGAGAACACCAGATAGCATGATACGCAGAGGAGACACGAGGCTCGCCTGGTTCTTGTATTAGCAAGCGCCTTGCCCCTCTGGTTCAGTCTAGCCCAGCTTAGTTCAGGCCAGTCCAGTCCAGTCCAGTCCAGTCCAGTCCAGTCAAATATTCGTCTCCGTCAATTTACCTTCAGGTCCTCGGCAGAGACTTGGCGGTCAAGGTTCGAGACCTGCATCTTGGAGCCATCGGGAGTGTTCTGGCGAATGACAGATGTGTGAAGAGGTGCTGCAGAGGCATTATTGCGGTACTGCTGAGCACCGGCAGTGTAGGGCTTATTATCACGGCTCTGGCGTCCAGTGCGGGTAGGGCCGGATGCACGAGGGCCTCCACGACCGCCACGAGGACCGTTAGTGCGGCGGTTGGATTTTTGAGTCTTGATGATGTCATCAAGAGACATATCGAGAGCATCAACGGCGTTGGACATTATTGTAGAAAGTTGAGGGTTAAAAGTGATGGGTTGAAAGAAAAGCTATTTTCGTCCAAGATGATTAAAATTAAAGAGTTAGCGATCTGGATGTAGAGGGTAAGGAAGTAATGTGCAGCACATTTGCTGAACCAGATGGAATGCTTACCTTGAAGAAACAAAAATAGATGGTTTGATAAAAAAATGGACAGACAGATTGCAAAGCTGGGACGATGATGATTATAAGAGATCAGACACAAAAGGCCAAGGGCAGCAAGTGTATAAAATAAAATAAAAAAAGGTTGATTGGGTAGCAACGTGACTATTTTTATTAAGGAGCATAATGATGGATCGAGTCGAGTCTATTTTTATTTGAATATCAAGCAAGATGTTAATCATAAATAAAAAAACAAATGCAAGAATCATTGGGAAAGAGAGAAAATTATTGTTGCCTCACAGCTCATGCGTCTTTCGGGAAAAAAAAGTTTTCTCACTTGATCAGCAGATTGAGGCAAGACAAGTTGTCTACAGACACTGATATGATTTGATTTGATATTATTTTGTGATAGTGTATCTCAACAACGCACAAGATAAGATTCGTCCACCATTTTATCACCTGGGCCCTCTTTTTTACCTTCTCCTCCTCTCTCCCCTCTTCTCACTCCTTTTCGCTCTCTTCCCTATTCTTTATATCATTATAACGCCTGTTCATGCACATTCAAATTTTATCTCTACTCCTTTTGATTTGATTCTTCTTTCACTCATACTCTTTTACTTCGCCTTGTCTTGCTCTCTCCGCTCCCTTACTCCCCATCTCATCCTCATCCCACTATCTTAATCATCCCTCCCCCCTCTTTTTCTTCATTCTATTTCTCATTAAAATAATAAAAAATAAATACAAGGTAACCTAAAAAAAAAAAAAAAAAAGCATGTCTCGCTCCACTCCATGAAATCCCCTTCATGGTCCATGTCCAAGCTAATTCTCATTTTCTTTCTCCTTTTTTCCTTGATCACTTGCCTCTTCTATATAAAATTGACATAGCCCCCTTTGCATCACTCTTCCATCTGTACATGTCGCTGGCTGAAACAGCACCAGTCGTCGCAGCACCTGCTGGCCCACACGCGGACAGCTCTCCAGCCGTGAAGCTGCATTCAGACCCTGATACAACTTCAACTGCCACTTCCACTTTAACGACTTCAATAAAAGAAACATCATCATCAGTATCAGCAGTAACTTTAACAACAGAACCCATGACGACAGTATCCGCATCACTTGTATCTGTCTCTGCTGCAACGCCATCTGCAGAATCATCATCAATTATCACCACAGCCCCTAGTCCACCCGGTCATAGCCAAACTACGACACAGACTCACCCTTTACCAATAGACACCCAGAAACAGCACCAGGACAATTCAATGGCTTCAAGGACACCATCTTCCCCTGTCACCCCGCCTGCTCCTTCAGCAGTCGCGTCCTCATCACCGATCTTGGCTCCGCTTTCGCCTTCACCTTCAGTTTCTTCCCCTACACAGCCATCATCCTTACCATCAGTATCAGCATCAACATCAGCGCCAACAATATCAACAGTCAAAACAGAAGCTATTTCGCCCGGTCCTTTGTCGTCGTCCTCTGTTCCAGGCGAGGCAGTAACGGCACCCTTAGCCTCCCCTACATCTTCTACAGGCCCTCCTGCACCGACCCCCACCTCACTCTCACCCTCCCCTTCCTCCATGACCTCTAGTTCTAGTATGAACAACATTGATAAGGGTCGCCCGATCCCTACTTCAAACGCTTTGTCATCTTCACTGAGAAGTAGAATTTCCACCAGCGCACCGCTCTCTTCTCTTTCCTCCGTCACCGAAACGACCATCATCTCCCCAAAGCCCTATCCTTCACATCCCCACATCTCCTCAGCCCCACTCTCTTCTTTCAACAAGGCAGATGCTAGTCTACGCCATCTGGGAGGCAGCAGTTACTCGAATGCCTATCCAACGCCAGCATCAAAGTATGAGGATATCCATATCTCCAGCCCAAAAGCACACTCGCAGCAACCTCATTTCCCACAATCAAAAACTCAGGACGGAGATATTGCCTCAAAAGATGATCATCCATCTGCATTGTACAGAGTAAAGCAAGAAGAGGAATACGAGGAGGTATATGAGATGGAGGGTGAAGAGTATGAGGTAGTGGGTGATGAAGAGATGGGTGAGAGTGATGTTGAGATAGACCGGGAATCTGGGATGGAGATGGAACATGATCTGAGCCGACCAGATGATCGGGATGCAAACATGGTCGATATCTCTGTCGAATCTCTGTCCTCAACCCAAGGCAAGAAGAGGTTGGCATCGCCTGATTCATCCTCAACACTCGCCAATGAAGATGATTCAAGATCCAAGACTCTGTCACCAAACCCGAGTACAAAGTCAGGGACAGATGCAGCTGGATCCTCACAGCCCAACAAAACCTTGGGAAGTGCTGTCAAGAAGGAATCCAAACCAGGAGTCACAGGTACCAGCTGTGCTAACTGTGGTACTACCAAAACCCCTCTTTGGCGACGCGCCAGCGATGGACAAACGATCTGTAATGCATGTGGTAAGTCCACTTTTTTTTTTTTTTTTTTTTTTTTTTTTATTTCCGAGGGGAAATAGTTCAAAAGATGTTTCAGAGGGCAAACACATTGTGCGCCGGAGAGAGATTGGAGATGGCGGATTTATTTACCGTGGAAAAAAAAAAAAAAAAAAAAAAAAAAAAAAAAAGAATGGACATGGACACATTATTGGACATGGCAACATATTAGAGAAAGAAGACCAAGGCTATCATGGTTTCTTCGCGTGCGTTAAGATGTGTGGAATGAGCACTAGGAGGAAAAGGGATAGCCATTAGTAAATACCAAATCAATCATTGGTTATTGTTGTCCACTGAAGGAAAAAAAAAATGCATTCAAAATGTTCCTTTAGCCATCACACGACTACAGCCAAACAAAGGATTTGTGAGAATCTAGGCTTAATAAGAGATATAAACAAAAGGGATGGGCCATTTCTGCAATCTCGCTATCTTTCTGCCCTCCTTCCACGCTTTCTCATTATCTGTTAGTATAGTTTAACATGATATTATATGATATCTAAAATATTTGTCGGTCATTTCAATACGATATTCATCCCTCACACAGTAATATAATGGTGGGAAAAAAAAAAAGAAAAAAGTTTGATCGCGATTAGACACCAAGTAAGACGACAATCACAAGAAAAACAGAGAGCAGGTTGCACATGGAGAGAGAGAGAAAGGAAAAGAGTGGAAATGTTTAGAATATCACATTTAATGTCCATGGAGTAATAGATCGATAAAAGAACAGGGCAAAATGAAAAGCTCATGTATCCCATTCATCCCATCCATCCGTTCCTCATGTATTCATGTATTATCGGGAAAGAAGAATGAAAAAAAAAAAAAAAAAAAAAAAAAAAAAAGAGAGCAAAAACAGAGTGCGGGTTGGAGTGAAAAGAGTGAGTGAGATGAGGCTGTCTCGTACAACTGTTACTGTACACAACAAAGGGGTTATTTTAGGACAAACAAAAAGAAGGCAAGCTTTGGTTGGTTGGGATTGGTTGATGGGTTATTTGTTTGTTGGAGGAGATTTTTTGATTGTTTAGATTGTTTAGATTGTTTTGATCTGAAATGGTCCTTGATGTAGTGATAGCTGGATTGATTGATTGTTCACTTCAGTTCTTCTTCTTCTTCTCTCGTGCTTGATGGACTCTTATTGTGTCTTCTGCACGTGGTGCACACACAGAGTAAAAAGAACAGGATGGTTTTTTTTTTTTTTTTTTTTTTTTTTTGTATGATGGGGTCCCTTGTCTATCTATCCTTATTCCTTTACTTGATCAAGCTGATCTCTTTCTCTCCCTCCTATTCACTTTTATTTTTGTGATTGTACAATGATGAGAGAGAGCATCGAGATGGCGCTGGTTTGGGTCACACACAGTTTAAACTCAATTTCAGTCGACTTTGCCATTGCATTGCATCACATCGTAGTATTGATTATTTTAGTTATCACTTTATTTTAGTTAATGTACTTTAATGTCATATATTAATTACTTTAGTATAAAAGTGTCATAACTAACTCGCTTTTTTTTTTTTTTTTTTATTTTTATTTTTTTTATATATATTGCCTTGTTTTATAACTATTTGCTCGGCAATACTTAGGTCTGTACTACAAAGCAAGGAATCTAACAAGACCACCATGGCTCAAGCGCAACATGGGTCTCAAGAAGGGCGATACTGCAACTGGCGAAACAGACGATCTAGAAGATGGGAATGTTCGAGCTGCATCTTTGAACCCAACGAGCAAATCTGGGCCTTCTTCGATAGATGGAGCATCATTGGATGATGAAAGGTCCACTGCTGAGTCCACAAAGGCAGCCTCACAGGAGTCAGAAGAAAAGCCTTCGGAGACTGAACCTTGCCCAGGAGATGGCAACTGTAATGGTGCAGGAGGAACGCATACATGTTCAGGATGCCCTTCCTACAATCAACAACAGTCAAATCGTCAACACCTTGTATGCGCCAATTGTCGAACAACCACAACTCCTCTTTGGCGTCGAGATAGCAGTGGCAATACGATCTGCAATGCGTGCGGACTTTATTACAAACTGCACAATGTCCATCGTCCTGTAACAATGAAGCGTGCGGTCATTAGGCGCAGGAAGCGCGTGATCCCACCTAGCCCACCGCCATCGGTTTCTCAGAATATGAGACACCAACCACAGCATTTGCAGCCACAGCAACCATCTCAACTTCAAGGAACTCGATATCCTTCCCTGCAGGGTCCACGATCATCGCCTCCAACGTCTAGCATGGAAGGACAAGGAGATCCCAAACGTAGACGGATTCAGAGCTCTAATGGAGCCAGAGGAGGTCCATCCATGGAGGAGTACATTCTGCCCAAACCGTCTGGGAATGATTATCCTGATCGAAGCCAGCGTGAGCAGGGATCAAACAGTTATCGCCGCAGTATGTCGCCTATTGATAATATTAGCAATGGTGAGCAGAACCATCATCATTCCAACTCACCTCACCACCAAGGGTCCTCATACTCTCAGCAGCAATCTCGATCGCAGGAAGGATACCCACATGGTCATGCACACTTGGGGCCGTCTCGATACATGCCGAGCGCACATTCAGTCAATAGACATTATCATTCAACGCCCTCTGCGAGTATGTCACGCTATCCTGTACATCACGTTCCACCACATTCTATGCCGCCACAGCCACATCAAGGAAGTGCACCTTCTATGGTCAATAGTGATGTTAAGACCAACACAGCGTTAGCCAGTCTTATGACTCTGAGTTCTTCAGGCGGACCTAACCATCCTGGTTCGACAGTCAGACATGACGACAGAGAAATGCAACACATGGCGCCACCGCCACCATCGCAGCAGTCGATGCCACTGTATTCTAAAGCTCACAATCAGACTCAACATCCAATGTATCAACACCCCCCACATTCCTATGCACATAATGGTCACGCTCCTCGAGATTTAGAAGAGGGAATGCATCCCAGCTCACAATATGCTTCAGGATGGAACCAGCGTCTGCCTGGATATAGTACTGTGTCGACGTCTTCAACTAATATTCGGTTGTCATCTACAGGCATCGTACATTCGACTGGCCCGCCACCGCCAGGATCGCCACCACACTACTCGAGGTACCCACCATATCATCATCCTCATCAGCCGTATCGCAACCAAGGTCCACCTCCACCAGGACCAGGACATGATTATCGTCCACCAGAGTCACCTCAATCTCAAGGGGCCTCAATGCCGCCAGCACAAGGAGGGCATCATTATAGCACGGGATCGTCACCGACTCAGAGTAATGTCATGCCGAACAGCTCTGGTTATTCAGCACCTTACCATCATTCAGGCCCGAGTGATCCACATGTGGATCGTGAACGTGCTGGATCTGGTGGTGGTAATTCGGCGCACTTGCCGCCTATTTCGCTTCCACATCCTCCGCACCAGAGTCATCATCAGCCTCTCCCAAGGGCAACAGACTTGCTACACCAACAAGAACAGGGTCCTCCACCGCCTCACCATCATCACTATAATGGGCATGGACGACAACCCTCACCGCCGTCTATGCCGATGAATGGGGCAGCCATTGGGGCATCAGGTAATCATGTGGCGCCAGCATCTTCGACAAACACAGATGTTCTACAGCAGACGCGCAAGGACTTGCAGCGTGAGGTGTCCCATCTGTCGATGCTATTGGGAAGAGCAGCAGCAGTACTCAATGGTTTGGACCATGCCTTGGATTCACATCATTCTGGAGCATCCAGCTCCCCTCCTGTGACACACTCACCCCCTATTGGGCATGGGTATGGACCACCTCCACCTTCGCATGGGCATGGTCATGGTCATAGTCATGGTCACGCTCATGGTCATGGGCCTCCACCACCACCATCGCAACCACAGCTGCAGCCGCATCCACCTCCTCAGCAACAGCAGCTACCGCCTCCACCGCATCACAACCAGGCAGCGTCTCCATCGCGTTATGCACCAGCGCCATCTTACACATACCCTCTACCAAGGAGGCCTTGAAAAGGCCTTTTTTTTTATTTTTATTTTTTTTTTATAATCTCATATAATACTCCTACCTTTGTCTGTAATCTAGACTTTTTCCTTCCATATATTCTTTCCGTATTTCATTTTCATTTAACATTTTTCTTTCTGCAAGTTTCTTTGTTGCTGTGCCTTTTTTTTTTTTTTTTTTTTATCTTAATGAGCGATCTCTCGTGTATTTGTAGACACACAAAAAAAAAAAAAAAAAAAAAAAATTAATAAATAAAATATAGTTTTGGCTTTTTTTTTTTTTTTTTTTTTTTTTACAACAATACACATCCTTTTATTTTTTATAATACAAAAAATGAGTAAACACAGCTTACAAACGTCAAAGACACTGACTAACAGAGAACGAGATTACTTGGCACGGATATTAACTACAACAACAGACTTTCGACAATTGTAAATGCTGGATTGTTTAAAAAAAAACAAACAAATGCAACTGCAATTGCATCAACTTTTTAGCAAGAAAGGAATGAATGAATGAATGTATGAAATAAACTAGATTAAAAAACTAATCAATGAGCCGTTGTTTTATTTTATTTTTATTTTTTTTTATTTATTTATTTTTGGGTGAGGGGAGCATAGATCGACAACCGAGTGGAAGAAGTATAACACCCAGGGGATAACGGCCCTCAAGAGTGCACGAACTTGTAAGAACGAATTTTTTTTTTTTTTTTTTTTTTTCAGTCAGACTAAATGCATTAATTTTTTTTTTTTTTTTTTAAAAAAATACATATAAAAATAGCCGTTATAAGAGCAATCGATGAATTGACTGCAGTGATAGATCAACGTAATTTTTTTTTTTTTTAACTTTCAAAAGACAGGGATTATAAGAAAGAAAAAAAAAAAAGGACGCATTCGCTGTACTTGTTGGATTAATGCGGTTTACCTTTTATATATATATATATATATATATATATATATATATATAATAATAATAATAATAATAGTTCAAGATGTTATTACAAGGATGAATAGGATCCGTCAGAAACTAATTGCACAGATCCAGCAAGCTTCTCCACCAGAGATCATAGGCATTGACGCGATTCTTGAAGCTCAAAAAGCACAACAACAACAACAACAACGGGAAGAAGAAGATGAAAATGAAGAAAACGAGAAAGAAGACCAACAGAACAAAAGACCAGATGAAGATAGTCATAGCGATCTGATAACCACTATGACAACCATGTCAATGACACGAGGATACATTCCAGATCCAAGGTTGATAACTCACATCATTCCAGGAACACAGGCAACACCGCTGGACATGTCCTCGTATATTCAGCATGTCTTTGAGCAGGCCTTAGATGAGATCGGGCTAAAGGAATCGATTCTGGAAGCATTGCAAACCATTCATGAATTGAAGGATTCCGGTCAGGATGAGTTACCGACGCTCCTGGACCAACAACTGACCAATATGACTCTGTTGTGGGAGTTGGAGCCTTATACAGAAACAGTACCGGAGAGACTTTCGGTGGAAGAGAAGCTCGGGGTAATGTCATGGCAATTGGAGATCACGAAATAAATAAAATAAAATAAAATAAAATACAAAAATACAAATAAAAAACAACTAAATCCCATATATAATTTGCATTCAGAGCAAAGAAAAAATCGTTGCAAAATTTTCCTCCGCATACGGAGGACGATGAGTTTTCATTAAGTAATGTTTGAAGATGCAAAATGAAGAAAGAGATACTATGGTATGGATCAAAAAATACAAAAAATGAAAATATTGATTTGAACGCCCGGTCTAATAGATCTAATCCCATCCAGAGACTTTTCCTCCACCAAATGGATCTGCATCTGCCTCGAGCGCCGTAATATCAAAGCTAGGCTTCTTGTTCTTTTTGGCCAGCTGTGCAGACTTGTCAACAACGGCCACAACACCTGATCGTGCCTTTGCACTCTCCGCAGGATCCAGTCCACGCATAGGTTTGTCGGTTGCAGCGGAAGCAGTAGTATTAATACCGGGAGCGTTGATGGTAGTTGGGATGGTAGCCTTTGCTGTAGTGCTTGTTGTTGTTGTTGTTGCTGAGCCGGCGGCAGCAGCCTGAGTAGCCTTCTCGAGCTTAGCCTTCTTGATCTTGACTTCTTCTTCTGTAGGCCTTACAAAGAATGAGTCTCCTTCCAGTGCAGTAGATTCCGACTTTTCCTTGTCCTTCTTCTTCATCTTCTTCTCGTCGCGCTCGGTTTTCTTCTTTTCCAGTAGAGCAGCTGTCTTTTCTTTCTTGGCCTCTTTCTTGACAGCCTTCTTTGCATCCTTCTTGGTCTCATTATTTGATCCTGCTCTCTTTACTTTGCCCCTGCCATTCTCCATGTCCACATCGCCCTCGCTGTCAACAACAGAGGACGTTGGAAGCGATGGTACGAGGGCGCTGAGCGGACGAGGTCCATTGCCCTTGAAGACGGATGACAATGTTGACTTTCTTTTCTTAGCGCCCCCAGCATTCGAGCCCGTGTCGTCCTCGTTTGCATCTCTTGACCGCTTCAAAGATTTAGACTTTTTATCTTCCTTGCCTTCCTTTTCCTTTTCCTTTTCCATCTTTTGCGTCTTCTTTTCTTTTTTATCCATCTTATCCTTTCTCTCCTTCTTCTCCTTCTTCTCCTTCTTCTCCTTCTTCTCCTTCTTTCTGTTGCTGTTGTCGTCATCGCCGCTATCGACATCATCTTCCGCTTTTGATGTTTTCTTCTTCTTTTTCAGCCGCTCAAACTGTTCTGCTTCTGCAAGGACTTCCTTATCAACAGCCTCTGGATCAATCTCACCACGTTTGATTTTTTTGAGCATCTTCTTCTTCTCCAAGTCCTCCTTCTTTTTCTTCATCTTTTCAACCATCTCCTTGTGCTCTGCACGCTTGGCTTTGATCTGAAGGAACTTTGGATCAAAACGTTCACCATCCAATACTCTTAGTGATGGCACAAGCTCTAAAATCTATTTTAATGATAATAATCTATTAGAAACCGACTTTTTTTTTTTTTTTTTTTTTTTTATGTTAAAAAAAAAAAAAAAAAAAAATTAAAAATTACCTTCTCTTTATAATCTGGCTTTTGACAAATAGGATTCCCCTGGAGACTCAAATTGGTCAATTTCATCAAGGATCCCAAGGCGGCCACGTCGCTCCAGTCTCTCAAAAGGTTATGACCCAAATCCAGGATGTCCAAGGCAACACAACGACGGAGGGTATCAGGAATGGTGACGAGTTTGTTATGGTTCAATCTCAATTCTTTCAACAAGGGGTTATCTGATAAATCAGGGATCTGACGAATCTCATTATGGGCTGCAGAAAGTTTTGTCAATTTCTCAAGTTTGGGGAACGAGGGTAGTTGCTGAATACGGTTATGAGAGAGGACGATGGTATTGAGATCGAGTAATCCACCCAGATGGTCAACGACTTTAATTTTGTTGTTGTTGAGAACCAAAGCTTTAAGTTGAGTCAATTTCTCAATGTGGATAGAGATACGATTCAATTCATTATGGGACAAATTTAAAACTATTTTTTTTTTTTTTTTTTTTTATGAAGAATAAAAAAGAAAATAAGCAAGAGAAGAACGAAAAATAGTAACACATATTACGCGCGTTAGAAACGTTTTTTTTTTTTTTTTTTTTTTTTTTTTTTTATATATATATATAAAAAAAATATTTTTGACGGCCAATTGCTTGTTAGTCTACGACAGCGAATTTCTTTTATTATTTTACCAAAGAGTGTCGAAAGCCGTTGAAGACCTTCGAAAGAATCGAGTTGGTTTCCACTGAGGTTGAGCAAGGTGAGAGATGGGAGATATTGGAGACCGGAGATAGCATCTGGTGAGGAAAGGTTGTTGTTGGATAGATTGAGCTTATGAAGATTGATACATACGGAAATGTCTTCAATATGATTGATGCCTTTCTTTGACAAATTGATCTCCTTGAGCTGTTGGATATCTGTCCCAGCAGCACCAGCTTGAGAGGCGATGATAGCGGGTGTTAACTTCATAGAGGGGAAATAAGCGAATCGAGAGTTTGGGGATTTGGAGGAAAGGAGACCTTGACTATGTGAAAGAAGGAAGGTACAGATATTAATGATTTATAGAAACAAAAAGAACAAAGAAAAAAATTGCTGAAAAAAAAGGGCGAAGCGTTACACGTTGGAATTAAAAAAAAAAAAAAAAAAAAAAAAAATGTTTACATTTTCTATGGATGTGACAAGCATTTAGGATCAAGCCAAAAGCCACTTCCATTTCCCTCCCCCCAGGCACCAAACAACAGGGAAACTAATATTTCCACACTCTGTCAGCTTTACTCACCAGACCCATTGATGTTATTTCAGACCGTTGAACTTGGACCAGATTAAGGCAGAGGATCACATTCAGCTAAAAAATAGGAAATAAGAAAAAAAGAAAAAAAGAAAAAACGAATAACAGCAATTAAGGAAAAGGAAAGGTAGTCATGTCATTCTTTGCCAGACCTATTTTCAACCGCATCAAGCAAGTGGCATTCAAGCCTCGTGGAGTTGAAGAATTCTTTGAAGGCGGCAAATCCCTTCCGACGGAAAAGTCATGGACTGGTAATACATCACCACGTTCTTTTCTATACTTTTTTTTTTTTTTTTTTTTCTTTATATTCTTTTATTTTTTACTTTTTATCCTTTTCTTTGAAATTCGCTCTGTGCTCTTCTCTGATCCGGTTGTAAGAGGAGGAAAAAAGGAAGATAAAAGGAAAAAGATTGAATCAATCACAGATCTATCAGGTTTAACTCATTAGTATTATTTTTCTCTTCTTTTCTTTTTTTCTTTTTTTTTTTTTTTTTTTTTAAAAAAAAAAAAGGTCGCGCTTGGAGAGCCAGTGAGCTGAGGCTCAAGTCATTTGATGATCTGCATAAACTTTGGTATGTTCTACTCAAGGAACGCAACCTCCTTGCCACTCAGAAGGAAGAGGCTCGTCGGTTCCATATTTCGAAGCAATTTTTTAGCAACAAGGGTCGTCAGGAGAAGGTAAAAAAGAAGAAAGGGATTTAATACGTTCTTGATCTGATCTGATCTGATCTGATCTGTAAAAACAAGTGAACTGACAAGTTTATATATATATCTTTTGACAATGCTGCTTTTTTTTTTTGTTCGTATGAACTAGTGCAAGAAATCGATGGCAAGAATTAAATTTGTTCTGAATGAACGACGCCTGGCTTGGGTTGAGGCCAAGAAGTTGCAGAGACTGGCTAATGTTGAGGAGGCATCTGTCAACACCAAGGTTCCGACAACAGGATCAGCAAAGGTAGCATCCGAAAACACTACATCAGCAGCAGCAGCAGGAACATCATCAACGTCAACATCAACAACAGCATCAACGACAACTAATGCTAGAGCTTAAAAAAAAAAAAAAAAAAAAAAAAAGATGCTACTGTAACATGTGAGGACAGGTTTATTTGTTTGTAACTGCTAGGTACTATTGGAAGGAAGAGAGGGTATAGATAGACAATTAAAGAACGGAATATTATGAAGATTGCATGTAAACTATAGCTTTTTTTTTTTTTTTTGCTCATGATAGCTATGCTATTGCAACTGAATTGAAGATCACGAAACGTGGGAAAAGTATGTTAATGGAACCAAGTTGGTTGCAGTTTTTCGCGATCATCTTGAACAATGTATATACATATATACATATTCATATTTGTATATATACATTGCTGCAAGCATTTGTTGTTGAGCCTTTTTATGATTATTACTATTATTATATACAATATGATGATGATGATAATGATGATGATGATGATGATGATAGAAGAATACAAGGAAGAAGAGGGCTCCTTCTTGAATAACATGTGTAGGGTGTAGAGGGTGAAGATGCGGTTTTCATATCGGATTAATAAGATTTTTGATTTTGATAAGCAAATGAAGTAAAGGAGAGGATGAAGAAATGCAATGGAGTAAGCAGGCCGGATGTGAAATCCCTATCCATCGATGTATACAAGAAACACAGCAGAGTAATTATATACAAAAAGATATTTGAATACTTTTATTTTTTATTTTTTTTTTTTTTATTTTTTTATTTTTTTTGATTTTAATTTTGGCTCAACTCAACTCTGGCTCAAAGGTGGAGCCGAGTGAATTTTTTTAATTTTTATCGTTTTGTGAAAGAGCATTAGTTTAAAACATGTGTTTTTTTATTATTATTATTATTATTATTATTATTTTATTCCTTATTTTATTTTATTTTGTTAAATTAAATTACGGTTTATGTGTTTGTATGGCTGTTGGAAAGCTGTTTTATGTGTTGGTTGGTATATAACGGTTAACATTTATTTTGAGAAAAAAAAAAAAAAAAAAAAAAAAAGTTGATCTTGTACTTGGGGTCAATGCATTTATTTTTTCACAGTAGGGTATTGATTGATCACTGAAGCATTATCGTTGTTCCTTACCCAGTAATTTTTTTTTTTATTGTATGAATGCGAGCCCAATTTAGTTTGGATGGAGAGTGAGAGAGTGAAAGTGAGAGTGAGAGTGAGAGTGTGAAGTGAGAAGTGAGAGAAAATGAGCGATCTGTTTCTCTTCCACTCTTCCTTTTCTCTCTCTATCCAACCTCATCTTTCTCTTTCCTTTTCTCCCATTCTTTCTACTCTTCTCTCCTTGGGCCAAGGATTGTCTCTTTCTTTCTTTTCTTTCTTTCTTTCTTTTCTTTCTTTCTTTCCTTTCTTTCTCTTTTTTGAAGGAATAAAAAATAAAAACGACTTTGCCCAACCTTGCAAGATCGATTGCCCTGCCATCCACATAGTCTTGGATACCTCACCCTCTTCACACTTTCTTTTATCCCCCCCCCTTTTCTCCCCCTTTACCTCTCTTTTTTCCTTCTCTTCCTTCCTTTCCTCCTCTCCGTGTTCTTTTCTTGCTTTATTCACGACCCAATTATCATTGTTACGCCTCTCTCTTTTTAGAACATTCACTTTTTAAACCTTTATTCATTCACATTCACACATTTCATTCACTTTTTCTTTTTTTTTTTTTTTTTTTTTTCTCTTCATCTCATCCCATTCAAACAACAACACCATGAACAGAGATCAACGACCTGTGCAGCAGATGGTATGCACTTGAACTACTACAACTACAACTACAATTACAGCCGTTAGCAACTGATATATATAAAAAAAAAAAAAAAAAAAAAAAAAAAGTTACTCACGAATCTTCTCTTTCTCTTTCTCTCTCTCTCTCTCTCTCTTTCTCCTCCATTCTTTTTTTTTTTTTTTTTTTCTCTATTCTTTCCTTTCTATTACTTTGATTCCTCTGCATTCGTACGCATCCATATCATCTACCAGTCATATGGTGGTCCAGAAAACCCGGGCCCTGGTCCTCGTTATCCAGGAGGGGCCGGAGGCGGAGGTGGAGGTGGAGGTGGAGGTGGAGGTGGATACAATAGTCATAACCATCCCTTGCGAGCCATTCCTATGCATGTAAGTCGTGAAACGAAAAAAGAGGAAAGAAAAAGGTTTCTCTTCTTTCGCTGTATCCTCATTCCTGGACTCTTCTGAACAGTTAAAATGAAAGTGGAACATGGGTCTTTTACCCCTGGTAGACACATAGCAAATTTACTTTTTTTTTTTTTTTTTTTCTGGCTCTCTTATTCGTTAATTCGTTTATTCATTTTTTTTTTCGCTTATTCGTTCCTTTGCTCTTTTTTTATCCAATTTCCCCTGTCCGTTTATTTTCTCCGTTAGTCATTCTGTCTAAGGTTGATGCATAGTCTATTTCCTTTTTTTTTTTTTTTTTTTTTTTTTTTTAATCCATTGTACTTTTCACTAAAACGGTTTTTTTTTTTTTTTAGCTCCAACGTCCGCCCTTTGAGCAACCTTTTCCTTCTCATCCCAAATCTCCTAACCCACTAGATGATCTTATTGATACAGAAAAGGAATATGTCGCCGATCTTAAAGTCCTTCTTCAGGTAATAAAACAGATCGATCGAAGAAACAAAAAACATTATTTACTACTCCTACTCCATGCATGATGAATGATGAATGAGGATTCAGAAAAGCTAATTTAAGGTCTTTTATTTTTATTTTTATCTTTTTATTTATTTATTTATTTTTTATGCACACAATTGGATGGAATTCACACCACATATACAGCGCGTATCTGCAGGATGGACTCAGGATGACTTTCCTCCCAAGGAGGTCGACATCTTGCTCAGGAATGTCGAAGACATCTACGCAGTCAACCGCAAGTTCTCAAAGAAGTTAGCAGATGTCAAAGCACCTGGCGCTGATACGATGAAGGAGCTAGGTACTGTCTTGATGTGGTTTGCTGATTCAATGGAGACCTCATACTCCAACTTTTGTCGCAACCATGTCCCTCATTTTGACAACTGGCCCGAGATCATAAATAATACGCGACTCCAGGATATTTTGGCTGTAAGTTTATTAGACTTTCTTTATTATTATTATTATTATTATTATTATTATTATTATTATTATTATTATTATTATTATTATTATTATTATTATTATTATTATTTTGGCTATTTTTTAAGCTTTTTTTATATATATATATATATTTAATTTCATAGGAAATCGCTGTAGAACAAGTTCAGCATACCACTCTAGATACTTTCTTGATGAAGCCCATTGATCGTCTACACTACTATCGTCGACTCTATATGGTGAGGACCTATGCCTTTTCTTTTTTCTTTTCCCCTCTTAATGCAAAACGTAGTAGCTTCTTCATAATGAATACTGATTAATCTGTTTATTTGTTTATTTGTTTATTTTATTCCATATCATTGCTGTTACTTCTTTTCAGCGTCTGCTAGAGTCATCTGAGCGTGGAAAACCCGACTTTGATGCGTTGGAGGCAGCGTTTATGAGGATCGATACGATTCTACGATTCGTGACCGTGGATGTGCCTGGCACTTCCCGGCATCCTGCCTCACCAGCATTGTCCGCCATTTCAGGCATATCTGCCATGCGTCAGGCACTCCCTTCGCCACCCATCGGCGCTGCCGATCAGGCACCTCCCAATTTCCCACCCCAACACGGGGGCAACTATAACAATACTATCTCCCCAGCCCTACCGCCTTCTCCTCACTCTCCCGGTATGAATCCGGATCAGCGACCCTCACAACATCCTTCTGCTGCTCGAACAGTAGAGGCTATGCAGGCACTGGAGCGTGCATTGGATACCTCAAAGGTCCTTGATATTTTCACAATGCAGCCCAAGGTATGCTGTCTTTTTTTTTTTTTTTTTTTTTTTTTTACTTTTATTTTTTATTGCTACTGCTTCTGTTTGTTGTTGTTATTGTTGTTGTTGTCGCTTTTTGGTGTAATCATGCATTATCTCATGCGAGATAAGTCTATGGGATGCAATGTCGTCAGATTCCTCTGGTTGCACAAACTGTCAAGATAAAAAATCAACGTTCAGCTCATTAACTCGACTACTTTTTTTTTTTTTTTTTTTTTTTTATATATATATATATAAAATTTTTTCGATATTTTATAATATTTTTGCAATGAAGACTTGCTCGTTATCATTATCACTGATCGAACGTGATGTCCTACTCCGTGGAGATCTTCCGTTCTCTGTTACAACAGATGAAGGTGTAGAAAAGTTTGATGATGGACATATTATCTTGCTCTCAGATCTGTTGCTCATGTGCAGAATCAAGACTCCAGAGGAGATCGAGGCCAACCCTGAGGGCAATGAGTCTGAGTTCTGGCTTTTATTCCCACCCCTGGCCGTCCGACATATCGTTGCTCGTGATGGTACCATCGAAGAAGACGGTATGAAAAAAAAAAAAAAAAAAAAAAAAAAAAGGTTTTAAAATACAGTACGAAATCATGGCTGATTTTATGTCTTTCTATAATCCCTTTATGTAGATCCTATGGTAGAGTTTGTAATTGTCAATAGGGTGACTACACGGATATGGACGCATGACGACGAACTCAAGTTCAGGTGGATCGATGAAGTCGCTGCTGCTCAACAAAGAGACGCTGCCAGAATGGCTAGTCTACAACAACAAGGTTTGAATAGAAGTCAAACACAGTCTCGACCACCCATGAGGCCCATGGGACCTGGATCACCCTTGTCCCCTACGTTCCAAGGCGGACCAGGTGGGCCAGGCGGCGACCCGCATTATCATCAGCAATATTATAACAACGGACCCATGTCACCTCCCTTCCAAGGACAATATCAGTATTATCAACCTCAGGGCAGTCCCATGGGTCCTCGTCCACACATGGGTCCCGGAGGCCCTAATGGTATGCCTTCACCTGGCTTTAGGCCTATGATGAATCATGGAGCCCCTATGATGAACCAACAGCGTCCACCTCGTCCTCCAAATGACCACCGCATGGTATGCCTCTCTCTCTTTTTTTTTTTTTTTTTTTTTTTTAATATGGTTGATATTTTGAAAAGACGTTATATAAACAATTCCTTTCTTTCTTTCTTTCTTTCCTTCCTTTGAACAGAGTATGCGAAGGACTAATACAATGATGGTGAGGCCCGGACCTGGCGGTCTTCCACATGGACATCCTGCAGGCGGGATGGGTAACGTGGTGGCTGCCAAAGAAGTTTTATTCAAAACCAGACCTTGTGATGTGTTCCAATGGCGTGACGATGAATGGGAACCGTTGGTGGAAGATGATGATTGTTATGCAGAGTTGCGACTGACAACAGCCAATCGGTTGGCGATGGCGGTGACGAGATACGAGACAGGCCAGCTGGTTCTGAATGCCTGGATTGTGGAATCAACAACGTTCCGTCGTGCTTCCGAGACAGATGTGAGTGTGTCAATGGATATGGGTGCTTCTGTTCAATGGTTCATGGTTGCGCTGGACACGGTTCGAGAGGCCGATGAGTTCTGTATGGCATTCCAACGTACTAAGGAACGAGCCATGTATGACCCCAGCATTCAGAAGGCGTCATCTTCACCCGTCTTATCTCGAGGTGATAGTCTTGCCTCCACACCCACTCAACAGACTATACAGCAGAACAAACCTGTGAGACAAACCTTGACATCGATGTATCCACCTGCAGACTGCAAGCTGTTGTTGCAGACAGGAGATCATGGTCAATGGATGAGTCTGGGAGCTGCAAAGGTTGAGATCAAGAGGGAACACCCTTCTGGATATGTGAGATTGTTTGTGGGATTGATCTCGAGCCAGAAGCGGATCCTTGACAGCGTCATTGTCCAATGCGACTGTCTAGAATTGGTCGGTCCCAAGAAGCTGGCCATTACTCTGATGAACCCACAAGAAAAGATGAGTATCATTTACATGCTTCAATTTAAGGACGATGCCCTGGCCTCCAAGATTTTTGAAGGTCTCAGCTTAAACACAAATGAGTAAAAAAAGGGAAAAATAGAATGCATTTACAATTTAAAAAAATAAAATAGAAGAATGATAAAAAAAATAAAAAAAAAAAAAAAAAAAGATCCTCAAGGATACAAAAAGTATATGTGTCCGGTTACTGTTCGTTGGCAACAATTAGAATTTTTGAAGAAATGAGATGACACACGGAATTTTATTACAAAAAAGACACGATATTTACGCAGACGACCTAGATTGTTTAATAAGAGGGATTAGTCAGACACAGTCGTTTTTTTTTTTTCTTTTTTTTTTTTTTAAAGAAAAAGAGAGAAAAAAGACTTACTTGGCCCATTCCACACGAAGAATCAAATTATCATAACCACGTCCGTCAATAGCCTCCAATGCACGTTGAGCATCCTCACGCATTGTGAAAGAAACAAAAGCGAAGCCCTTGCAAACATTGGTCTCGCGATCACGTGCCAAGAAGACGCGGGAGATGTGACCAAAGCGCTTGAATAATTCTGACACATCGGCCTCGGTCGCATCCTCTGACAAATTGGTGACACGGAGCGTGGGCTGCTCGTCGCGCTTTTCGCGGATCGTCTCGCGATCCTTGGAACCACTTGCTCCAGCACGCATGTGGGGGGCAATGTACTTGCCACCGGTCTGCTGCTCTTCGGGAGCTAGTAATAAAAAATAAAAATAAAAATAAAAATAAAAAAAAGAGAGAAAGGAGAAAAGTTTGTAAGATACATTGTAAAAGTGTAAACGAACCTTTTTTTTTTTTTTTTTTTTTTTTTTCTGCTTCCTTACCAGGTTCTTCGGCGGGAGGAGGAGTACTGACAGCAGCAGTATCCTCCATACCGAGCGAATCCTTGTATGGACACTTTGTAGTGAAATGGTCGCCCTTGCAGATACGGCAGAGAATCTTCTTGTTCTGGAGCTGCTGTTTCATGGCCTCGTGCTTCTCATCCACATCCTGAACAATCTGTCCGGTCGAAGAGAGTTTCAACTTGATGTTATCACCGACATTCGTCGTTGCTGGATCAGGACCAGGGCGGTTTCCTTTTTCCTTGCCGAATTTAGGCCATTTCTGTTTTGGACAAAAAAAAAAAAAAAAAAAAAAAAGTATTAGTGGTAATGAAAATAAACAAATTAAAAAAAAAAAAAAAAAAAAAAAAAAACCTATTTTGTTACCTTGCGAGTAGCAACAGCCTTGTTGACGACATCATGAATCAACTTCTTCTGAGTGCGGCGAGTAATCTAGCATAGGAGAGGTTTTTTTTTTTTTTTTTTTTTTAAAGGAATATTATATTAAGTTCCAGTCAGTCAGACAGACCATGGAGAGAGAGTAGAAAGGCGTTTTGTTTCTTTCTAAAATCTACTTTAAGAGCTGGATTCCTTTGATTCTCGGGCTTTACGTCCATGCTATTTTGGTGGCGTGAAATACTTCTCACTACGTTTCATAAACGTCATGGGGCATCAATAACTTATCATTATTACTATTATTATTACTTAGAGTCCTGTATCGTGCGTCCTGTTATCCAGTATTCAATATTCAGTCCTTGGTTCTGTTGCTTTTCTTCAATGTCAACTTGAAATCCATGGGAAATGAACTCTGCTTGTGTTCCTGAGACATAATCGATAGTCTTTTTTTTTTTTTTTCCTTCCTTTTTTTCTTTCTTTTCGTTTTCTTTTTAGAAAAAAAAAAGGGGGGAGGGAGGAAGAGAGAATCAGGCGCTTTGAGTACCTTGACTTTCTTGCCATCCTCGTTAGTCTTATATTCAATCGTAGTGGTGATACCATTGGCATCAGTGAAGGTCTGAGGCATTTCTTCGCCATCGACCTCATCGGCCCAGTTCGTGGCAGAGGAGACAGGCATGATTATGGTGTGTATCTGTGTCGGTGATGAGAGAGGATGATTATGATGTATGCAGAAGGCTTTTTTTTTCCCTCCCCTCTGCCTTCACTCAATTGTCAGGGCAAAGGTAAGAGGAAAAAAAATAACAAACCCTATATCACGTGGATATCCCCGTCTCTAATATACATGCATAGAATAAAGCTATTGTCTTATGCTGCCTAGTGAAGTACTTGCCCAAGAATTAATGAAATGGCAATCCTTCCTGTGACGTAGACTTCTTTTTTTTTTTTTTTTTTTTTTTTTTTCCAAAAAGGTCACTTTCGAGCAAATCTTTAAATCTTCCCTCTCCCCTCGCCTCTCAGCACTTCTCACCTACATCTTTTTTAACTTTCAACAATTATTAATACATTTATTAAAAAAGAAAAAAAAAATGACTTCTGCTGTCTCAACTGCCACACACCGTGCTCAAGTTTTAGGCTTGTATCGTAACTTGTTGCACTATTCCTCTCGTTTTGCAGCATACAACTTCCGTGATTATGCCATCCGTCGAACTCGGGATGGATTCCATGCAGCAAAGAATGAAACTGACCCGGACAAGATCCAGGCCTTGATTCATAAGGCTCAACAACAACTCGAGGTGGTCAAACGTCAGGCATTCATCTCTCAACTCTACAGTGGCGAAAAGCTCGTTTTGGAGACTCCCAACCATCAAAAAATCTTTAGGAAACACTAAAGTATATACATATTCATAAAAACATACCCTTTCAACCGACTATCCTCAAGGCAATACAAAGAATGGAAGGAAGGAAGGAAAAAAAAAAAAAAAAAAAACCCCCAAAAGCTTAAAAAGCTAGTACTTAGGGCCCAGGTGGTAGATGTGCGCAGGAGGAACATCTCTCACAACATGCAAGATACAAGATACAAGATACAAGATGATAAAGCTTCACCCCTCATCTCTCTCTTCAACTACGTTATTTCTTCATCAGTTTCTAAAAAGCTAAACCTGACCGACCTTTTCTTTTCTTTTCTTTTTTTTTTAAACATCCTTTATCATCCCAAATGATGGGGTTTTTTTTTTATTATTATTATTATTACATATACTCTCTAACTTGCTCCACTTGTACAATAAAGCATAAGAAAATAAGGATAACTTTTTTTTTTTTTTTTTCCTAAAAGTCATTTTGATCTGATATTTCTTTGCTGCGCTGCGGTTGAAAGTAGAAAATCAATTGGCCCAAAATTTATTTCTTTTTATGGATGTGATCAAAAAGAAATCTTGAGATCTGTTTTTGTGATTGATGTATGGACCGCCACCAAAACATAAAAAAAATGATTGGATATTGTGTCGCTATTGAGTGCAGACCCCTCCCTGCATCTGTTAAAAAGTTCATTGATCATGAGCAGGAGGAGGAGGAGGAGGAGGAGGAGGAGAGGGGGAGAGCTATAGGTATCCTGACAGCTAAGAAGCAAGCGCCTTTTTTTTTTTTTTTTTTTTTTTTGTTTTTTTCATTCTGTCAGGAGTTTATACGATACATAAAGTTTTTTTTTTTTTTTTTTTTTTTTTTTTTCCTTTTGTAGATCATAAACAGACGTAAGTTGTTCTGTTACTGCTACTGTTATTGTTGTGGCTGCTGTTGCTGTTGCTGCTGGCGTTGTTGGGATGATTGGGGTAAAGGTTGATCTTGAGGAAAATAGCTAGACATGGCGACAAGTGTTGGAAAGGGTGTTTGACCAGCAGGACCCTGTTTAATGAAGATTGAAAAATGTAAACAGCTTTGATTTGACAGGAAAGCAAAACACGAGGCGCACAGACATATTCGAAGAAAGGTGGGGGAGGAAGGGTTTTTTTTAACCTCCTTTTTTTACCTTGGTGAAAACAAATGATATGCCATCCATGTTCTGAGACCAAACTATTCAATCGCAGTATTAAAATAATAAAGGTCAGTGACGCGCGTTATTGAGACGAAAGATTATGCATAAGAATGGGTAAAGACGATATTTATAGTCAAAAGAGAAATGTTTACCATGTTCTTTATCCTCCTTTCGTAGGTTGCTGATTTCACTGATACTATTGTTGAAGCATTCTGGATGCAGGGTGTTCAATCCCTTGCTGTGTAAAGAATCATTAGATTATCAGCTTAGATGATAGAACAACTGGTGATTGCTGCAGACGATGATGATATTGTTGTTGTTATTATTATTATTATCACGAAGGACTCCTTACAATGACGGGAATTGAATGCTTTTGAAAAGAAAACTACGGTTACAAGGCGACATGATTTCTATGTTTTTTTTTTTTTTTTTTTTTTTTAAGAAATTGAATTTCTGTCAAAAAACTTTATTACACGCGTTTACATTTTTTTTTTTTTTTTTTTTTAAAAAAAAAAAAAAAAAAAGCTAATATGATGTTTGGATCTTCACCTTGATTATGCGGTTTTTGATGGTGTCCTGCACGTAACATTACTTATTAATTTTTTTTTTTTTTTTTTTTTTTTTGTGAATAAAAAAAAAAAAAAAAAAAAAAGAAAAGGGACAATGGCTATGACGTTGTAATGAAAACTACAGTAAGTTGAATCAAATTTAAGGCTTTTATATATATATATATATATATATTTTTTTTTTTTTTTTTACGGGAAGGCAGTATAGATGGAGAGAAGGAGAAAAGAGAAGGAAGGAGGAAAGATGGGAAGGAGTAAAGGAGGACAGGAGGACAGGAGGACAGGAGGACAGGAGATGAAAAGAGAGCACGAAAAAAAAAGTAAAAAGAAAAGAATGGACGTTAAGATTGAAGTTAAAAAAATAAACTGGGAAAAGAGGTAGAGGGATGAGGGAAAGGCTTTGCAATCGTTGGTGAGCTATTGAACTGTTGAAAAAGAAAAGAGGAGAAAACAAAAGACACGGTGTGTTAGGGGGTGAGGACGGGGAGATGCATTAAAAATAAAGATTAAGGAGGTTTGCGTTGGGGAAATAATAGAAATGATCGCCGCCAAGGTTGGTTGGAACAAAAAGAGTTTTTTTATTTATTTTTTTTTTGCCAAATCGGCGGTTCTCATCGTTTGTGTCCTTCTACTTGACATCATCCGGCATAGAACAAAAGAAATGAGTGGTAGGAAGGGAACTTCAGTGCATGCGTGCGTGAGAAAGAGACAGAAGAATGGGAAATCACCATGCTACAAATACCAATTTCTAGGCTGGATAAGAATCTATCCTAGCACTCATTCCTACCCTCACCCTACTTCGTTCCCCCTTCCCCTTGCTGAGACACTTCTTTTTAGACGCGTAGGGGAATAAGAGGCATCAATTGAAATTGGGAACTTGGAACGAACAGGATCAGTAGAAAGCATTGAAGTAACTGTTAGCATCTGTGTGCTGTTGTACTCATGGATCAGGGATATCCAAAGCTAATTGAGAATAAAGTGATGATCTAGTGCACTATGGGAGAAGTCAAAGAATGTTTGAATGCATACTATATGATATCCATATTGGATCATCTCAGGTTAGCTGACAGCCTTTTTAAAAACATTGTGTAGTATCCACTATCTTCAAGATGGACTACTAATGGCCCAAGTCGACAAGGCACTGTGCTTATGTTTCAGAATATGTCTGCTCTCTCCAAAAAAGGAAGCAAGGATCCGATGCAAAAGAGAGAGATTTCTTACGAAACTAACCAAGTTCGAATACATCTGGAGCTAACTGGCAGACAGCCCTCGTCTGGAGCTATGAAGGTAACGCGAATGTATCTGGCGGGCTGAGTGCCTTGACCAATCCAATCTTGTCCACGCCAAATTGAACCATGAGCAAGTGATTCTCAGCAAATTTTTACACGCCATATATTTCTGGTTCAACACGTCTAGCACATTAGTAGTCTTTTCTTTCATTCCTTTCTTTCTATTTTACTCTATTCTATTCTATGAGAACATCTTTGCGTAGGCTTTCTTTTCCTTCTCACGTTTGGCGGTCAGCTTTTGTTGCACAACCTCTAATTCTTTCAACACTCCTGCATCCTTAGGTGAAAGTGCTTTGGCCTGATTCAAATCCGCCTTCGCGCTCTCTAAATCGTTGCTCTTCAAGTATGCAGATCCGCGTCTGAAATAAGCCTTTGCCTTTTCTGCATCCGAAATATACTGAGGATCAAATTCCAAAACTACTGTCATGTCCTTGATCGCTTCCTCAGGACGCCCTAGCTTCAATGCACAGAATCCTCGATTAAGATAACAGGGGACTTTGACTGAATAAAACTCCTTGATCAGCTCAGGCGCATCATCATCATCAAAGACAGGCTTCTCGTTCAGATACCGGATCGCTTTCTTGTACTTGTTCAAGGCCTTTCCATAATCTCCTGCTTTGAAGAAGTTATTACCAAGGTTCTTGAGGTTTTGTGCAATTGTAATCAAATCCTTATCTTCCTTGGATCCTTCATAATCATCTATTGGTGGAAAGAGAAATAAAAGCCAGCATATGAATGCAATTACAGAGTTAAAAAAAAAGGGCCCATGTGCCTTCATTACTCTTAGACTCATGCATTCTCATTGTTTCCATTAAACTAACCTGGCCAGTCTGCATAGTTATCACCAGCGTCCGGAGAAGCAACACCATCATCTTGACCCTCTGCGAGCTCACCGCAGTCTGCAATGATCACAGGCGATACTGGTGCATCGTTTTCCTTCTTGGGGGTTCTTTCGATCTCACGGACAACAGATTGACCTTTGAGGACCTTTCCAAAGACCACATGCTTTCCATCCAAATGAGGGGTGGGAACAGTTGTAATAAAAAATTGTGCTGTTGATTTCAAAGAAAAAGAAAAACAAAAACAAAAACAATAGTAAAGTTAGATCACCATAGATGTGTACGGGATTTCCAAATTCACCGATAAAGAAAAAGCAGGAAAAAAAAAAAAAAAAAAAAAAAACATACATCCGTTGGTTCCAGGCCCTGCATTAGCCATTGACAACAGGAAGGGCTTGTCGTGCTTCAGTTCAAAGTTTTCATCCTCAAATTTAGCGCCATAGATCGATTCTCCACCCTGTCCATTCCTTGCTGAGAAGTCGCCACCTTGGATCATAAAATCCTATATATTTGTAATTCATTATCATTATCTATTAGATGCAAGTACTTTTTTTCTTTCTCTTTTTAATTTCTCTTAAATAAAGAATGTTAATAATCCTTACGCGAATAACACGGTGGAAGGGTGCACCCTTATAAGTCAGTGCCTTGCCAGTAGTCGCTCCCATACCCTTCTCGCCTGAATAGGAAAATTTTTTTTTTTCTTGGTCAAAATCCTTAGAATTCAATATACTATGTAAATATCAAAAGGGAGATAAAAAGTAATCACTACCTGTGCAAAGTGCACGGAAGTTCTCAGCAGTCTTGGGGACGACATCTGCAAACTAATATGAATTGAAGATAAAAAAAATTAATAAGTATTGAAGACAGATCAAACCAACAAAAAAAATAGATAGGCCTTTATTTTTCTCGATTATGAAAGGAATTATCTTACCAATTCGAACACAATACGTCCAACAGCCTCTTGTCCAATGGTAATATCAAAATAAGTACGTGGGTTTGGCATGGTGTCTTTAGTAATGAATGGAATTTCGGAAAAGTTGTGTGGAATGAGGTGGAAACAATTGCTCCGTTTTTATATGACCCCCTGAAACTGAAACATAGACGATTCTCGAAAAAATATCACGTGAAGTTCTAGCGCGCGTTCATTGGCTGGAGACGCGTCCGCCCCAAAGCACAGCCACCTTTCAAAAATCGACGCAAAATTATAAATAATATTTTATTATATATTTATAATGAATCTATTTACAAAGGAGTGCAAACTCCACCATCAGGCAGAAGTGATCACTAGAAAAGTTTTCGTCGGGTAACCCATGGCCCAAAAAGCTCTGATCCGGGACTTCCAGGAATTTGAGAGGTACCAGGCGTGCACCATTCTCAGGAAGGGGTTCGTCTAAAAGATACACGTAGTCAAGCGTATCCTTGAACCATGTTGCAAAATTGGTGAAAATGGGCTCCCCGTGGGTATGGTGAGTGTGTGCTTTGGTAGCTGTTGTATTTCCTGTATCAGTTTTTGCTGCCGCCCCAGCACTCACTTGTGCAGGATTGTCTTTGATCAATATTTCGTATTGTCCGTAAATACTGATGCAACGTGGAGAGGCTTCTATTGCGGCCTTTAATTCTTGTGGAGGCGTAAAAGCCTCAATGGGTGCAATGACCCTTGCGTCCTCCCCACTCTCATTGTTGGCAGCAGAAGTAGCATCTTTCTCAGCAAGCTTCTTGATCTTGGGGTCCTGCGACGACGCAAAATCAGCTGCGTTAGCAATAGTTGAGGAAGACTGATCCGTTACTACAGACGCAGTAGCACCTTTTTGTTTGGGCAGCAAAATACCCCTATGTGGGGCACGATAAGGCAGATCGGATGTCTCTTTCTCAATTTTTGTATCGTTTTTACTACTAGGATCATTGCCTGAGCCTTCGAGATCTAGGTTTTCTGCTTTTGCCGTCAGTTGGTCTATCTCATCACTGTTTACTTTCAATTCACCATCAGTCCCTTTTGATGTTGTTTTTGCTGCTGCCGCCTCCTCCTCACGAGCGACCTCATTCGTAAGCCATGTTTGTAAATCAGGTATCTGTTGAGGAGGCATCTCATTCCTTGTCATAGCACGATATGCTGCATCGCGTGGTGTTGTGTTGAAATCTAAAATCGATAATGCCGGGAATCATTGTCAGTAAGAGTGATAAGTGCATTTTTTCATATATCTATAAAAAAAGGTACACATATTTACCTCCGCCAAGTAAGACAGTGTACTTTAAATCCTCATTCCATTCCTTGATCTTTTTAAGGAAAATAGACGCCTGACGAAGGCGCTCATAGGATCCATCAGGTCTCCAAAACAGATGAGTCTATTAGTTGCAATGAATATTGATACAATTAGTAAGCTTTTTTTTTTTTTTTTTTTTTTTTCTCCCTCTTGACATCATTGAGCCTGTAATTGATTCCCCAAAGCACTCATCATATTCATGCATTTATGCAGCTTACTGTGGCTACAAGTATCCCTCCAGGGGTCCCAGCCACCTCTCTTTGCGGACAAAACGCATTCACACTAGCGGTAACATCCTTTTGTCCTTCTTTTTCCTCATCCTCATCAGGAAGGAGCATGTCTGCGTTGGGATCTGGGTTCTCGGCAGAATGTTGCACAGGTCGTAATCCCACCATCAGACCAATGTTACCAGTCAAGAAAGTAGGCTGTCCGACATCATCGTACTCAATAGTGGCCTGGTCGACTTTTTCGAATCTTATATTGGGGAATAAAGAAAAAAAAAATTAATGTTTTCTCGAGGGGTTTTTTTTGTCGCTATTCTTATTACAAATATGTATATTACCTTGATTTGCGCCAAACGATGGCGCAGCCGTGTTTTTTGTTCTGATTCTTGTAAAACACGCTTTCATAGCCAGATTTAGTTAAGGCCGGGAGATAGAATTCATCCCAGAAATCAACCTCTTGCAAACATGCGAGATCAGGTCCAAATTCCAAGAACTCTTGTAACAAGTTCTGACGACGGAATTTCCAACGGAGAGCCTTCTGACTCGCATGTGGAAACATGTCTCTACGTACCAAGGCCTGTGCCAACAGCTGAGAAAGTAAGAAGACAAAAGTAAATTAAAGAAAAAAAAAATGTCAGTAAGGGGGCATAAATGGCAAAATGTTCTCGAAAGGAGGACCGATTTTTCTTTTTCTTTTTATTTTTTACGTTATAGGTCATAAAGAGAAAGCGATCCTTCTTCTTGCGCAGCCGGATAGGGCTCTCGCCTTGAATTAGCTCTTGTGCGCTAGGCAGAGCAATCATTCGCCTGTGAGGTCGGGGCATGACAAAAAGTAGGGAATGTAGTAAATGAATGGAGGGGTCTTTTTTGTTGAATGAAAATGAATGGAGAGAGAAGAAAAAGACTCCTACAATATCAAAGTCTGATCTCTATATCTCTAGTAGTCACTGAAGAATAAAGATCAATCGATAGACACTACACGACGAGAGGATAATGAGGCCCCCACAGATCATTCAAATATCTCAAATACCTTTTCGGGTTTCTTTGTTCTTTACTCATGAGCTCGCTCCAACGTCTCCAGTAGGAATGCGCAAATCACGTGATATATTATTCTTAATCTTTAACTTCTTTTTTGAAGAAGAAACAACCTTTTATTTTAGTTTGTTTGGATCGGGATGCAGATGCAGAACCAGGAGGATTCGACATTGCTCTCATTCCGACGGGCCATTGCATCTCATCTCTCTGAGGCGCTCGGCAATGGCTTGCCTGCAGCGACGTTACTCCCGCTTGTCCAACACAACACAGGCCCAATAAGAGAATCTCATAGTGTATTCTCGGTCGTCCTCATCCTCCTGCGTCGGACAATATCTGGAGCAAATCTGGAGGAAGACACACTAGATAGGTGTCTAATCTTATCGCCAGAAGCCCAGAAATGGATCTCTCGCATCCGCAAGACCAAGGATATGCTTCTTTTTGATCCAGTTCCTCTACAATTGATCCAGCTAACCGTCAAACAACTGATAGATAATACTACAGTCACGACCACAACTACAGCTGCAGTTGCTAATATTGATAACACCTTTGGATCATATCTTGGTAAAAGGCCTCGAGATAACGACCGAACAGTGATTGTAAATGGATCCATACTTCAATCAGATCAAAATGGCTACTGCGCTCTTCGAAGAACAGTCCTGGCAGGATGCATTGCAAGACTTCTGAAGAGCTCATGTCCATCATCATCTATCAACGTCATTATGGAATACCCAACCCGTAAGTTTTTTTTTTTTTTTTTTTTTTTTTGATATTATCACTCTTTAATGTAAGTGGTCTTTTCTAATAATGAATAGTCTTTTTTTTTTTTTTTTTTTTTTTTGTTACAGTTGGTGAGATAAGTGAAGGGATTAGAGGGTTACTTCGTGGATTGGATCTGATTAATGGAGTCCCAGACACAGCATGGTCCGAGGAATATCTTCAAATCATCAAAAATGCATTTCAAACCAATGCAGACATCAAAGCTCAAATCAAGGAAGACGGGTCTTGGGTAGTTGACTTGACATCGCAGCAACTTGGTCAGGTCAAGGTCTTTTCCAGAAACCCCTCCCCTGATGCGCCCGATGGGACTGATGGTAGGTCGATGGTGGAAGAACCTACAGCTGTCATTTGGGTACTGATCTCATTGGTATATCAATTCCATCAGTACGAATACGATCGATTAGTCTGGATAGTTGCTAATGGTAGACGACAGGTTGCAGAGCAGGTGCTGTTTTTGGCAAAGGCCATATTTTCTAACCCCGGAACTAGCGCTGATGAAACGGTAGCGGAGACTCAGGACCAAACTAAAGGTGGGATTCCAAAAAATGATGACAATAGATTCCACAGGAATAAAATGATAATGCCTTGGACGGATAGGATTGAAGTCCTGTATTTTGGATTCGTAACTGGAACGGATATTTGGAAGGATAATGAAGAGTTGGAACAAGGCTTGAAAGGGATTGTAGACTATACGAACAAGCGGATGGGAGAGATTGTGGTTGAAAATAGAGGGAAACCAGGACGAGGTATTGGGTATGGCGATGGTGATATTGACGGTCATAATGGAGAAGATGACGTGGAGCCAGCGCTAGATGAAGCTGCACTGACAAGGATGGCTAGAATTTTAAGCGAGTCTGCACTTGCATTTGAAAGCGTGGGCGGCAAGCGGATACGGAAGCTTCTTGTGGACATGAGTAGGATCATGAATGGCAAGGGCAATTCAGGCGTATTCTTGCAATACGTCCATTCAAGGCTTTGTGGGTAAGGACGATTCTTTTTATATATACGTATTTAAGTTAGCCTGGATAGATGAAGGATCGGGAGCTTATTGTTAACACTGCGCTTCCTTGCTTCGTCTCTTTACATATATTTGTTTTGTACTTTTATTGTTTTTCAAGTATCGAACGAAAGTCGAACGTACGGTACAATCCTGATGCAGATCTCTCGCTTGTTCAAGGGTATACTGAAGCATTAAATTTGTGTCTGGTCATCGCAGAATGGCAAGATATCCTTTCTATGCTACAGGGTACATTGGATCCCTTTATCCTTGTCTCTCATTTGTTCCGCCTTGCAACAGAGATTAGTCAGGCTAACCGAGTATTACGTGTTAAGGATATGGAGCCAGCAGTGGCTGAAGCACGGTGGTTACTATTTTGGGCTGCAAAACAGGTGCTAGAACAAGGGTTAGGGCTCCTTGGTTTAGAATTTGTAGAATTCATGTAGTCTAAAGATAAATATGATAGCACAGCAGCCCAAATGAAGAAGAAAAACTGCATAGTGTTTTTTGCCTTTGCCAACGAGTTTAATTTAGCTCATGAATCAGACGCGAGGGGCTTTTTGAGTAATAGGTTGTAGGGGTAAAAGCAATTGGCTTTAGGTAAGAGAATGACACGATATTTATCCGCTGAGAAAGTTATCATTGTTACTGAATAGATGCCTCTGTGTGTTGATTGTTCGGAAAAGACAGGAGAAAGAAAAGTACCTTAAACTAACTTGGCAGACCGAAAGTAAGACAAAAGTTTATGCACGGGCTTTTTTCTTTTTCTTTTTCTTTGAGTGGTCCTTCCTTCCGAAGTAGACACATCCGATGATTGAGAGCCACTCGAATATTACGGTTGCGCAGTGCATGCAATTTTAAATCGATAATCTTAAATTCTTTTTTTAATGATCATCCATATAAATAAACCAACAAACTTTTTTTTTTTTTTTTTTAAAGCACTTCGCCCAAGTTTTATTTACTATCCAAACAACATATACCAATGGCAACCCTTATGCTTCGTCTTCGGCCTCAAGTTCAGGTTTCGTTTCGTCGTTATTTCGCCTCGATTCCTCCTTCCGAATCCTTGCAATCTTCGGCATCACAATCCGCCTCTCCTCAAGGTCCCAGTGCCCAAGAGAAATCTGCTCCACACTCCAAGAGCAGCAATCATGACCAATCTTCCAGTCAACAAGCATCATCCTCCGAGTCAGACGCAGACGTGAACCCGCTCTTACTACTCCTTCGGGGACACAAGAACAACAAGGGAGCGATTGCAGCACTTATTGTTGCCGCTGCCAGTGCAGACATGGCCTTCACGTACACATTCTTCAATAAGCGAAAGGATCCTCAGGAGGCCCAATCCGATATAGTCTTTGTTATCGAGGACCAAAAATAAGAGCCTTGCAGCCATCATGATGAAGAGACCGTACTACAAACAACCAAGCCAATACCGATTTCCAAGATGAAAAAGGCGTATCATTTGATATGACAAAAACTCCCCACTCTTCCTTGAAACAGAGATAATTTAAACACTTTACTGTTTTTATTGTGCGTGATCCAAACAAATAACAACCTCCCCACTCTTATTTTGTGACAAAAAATAAAATAAATCAGCCAACGTCAATCTATTCAAACACACAAAAAACATCATTGATGTGTTGATGTGTTCTCGGCGCTGTCAACTACATCTGATTAAGGAGGGAACTGCTATCCTATCGACTTTGATATCAAACGCGTGTTTTCGCCTTGTTTTTAAAATATAAATATAGAAGGCATGGCAACAAAATACCTTCACTGCCCCGTATTAAAAGACAATGGAGAAAAGAACTAGACAATAACAGAAAAAAAAGTTATGTCATAATAATGGACTCTTAATACACTAGTAGATGCACAAGGTTCACGAGTTCTAGTGTATAACAAGGGGGGTCCATTGTTTTTAGTTTTAGTTCAACGGTTATCCAAATAAAAAAAGCCATTATTTACTAGGGTACAAATGAAATGCGCGCATAAAAGCACAGAGAGAATGGATACTCTAGGACATAAAACCAAGAAGACGCGATAATGCCTGTTGATAGGGGCCCCCCCAAAAAAAAAGACATACACACTAAAAAAAGGTCAGCGAGCCCAGGATCTGTTTTTTTTTTTTTTTTTTTTTTTTGAAGTATAGATTTTTTAAATAGTCAGCCTGGGGTCGCTTTCTTTATGGGCGTTTATGTGCTCTTTTTAACTTTTTCAAGATCAAGATTTGATTGTCCAATGCATAAAAAGTCCAGACTGACTTTAGAAAAAGGGGATCCAGTTCAGACCCTCATTTTCCTTCTTTAGAGAAAAGAAGGAGGCCATTGGCTGCTCTTGTTTGCACTACTACGGGTATTCGAGTTATTTTAATTGATGCGATACGACGAATTTCCATGATGAAATGACCGTGTGGGTGAAGAAAATGTCAGTGCTCAGAGGATGAAAATGGATCTTTTTTTTTTTTACGTTGCTTTCCAGCTCAAAAGTCTGAGCAAAATAAAGAGCAGACAGGACATGTAATGGTATTACATGATAATGTTTTAAAAAGAGAGAAGGCATTGGTTTATTATATAATATAAAACGCGTTTGTTTGTGCAATGTTAAACATGGATAGAGTTGTTAGATTAGGAAATGCATGCTTTTTTTTTTTTTTTTTTTTTTTTACGTGGAGAGAAGGGTACCAGCCTTTATTTAGAGGAGGCAAAGGTAAGGAGTATAAAAGATAAAAAAAAGTAAAAAAGATAGTGAGCGAACCAAGGTGAATGAATGAAATTAGCCCTCTCTTCTTTCTCCTCCCAAGTCGATGCATCCATTTTGTTCCATTTCATTCCATCCTTTCCTTTCTCTTCTGATGAATGCATCGCTATTCCTTTAATTCATTTTGATGCATTAGTCAAAACGGAGCACACATTTTTATTTTTGTTTTATTTTTTTGTATATGATTACAATCGTAGTTAGTAATTTATAAATTATTAAGCTGTATAAATCTATGTGGTTCTGGTCGTTTTGAGCAACAAGTAATAAGATATCAAAAACACCATCGATCCATTGTTCCCCCCCGCCTCCCCGATCTTCTTATTTCCCCCTCTTGGCCCATATTTACCCAGTGAAGGGAAAAGAGAAAAAAGCTTTCAGGTACTATTTTTTGTGTGTACGTGCCCTGAGGATTCCAGCAAATGTTGGCAGCAAATGTTTTTAGTTTTCACTCACCTTGCCCCTCACTAGCGATATTCTACCAACCGTGTAAAAAACATGGACCATTTCTCGTATTATTTTTTTTTGTTTCTTGTTTTTGTTTTTCGCTTCCTCAGTATGCTTTAAACTATGGTGCTCCTTGCACACCTTGGCGCTTAAAAGAAAAAGGCTGAACATGATTGTGTTTCCATTGATCTGACTTGCCTTGTTCTCTCTTTCTTTCTCTCTCACACACGCTTACTTTGTTTCTTTCCTATTGCCATCAATACACCAATCCACAGTAAAAAAAAGCTTGCGCACAGTGTTGTTGTAAACAAGAACAGGATCACTTGAAACAGCTTTTTTCCCTCTTCTTCTCCCCTGCTATTTTGACCAATATGGATTCAATTGTATCGACGCCTACAGCCTCCGGATCAAGCGAAGCAGCGGGCTATTTCAATTCAATGTAAGTTGACTTTGACGCGTTTTGTTCCCAAGGATAGTGTGTTCGAACTAATACAGTGTTGACTGACCATGATACACCCCTTCTGTCTGTCTGGCCCTTCTTTTTTTATTTTAAACTCAATGGACACACACATCTGATGCGTTATCTGTTGCTTACTCGTGTCCCCTTCCTCTTCCCATCTACTCCACCCCTCGCTCGCGCTTTGAAAACTTCCGTTTGTGGGGTTATTCATTTGTTGCGTTGAATGGCGCGTCTCTTGAATCTCTCCCCTTTTTTTTGCGTTACTGTGTACCCCTGCACCTCCACCTTGCACCCTGTGCGCTTTTTTTTTTTTTTTTTCTGCATGCACACAGTCCATTGATCACATCTCAAGATCCTGAACATGCAGCAGTAACAACAACCCAGGAAGTGAAAACAGGGAATGCATCATCAATGCCAAAGATAGATCCATCACCAATAACAAGTTCAGGCCTAGTACCGGAGGCTATGACACAGGTCGACACCATATTCTCTTCTTTAGAGTCCACGCCATCATCGCCGTCTTCGCCATCATTGTTCTTGCTAACAGAGGTCTCCGAATTAGCAGCCAACATACCACTCCTTGTTGAATCTAACTCTGGCCAAGATCAAGGTAACTCCATTAGACGGCAGAAGGAACGCCAAGGTGACAACCTACAACGAGCTGTTGTGAATTGTAATATTGGTCAGACAGTCGTTAAGGATAATGAGTTTTCGGTTGCACAGATGAAAGCTGTATTTCCAACGAGCCTTTCACATTCATCTTCTGCGTTTCCCTTCCCCTCCTCGCACAAACCACTCTCGAATCATCCTCCGTCTTTGATTTCAACAAAACCACTCATGATCTCGGGTGACACAAAAACCACACCGTCCCTATCCACGTTCGCGGCAACAGAAGAAAAAGCAGCGACTGTGATCCCTTCATCCTCTTCTTGGACAACAGCAACAATGACAACAACAGCAACAATCAACACTACCACCGCTGTGGCCTGTCATCCCGTTACTGAAGCTCGATCTGGAGTGATTGCCTTGGCCATGAGCACATCATCATCACCTTTATGGTCCCCCACTATTGTTTCTCAGAGACCAAACGCTTTTGATGCTGAAGAATACAATCATCACGACAATAACATGACTGAAGCAGCGGTAACAGTATACCCATTCAGGCCGAAGAGTGAGGAAAACAACCACTCCAGGGGTATCTATACTAACAAAGGGTATGACCGGAGTTTTCACCCTCTTTCACCATCCACGGCTACAACTTCATCTACGGATCATTTTGCGCCTTTCATTCTTCCTCCCATTCCTCCTTTCTCTGAAATTGGCTTGACGTTTGATAAGAGTCGGACGGACAGCGGTGCCGGAAGCATGAGCCAGGATCAGCAACGACAACAGCAGCAGCAGGAGCAGGAGCTATGTTGTAGTCACGGTCAACAAGATGATAACGGTGGCTCCCTGTTCACAGTGGAAACCAGTCTGACTAAAAGGGAACACACTGGAATGAATGAACACCAGCAACAGCAGTGCGAGTCTAAAGAGAGATTTGACACATACAGCAGCAGCAACAACAACAGTAGACTCGACAATAAGGATATTCATCTTCAACATCGGAATACTATAAACATGGGTATAGAGGGATTTGTGTTTGATTACGATCCATCGATCTTTGATTACATTCAGTCTGACGAAAATGAAGCCTATATTCTCTGGAATAGCCCTCTCCCTATTAACAACAGTGGAGTAAGTTGTGATACTACTGGTCCGCTCCCTGTAGTGCCGCAAGGCACGCTCAAAAGCAGCAATTCAGGCAATTATAATAACGATGGTAATAACGGGCATGCTGCTACGAGCAGCCCCTCTTCCGTGATAGCAGGTGCTAACGGTCAGCAAGCAACAACAGCAACAACAGTAGTAGAGCGCCCGTTACCCTTTTCACCAGCTTGCTCAAGCGCAGTCACAGCCTCAGTCTCTGTTGTTAAACGGTGGTCTGCAGGAGATATCTTCAAACCAAAAGAAAAAGGGAGAGACTCTTTGGAGAATGAGAGCACGGGAATAGGACCAAGCATAGGGACAGGGATAGGGATAGGAACAGGCGTTGGAGCCTCCTCAGAGAATGCCAGGGCTAGCAGACACACACCTACCAACAGTAATCACAGTAACAGCTACTATAACGCTGACGCTTCTAACAATAATACTAGCAATGGTTTATTCTCAACTGCCTTACCAGGGCTTTCGAAGCCTCTCGAGCGCCTGGGAGGGTCAATCACTCGATCAGGCTCTTTAAGAGGCAAACCATCAGCTACTAGCTCCAATCCTACAAATAATGGGACTAATAACCCATTGAATCCCCCAGGAGAGCGTATCATCATGGCAGCTACTGTCGAGAAGCTGGTTGAGAAGCTTACAAGCGATATTGGTAAGGAAAAACACATACACCCAAACAGAGGCAAATATAAAAAGGCGACAGTAACAATAGCAATCATATTTAATTAACGCCGCATTCAATAACTCCACTTGTCATTATTCTCAATTCAAACAAACTAGACTACACGTTTCTTACGGACTTTTTCCTCATCTACCGGCTGTTTATTTCACCTTTGGCACTTCTGAAACTGCTCTTGGCACGTTTCTATTGGGCTTTGATTGAGGATGAGGGCGCCAACGCACCACAGCGTCAGGTCGTCCGAGTCCGAACATTTGTGACAATACGACATTGGCTACTGAACTACTTTGAATACGATTTCATGGGATCCAAAGCTCTAAGGCGGACGCTGGTTCAGTCTTTGAAATCTCTAGCAAATCACCCAATTATTTTGACGAGTGTTCGAGATGAGCGAATCATTAGGGAGCTACGTCGTTTGTTTCAACTCAAACGTAGACTATATTGCCGGGAAGCCGCTCAGGTGACGCTTGAGGAAAAACAATGTTCTTTTCCTTTGACGACTACAGTGCCTGCGACTGCTGTAAAACAAGGTATATTATCATGTCAGCAGTCGGCGTCGTCATTACTTCGGAAGCAGCATGTAAATCAAGGTAAGCCGTAATAACCTCTGACAATACCAAAAAAGGATTGGTTGTTGCGATACTTGCTACAGACAAAAAATGAAATGAAAAATAAAAGCCTTTTATTTTAAAACATGACTCCTCCTCGATTTGTACATCTTGCTGATCATGTCCAGTCTGGCTTTCTTGTCACGTTTTTTCTTCTCCGCCCTTCTATACCAGAATGGACACAGTCTATTCCTCAACAACAACAACTACAGGAGCCCATACCATCTACCGAGCGTAATGTAGGATGGGAGCAAAATAATGAAAAAATGGAAAACAATGTGTTATCTGGTAATGCGATATCTAATGACGCATTTGGAGTACTATCAAGCGATCCACAGGAGGAAGACCTTAATGAAGAACCGGTTCGCTATATGGTCCAGCGAGGGCCAAGGGCTTCCAATAATATCGAACCAACCTATGATGATGAAGACGATAGTGGGACTGATGACACGGATTTTGAAGGCGATGAAATCAATCAGTGTGAAGAAGAAAATCAGGGCACATTTACCAACAGTGAGAATGTTCCTTCACGGAAGTTCTCGATTGACTCTGTCAAATACAAAGAGCCGATGAGTGATTCCCTATCTCGACAAGAGTTAGCTAGGGTTAGTACTGAGCCTATTTCTGATGTAACTTCTGGAAGCCATTATCGCCATCGATCTAGTTGCCTTCATTCAACAAACTCTACTTTAGAGCAGACATCTCATCACTATCGGAGCCATACAATACCTCAAACACATGAAGCCACTCATGCCGCACAGGAACCTTGGCCATTATCTCATAGTGAAGCCTCAATGGAACCATCGCCCTCGTTTGCGCATTCCTCTTTGGATTTATCACGACGACCATCCCTAGAGCCGCACACAAACCTTCCATCGCAGCCTTTAGCCACCGGTATCACCACAGCCCCCCTTGCAGAGAAGAAAAAAATATGGTCACAGTATATGAGTGCCACAGTTGGACAACTTTCTAAAGTCAAGCGTGTCTTCATGCCCAAGCCCTCTCAGTCAGCTCAGGATTTTGATAACCATCATCAAAACCACCAGCACCATTTAATACCCTCTACATCGACATATCTCCAGTTGCAGGGCGCCACAGATGGAGGAAGTGTAAGCCGACTCCGTAAGGGCAGCCGGAAGGCAAATGCAGGGACAGCAAAACATCAGAGTCATAGTGGGCATCGGAGGTCATGTACAGAAGGCAACAATAATGACAATAACAACAGGATTACTACTCTTTCCAGAGAGCCCCTGCAAATATCTCCATCTGCTCATTTAAGTATGACAACAATAAACTCAACGGCTGCAAATGACATGGCCAAACCATCAGACGGGCGACGTCTGCATCGAAATGAAGCAGTGATGGTGAGCCCATATCAAAACCAATACCAAGAGTCGCAATGTTTTCAAAGAAATGGGTGGCCAAGTAGCAACAACAATGATAATCAAGATAATAATGGTGACAGCGATGATTATTATACCAACCACACATGTGCACTAGATTTAAGGCCGGAACTTATAAGCAGGAACCATGACCAGTCCCAGTACCAATATCAAGCCCAACAAACTCAACGGGCATTTAAAAATAAAGGACTCGATCGTCGGCGTTCTTTGCAACTAGAAGAAACTTTAGCTCAGTTCAATAATAGGAGCCCTGGGCACACTATGTTGGACCAAAATAGGCGTCAGTTCTTGGCATCGAAGACTTTGCGGCGTCGCTCCAGTTTACCATTCGATGGACTGATGACTGTCAAAGAGGCACTTCTTCATGAGGCTACTACATCTAGTTATGGGAGGGAAGATTGGGAGCAGGCGGAAATTTATAGATATGAATTCGATGACAAGGAGAGTGAATACAAAGATAAAAAAGAGGCAGGCGAAAAGGCAACAGAAGAGAGAAAGGAGAAGGCAATTGATGATGATGAAAACAGATCTCTAAGCCCTATTTTTGCGCCAACCTTGCCTCCTGTCAGCGATAACAATCAAAGCCGTAGCCTCCGTAGGACCTCGCCAAAGCGGGATGGCGACCGTGCCTCCTGGATGACCTATTCCTCTAGTAGTTCCTCCATCTTTGGCGCTGTGCTTAGTCAGGGACATTTGCCTCCTAGCCAAGTGATTCATGAATACACTGGTCTTGGAAATGTGAGTCGTTTCATGGAGAGCCTTAACAAAGGGGTGCAGAACCTCAGTAGTGGTGGTAACGACGCTCAGGTAGCTCCCACGGCAACATCGACAGGTACTGTCATATCTGCAGCAGGGACTCTAGGCTCTCCATCTCGTTCTGGAGCTATTTCCTCCAATGAGGTGACTAGCTCGACGGATCTAAATATTAAAAGTCCCGTAATAAAGCAACAGCAGCAACATCTCGAGGGCTTTGGCACCAATACACACCCCGGGCCCAGCCCTGAACAAGGCCCTAACTCCAGGAGGAATAGCAGCAAGAGTCGCACAGTAGCCCTGCATCCACACCGTCAAACAGCCTCGATTACGCATCATCACCTTCATCATCACTATCTCCAACATCAAGGTGATGCTTCCTTGGGTCGTGCTCACCCGCCCTCAAGACGCCATTCCGCAGAGGTCCACACCAAGAAGGCTTGGGATACGTCGCTTCCCTTCTTGTCTCAACAGCATCAGGGACAGAAACAGTATCAACAGCAATGCCAGTGCCAGCAACAACCTTTACTAAAGGAAAAGACAAATAGCATTTCCAAAATCTCAGTAACAACTATATCTAGCTCTGTTTCACATCAGAAGAATATAGAAGATGTCAGCAATGAATTCCTGCAAGAAGGGAGATCTAGCGCCACTGCACCTTTAGGTCATCCCCCTAGGAAGTTGTTAGAAGGCGCTGCCTATATTGCTGCACTGGAAGAGACTCAACGCCAACTTAAGTTACTGAACAGCAACCAAGAGAGTCAACAAAAATCTAATCAGAATTCCCGAAATCCCATCCAAGCCCCAATGGTTCTTCCTCATCCACCGGGAAGGCCTCGGAGCAAGGCGCGTCCTCGCCCCCTAGCAACCGTAAGCAACATTGCAGCGCTCCAAGCTAACCAGCCGACTTTTTCACTGTCCCTGACATCTTTATCGAGTACTAGTGATCAGAACAGATCAAGCTCAGATCTACAGGTGCTCAACGTGACTAGCACTAGCAGTGATACAGGATCGGAAGTTACTGCTCCCGCCTCTATCCCTGTCCCTGTCCCTGCCCTTGCTGGTATCAGTGGTGGCACTTCTATGGTAGCACCAATCAAATCGGATCCACCAAAACTATCTCCTGGTTTGAGTCGAGGCCCCAGTGTAGGGGCATGCCGCTTCCATTTACCTCTGCATCATATGAAACAGAGCGACTTTTCTCCCAATTACTACTTCCATCATCTCCACCATCACAGTTACAGTAGTTACGGGAATAGCTTTAGTCAGCAACGGAGTCCCATGAATCCACGGTTCCAAAACATTGTCTCTCCAACGCGCGAGCTTGCAGGGTCTTCCCAACCAACATCACCACCAGTCCCCATGATATTAAGGTTTCGATCAGAGCTAATTGCACAGCAGTTGTGTCTGATTGAGCGTGAGTTGTTGAATCAGGTGCCATGGTATGAATTAGTGAGCGCTGGGTGGAAGAAGAAGAAATCACCAACAGAAGAGGAAGAGGAAGAGGACGCTACCATCTCGATGACTGCATCTGATTTACCTACCATTGCCCCTGCCCCTGCTCCTACTGCTACTCCTGCTGTTACTCTGAAAGACCAAATAATTAAAAAGAATATAATGGATAGTGATACTTCATCCATTTTAGTTGAGCAACAAGTAGGTCAACAACAGACTACTAACGTTAGCAGCGGCACAACAACAACCACGGCAACAAAAATGCGTAGACCAGTCAGCCCTTGGCCATTGAGCCGATCACAGACTGTACAAACCGCAAGGTCTCACACACAACGATTCCCCACCCGGTGTCAAACGAAGGATAGTCCCAATGTGACTCGACTGGTCGACCGGTTCAATTTGGTAAGATGACATGCGCAATGTGCGTCTTATTTTAGTTTATTTCCAACGTCCATGGTTAACTCAATGAACATGTCCGATATACATATCCTGCCATAGATGTGCCGTTGGGTAACGACCGTGATCTTAAAAACAACAGATCTGGAAATGCGAGTCAAAGTGGTTGAGAAGTTTATCAGGATCGCACAAGTATATATTGCTCCCACATTATTCCCTTTTTTTTTTTTTTTTTTTTTTTTTTTCCCTTCCTGCTGTTTTATAATATCTAACCGTTTTTTTTTTTTTTTTTTTTTTTTTTTTTTTTATACAGATTTGCTATTACCACTCCAATTTCAGTACTCTGACCCAGATCATGTTAGCGCTTCAAGTTCATGAAGTCTCGCGTTTAACTCGAACCTGGAGCCGTATCGGATCTCAGGAGATGAAGATCATGCACGAGCTAGAAGAGTTCACATCCATGCTTCATAACTGGAAACACCTTCGCAGTGCTATGAAAGAGATTGCAGATGAATGGGGTGGTGCGACTACTGGTATTGGCAGCATTAGTGGCCAAGATGGGTCAGCAGGAGCTATCTCCAGCTCTTCATTCATGTCTGGCAGTGGCAAGTATCAGAGCCTGAGCTTATTCAGTAAAATGGCAGGCAAAGACAAGGATAAGTCTCAGAACTCTTTCGGCAAGCTAGCACACAACCGCTCTTCATCCTTTGGTAGAATTTCAATTCAATCTATTAGCCCTACTATCACTGCTATTGGCACCAACATTTCAAGCAATACTGGTAGTGGAAATGGAGGAGCATCAATCCCTAGTCACCCTACTATAGCCGCTTCTTCACTCCAAGGAGCCCAGTCATTAGAAAAGGAGCAACCACTACAATGTCAACAACAGCAGGCCTGTGGTGGATGTATCCCCTTTCTTGGAGTATACCTCTCAGACTTACTATATAACACAGAGCTCCCTTCATTCGTGGGGCCTAAAGCGACTCTTAGTTCTGAAGACAATAATCCTTATGTCCAACGTATGCTACAAGCACAGACCTCTATACATCCACACTTACCTCAGATGCTTACAGATCCCTCTCAGAGTACGCCACTTTATAACAGTGATCTTTATTGCATTTCCACTTTTGGTGCTAGTGGTAATGATATAAGCCATGACAGTGGGGATGGAGATTTTACGTCGTCTTCATCATCTTCCTCCTTACCATGGATGGTGAATATGCATAAACACCGAACGATTGCCACAATTATCAAAAGAGTCCTGACTTTCCGAACCATGGCCAGTCGATACCCTTTTGTGAAGGAGACCGATATCTATGAGCAATTGATGGCAATTGAAGCCGTTGATCAGGCTGAAATGGAACGTTTGAGCGAGCTATGCGAGGAAAAGGTTTCTGCATCATCTTCATCTTCCTCCTCCTCTGCTCCGAATCAAAAGTCTGTGCTGGCTAATTAGCTCTTTTGTCAATTGCAAGAACTTGACCTGTTTATTACGCGCTCTGTAGCACAAAAAAATAATAAAAAAAAAAGCTACACTTAATAGAAGACAGAAAGGCAATGTAAGATTATCATGGGTATCCCAACTAGGACTAGACTCCACTGCTCGTTTTTCCGCTAACAAAAAGTTTATTTTATGCACAATATAATATATGCTATTATTCTTAACGGTCATTGACGATATCTTTGCCAGGAAAAGGACAAAGCTGTTCCAGACTAGTGGCAACATGCTTTAATTAACGTTTTTAGCAATGAAGTGTCTCAACCGTAGGTCTCGTGGTAAGACCACCTTGACCCATCAAGACTTAAAGAATAGGCTTCTTCGAAAATGGTAGTCATGGTAAAAGAGGCAGGAGGAAAAAAAAAAAAAAAAGTCGAATAATCAATTTATGATTGATATCAGTATGGCTGAAAAAATGTCCTGGAACACCAATTCTCTTTGTCGCATGAGCCTAATAATTCTGGACCCTCGTTAGAAGGAGGGAGTCTTATGCAGCCGAAGCTTGCGATGATCTGGGGCCTAATAAAAGTGTTTCCAACATTTGTTATCTTCAATTATCAGCTGATGCCTCCTGCATTCGTGAAGCCATGTGGTGCAATGGGCATGGGTTTTGGTCATTATTCCCTGCGCCCGTCCAAAAACATATGAAGTAGAGTGAATGAACCGAAAATAAATTGGATACTGCATGCAAGAAAATGCAGCATTTGGAACTCCTCCCAAATATCAATATTCTTTTGAAAAGTCGGTGTGCATTGGACACATCATTGGAACAGTGTTTATAAAAATAAAATAAAAAATGCTTTATGAAGCCAAATAGGCTTTATTACGTTATATTTACACTTCAAATGAATGAACTAATAAAAAAAAAACTGGATCAAAGATCTCATTAAACAAAATGAATAGGAAAGGATAAAATACCATTGCCAATGTCTCCCCTTCACTCTTTCTAGTTATTGCTTGGCTGCTACTTTATCCTCCCAAAATTACTTGAAAAGGTCCGTCCGGCGTTCCTTTGTCGTGAATTCGACTAAAGTCAGTAAAACCAGCTCCCTCAATCAGCGCTCCATGCGTTCAGATGTTTGATTGGTTATTGTTGAAAAATAAAAATTGACAAAATGCCCTCGGGTTGAGACTTCTCCCTGTATTCCTGCTCCCAAACTACTCCAAATAAATGGGCTACATCAATGTGCAGCAACCTTTGGGCTGGGCCATGAATGGATCCTCACTTTTATCCAGCTCTCCCCAGACTTGTGTTACAAACACATCACGAGTTGACATGCAATACTTGATCAGACTATTATTTAAAAACAATAATATTATATATTAATAATAATAATAATAATAAAAAAAAAAAAAAAAAAAAAGGTCAGTTGAGTTAGATCGCAAAGCGATAAATGGCGCAAGGAAAAAATGCATAGACAACTGCATGTGTTCAAGAAAGGTTCAAAGCAGAATGAGTATAATTGTAAGGCATAATATGCTCTGAAACGTTTCACAGAAAGAGGAATCAGCTTCATGGTTTTTTCAGGGGTGTGTGGCATAATTGGATATTGCAGGACCTCTAAAGCCCTTCGAAGGAGCGGTATTGGATAGAAAATATTGCCAAAGTGAAAAGGGGAAATAGGAAGGACCTGGACGAGATTCAGTAGGTCAAATGACGGAAGAGTCCCTTCATGCTCTTATTGTCTTTTTGCATATTAACGAGTCAATCCTATCCTCAATTCGATTCGTGCAACCATGTATTTCAACGTGCAGATTTTCCCAATCCAATATGGCGCTGCATGTGTCTGCTCACTCTTTTACCTCATCCCATCATTCAGCTCAACAGCCCATTTTGGTGCCCTCCTATTTCCCTATTTCTTGTGGCACTTGTCTTTTTGCCCAACCTTTTTTTCTTTCTGCATATATTATTACTTTGAATCATATAGGCATATGGGCATGCGACACAATAATAATAATAAAAAAGAAAGTTCAAATGCCAAATAATAACAAAACAAACAAGACGACATGGCATAGCATGTACTATATGAAAGATGGATGGATGATTGACTTACAGGGCGCTAGCTTGTGATACGGAGATACGCTCGAGCTCATATTGTTCGCGAAGTCGCTTGTTGTGATCCAGCTGTCGCTGCAATCGCATTTCTGTAGGCATGATGGTTGATAAACGATATGTTTTTGATATGTGGATGTGGGTGACGGATAATAGAGCAGTGTTTGGACTGAAGATAAATAAAAAATGTATATGTATGCTGATGTATTTATATGTTTACAATGTATCCGCGTAGTGATCAAGGTAATAAAAAGCCGTGTATGATTTTGATGCTATTTCAAAGCAAATTAAAGAATAGAAAAACGTTAGTTGCAGTCAACTACATATATGCAAACAATTGAACAACATAGAACTTTCTATATTTCTCTTTCTCTCTCTCTCTCCTACATTTTCTCGAAGACTCAAGAAAAATTATATGCACTACATAATATCCATTGATTGGTATCAATGCAAGAAAGATATTTTTTAAAAAAAAGACGGTGAAAGTAAGTACTCTGGAAGAGTGAAATTCTTATTTTTTTTTTTGATAACGACATTGAAGACTAAATTTAATATTCAACAAAAGTCGATGAATGGCATGTGGTTCAGTTTTAGTTGCTTAACATGGATTGGTCAAGGCGATGCACATGTTTTTTGTGAATGTGTACATGAATAAATTTAGATGAAAGGCGCGTGATGAGTAAGGTGTTTGGTCCAAGGCAAATGCGCTGGTGGTTGAAGAAAGGACATGGAAAGCGATAGAAAAAAAAAAACATGGATGATTGGAGTGCCAGTTTGAAATGCCGATTTGTTGAAAGAGAGAATCCTACCTTTGACAAGTAGAAATGGAGGGAAAGGAGAGAAGAGAGTAAGATGAAAAGGGAATGAGAAAGTGCTGTGTGATGAGAATAATGCAAATGAATTAAAGAATTATGATGAAAGTAGAGAAGTTGAGGCAATGAAGTGAAATAGAAGAAGAAATAGAAGTGATGGAAGCGGAAGTGAAAGTAAATAAAAGTAGAAAGAGAAGCAAGAAAGTGAGCTCTTCTCCTTTGCTCTTCGCTCTCACTTTTTTTCGACCTGCGCATTTTATCCTCGGTTGAACATCCATTCATACTTTGCGATTAATTTTATGGGAAATTTGCACATGAACTTCGATGGTTTGCATAACATCGTTGCACTATCAACGCACCTACCCAACCTCTGCCTTTTTCCTCCTCCTTATCTTTATGCTCAGAACAGAGCAATTACACGTTTATGGCACATTTTGCTCAACGGAAAATAAATGTTGACTTTAGGATTTCAGATTTTATTTTACAAGAGGAAGAGAAAGGGTGATAGATTGTTTCTATATGATGGATATGGATAAAAAATAGAGCCAGGTTTGGAGGGTCGTCGTTGAAGGTGTACCATAAGAAAAAGTAACTAGGATGTTTACAAATTTTCATCTAACGCCAATCTCGAGCATGTCTTTCAGAAGCAGCTCCAGAAGTTACCAGAGGTAGTTCATAGCTCGCAAACTGTACTCAACTCCTAGGAAAGTACTACAAAAAAAAAAAAAAAAAAAAAAAAAGTCAGCTGACAATATCAAGTTTCAAAAAAAAAAACAAAGTAATGACACTTACGCAGCATTGGCAGGGAAGGCACGAAGCAAGGCAGGACCCAGACCCTTGAACAGTGCCTGAGGGCCCTCGTTCTTCAGGAGAACACGAAGGACATCCATTGTGCCCTTGTAGGTACCAGCTGGGGCAGACTGGTAGCGAGACTTGAGCACATCTGGAGGAATGGCAATGGTCCACATGGCAACACCGGCCATACCTATTCAAAAAAAAAAAAAAAAAAAAAAAAAAATTATTCGGTGATCGTGTTTGATTGTGACAATGATATTGTTGAAGATACACGAAGGGGAAAAGAAAGCATACCACCAGCGAACAAGACAGAAAGAGGGTTAAGGTCAGAAGCCTTGCCGCCCTCAGGAATGAGGGCCTTCTTGACTAATTCGTAAGCAACAAAGTAGGCAGCTGATCCTGGACCATCACGGAGGAAGGTAGCACCAGTTCCACGGAAGATCGAGGCCAGACCACCTTCCTTGTACAAGGCACGGACAACATCAACGGGTCCATTGTAAAGCTTGTTAGCACCAGAACCTTGAGTCTATATCATCAGTTAAAAAATAATTGTTATGTGACATTAGATTGTTGTCTTGGGATGAGTAAATATCATGAGATGGAAATTGATCCGAAGTTCATGATCACAAAAAATAAAGTCGCCACACACGTGAGAGTCGCTTTACAATCACAAATCACCCTGCTTACCTGAAGAAGTACTTTGATACGCTCAGTAGGAGACATCAACAAGGTAGTTGGACCGGCAGAAAAGAAACCAGCAAAAGCATACTCGAGTATATTCAGTTCCTCGCTGGCGCGACCAGGGGTGACGGAGTAGACAACCTTCTTGCCCAAATCATACGCCCAGAAGGAAACCGCAAAGATGGGCGTCACTCCGAGAAAGGGAGTGGACATACCGCGGTAAAGACCACGGAAACCATCGGCCTTGAAGGTCTTCTTAAACACATCGAGTGTTCCAGTGTACATACCATTAGGACTAGTTTGGATGCGGACCTATTCTCATCATCATTGATAAAAAAATGTCTGTACTGTTAGATATTTGGTTTGATCGAGAATGGGAGGGTCTTTTTTTTTACTCCACCGAAACATACGAATGTGAGGAAAAATAAAAAAAATAAAATAAAATAAAACAGTTCTAGCATAGCTGTTCCTTTAAGCAGACTAGAGCTGGTTGTTCTGTGGCCCGGTGAGGACCAAGGTCATGATCAGGTGTCTTTATGAATTCCATAAACCGCAATTAGCATGATTCTTTCATTCTCTCACTTCATCTGACATGAATCAATTTCCAGCCGTCGGACTATTGCTTCGAACTCCACATTTTCGTATTCGGGCTTTGATCTCTTATTATATTCAATCTGCATCCATGGTCTAATAGTATTCATTCCATGCGTTGAATCTGGATAGTTTTTATTTTTTTACCTTGGCCAAGTCGAAAGGGTGACCAACCAGAACGGAGGCCATGCCACCGAATCCTCCAGACAAGAAGGACTTGACAGCAGAGGTTTGAGGGACGACCCCCTGGACAATTTCAGCTTCAGCGAGTTCAGCAGACATTGTGGGATATCAAAGAGTGGAAAGAGGTGAAAAGATGGTTGAACACGAGGATTGAGGAGAGTAAAGAAGAAAAGGAGAAGAAAAGGAGAAGAAGCAGAGGATAAGAAAGAAGTACTGTTTAAAACTTTCCTCGAATAAAGATCCAGGGACGTTTTTTTTTACCGTAAAATATCACTGAACTCTGTCATTTGTCATTGACGCTATCGGGCTCGATCTGATTGGGTAGCTCGCCATTCTTGCAGGCAGTGTCGTCCGACCCCGCCGAGCCTCCCGTTTTGATTATGTGTACGACGACAATTACGAACAATGGCGGCAAGAGCAACACATTTTTTTTCTTAATACGATTTACTTGAAGAGGACTTGCTCAACGAAAATATAAACATTGTTTTATGCTCCATGATGCTTCACCTCAAAATACCCACGATAGCGTGCCTATTGTTTCGGGCAATCACGGGTGAGTTCCTGTGAATAGTGAAACTGCCTTTTGTCTTCATAAATACCTCGTACATTTTGTGCGCATGCCTACAATTGCATTTGTGCAATTAAGGTCTCTTCCCCGCAACCCCTTACAGCTCGTATTTGCTGCCCGTCTCTAATTCAAGTGCGTTGTTCATCCCCATCTCCACAGGAGTTGGACGAAAGAGTATGCAAGGAGGCATAGGCTAGTGGTTCATTAGAATGGTTCATTTATTTCAGTACTGATTTTACATAAGCCATTCTCATAATACGCGTATGTCCAACAGAAGGTCTTAATAATCTGAATCATTAAAAATACTACAAACAATGGTGTGAAGCAAGGACAACAACGTCTTCCTAGGATGGATTGTTTTGAAGAGCCACAGACAGATATGTCACTTTAAGACGCCGTGCATCCCAGTTTATTGTGATTCTACACTTGATCACGGACCCACTCTCAGGAGATGGATCTCTCCATCAAACCACGTTTTATCTGTTTTTGTACAAAATTTTCTAAACGTCAACTTGAAAAATAACAAAATGCTGTGCATCGCTTCAATCAGGGTTTATCGCTGTCCGAGGGAGTTTTCGTGGCGTGGTTGAACATTTATCCTTTATCAATGTCACTACAGACTGGGAAGCATGCGGTCTGACTGTATTCTAAATTCCAGATGCATGACTTGGCGACACCATCATTTTGGACAGAGGCTATTGTAAGAAGAGTATATGAATTGACGACATACGAGATACCACCGCTGAAAAAAACGTGCCTCTGTAGTTCTGGTGGCACAGAAGTAAGGAACAGGTGAATCCTCTCTGAGTCACTGCTTTGATTGGCTGTTGTTTGATCCCCTCCAAGTCACAAAACAGAATAACAATACACTGTCATCCACTTGCATTTCTGTTCTCTTCTCCACTTCACGAAGAAACGCAGCCATGGCATCTTCCGAGGAAATCCAGACACTTGTCCTCACTACCCTTGACAAGCAGGGCGGTATTGAAAACACAGAATCACTCAAGGACAGCAATGGAGTAACCTACCCTTACCGCGCTGTCGTGGGTGTCTTGAACTCGCTTACTAGCAAGGAGGTACACATACATTCAAGACTGCATTCACCAGACTATACCTTGGAAACTAATGTTAATGAGTGTAAAATGCACCAAGATTGACAATTACCTCCGTCTGTTCTGTGAATCAATAGATGCTCACATACACCACCATTGAGAAGGATCACTACAACTTGACTACCGAGGGTAACGAAATCGCTGATTCTGGAAGCCACGAAGCCAAGGTCTTCAACGCTGTCGATTCAACCAATGGAATTTCAATCGCTGAACTAGCCGTAAGACAGGAAAAATTGTTCAATTACTCATAGGGCGCCTATACACTATGCTCTTTATCGCAGGATTGCCTGATCCGCGCAAGAAGATGCTGACAATTAACCATAAACACTTTGTATGAAATTCGGGTTGGGCTCTTGTAGAAGCAACTCGGTCCATCTGCAAAGATTGGTCAAGGAAAGGCTTTCAAGAACAAGTGGATAAAGAAGGATGGCGACAAGCTTATTCGTGAGGTACACCATCAAGTTTAAAAGAACTTTTCCTTGAATACAGAGCTATCATGAATATTAGCGAATTCATATAAGCGGATCTTAATCCCCTCTCTTTCCTTTATTTTTATCGCCATTAGGTCGAGTCTATCGTTGACCAGGCGCAGTTGGACGTTCTTGAGATTCGAAAGACTGGTACTCACACTAATCCTGCTATTCTGAAGGATCTTCAGTCCCGTAAGCTTATTGAGAAGGTGTAAGTGTCTATGAAAAAATACGGGAAAATCTAGTTGAGAAAGCATAACATCCATAAACACAAGCAGTTTCCAACTGACTATTCATTGAATTTGCAACCAACAATAGCAAGCTTGTTTCGTATAAGGTTGCTAAAGGACCCAAATTCTCGTTGACCATTGAGAAGCAGGCTACCGATCTGACCGCTGAGATGTTGGCTGATGGATCATGGAAGACTCAGACTTTCAAAAAGTATAATTTTGCAGGAAACCCTCCAGAGGGAGGCCACCTTCACCCCCTCATGAAAGTTCGTGAGGAATTCCGCAAAATTTTCTTCGAGCTTGGGTATGTCTTTGTCAAGCTAACTGATTTCTTTTATTTATGCGATGGTTCGATTTCATTATGAACAAGTAAGCCCTTTTTATAATGGCTGTGGCAATGGATACAATTGGCCTAACTTTTTTTTTTTTTTTTTTTTTTTTTTTTTTTGAAATTCTGTGATAGATTTGAAGAGATGCCTACAAACAAATATGTTGAGTCTTCATTCTGGAATTTTGATGCTCTCTTCCAGCCTCAGCAACATCCCGCTCGTGATGCTCACGATACTTTCTTCCTTCTCGGTATGTCTGAAATATCCGTGTTCTCACAATTGCTTTGGACTACTTGATGGATTATATTGAAAGTCTTATCTATTTTTATTTGGAATATTGACATAATTATGACATTTTTTTTAAAGATCCAGCTACCTCCTCCAACTTCCCGGATATGGAGTACGTGAACCGTGTTAAGGAAGTTCATTCTCATGGTGGATATGGCTCGATTGGATATGGATATGATTGGAAGATCGAAGAAGCTGAAAAGCTGATTCTTCGTACTCACACCACATCGGTCTCATCCAACATGCTTTACCGTCTCGCTCAGGAAGCCAAAGCCAATGGCAAGTTCAGGCCTGCAAAGTTCTTCTCTATCGACCGTGTATACCGTAATGAAACTGTCGACGCCACACATCTAGCAGAGTTCCACCAAGTTGAAGGAGTCATCGCAGATAAGAACCTGACTTTAGGAGACCTGATTGGATTCATGGAGGTCTTCTTTGAGAAGATGGGTGTACCCAACATCAAGTTCAAACCTGCTTTCAATCCCTATACCGAGCCAAGTATGGAAATTTTCTCTTGGCACCCTGGTCTTGAAAAGTGGGTTGAGCTTGGTAACTCGGGCATGTTCCGTCCAGAGATGTTAGAAGCCATGGGATTGGACCCTGATGTCCGTGTGATTGCCTGGGGTCTTGGGTTGGAGCGTCCAACCATGATCAAGTATGGCTTGGACAACATCCGCGAGGTAAGGGCTGCTATGACTTGACTTTTTTTTTTTTTTTTTTTTTTTCTTCACGGGTCGTAGCATCTATGAGATGTTATCTGATATGGCTTTTTTTTTTTTTTTTTTTTTTTTTTTTTTGCAGCTTCTGGGACACAAAGTCGATCTGGCTATGATACAATCAAATTCCGCTTGCAGATTGGATAAGAAGATGGGCAAGGAATTGGTTGGCAGGGATGCAGTTGATGCTTAAAGAGGAAGCAAAGGACGTTTGGAAAAAGCGAGAGGACGATAGATGGAGTGTCCATCGCCTGGCATTACTTTATCTCTATTACCACCTTATTCACTTAAAATAAACTGACAAAATGAAGAAAAAGATAACGCCATCGATAGTTTCGTTTATAGGATATTGATAGATCAAAGGCAAAGTCTGTCGTACAAAATATTCAGAATATCAATCATTTTATCTTGGTCATTTTTTTTTATTTTGGTTATATACAATTTGAGCTCAGATTGAACAAGATCTTTTCTATGATCTCCCGATTCAGTTTGTTGATATTTTATTCACCATTGCCAATTCGTGCCTAAAGTTAAGAACTTGGAGGAGTTTGTAATAATACTAAACAATAAGTTGAGATGACAATCGATAGCCATTCTTTCAAATTTCAGCACATCATCCCTCTCTGGCATTCTATTTTCATTATTTTATCCTTCTTACTCAAGAAACCCAATGGGAAAGTAGAGCCATGAGTAAAGGTAGTGTGGACACAATGAAGATGATGTTGCTTCTTCTGAGGTTGCGCATCCACTTGACACCAGGATATCCGAGAGAATATTCTGTTTCTCAGTGTCGCCTTCTCAAACCACAACTCTGATGTTGGTTGATTGAATCTGTGACTCTATTCTCAAGGGAGGATGATTATGAGCGTCCTAGTAAACGCATTGTAAAGTATGTAAATTATGAGTTCTGGAATTTTATTATTACAGGCGAGAATCGATGGTGTCGAACTATGTTGGATGGGTAGGGATATGTTTGCTGGAGGGAAACAGATCGAAGCTTTCTACCATCGAGAGAAGTCTATAGTTGCAACATAAAATAAATTGAAGTCAATAAACACAATTGATTCTAAAAGGTTCAATGGGTTTACTTGCATTCAATTATGCAGCAAAAATTGTACCTTCAGATTTGTAGCGTCCAGTCTTATCTAAAAACTCCTTTTGGGCACAAACGTTGCACCTCCATGGGAAGAGTTTGGAGGCTTCACGTTCGACGATCAGGGTACCACAGTGAGCACGATCATGTGGACATGAGTTGCACTTTTGGTAATATACATGAAACTCTTCAAAGTGTTTCTTGTCACTCGAACACAAGTACTTATCGTGGACACGCCAGCACCTGATAGGAAAAAAAAAAAAAAAAAAAAAAGACAAAAGGTTATAATAAATATTGACTGTGACTATAAGGGACACTAAGCATGATGCCTAATGCTGGATCCAGCCTACAGTAACAATAAAGAGAGAGGAGCTTTAATTACATTATGAAAGTTTGTTTGGTCGTAATGATAATGACAAGTGAATGCGAAGAATGGAGGCTGAATTGTTTTTTTTTTTTTTTTTTTTTTTAGGATGGAGCAGAAAACTATGGGTGAAATGTTCTATACTTGTGTATCAATCTAATCGAACAAAGAGTGCCCTCAGATAAGTGATTATTCCAGTGACTGACACTTGACACTGTGCCACCAACTTTTTGTTTCACATGTCGTCATTTGTTAAAAAAAAAAGACCTCTCCTACCATACTCATCACTCGTTTCAACCCACATTCATTCATTCACATTCATTATGGTCACTTCAGAAACCACTCCTAAAAAATTGACAGCCGTTGAGGAATACAAGACTTTCCTCGACAATTTTGATACGTTTTTACTCGACTGCGATGGTAATATTAATATCCTCGCAAAGCCTCCCCTTTTTTCTTTTAACCAACGAATAAAGAATATCGATGATAACCGATAACCTTTTTTTATTTTTATTTTTTATCTCTGCTCGATATTCGTTCTAGGTGTCATTTGGCATGGCAGTCAAGTCTTAGACAGTGTTTTGGATACAATCAATTTCCTTCGCAAACATGGTATGTGTGTTTATCATAAATATGGACTGGTCACCAAGCAATGACAAGAGAATAGTGACTGACGTTATATTACATATACAATCATCTAACTTCAAGGAAAGAAACTCGTCTTTGTCACCAACAACAGCACATTATCTCGCACTAACTATGTGAAAAAGTTTCAGAAGCTTGGGATCGAGGCTTCTGAGAAGGATATTTTCACCTCCGCATACGCAACAGCGGTCTATCTGAAAAACATATTGGAGTTCCCAAAGGACAAACGTGTCTATGTGATCGGCGAGGGCGGCATTGTGGATGAACTCAAGGAAGTCGGAATCGAATGTACAGGTGCCTCTGTAAGTGTCCGGCTATCTATTCATTCCAGCTTAACTCAAATTACAATGGCGATAAAGAAAAAGAACATTGACGCCCGTTCCCAAAGTCTTATTGTGCTATTATCATGTATATGTATATACTTTGCGTTACTAATCAATACCCAACGCATATTTACTTTTTATTACTATAAAAAAAAAAAAAAAAAAAAAAACTTATACAGGATGAAAATGGAGGCCCAATGACTCATCAGGATTTCGCTTTGATCGAGCAAGATCCCAGCATTGGTGCAGTCGTTTGCGGATTCGACATTAATCTGAGTTATCGCAAGCTTGCAAAGGCATACACATACCTCAGCAACAAGGGTCAAGATGGTCAGAATAATGTTCATTTTATCTTGACTAATGATGACTCAACCTTTCCTGCCCCGAATGGAATCTTCCCAGGAACGGGTTCTTTGGCCCAACCATTAATCCATGCTTTGAAGCGCAAACCTCTCGTCATGGGTAAACCCAACAAGCCCATGCTGGATTGCTTTTTTTCAAAGTATGTATTTTTTTTTATTTTTATTTTTATTTTTTTTTTCATTCGTTCATTCATTTCAGGTCAAACCTTATCTAGCATCCAAGGAGTATATATTACTATGCATAACTATTTTCTGTGGATTTGCGCAGCGAATCATGACTAACTTACTATATTTTAATATCTCTAAAAAAAAAAAGTTATCACACAGATCCCAAGAGGACTTGCATGGTTGGTGATCGGCTCGATACAGATATTGATTTCGGTGTTCAGGGTGACATTGCGACATTGATGGTCCTCACAGGTGTCAACACAGAACAGGAGGCCCTTGATCCACAGCAGTCTATTAAGCCTACCTATATTATTCAGAGTTTCGGCGAGTTTGCCAAGGTTGCACATGCACATGTTGACACCAATGCCAACAGTAATGTCGATGTTTGAAAAAGGGGTAGTGGAGTGTTAATCAAGGCCTATAGAGTCAGAAAACAGTAGCCAAGACAACAATCAACCCCAACACCATCGCCATCAATGTGATCATCACTATCACCAAAAACGGCTACTGCAATTTAAACATAGATCTAAAATAGACTTCGGAAAGCATCTTATCTTAGGATATCTTCATAAGTACATCTATCGAATTAAATCTTCTGATGTGTAAGAATGATGTGAGTAGTAAAATGAGCTATATTAAGGAGACGTCAGGAAAAAGATCTGGAAAGGTGCGATAAGACACATGACTGCAGTCTCTTGATTGTCTACAAGTTTATTTATTCCTCATCATCGCTGATGGCAGCAGGAGGTGAGGCTTCCTGCATGCCTCTACTGATATCACCAGGTGCAAAACAGCCATTTGTAAATGATAATGGGACTATTTCTGGCAAGACCGCACGTGCTTTTTCTACCAGGTCCTTGGCATCCAGAATTAAAAGAAACGAGCCGTTCGCCTCTGCATCATATACCACACTGACCAACACTCCTGCATCCTCGTTCTGATCAAATACTGGTGGCGGCACAAACACTGCCTCGCTTGGGAAGCAGTTTTTCTAATTATTAAGATTTTAATAAAAGTGAGAATAATCCAAGTTGACTATTGTGAGAAACCATATCGGATAAAACAAGGTGAAAACAAAAGAAAAAAAGGAATGTTTACCTGGCTCCAGACCAAGGGCTCGGCATCGCCTTTGACGTGCAGCTTCATGATACAATCATACATATCGCCATCGCTTTGTTCTTTAAAGCCGATACCCCAGGTATACTTGTAATCCAATCCATGGTAGATAGGGTTAATCCTTGGCAACTCTACACCAGGCGTGCTCCGAATCCTTGTTGCAAGAGGTATATCGCCAGAATTCTTTTCAGGTACGGCATAATTAATGTTTGCTCCTCCAATACTCACTCGACGCATGAATCCACGCAGTTTATCAACAGGTCCAGTATTTGCTGTGGCAGCATTATAATCCTCTAGTCGCTGCGCCTCTGCTTGCACATTTGCGAGCTCAAATCGACAAAGCTCCGGTCTGATCAAAGCAGGGGACGAGGGATTAAAAAGGGCTGAAAGGCTAAGCTGATGAGCAATTGCATCATCTGCATACATTGAAAAATCTAGATAGACATTGTCTGCCTCATCTTCAAATGCATTAACGTGATGAAGGCTAAAAAAAAAAAAAAAAAAAAAAAAGAGAGAGAGAGAGACAGCATTAAATTTCAATCAAGAATCATACAGCAACAAAATAAATAGTCAGGGGAAATAGAATACACGTATTACAAGAAGAATGCCTCAGACTTGAAGGTTGCAATGTGTCTCCTCTTGACTCGTGATATGATATAGAAATAGGTCGGCTCTGTTCGTTTAAACGAGAATGCGTCCAGGATTGAGGCACCCCACGAGTATTTGACACCACCATCAGATGGATTCAGGGGGCTAACTACTAAGATGATATATCGAGGTGTAACTGCGAACGAATGTACATGGCTTAACTTTGCGTTGACGGAGGCAATTAGTGTCCCATGTGGTTCCTTCTCCGTTATAGAAAAGAAATGATACTGTGTGTTATGAAACCCGTGCTCCATCGTAAAGTTGATTAGCTCCTTCGTAACTGGGTCAAAATGGCTGTGGGGCGAGGCTTGTGATCCTTTGAATTGAGGATTGACTTCGTCCCAAGCCAAAATGCCACATTTCTCCAAATTATCCGTGTTTAACTCAAGAACCTGAATATGATTATGAATAGGACATGAAGGATATTATCGAGGTTAATCATCTTATTGTCAAGAGTACATTAAATTCTTTTTTTTCTTTTCCTTCTTGAAATATTCCAGGCCGTAGAATTTATACGCTCCATTGCTTATGTATCCTAGGTCATTGATCCCGAGTTGGTTTTTTTAAGCTTACATGGTTAGCAAAATTTTGGCAATAAATGGTACGACGGCCATCAGCATTAAAAGGCGGGAAAACTTCAATGGAGGCTCCACATGGTTCCAGACTGGGCTTTCCTTGGGATTGATTCGTAGACAAAAGCCTTGCAAAGACACTCTGGTTGGTGCCTGTCTGGAAAAGACTCGATGGCTGGTTAGGCAAATATCCTTGATGTTCACGGATTTTCATTTCAGCACGATGCGCGGGTTTTGTAGATCTATACATGATCGTATTGTCAGAGCCTGAGAACGCAAACTGGTTGACTTGTGGGATGCTTTTATATATAAATATAAAAAGGCAATGTTAAGGTTTTATACTTCGGCGCTTTACTCTGAAAGAAGTGGTATATTAAAAAAAAAGGCAAAAAAAAAGACAAGGGGGTTCCACGGCTTACTTGTCAAACCAATGACCAAAACTAAAAGATCGAGTCTCTTGCTGGAGATCTCCATTGACGACAACCATTTTTGGGTACTTGATTTCAAAAATACCAGGACTCAATGTGTAATGGAATCCTGTCAACCACTCGGGGATTGTTCCTTGTACTGTAAGTCTCTTAGGAATTTCTGTTGAGATGGCATTTTTTAAAGCCTAAAATGACGAATTAAATCCGATATGAGTTTTATGTGAAGGGTACACAAGCAAGTGTGTATGTAAACGCGTTTTTATCAACAATTAAAAATAATATTTCTTTCATCAACTGCCTACCTTACGAAAGGTAATATCTACATCATTGGAGCGAGAAATCGTAGCCTCAGGCGTGTTAGTACTGGCGCTGCTATCAGAGCTAGCTGTACTGGTGTTCGTGGAGACCAACTGAGCAGAGTCCCGAATAGGACTCGGTTCGTCTTGGTTGTTAGCCGTAGTAGTAGCAACGGGTGCATTAGTATTGTCCTCAGTGTCAATGAGAGTCGTTGAGGAAGCAGGAACGACAATCTGGCTATCTTCCATTTGAATGACTTCAACTTCAGAGACTTCCTCCATGGTGAGAATTTGGTATGTACAAGAATGAGTGAGTTGATGGAAGAAAGTATAAGAGGGTAAAGTGGACAAAGTTGCTTCTATCAAGAACATCACCTTACAGACCTTATACACCTTACACACTCTGCACACACGTCACTTTTTTTTTTTTTTCTCTTTTTTTTTTTCGCGTCACGGCAATGTTGTCTCCATTTTTTATTTTTTTATTTTATTTTTTTTTTTTTTTTTCATCAATGGATGGGTTTTTATGTGATCAAGGACCACAAAGTACTTAAAAAAAATAAAAGAAAAAAATAAAATTAAAAAAAGGCTAGTATATATAACACAGTGTTGCATAAAAGTAGTGGAGCGCTAATGAGAGGATTGAAGTCAAGATGCCTTTAGGATTTAACAGTTTGAAGTGACTGGGTTCATGTTTGAGTGGCGAAGATCTGTAACACAAAATGCACAAAATGCTGCACAAATAAAATTTTTAGTGCGTGCACTCACTTTTTTCAAGGAGAGTTTTATGATTATGTGATTGGGCGTACGTGGTAAAAATTTCCTTGTGGCGTACGTATTCTATAGGACATCAGACCGCGCTTTTGGCCATACGATTTGTATCGTTGCCGACAGCTGAAGTAGAGTGTTGGAAAGCAAACTCATACTACAGGCGCGGATATCTGCAGACAAAATAACATACACTTTCATGACGCACCACACCCTTGTTGCCTGCTGTGTGAGAGTGTGGCTTTCACCCTCACTGCATTCTCTGACCAGGCAAGACTAAACCAGACCAGGACCCCATGGCGTATTTGAACTTTTAAAATTCATTTTCACTCTCTCTTCTCTTTTCTTTTTTTTTTTTTCTATTTATTTATTTCTCTCATCTTCCCAACTTTACTCTTCTCTCTTTTCCTCTCCACACACGCACACACCAACAGGTAACCAAGCATCCATTCGTACACACTTACACTAAAATTATTACTGTCATTATTATCACTATCGTTATCATTCAGACTTAATATTACTCTTCAAGATATCAAGACATTCACATCCACATTTACACTCATACAGTCCCCTACCTGTATCTGACCCTCACCCTATCCATCCATAACAGAACTTTTTTTTATCCTCATCGTGGCACTAGAATAAAGTACCTGAACCACATATAAACACACATAAACACTTACACCCGGGGACCACCATTCTCTACAGCCTTCTTAGTCTCTCATCTCTTTATTTATTCATTCTCGTTCTTGTCTAATTTTGATTCCATTCTGGGTTTCTCATTTCCCTTTCTTTTACAATCATCACTACCAGCAGCCTTTTTTTTTTTTTTTTTTTTTTTTTTTTTTCCTCCTCTGACTAACGCCTTTATTCTTCTCTTATTCTCTCCTGTCCTGGACACCACTCACCTACATACACTTCTATAAATAACCCGGTGTGCACCCAAAAGAACTACCACTATGGCCCGTACCAAGCAGACCGCACGCAAGTCCACTGGAGGAAAAGCTCCTCGCAAGCAGCTCGCCACCAAGGCTGCCCGCAAGTCCGCCCCCGCCACCGGAGGTGTCAAGAAGCCTCACCGTTACCGTCCCGGTACTGTCGCTCTTCGTGAAATCCGTCGTTACCAAAAATCGACCGAGCTCTTGATCCGTAAGCTCCCCTTCCAACGTCTCGTCCGTGAGATCGCTCAGGACTTCAAGACTGACCTTCGTTTCCAGTCCTCTGCTATCGGTGCCCTTCAGGAGGCCTCCGAGGCCTACCTCGTCTCACTCTTTGAGGACACCAACTTGGCTGCCATTCATGCCAAGCGTGTCACCATCCAACCCAAGGACATCCACTTGGCCCGCAGACTCCGTGGCGAGCGCACTTAAAAAAGACGTACTACTCTGTACCCACAAAATACAATAAAAGCAGAATGGATAGGATGACTTTTAAACTTGGCGGTCTTGTTTCAATCAACCCTTATAATTGCTATCTTTTGGGTGAATGTTTGGCATCGTATCCATATATGTATTTTTTTCTGCCATTTGTATTTACTCCCATCCCAGGATCAATCCACTCGCTTCCTTGATACAATAGAAACCTTTTCTTTAGCGCTTTTCTATTCCTCAATAAAAGAAAAAGTAAAAAAAAAAAAAAAAAAAAAAGAAAGAAAAAAAGAGCACAATGATGACGAAAAAGTGTAAAAAATAGCCTGGTGTTGCTGCTCCTATCTAGAACAATTCAACAGTGGCGCTGGGCCACAATCAATTTCAGTTGACGGCCTCAAGATCTTCAGGTCATTTGATCACATGATGGCGATGTTGGTTTTCTTTCTTTCTTTTATCAATACTAATCAGACGAGTGCTTTGCTATTATCGTTAATGTTGTGCAGCGTCAGAGGTATTGGAGATACCATTGCTCGCAGGCTGATCTAAATAATATGGAAGTGCAGCCTGGAGCTTTTTGTGTTCGACACAAGCCTTCAGCCATTCGGGTTTGACAATGGGAATAGACTGCTGCAATGCCGCTTCATATTCGTTTCCACCTTGAACATGGCACAACAAATGTGTTGTCTCAACGCCAACTTCTTCGGTCCATTTGCCTCCGATTTCAACGATCAATCTTTTACATTCTTCCAGAGCTGCTTCGGATTCAAAGACGCCGAAGCAAATGTTGGTTCCTGTCAGATTCTCGAGTGTGTGAGTCCTAGCCTTGACTTCATTGCTCCAAAGTGCTCCTGCAGAGGTTTTGATCCCGATTTGGAACGAATATTCATGATCAATTTCCAGTCCCTGTAGCTTGTATTTGGTCGTGTGGAAGGGGTTTGCAATCGAGTGTCCTTGCTTAACACCATTCTTGTAAACGTCCAAGGAACGGAGGCTGGCCTGGTTCAAGACTAAAGGGTCCCATTCAAGTATGCAGGTAGATTGAGTGAGGGACAAAACACGTAAAGTGGGAGTCTTAGGTGGGTTCTTGCCAAACTGGTCCAAGATCTCATCCTGAAGGGCCCAGAATTCATCCCGACGACGTTGCTCTTCTTCCAAATCACGATTCACCGAGATGTTGACTACCGAGCCAGCAGAGACCCCTTTGGGTAACAACAAGGAAGGAAACTCGATAAGGTGATGGTCTTCAGTCAAGAGGATAGTCATGCCCGCGTCAACCTTGCCAACCGTAAAACGGATGGACGAGTTTTGTTTTGAGGATGGGACCGCTGCGTGAATGTCTTCTGAAGTCATCATTGATGAATATCGTATAGATATATGTATAGGAATGAGTATCTGTCGTTTGAGTTGGATGGGATGAAGTATGAAATTGGCGCGCCTTTAAATAAAAAAAAAAAAAAAAAAAAAAATGATGTGAGTGCGTAGAGAACGAGTGATGATTTGAATGATGGGCAGATTCTCATTCCACGTTGCAGGTGGACACAGTCACTTCCCAGAAGACACCGTAGTAGACAGGAATTAACACTTCATCTCGCTTTCTTTTCTTTCTTTCTTCTTTTCATCCGTTCATTCTTCATCAACTCGTCCTTCCTGTTCTTTTCTCGCATTTCTCTCTCACACTCAGTGGACCCCAAGGCCCTTTTTCCACACAGCTCTACCCTCTTTAATTGAGACCATTTTACCCTCACCAATGACCCATCCTACTATCTTCCGTCTTGATTGTAAAGCCCAGTCGTACGACTGGGGAAAGATTGGCTCCTCCTCCAAGGTTGCAAGGTTTGCTGCCACTTCGCCCGGCTTCACTGTCGATGAGAGTCGTCCTTATGCAGAGGTAAAAATTGCTACGGCCTTTAATGCGTCTCATAGTTTTTCAGAGGATCTAAATCCATTGGGAGTTGCCAATGGACCAGTTTCTTTTTTTATCTTTTTTTTCTTTTTTTCTTTTTATTTTCTTTTTTTCTTTTTATTTTCTTTTTTTCTTTTTATTTTCTTTTTTTCTTTTTTTTCTCACGCTTGTGTGAAGCAAGAAAAAGAGCGATAAGGTGCAATGAATCAGACTAACAATATCTTACCATATCTTTTTTTAACACAACATAGCTGTGGATGGGTACTCATCCCAGTGGTCCATCGACTTTGTATCAGTCAGATAAAACGCTAGAGTCTGTGCTGAAGACCTATCCCCATCTGTTGACGCCTTATTTCTACGGAAAATACCATGGCCATCTCCCTTTCTTGTTCAAGGTCTTGTCTATCAACAAAGCCCTATCTATCCAGGCACATCCGGATAAGGAACTTGCAGAGAGACTCTTCAAGGAACGACCTGATATCTACAAGGATGATAATCACAAGCCTGAAATGGCCATCGCATTAACAGAGTTCGAGGCCTTATGCGGATTCAGGCCGTTACAACAGATTTCGGCAGCATTGGACCAATGGCCTGAATTATGGGCTCTGGTTGGAGACAAGGAAGCAAAGGATTTTCAGGATGCAGTGGCGCGAACCCAAACCATCGAGGGTATCAAAGGTATCAAAGAAGGACGTCAAGCATTAAGGATATTGTACACAGCCGTTATGACAGCAGAAGCGTCGAAAGTCAAGCTCGAATTAGATCGCTTGATCAGTCGCTTGAATACCAATGGCGCAGCTTACCCATCACAATCGATCGAAGAGCTCCTGTTGAGGATCCATTCACAGTTCCCAGGCGACGTGGGGTTATTCTCATTGTTTTTCCTCAACTATATTGTTTTGCGGCCTGGCCAGGCTATCTTTTTAGCAGCTAATGAACCCCATGCGTATTTGAGTGGAGGTGAGTAAACCGTATTTTATGATTCAGCTTCGGTTCATGAACTCTTTTTTACAATGTTCTCGATCGTACTTCATTTTTCATTTTTTATTTTTAAATTTCTTGAAATGGGAACGCTAACTCGAGCCATTTCTTTTTTTATTTTTATTTTTATTTTTTATTTTTATAATCAATAGATTGTGTGGAATGCATGGCAGCTAGCGATAACGTCGTTCGCGCAGGATTGACACCAAAGTTTAAGGACGTTGAGGTCCTGACCCAGATGCTGACTTACCAGACCAAATCCAGTACGGATCAGCTACTGTCAGGCGTTCTTTGTACACCTACGGGCCACTCTTTGATGTATGATCCTCCTATTGAAGAGTTCTCGATCATTTTGACAACACTAGACCATGCCAAGGAGAAAGAGCGTCTTCGTGGAGCTGAGGGCCCGAGTATGGTGATTGTTACCAGGGGTAAAGGGGTTATCCGGTCGGAGAAGAACCACGAAACTGATCCAGATGTAGTGGAGTTGAGTGTTGAGGCTGGAAATGTTTTCTTTGTTGGGGCCAACACGCCATTCTCGATCGAAGCGTTATCGGAAGAAGGGGTGACCATTTATACCGCATTTTCTGTCAGACCTGACAAGAAGGACCATTTTCATCACTGAGTAAAAGAGAAAAAAAAAACTATAAAATAAAATGCAAGGAAAGTAGTGCTATTGCGGCAGTTAGAGGTTTATCCTATTTGTTCTGCAAGAGTGCGTTGTACTGTCGGACTTGCCTTCCAGTGTTGTTAATAATGAATAATTTCTTCAACAGCCCTGGTTGTATTCATAGCGATTTGTATCATACATATTTTATTTATAACAAAGGTGTAAGTCAACTACACTGTCCAAGCTGTAGAGCCGAGCGAAACATATTTCAACTTCTTAAATTTGAGTAGATGGTTCAGAACGCGCGCCTCTATTGACATTTCGCGATCGTGGTCATCCATGCGAACAGCAATGACTGGTGTACCCGACTTTCTCCTTTGCAACGCCTTCATTTCTTTCAAACGCATCAGCACACTGTCTATTTTCTCTTTGGTGCTGAGCCCTTGGATCCTAACAAAAAGGGTTTCGAGATCATTACAAGACCAAGATGCTTTTTCAACCTCATCGATATTCATCTTATGCTCAATGATATCGAGAGTCACCAATTTTTCAAGTAATCGTGGCCAAAGTTGAAGTATCCGTCCTGAACTCTGGAATTGATCCTGCCTCTGAAGTATATCATCTTCTTTCTCCCCCGAATTAGATGATGGTGGGTAACAACAAATTTTTGTCCATTTAGTTGGATAGCATGCAATTGTTTGGACCAGATCCTCTGACATACATTCGTATCTAAATGTTAAAGCTGTGAGGTTGATAAAAACATCTTTGACCAAAAGATGGACCAATAGATTGCTAGAAGTGAAATTTGATTTGATTTCTATTAATTTGGGGCACCATATGGAAAAGGTGTCTTTAACAAGCTGGGTAGGAAATGAGTCTGGTGTTTGGCTGCTCGCAGTATCCCACTGTCGCAAATTTGGAAAGTGGATAAATATCGATGGTTGGTTTGGCATCACAACGACTTTCATCAATGCTTTGATGGATGTTACGCCTGTGTGTTGGAAGGTATCCAGAGCTTGGTCTAGCGTAAAGACCGTCTCCCAGACATCAACATTTGTGAGAGCTGGACAAGCTCGAAGGAGAGCCACAAATGATGTTCTTGTGAGGTGTAGAGAAGTAATAGAAATACTTGTAAGTTTTGGAGGTTGAGTTGGCTGTGTTATTGTCATAAGTGAGTCCAATAAAAAACGTGGTGATGATCGAAAAGAAGGCTCACGGCGGCGTCTCAGTATGAGATTAGTAAGGTTTCCATGGGTTCGACGGATGAGACTATAACATCTCGTATGGTAAAGGAAACTTTCTGTCATTTCAACTTCCAAAGTGGATAGATTGCAGGCTTTAAATGATTGTAAGAACTTCAGCTGTTTAAGAGTAGAAACATTCTTGATCGTACGAATGTGATGGCCCAGTTTAAAAAGAGTACTTCGATCCATCTGAAGAAACCCAGGGTGGATGGCCAAGTCTATCGTATGCCAAACTGGGTACACGAAGTCTTGGGAGAAACCTTTGGAGAGCAGAACACAAGACAAGGCGTCCTTGAGGGTGACAAAGAGAGCTATTCGACTGCGGATTTCAGGAATGTCTAATGGGTTTTTATTCATGGCCAAAAAAAAATAAAAATATAGAAAACAGAAATGTGGAGATGAGAAATGAAAATTGGGCGAGAGCAAGATTAAATTTCAAATGATGCTACTTAACGAAGCATACAAATATTCTACGCTTGTGCATCATTCTGACGGTACAACTTTTAAAAAAGACAAGCGAAGAAAGCCTATAAAAGCCTTTAATCAATCAAACTTAACTTCGCACTTTTTTCTTGACACAACCCCTCTCTCGCTTCTCTTTACTCTTTATCGAACTTCTCTTCTACATACCTATCTTACAACCATGATTCACATTCCTCACGTCGCTTTTACCGCTGTTGGTAAGCATACTCTACACACCTGTCAATCTCAAAGCCTGAAGAAACACATACGCGTTACATCTTGAAAGCCGCATAGCTTTAACACTATTATCTCAAAAAAAAAAAAAAAAAAAAAAAAGCTGTTGGTACTCTGTTCTGTCAATTCGTTCAAGGCATCGCATATAATGTACTCTTTAATCAGATGTGGGTCGCTGCAATGAAAAGAGTAAAGTGTTACCTATTCTACAATGTGCAATCCAATAATGAAGCTGCAATGCTATTTTTTTTGTTCCATACACACCCATTTTAAGTGATCTAATTTCTTCCCCTCTTCATATGATCAGGAAAGGAATGGTGACAGCTGGATGAAAAAGGACAAAGAAGAATCGGCGGAATTCTGGTCATTTTTTCTTTATGAGATGATTCTCAACTTGATTAGGGTAAGTACATGAAAGCCTTTTTACTCTATAACCCTCGTATTCGTCATGATTTCAGGTATTGGGCGAATTAGCCTACTTTATAAAAATGACCAACATAATTGACGCAACCTTTTTATCATTTTTATTTTTTTTTTTTGTTAATAGACATGGATCACCGGACTTCTTCTCAACTTGACGCAAGCCCAGACAATATCTCAAGCTGCTCAATTGGGCGCATTCTTGTTTGTAGGAGTTACAGTTCCTTTGGTGACCTCGGAGACCATGTGGGAGAAACGTGAGTCGGATATACAGTTGATTCGGTACTTGACAGCTTTCTTCTCGACTGTCTTCCTTTCATGTGTCCTTCATCTAATTGGTACTGCTTAAAAAAGCAACCAAGTACTTTAAGACACAGTAGTTTCTTTTTCTCTATTATAAAAGTTCTGACTCTCTCATGTAAATATAGTCTCTAGTGTGTAAGAAAATAAAAGGAATTCTCGTAGACTTGAACTTGATTACTGTTTCTCCCAAAGGAATACTTTTTTTTTTTTTTTTTTTTTTTTGACGTCGCTCATATTTCTGTGATGACAGGTTTTGTATACAAATAACAAAGCTTGGTTGTATCCGTTGGAACCAATTTTAGTGCTGGGCTATATGAATATGACATAAAAAAAGGATGGTCCTTCTTTTATTTCTTATTTCCTCTTCTTTAAGATTATTTTGTCCTAGAAAAACGTTTTTTATTCTTTTAAACATTACATATTGCAGGAGCTCTGAAGGGGGGTACATTCTAACTCTCTAACTCTCGTACACGTTAATAGGACCCTACATCAAATGCACGTTTCCATGTCTAACAAAAAAAAAGGATATTGCTCGCTTTACCATCGCTTCTAGCAATTGTAGTATTTGCAGTACGTGCTCATGGCCTTCTCTTTCTCAAGAACAAAGATAAGGGCGCAAGCCTGCTTTCTTCGACTCTGCTACACCAACCTCTTTATTGAGCCTCGCTCGATAGCATGTTGACGACAACCTGCGCAGCACTTTTGACTCGCCTGATTCAGCTCACACTTAAGGATAAAATCAACTTCAACTTTGTTTGCAACTGCGGCTTTGCTTCTGGCGTGGGTAATGGGTCTGTCGTGTAAAACATGCGATCAAGACAACTTTAAAATCTTTACTTTCTATGGTAGACATGTGCAATAGTCTCAATTACATCGAGAGTCAGATTAGATCTACGGTTTCTATGCTATCTCCATTGTTGCTGCGGCGATCAATCAGGCATTTGAATGGACAGCCTCAGTTTATTTCATTCTGTGTTTACTTGACTGCCCTTTGTGTTGGACGGCCTACTTCTACCTCTTCAAATACATTTTATTTTGATGCTAATATTGAGGAAAAGGAATGGGAGAAGCCTACGGCTTATGGTCAAGCCAACCTACTGCCTCGTCTCTGTTCTGCATTTTTGGATCCTATCATCATGAAGGGCTTTGGCCGGCCCTTGGTAGATGCCGATATTACCAATATAATGCCCCGGCGCATTAGAACTGTCTACAGCTATGCCCTCATCTCGGCAGCCTGGGACCGCCATCTGCAAAAGCGCCGCAATGCTTCCAAGAAGACGCCTTCACTGCTCTAGGTGATCTTCAGAGCTAATGGTTGGCTTGGTTATCGGTGGTTGGGCTTGCACTGCTAGAGTCCATTCTGAGATTCATACAGCCAATTCTCTTGGATGTTATCTTGGACTTTATAGCATCTTATTCTACTGATCGGTCTCAACCAACCGTATTTCCTTCGTATCAGTAAGCCCGTACCGTGTTTTCGCTTGAGGCATGAAAGTGAATATGTCAAAACTTTGAGCCCGTGTCCGTTGGCAGTGAAAGGTCCAATTAGGACATGTTTAGTATTCCTATCGTCGTAATCAATCCTTCCTCGAGCCCCGTATCCCTCGAATCCGACTCTAATTTATCCACAAATCCCTTATCAATTCCACTGAAACGGGTCTACTGGGGCCAATGTTACGCCCCCTTGTTAACTAATAACTAGCCTTTATTCCTCGTTCCTGATTACAGTCATAACCTCCTTTTATTCCGTACCTTTTATTATTATTTTAGCAATTCTTGATAGATAATGGACTTGTTGTGGCATTTCTTGATGACTTGATCTATGTAGCAAAAAGAATACTGTCCTCCTCCAGCTTTGTACTCTAATACCTGCAATAGGGTACATGATCTTGGTTTCGTTCATTCTTGTTAGCCAAGAGTCACATCAAAAAGCCAACAGCCAAAGAAAAATTAATAGATTTTAGGACTTTAGGATTGGAGGAGCTATTTCTGGACAAATAGTCTGGCCACAGCAAGGCTGAACAATTAGAGAGCCGTTGATCATTGATGTAACATGCCCAATGCCAAGGATATGAAAGTGCTTTTTTTTTTTTTTTTTTTTTAAAAAAAAAAAAATATATATATATATATATATATGTATATAAGAATTCATGAACGTAAACATCCTCTTGTTCTCATCCTTCCTCAGAACTGCATTCTCTCCCTCCTTCCTTTCAGCGCCCATCACGCACTACCCTTTCGCATCCATTCTCAACATCAAGGCTATATTATTGATGCAAATCTCTCATTCCCCTCGAAGGTATAAGATTGTCTTGATCGAAACTTCAGATCATGCCCTCTTCAATCCCAGTATCCTTCTAACCCTCGCCTATCTTGCTTATAGTCGTAGCATGTCGTTTCTTGATCAATTGTTTGGCACTGATGGCCGGAGACGAAAGGATGGAGGCCTTTGGGGCTGGATCAAAAGCCGACCGTACAAGAGCAAATGCAGGTGCGATAAATCCACTAAGTCCCATTCAGATAACTTTATCTTGTTGCCCACCATGCCCACCACTTTCACTTGCTCACCTACGTCCCCGACATCATCATTCCAATCCTCAACAACAAGTACACCAAACCAATATGCTCTTGAGACAAGGATAGAACCTCATTCACGATCATCAAAAAGGTTTACTTATTATTGTAACACTCCTTCATCGCATATGAATACGCGTGCTCCACAAAGTGCACAGAACATATGCATATCGCCTATTGCATCTTCTTTATCAAAGGCCATGGTGCGGCCTGGTGACGAACCTCTCGATGCTACTTTGCAACATCAATATCAATATCACAATACCATTGTTTCATCTAAAGGAAATAATGATGCGTCCTTGAAAAAGAAAGAAGAGAAGTCCATACATAGGCTGGCTGAGGAGGGCTTGGGCATTGATATCACAGTCGTTGGCAATCATACGCAGCGCTACCAGCGACACCGAGGCTCATCATTAACTGATCGGTCCATACCTCGAAGGAACGCTATTAAGGGTTGGTGGTGGGAATAGTCAACATCCCAATTATCCTTTGTAGTATTTGAAACAGTTATCGTAAAGTTGGACCCATTATTACTCTTAATATAAACACTTGTAATAAAACCAAGGTGTGACATCCCCTTGTTGTAATATACGTACATTGAAATAAATGAGATACATTATGCTTCTCCTTAATCAAGTGGCCATCACTCAATGTCTATCGTCAGCAATAACTCGAGGAAGTTTGGTCCCTCACCATACTGGACAATGAGCTATTCCAAATCTCCCAGTCGATTATTTCCGGTATCTAGCCCTTTTACTTCGAGGACTAAAGCAACTACGCGTTTCGCTATTCTGATCATAGCTGCAAATATCTTCGATAGTCTTCTCCAGGCATCGCGGACGATCATTCCTCGATCAAAAATGGTAGTGGTAAAAGTGTTACCAACAGAAGAAGTTTGATGAATGAACATTCAAGTCTCGTCGCCGCCATGCCCGCCCCAGGGGTTACAATTGAGTTTCCAGGACAGAGCTCCTTGAGCAGAGCAACAGCAACAGCAGCAGCAGTAGAAATAAAAGCGGAAACAAAAGCGAAAAGAGCATCCAGAGGTTGTTCCACGAAGCATTCGTGATTAAGGTTGAAACTTCAAGAGCGTTGACAGAGGAGTTACGTTTGCGGTTTTAAGAATCAGTCGAGGTAACGACATTCTACTAACTCAAATAGGATGCATTCCAGCCAGCCTTTTTTTTTTGTTTTTTTTGTTTTTTGGTTCGGTCATGACTTCGTGTTCCAGTTTTTAGCTTTTTTTTCACTTGAAAACGGAGAAAAACGTATGACCATTTTGCCTTACATTGCTATCTCCACCTGACATGAGTATGTACCTGTATGTGTGATGTGCTTACTAAAATAACAAGAATTAGTAGAACACATGTAATAGATAGAAGCCTTTTCCTTTTTTTCTGACACTAACATAAGAATTGACATTCACAAATAAAGCTGCAAGGGACACTAGACATTCATAAGTAAAGATGCAAGTGATAATAATACAAAACTAACCCGCACAAATCCCATGGAGAGAATATTAAAATCTTATTTTCATGATACTAAATTTAAAGTTGGAAAAGCAGGTCTGAGGTGATACAAGATGTAAGCAAGCATGTCTTCCTGCCTCAACTGAGACTTCTGCTTACTCACTTCTTCCTTTTTTCCACTTCTTCATTTCTTTTATTATTATGAAAACGATTTAGTTTCACTTAAGATAGGCTTTTTGCGGGCCAGTTTTTGCGTTAGTATCGGTGCATGTTTATCTGTGAATGTTGGTTTCTTGTGTTTGTATTAGTGCATGTTTGTTCATGAGTAAAAATTTTCGACTTCAGTACTCAACTCCACTCTTGGTAGTTTGGGTCAACTACTTGCTTCATCCATGGGGTTACAAGACCACATTTATTAACATGGCTACCACCCTCTACCAGCGCATTGGCAAGTCCCTTCGTAAACCCTTTACCATATACTCCACAATTACCAAAGCCCTCCTATACCAACAAGCTTGCTCTGGATTGTTCTCACACTATGGATCGTGAAGGGCATAAAGGGTGTAAAGTCTACTTTTATTTTTATTTTCATATCTTTTCTCATCTGGTCTGGTTTAGATAGTATCGGATGCGTTCTCCCATCTCTTGTCCCCTATCCCAGGAAACAAACTACTCGCTTGTTTGAAAGATTGGTTTTATCATCTGGCAGGGATCATTACGTTTTCCCTCTGCTTCGTAAGAAATGTGGAAAGGTGACCAGGATCGCACCACATTTTGTCTCTGTGGCCGATAAAGACACGATTCGAGAGGCAAATGAAAATAACTCTCTTTCATTTTCATGAAAGCCAGAGAAAAATAACCTGATCTGACCGTTGAATGGTTTCTTTTTTCTCATAGATCTTAGTGACAACTGACTACCCCAAGGACGCCGCCACCTACCAACCCCTTGACCCCAATGGCCACGAAAACCCAGCCCCAGCCCACAACAAGAGTCCCCATAAGAGTTGAGTACGTTTATCACTCTGTTCTCTTTTTGCTCTCATAAACTATTTTGCCATTTATAATTGAGTTGTAACAATCCTTATCAATACTCGAAAGTGTAACTTCTCTTTGTGCACAGTGCCGGATTGCCTCTCCAGCTTTCGGTCTGTAATACCTTCAGTCTCTTGAGCCTTTTATGCATGGGTACACTAGTGCCCTTCTACAAAAGATCGATAAAGCCTTCCATGATCCGTGGTACGAGAAGAAAAATTCCTTGGGTCCGTCCACATACCTTATGTTTTGAGGGCAGAGTCTTGTCACTTTGTACAGACTACAGACACGGGCCATGGCTTTATGGTATTGCAATGTGGGTAATGTGAGTCTAGCGTTGAGAGGAATTCCCTATTAAGATAATGGGAACGAAAAATTGTATGGATGAAAGATAGTGACAGACGAGAACAGCGGATATGGGTGAATAACATTTGAGCCCTTCACCTTCACCCAAGCCCTACTTATTTATTCTTGCTGAAAGCACTCTGGATAAATTATCGTTTTTTTTTTTTACCCAATGCAAGCTCTCCTTTCTGACAACTAAATCTGATCTGGTGATTTACAAGTTAAGAAGCATTTAAGATTTTGGCGGGTAGGAAGGTATTTATTCATGATCAACGCTTGGCTCTCTTGCAGTTTCTACTACATCAAAGGTTTGATGTCCAATCGCCACTCTGTCAAACAACCGGGGCAATTGATGTGTACAGCAGCTTCGGGTGTGATCTTAGCATGGTACGTAAGCTTACTCTTTTTTTTCTGAGAGAGATTGTAATCCTTCGTAGGCTGGTGGTTGAAGGAGTGAGAGGTTGTTTATGTCGAGGTATGCGGGGCGGTTACTCGGCGGCAGCTCGGTGGAGTAACTCTGCTCGATCGAGGGCCTAGGCTTAGCTGTCCTTGAAGTAGGGCAAATGCACTCTTGTCGAGAAGAGTAACCTTTGTTCAAGTAAACACTACATCCAAGCTCGGTTGCAGTTTCAAGTTTGCTTCCTCCTCTTTCTCTTCTTCCCTCTCCCGTTCGAGCAATGCAAGCAGGGCAGAGTCTATAGAGCTATAGGCCCAGTCATATACCTCTTTTTCAGCTTCCTCAACACGTTGTGCTCGCAACTTTTCTTCAATCTCCATAGCTTGCCGAGCACGTTGTGCTTTAATGACCCACTGTACACGTGGATCCTCCCGGTTGGGAAACAGGCTTCAAATGACTTGAACTGCCATAAATATAGCGATAACGTTTAGAGGAGGTACCTGCGGAAAGTGAGAATGGAGCAGGCGACAAGCATGTGCCAGATGAACGTGTGGTAACCATAATATTGAAAATCGAGAAAAGTGAAAATAAAAGTGAAAGCTCAAAGTAACGAGATATGTTGAGGAATTACGGCAGTAAAGGTCAGGTCCACAAAACCCACAATACATAATCTCGCATCGTGCATTGTAGACGCGACCTTTTTGGTGAGTGCAGTATGCAGAGATGCTGATCTGTATAGGAAGAAATAAATGGCCTTTTAGCAGCCAGTAACATCATATTTTATTTTTGCTAGTTTTTGCTAGTCTCAAGCAAGGCATCGACAGAGGGGGCTCCCTCTTCCTCTGAGGGTTGCCAGTCTGGCAACCCTGGTGTAGTAAGATAGAAGTCTACACGTGATAGTTTCATGTAATAATATACACCAAATCTTACAGGATTAGTCCTTTTGTATCACCTCTTCTGTGCCTCTACTACACCCTTTTCAACCTCACTTTGATCCCTTCACTCATCTTTTCATTGTTTCCTTGCGCACATTCGTTCCCTTACTTTCCACCATTGTTCATTGCCCTTGGCTTGTTTTCCGCGCGGAATCAGCATCCCCAGCCTTTTTTCCCTTTTCATCTTTACTTTTTTTTTCTTCCTTGAACCCAATTGGATTGATTTTTTTCATTACAACAGATTTTTTTTTTATTGAACTAGAAGAAATAGAGAAAAACAATACCAGAGGTGAATTCCAATGTCATTGGAGAACCTCTCTGAGGTTCTTTGGTCTACTTCTGGCGGCGCCAGCCTCTTTGAGCTCTTTGGTTATTATAACAATAGTAACTACTCTTTATCTTCGTCTACACCATTATACGGCATGGGAGGCAGTAGTAGTTATTTCTTTCTGAACAACACTACGAATGGTGACCCTCCATCACAACATAACTTTGTCCTTGGCATTTCTATAGCAGTGGCAACATCATTCATCCAGTCTCTTGGATTAACCATCCAACGCAAGTCTCATGTACTCAATGAGGCTATTCACCCCAAAGAATTACGTCGACAAGCTTGTCGGCGGCCATTGTGGCATCTAGGTTTCCATACCTATATTCTGTCAAACCTCACAGGGACCATTTTTTCGATCGGATACTTGCCAGTCATTATCTTGGCTCCTTTAAGCGCCGTTACTTTGGTCTTCAATGCTTTGTTTGCGAAGTTGTTATTGGACGATGTCTTCTCACGGCAAAGTGCAATCGGTAACGAATCTCTTCCCTATTTCGCTTGCTACTACTTTTTTTTTCTCTCTTTTTATTGTTGTCGCAAATTCTCACATCCCATTTCGCCATGATTTTATTGTTATTTTTTCTATTGCATCTCGTCGGCGCTATAAACGAGATCAGGAAGAGGATGTTCTCTTTTGGGGATCATTAGAATCGCTGTTATCATCATTATCATTGTTGTCATTATTCATGTTCATCCTTATGCGAATATCATGCATACACATGTTTTTATTATTTTAGGTGCATAAAAGAGCAAAAAGAAAAAAGAAAAAAAAAGTATTCATTTGAACAAGTCTTAAGATATTTTTTGGGCTGGTCATTACTTAAAAAAATTGGCGTTACATCTTGGTCTGAGGTTGTTGTATCATTACATCCCTCAAGACAATTTTATCAAGGGCAAGGGAGAGCAACATTTGTGTGTGTGCGTGGCATGTGTGAGTGCGTGCATTGAGCAGCCAATGCGATTGATGGATCCAAAAAACGATGGCCCAACCCGTACCATATTGACATATGACCATGAATGTGTGCATGCATAGTCATCGTCTCATTTTGAGTGATGCCAGTGAGACAGCTACGTATGCTTTCGCGTAAGCCCTAGCACGACACTTCCTAATCATTTTGAAATTTATTATGAACATTATAGGTACATTTTTAATCCTGTTAGGCGCCATTATGATTGGATTGTTTGGCATTGTACCTGAGCCAAGTCATTCACTCGAAGATTTGATTCATCTTTGGAAACGCCCAGCATTCGTGATTTATTTCTCTTTGATAGAATTCATAGTGATTAGTCTATTGGTTGGAAACAGGATAGTAGAACAGATGATGGAACGAGAAGCGAAAGTCAATAAGACTAATCGGCTGTATCAGCATCGTCAACGCTATTTACGATCTAACTCGGCAGCTAGCAGCGTCAATCCCAACTTGAGTCATAATGGCGCAAATAATTCCTATCATAATAATAAGTACTTGTTAGGTGAGAGTACAGTTCCAGGGCGTTTATTGAAAAAATGGAGTCCATCAAAGATTAAGACAATGCTTGGGATCTCATATGGATGTGTGAGTGGAATGCTGTCGAGTCAAGCGTTGCTTTTTGCCAAAAGTGCCATCGAACTCTTGATGTTGACCATTTTAGATGGCAAGAATCAGTTTGAGAACCCCTTGAGCTGGTTCTTGGTCATTGCTTTGATTGCAGCCGCGCTTCTTCAGGTAAGACCCATAATGGTGCTCAGAAAAGAAGAAAAGCTGGGAATCGTTTTTTAGCAACACCCCATATCGGACAAAGAGTTTATCATTTGAAGCTCTCAGGCTGCTCTTTTTTTTTTTTTTTTCTAATTCTTTTTGAAATTCTTAAATCAAATATAGTTATATTACTTGAACAAAGGGCTCCGATTATGTGACACAGTGCTGTTGGTTCCTCTGTCTTTTTGCGCGTACAATGTCTCGTGTCTATTCAACGGGCTCGTCTACTACGATCAGTGGGGACGCCTGTACTGGTGGCAGATCTTGTTGGTCCTCTTTGGGATTAGCCAGGTGCTCATCGGGGTTCTGGTCCTGGCATGGCGACCAAACGCTACAGGAGACGATTATGACGACGATAGCTTTGACAATGATAATGGCACTAATGAGGCTACTTTGTTGCTTCCCAATGGATCTCGGCCTGGAACGCCAAGACATAGTAGAATGTTTTCGTTCAAGAGTGTCTTAAGTGAGCTTGGTAGTCGAAACAGCAACAGTGGCGTTTGTAGTCCTGGTGGTGGACCAGGACACGGATATGGACATCCTCAGCAAGATTCTTCTATTGATGCTAGAAATTTGATCCATGGATTTGAAATGTACGAAAGTGATGAGGATGACCTCCAAACAGCAACCTCTGAGCAGATACCACCTCCACTTCGTCCGGGACTACAGCTTAATCCATACCAACAGCACCAGCAGTCAGTCCCACAAAGCCCTCGATTGATAGATCTAGCTGGAGATGAAGGCGAAACGACAGAGCACCAACCATATATTCATTCTCCAAGAACTCTCTCCTTCGCTCCATCCGGCCGCACCTCTAGATAAGACCGTATTCTGTACAAAATGAACTTACATAAAAAAAGCTAATTATTTATTTGATTACAAAACTAAAAGTTACAAATAAGATGCAATTGAATGCATATAGCTGTATCTCTTAATGTCTAGTATGTACAGAGTTGGAGGTATTATATTTTTTTATCATTTTTATTTCTTTTCTTTGCCATCTATTTATGCATCGATGGTGCCGGAGAGGATACCAAGGACACGAATCAGCTCTTCAGGACTGGTAACATGCCAGTTAGCAAGTGTCTTTTTGAGGGCATGGCCGATCGTGATTGAAAAGTGTTCATTGGTCAGGTTAGAGTTCGATCCCTGGGAGCTGATTGATGTCAAACTAGTGATTGACCCTGGTGTCGCAGGTCCTGAAGGTGAAATAGGTGTAGTAGCAGCATTGCTGTCGTTGTTGGCACTGTTGATTTTGGTCGTGAAAGGCGCTGGAGGTCTCAAATGCGCGCCATTTGGAGCCTTTGCTATGCCATGGGGGCCTGAACTGTCCTGACGATGAGGAATGGGTGGAGCAAGTTCTCGCGATTGTTGACGTGTCGCTTCTGCAATCTTGGCAGCCGTTGCAGCGACCAACGCATCGTTATAAGGCTCGATGATGGCTCTGTTCTTGAGAGATTCACGACGGTTGTTGCCACCACCACTATTTCCGCTACCAGCCAATGCTCTAAACATATCCTCGTCTGTCTTGTCATCACCGGCACACAGGACGAACTCAGCTTCAGGATGCTGATTTAATAAACGCTTGACGATCTCACCCTTGTTTACAATTGTGGGACGCACTTCCAAATTCTTCTTGCCAACTAGGATCTCCACGGGGAGCTTGGACAGTACAGCGTTCTCAAGATGATTCTGGCATTCTTTGGCCTGGAATGCACCAAACTCAGGGTCAGCCATGCGGTAGTGCCATGTGAGTGATGATCTCTTGTGCTCAATGAATGATCCTATTAAGGGAATGGAATAGAATAGAAAAAGAAAGAAAGTGTTGAATTTACTTGTGAAACGTGTGACACGGCTTCTAAGCTTACTGCCATTTTCCTTGACCCTGGCATTTACCTTGGGTACGTTCGGTATAGTAAGTAAAAATCTCAATGACATCATTCTTCCAACTCATATCGAGGGACTCGGTCAGGTTGACCCATTTCTTACTACGGGGCTGTCTCATAAAGGAACCATGCTCAGCACTAAAGCCCAAGTTCTCAACTTCACCCAACCATTCCTCCAACACCTTTTGATCACGCCCAGAAATTACCCACACTACGTTGTTAGGGTCGCTTGCCAAAGCTTGCAGAGCCTTGAGCATATGTTCCTGAGGAACTGCCGCACCGGGAGTCTTGCGGATGGGGGTCAGTGTACCATCATAATCAAACATAAGCAGACGCTTTTTGGCACTGCGATACTTGTCAGTAATAATGTTAAGATCAAGATAAGGTGTAGGAGTCGATTGATCCCAGGTGCTGGCATTCAGAATAAGCTCCGAAATGAAATTCTTAGCCCAGTATTGAGCCGTGTGAGAAAGGACATGGTTATGGAGTTGCTAATATTGATGACGGCATAAATAAAAGCAATATCATCATTAATATTAAAGAGACAAGAGGCGTTAATCAGGGGTCCTCACTATGCTTTTTTTACACGCGTTCCATTCACTTACACTATGGCGAGCACGTTTGTCTTCCTCACTGAGATGCAGAGCATCATAGATGACGCGAGCAACACCCTGATAGTCCCACGGGTTGACCATCAATGCTCCACCCAGACTTCCTGCAGTTCCCGTAAACTCGCTCAAAATGAGAGGACCATGGTTCTCCTTCTGGCACATGATGTATTCCAGCGAAGTTGTGTTCATGCCGTCCCTGACCGAAGTGATTAAACCAATATCGGCAACTGACAAGAGAGCATAATACTCATCACGATCGATGTGCTGGTGATAATGATGGACGGGCGTGAAGTTAAGCGAACCATACGTTCCATTGATGTGAGCAACCAATTCCGCAATCTTGGCTTCCAATTTAGGGTTCTCGACCAAAGGTGGCGAAGTAACTTGGATCAAGACAACTTCGCCTTGCATCTCAGGATAATCATTCAAGAATTTTTCAAATGCATGAAGCTTTTGTTGGACACCCTTGACTAAATCCAGCTTGTCGCGGCCTACAATAATGCGCTTTCCTTTATATGTCTTACGAAGAGCCTCTATCTTCGGCAAAACACCAGGAGCCTTGCGTTGGCGTTCAACTCGCTCCGCATCGATTCCAATGGGGAATGTTCCTACCCAAACCGTTGATCCCATAGCATCTACGCCACGTGGCGTAGACTCATAGCCATTAACGCGAGTGCAGCAGCTGATAAAATGACGTGCATATGAATATGTCTAATGGAGGCAGTTAGCTTGTTAGGGAATGGTCCTTCAAAAACTATAATCCGTTTTAGAGCAAAATGATAATAATAATAATAAAATAGATGAATTACCTGAAATCCGATCTGATTTGCACCTAAAAGACCGTTCAAGACCTCGACACGCTCTTATTAATGGTAATTGGGCAGGATAATGAAACATATGAAAAGGTAAAAATTAATACCCCAAATTGCGCCTAGCATTCCGTTTGTTTCATTCGTTCTTTAAGCTGAACCATTGAACAATAACTTACTGGGAAGGCATCTGAAAATTTCTGATGAAGGGAAAGGCGCATGAATAAAGACACCAATAGCAGCCCCTGGCAACTTCTGACGCAATAGATGTGGCACAAGCAATAAATGATAGTCATGAATCCAAACTAATGAACATTCAGAAAAAAGGAAGGAAAAAAAGGGTCGTGAGAAAATCATCAAAAGAAACAAGAGGAACTTATAATGCCAACCTATTAAACAAGTAATAAAACCGGCCCACATACACACATAAAGGGAGCATCGATGTGTGTATAACTGCTTAAATGGCACAGTGCTTACTTACCAATGTCACCTGGCTGATACTGTTCAACAATTGCATCTGCGAACTGCTGGTTCACAAAGACATAGTCGTCCCAATTTTTCTTCTCGACACGACCATCCGTCGCCTTCTCCCAAAGGATGTAATGGAATAATGGCCAGAGAACTGATCATGAAAGAGCAATAGCCCCCCAAAAAAAAAAAAAAAAAAAAAAAAAAGTTTTTGCAATGAGCACAAAATGACATAGTGTTGTCACAAATTATAATTACACATCTCTGTATGAGACATTGCCCAGTGTCTCGGTGCCTGGGCGCCCATTAATGGTGCATGCTGTCTTTATCATTGGTCCATGGTTCACTCACCAGTCTTGCAGAATCCTTCATAATGACCAGCCGCGCGGCTGTCGTCCAAGAAAATGGGGACAACCTTCTCTTTTTGCCACAATTTCTCTTTAATATTTTGCTTGTGCTTTTCACTTAGGCTCTTGCATGGAACCACATATCCGTCCTGATCTGCTAGTTCACCCACCCATCCAATCTGGATAGTCTCGAGATCCTTCTCTAGTGACTTGATTCCAGAATACATGGCCGAATGGCCCCTCCTTGGATCAAGGATACAGTCTCCGTCTGCCAGTAAAATGGGCTCTCCTCCTGCGGTGCCGCCAACACCAGCTTGGGATGAATGGCTTCCGGATGCGTTCAGAAGCCCAGGCGATGAATGGCCTTCAATTTCAAGGGGAGAAGACGCGGCGGGATGGCGAGGGATTGCCATGGAGGCGCGCCTGTTGGTGGGTGAGCCAATGCTGGTGCCCATAGTTGTAGTCCCCGACGAAGCATTGGATCGATCGATGATAGTGCATGCGTAAGGAATCTGGTGAGTGACGTTGATGAGCCTCGGTTTCTCGCTGAGCGTGATCTGCGCGGTCTCGGGCAATTCGGTCAGCGGCACAAGCATTGGGACATCCAAAGAGCTTGTTGAGGATGTCGAATGAGTTAAGGAAGTCATACTCTCGTCTTCTTTTTTTACGGCTGTACGATCGAAGATGAAAATAAAGGAGTTCTAGAAAACAACGAGAGAGTGTCAGTGTATGCGTGAAGGGGGAGTAGAAGGACAATAAAAAAAATAAAAGAGTCTTCCACAAGGGTTTGAATAGGATTTCCAGTGTGGAAAGGTATGGTGAGGAAATGGAGGAGACGAAAGGAATGAAATGAGAAAGGGAAAGAGATAGGGGAAAGAAATGCAATGCAATACAATGTCATGCAATAAAAGGAAGATTAGTTTGCTTTGTAAACTACTTAGACATGCCTTTGCATTGGAATAGCACAGGTACACTTCCTGCGCACGGTGAAAAGATAAGTTGTTGTAAATGAGGTCATAATTCGTCTTATCTGTTGATCTGTACGGTTTTTAAAGTTAGTCCAGAAATTCAGGGGCAAAAGATTGAGAGGATACAGGAGACGAAAATAAACAGAACTTACAAATTTTTTGTGGGTGTGCCGGCACCCAAATACTTGTGTCTAGCGTCGTGCGCGCTTTGCAGCCGGAGCAGGCGACTCTTCCGTGGGCTTGTACTTTGCAGGCCTCTCTTGCCTCTCAATTTGAGCAAGACCGATTCTTGCGATGTTTTCCGCCCCTACTGCGTCACGGTCGAAGAATACCTTACATGTCCGGCAATATTTAGAGCGAGGGTACACCGTCTCTAAAAAGCTATCGCAGAGGGGTCGGGGACAACGGGCGCTGGTGTAAAATTCGTGCGCCCCTACAGCGAAGTGTCCTCGTGCTTTGACCTAAGCGTTTCAAATGGCAGTCGTTTATTAGCAAGGGTTCTATGGCGCTCCAGCTTTTCTTACTTTTTTTAATAAAAGCCATACCTGTGTGACAAGGTGTCTCGTTATAGCAGTGTGCTTGCTGGGAACTCCTTTACTACTTTCAAAGGACCCTAGGCCGACGACAAACACTCCTTTTTCCCCGAGCATCTTCAACACTCGCTGTACCGCGTAGTCGAACGTAGCTCATTGAGCCTTTCGTAGGTCCCATTTTTTTTCTGGTGCCATCTGGACTCGTAGAACTCTTGAAGCACATCCAAATTCTTTGATCCTATCTGTGTCTGGGACTCCTCGCTCATCCATTGAAAGTACTCATTGTACGTACCCCTTCCAAACACAGGGATGGCGCTCTCAACCTCAATCATTCCTTTTTCACGCTTCCTTTTGTTCAACAGGTGATTGAAGCGGAGGACGGGGAGGTACAAGAACCTGCTTCTCACCTTTACCGTTTGCCGCAAGTTAGGGTTGTGAGGATCCAGGGAGGAAAGCGTAAGGGCGTTAACAATACCAGGATCGCATCCGACGATAGTTGTGGGGTTTGCGGATGGGCACCGCCCTGGTTTGTTGAATGTGAACTCAACGTTTTCAAGCAGTTTGGAGCTCCTCTTCCAGTTTATGTTAGCATAGTCTTCATCTGCCAGGTCTTCACCGGCTGCCTTTGAACACGTCGTGTTGAGAAATCCCTGAGAAAGCTCCAGTTCTTGGCTGGGGTCTTCTTCATCTACGTCAGACTGCTGCTGTCTCTTCGTCTGGGTTGTGTCATAGGCAAGTAGATTCAGAACTAGACCGTTGGTAGAAATCGTTCCTTTGAGTTTGAACCGAGTTAGATCCTTGTCCTGTGACTGCAGGGATACTTTGTCTCGATATCCAAGAACCATGCGATCGCCTCCAATGTCACAAAAGAGAGCCTGAATCAAAACCCCTTTTGTTCCCTGTACACACTCAAACATTGCAGTCTTGGAAGGATTGTCGAGAGGCAGAATACGCTCTAGTAGCTGCTTGGTATCTTCGTTCGCCCAGAGGATGTCAACTAGGGCGTGTTCAGACAGATACACATACCCGGGTGACCAGGGGGACGTAGGAAAGTCTGAGTATTTTTTTTCACTTTTTTGTTCTCCCGCAATAAAAACTCAATGTCGCTCATATCTTCGTTTGTTTTCTCGACATCAAACTAGAAAAAAAAAAAAAAAAAAAAGAGTCTGAATAAAGAGCATTTGATTGCAGAATATGCATGAAAATATCTTACACAAGCTATACCATTGCGTTCTGTAGTGCTGCCTTAATGATGTCTGTACTTGGCCCATTAGTAGCTCTGACGCTCTGGAAATGAGATCTTTTTGGGATCAAAGCCTTGCACGTCCCCCAATGTGATGTCTATTTCCTTTATTGGGGAAAGTTCGGTGGTGGCCTTGAAATGTTCATAGGCGAGGAGATAATGGGGCGCTTCTACCGCCTTTCCTTGTTTTTTTGCCCTCGCGTAAGCTGAATTGGGGCCACCTTGACCACTTAAAAGAAGGGTGGCGAGACGGAAGGAATAATCATTGCTATCCAAGACCTCGTCCAGTGCCTTTTCCTCGACCTTGCTGCCCCTGGTAACCGCATGATCCTCTCAATGTCCAAGGCAATCGCCCAGTATGCATATCGGCGTAGTCGGTTGAGGACAACAACTGTCCCTCGGATCTGGCCTGCAATACTATCCCTTTCATCTGCGTCCAGTCCGCCTTTCCTTGCCATGGAGGCCTTAAGAGACCCAATTGTTAAGGCCTTGATAGGGTGCTTACTGCTGTAGCTGTGATCAACCCTCGTAGCATCCTTCAAGTTCCTAATTAGTGCACCTTCTTTTTTAGCCCTGTGGGGCTTCTTGCCTTTGTGCTTCCGCTTTTGTTTTTTCTGTTGCTTCTTTTTTGCCTTTTTCCGACGTGGTGGATGCTTAAGGCCCGGCCTATCGTGCTGACGGCAGTTACTGATATCAACTGTGCGCCCATTCAATATGCTCGCCTTGTCAGAAAAGATGGCTCGCCTTTGCTGAGCCATTCTATGACGAAGATCCTTTCCATTGAGTAGACGCTGCTTGAAGTTATCGAACTCATTGTTCAATGGTAATGCTTGGGCCGACGTTTGATGGCCGGAAGTAAAAACGCGGAGAGCTACTCTGAAACGGCCTTCTTCAGAGGCTGCGTTCCTTCCCAACACCTTACTAGCTTCCCTTAGGTAGTCCCGAAGCATTTTATTGTAGTTCTCGTTCCACGCAACCTTTCGAATTAATCGAAGATTATTAACCGGGCCTAACGTCTCGAGGTTCCTTGAGTAGTCATTGCCTGCGATGGCACAGAATAACACCAGATGCGCGTGTGATGGCAGTCTTAGTGCTTGGATAACGTTGTCTACATCGTAAACCCCTAACTTCCGTCTACGGTGCGGAAGGGGTCGCACTAGGAAGTAGACTCGTTCGTACGCAAAAAAATCAGAGTCTTGGGATATTACGATCCTATCATTATCCTCATTATGGCACCCTATGCATGGGTCCGCTTCATATGCACACAGACAGACATCGAAGACAGAGCTAAGGCCTGTTGCCAGCTGATCCTTGTCCTGGACGCTCAGGGTGTGGACTTCTCGAAGACCCTTCTGGATGCGCCTCATGACTTGAGGACGAGTCCATACCCCACTCCGAGAATTTCTCTCGAAGGTGCTCATATCGTTCTCCAAAGCATCCATATTTTTTTCTCTTATGGCTTGCCGTTCTGTCCTTGCTTTTTCTTTCTCAGTACAAGGTTCCCCATCAATATGTATAATCAGATTGTCTGTTATGAAAAGATCCTTTATCACGAGAGCCAGGGACCTTCCTACATCAATGATGGATTCGTTTTTCATCTTTGCATGGCCGACTCCGCGGAGGATGTCGTAATAGAACGCACCGAGGAGATCTACATGAACAGAATGGTCAGGATTTGCCGCCAAGAAAGTGCCCACGTCAGTTTCCGAAGGTAAAACCCCGCGATCCGCAACCAGTTTGAAGAAGGATTTCAACCCCATGGCCAATATCTAAGCGAAAGAGAAAGAAAAAAGGAAAAATGGTGGCGATGAAAAGAAATGAAAAAAAAAAAAAAAAAAAAAAAAAAAAAAAGAGCGACAAAGGTATAAAAGGATGAGCTTTTTTATATTGAGGAAAAGATACAGGAACAAGTGGCAGTGGTAAAAGGGATGGGACTTTGAAGGGGGAAGACAATGATCCCTTTTTATATCCTGGATTGATTGAGTTTTATCATTGTCTCATATAGTTTTGATATCGATCCTTTGCTTCACAGGCCACATCAATCTTTATTCAGTTCCTTTGTTTGGATTGGGGTTTTGTTCAAGTCAATAGCAGAGATTGACAAATAAATACAAGCTCTCGCATGAACGGCAGATTGGAAGTGAGCATTCGAAAAAATCATCTCCAGATACAGCATACAGTGTCGATGTCGATCCTTTGTTACATAATTTTTTTTTTTTTTTTTTTTTTTTTTTTCAGTTTCTTTTGTTTGCACTGGCCCTTGCTTTGTGCTTTGTGAGGAATTTAATGAATAAAAGAAGATTTATAATTTTGAACAGGGGTAATAAATGCCTCGGTGATTATATCCTTGTCAAAGGTAACAACTAAAGAAAAAAAAGTCTTTTTTATCAGAGAATGGCTTCATATGATGCTCTTTGCTCCAACAGCCCCAGTACTATTGCGTTAAAGCAGAGATATTCGTTGACTCTCAGATTCCGGCATCAATGGCGGAGATAGGAGTGATGTAGTTGCATGCGCTTATTGCTTGGAGTAAAAGCTATCTAAGCACCCTTTCTTACTGGACGATGCCTTGTTAATGGTGATATTGCGCAGCGCCTTGTGGATGGAGGGAGAGCAGAAGCGAGAGTGGTGGTTTTTGGCGGTCGTTTGGTGTGTGTATGTGTGAATTTGATAGTTGATATCAATCGCCAAAACATATGCATCTAGAAATACAGAAGCGAGATTGATACCGACGCGTTTGATCCTTTCCTAGGGATTGTTATAACCATGGGATGATTGTGGAGTGGCCGCCAAAATAAAGTTTGTTTGGAGGCACCAATGGAAAACGCTTGTGTTTTGAACAAAAAAAGACGTCGCGATGTAAAATGTGTTTATACATGTACAGAAACTTAAGAGATGCTTCAGCTGCTTATTCGTGCACACAGTGATTGACGAACAAAAAAGGAAAAAAAAAGCCCGCGATGAAAGAAGGCATGTGCAGACAACAAATAAACACAGCTCACATACATTTTTTTCACCGTTGTGTCTGTATCTCTTCTAAGCTTTCTGTCTAGCCGTTTAACACAAGGAACCCTCAGAAAAAGAAATACCTCGCATGATTGGTGCCAAGTCTGAAAACAACAACAATGCATTGCTGTACGTGGAAGATAGGGTCTAGAAACTATACCATTGATCACAACCGCTACCCATGCTCTCTTGCCAAGGACTTTAACAGGCATAGCAGCCCCTTCTTCCTTGCTCTCATAACCGCTCACATCCTTTCGATGCATTCTTTCGCCGTTTATGTCCACTACATCTGAACCACACACAATTCACCACTCACTCCAACAGAGATATTTGTATCACCTTGGGTATGATATGTTGCTGTGGTTCCCTCCGGTTTCAACAGGCCCAACAAACTCTATAAGCTGTTTACCAAGCCAGATATATCAAAGGAATGCAAGAAGACGAGGAAGCGAACGATGTGACAAATCAAGTCTTGCCGAGCTGTACAAGAAAAGATCAAGTTAGTCAAGCTCCATGGTGCGGAAGAATGGTTCCACTCAGATTGCCCTCCTTTCAAGTCGATACTACGGCAGCGAACATTATCGCTGTTATATTACATCAGTCAATAAATAAACGATACAATGGACTCCCAAGGGGATGCTAGGGTCATGCGAAAGTCTTCATGAGTTTTTTATTTGCACAAATAAAGAAGCCAGGATAGCTCCATGACAATTTAGTTTTCGGCCATTTATTTCGACATCGAAATAAAATTTCAAGACAGTGCCCATGGATTGCTGGGTTTTAAGCCCATTTATAATGGCAAATTTGCCCTTGTGACGGACGAAGGGATAATGAACTTAAAAATTCCTTTCCCACTCAGCAATCAGGTACAGGCGTAGATTGCAGAAGATACATCGTGGGCTACTCCAGAGCATCCCATACGTCGTCCATACCCCTTTCCTTTTTGTCAACTGGCTTCACCGACCTCGTGTCGATTCTAATTACACCATTACCAGCAGATAGTCTTTCGCATGACATAACCATATTATGTGCAGCTGCTATCGACCCTTTCTTTTATTGTGTCCTGTGTCTGCATCTGTGATCAATTCGATGATCACAGGGAATTGCTTATCTTTTTGGCATGTACCGCACAAGTATTCAACCACACCATTGGATCCACGTAACCTTTTCTTTTATCATAAATTAAACTAACTATCAACAGCAATGTTGAACAGTTTTGTTGTGCAAAAACAATATTTAATATAGCTGTCTAATAGCATACCTTTACTCTCTCCGTTTCTTTGTTCTGTAGCGGCACACACTGTTGCGCCTGTACATGTCGTCATATAAAAAATTGGCCCTTTTTACCCTCGAGCCCACAGCTCCTCGCAGGAAAAAAAATTTTCTCTGTGTCTCATCATAATTGTTATTGGTCAATGCAGGATTTGCTGTTGATCCAGAGAGTAAGGAGCAACTAGGAGACTCAGCACAAATGAGGAGCAGAGTGTCCGTTTGGCTTGGTAAGAGTGACGTCCATAAGGATCAGAAAGTCTGATTATCAATCGAATCCAACCTTATGAATTCTATCGTCTAAATATACTTAAATGACACTACAAACACTTAATGGGGAACCATGTCTACAGGTTACAGTTCTTGATGTGCACTTGTAGATTCTTTAAAAGATGTCCCCGCTACACTCACTACTTGAAACAATGGCGAAGACAAAGATCAATAGGAAAAGGCTGCATATATTGTCCATATGAATAGACTCCCTAATTGTGACGATAAGATAAACTGAAGGCTTGATGCATTCTTATCATACCATGTATAAAGATAAAGTGGTTTTTTTCACAAACCACTGAGTATGTGTCATTTGTCTTCTGTGAACAAAAGGACAAACTGGCTCATTTTATGAATATTTGTGAAATACACGTGATTAATCTAGTCTTTAGCTTAAAACACGCGTCTGTTATTTTTGTGCTCACTTTGTGCATCTGCTCAATTCACTTCGCCGCGTCCTAAAATTTATTTTGAGTCCAAAAACAAATTTGAATTTTTAGAAAATTTTAATGTAATTTTTACTCAACGACGCGTCTAAAAAAAAGAAAGAAAGGAAGAAAACACCTTAATATTTCGACTGAATTGTTTTCTCTCATTTTTTTTTTTCCTTTTCCTCTCTTTTTTTTTCTTTTCTGTTTTCTCTCTTTTCGCTTATTCTTCATACTCATATAACGTCAAAAGCCATATATTTTGCACTTCAATCACTTTCCAGCGCATTTTTTAATTTTTTTTTTATTGATTTTCTCACTAAATACACACATTAACAATGGGTACTACTCGCACTAAGAAGGAGGATGCTGCCCCTGCTGCTGCTGGTACCACTGCTGCTGCTGGCACTACCGCTGCCACCCCCGCTGCTGAAGCCCCTGCTAAGGCCGCTACTACCAAGAAGGCCAAGACCTCCACTCCCAAGAAGGAATCTGAACATCCTCCTTACAAGGTATACAGGCCTTATCCAGGATCATAACAACCATAACAAAAAAAAACCATTTATTAAGATCTACGACAGATATTTTGGTTTTATTCAGGATATTCAAAATTGATGAAGAATTAAGAGCAAAAATTATGACGAAAGTATACTAAGATTGTCGCATGATTTTTTTCCTTTTTCTTTTCCATTCGATATTTGGATTCAATAGGAAATGATAATTGCCGCCCTTGTTCACCTCAAGGAGCGCAACGGCTCTTCCCGCCAAGCCTTAAAGAAATATATTAGCGGGAACTACAAGGTCGGCGATAGCTCCGATGTCCACTTGAACGCTGCCATCAAGCGCGGTGTTGAGTCTGGTGACTTCCTTCAGCCCAAGGGTAAGTCTGGCCCCATCAAGTTGGCTAAGAAGGAGCCTAAGAAGAAGGAGGCTAAGGAGAAGAAGGAGCCCAAGGAGAAGAAGGCCAAGAAGCCTGCCGCTGCTGTCGCTACCAAGAAGGCTGCCGCACCTAAGAAGGCTGTACCTAAGAAGGATAGTGCTAAGAAGGATACCAAGGTAACTTTGTTATTAGATATAGTCGTCTAAGTTTTATCTTAATACTGTATTCACTTTTGATCGATGTGTTGTTGATATGTTTACATTTGTATTGTTTTGATCGATATGGCAGACTGCACCAAAGAAGGCTACTGCTGTTAAGAAGGCTGTCAAGAAGGCTGAGGCTAAGAAACCCGTTGCCAAGAAGGCTGCTGCCCCTAAGGAGAAGAAGGCTGCTGCCGCTGCCTCTAAAGAGAAGAAGACCAAGGTTGCTGCCGCTCCCAAGGAGAAGAAGCCTAAGGCTACCAAGGCCTAAGTTGGTCAGGGCATGAATCTCACGAGCCATTTTTTTCTCGGGAAGAGCGAACAAAAATCAGAAAATGGGTCTCGCTGGATAACAAAAAAAAGACATTAGATGCATGAGTGTAAACCAACCAAACGCGGCCAGCTTGTTCTTTTTTGTGTAATATTTTTTTTTTCTCGTCTGCTTGTCTGCTGGCCAAGGGCTTTGGAAACAACCCTTTGCCTTTATTCCCTTCTCATTATTCCCCCTTACTCTTCCTGACCCACCAACTGCATTTTCCATAATTGCCCTTTGTCCATGCAATTTTTAGTTAGGATTCATTCCCTTGTAACAAAACTGTATTTGTGTTTGCTTTTTTTTGTTTTTGTTATTAAAATTTTTTTAAATTTATCATAATGCATTTGCAACAACGAAGAAATTTACTAATGATTACTGGAATATTCCGATAGGTCAGCAAATGCTGACTTAGTTTATACTTTTTAGCAGAGCCAAGTAGCTACGCCACTGTATGTGGCTTATTATCTCACATTTTTCCTTATTATGTGAGCATGCTTTTTGATTCCATGAAACTCTTAGAAATATCAAAAAAAAGTATAAAAAAGATATCTTAATCACTCGACCCCAAATTTTTCTTCATCAAAAACTAAAGCACGCAGAATAAAAGAAACAGATACACAAATACATATTCTCTCTCCTCTAGATTCGACGCTAAATCAGCAACATCAATATACTACAATGACTTCTTCACTTGCCAGAGCTTCACGATCAGTTATCAAGGCTGTTCTTTCTAGAGAACAAGCCGAGGGTGTTGGAGCCCGAGTCCGTCGATCTATTGGACGGCCCGAACTCCGTAATCACGATCCTTTCCTCATGCTCGACGAGTTCAATGTTGACAAGAACGGTGGCTTCCCTGACCACCCTCACCGTGGATTCGAGACCGTCACTTATATGCTTGAGGGTCAGTTCCAGCATGAAGACTTTGCAGGACACAAAGGGACCATCGGACCTGGAGACTTGCAATGGATGACTGCTGGACGTGGTATTGTCCATTCAGAGATGCCTGTCAAGTCCCAGACCCGTGCTCATGGACTTCAGCTCTGGATCAACTTGCCCAAGGAACACAAGATGTGTGAGCCTCAATACCAGGAGCTGCTCGATGGCCAGATCCCTCGTGCTAATCCACAGGAAGGAGTGGTGGTGAAGGTGATTGCAGGCGAGTCACATGGAGTCAAGAGCAAGGTCTACACTCGCACACCAACAATGTATCTCGATTTCAAGATGGACAAGAACAAAGCAGTTGAGCAATCCATCCCTGCCAACTACACTGGATTCATCTACACACTCAAGGGAACCATTTATGTAGGTGACAAGGAGTTCAAGGGTGAGGCTCACCACACCCTTACGTTCTCGGAGGACGGAGCCGAAACAGTCAAGATCACAACCAAGGATGAGGACGCCCACTTTGTGTTGATTGCAGGCGAGCCTTTGAAGGAACCCATTGTTCAACATGGACCATTTGTAATGAACTCACAAAAGGAGATCTATGACACGTTTGTAGACTACCAATTTGGACAGAATGGCTTTGAGCGTGCTCCCAATTGGCGTTCAACCATTGCTTAAAGTGAAAAATGTAAACAAAAAAGGCAAAGCTTGTACAGTACAGAAGTGCGTACCAAAATCTCCTTCATTTGTAAAATATACACTATTAAAACTTGAATAAAAACATATACATTTACTATCATTATTATTCAGTATTTGTTATTTTTCTATTCGTCTCTTATTTAATGAGTCTCACCAGCCTGTTCAGCCAGGCTGTAAAACAGTCCTTTCTTTCGCAATAAATTGGCAGGGGTATCATACTCCTCGACTTGTCCCTTCTCTAAGACTAGGATCTTGTCGTAATCCATAATAGTCTTGATGCGGTGAGCAATCGTCAAAATTGTTCGATCCTGGAACTCCTTTCGAATCGTCTTCTGGATTAGCTCGTCCGTTTCCACATCCACAGCTGCAGTTGCTTCGTCCAAAACTAGTACTTTGCTTTTGCGAAGCAGCGCACGAGCTAAACACAATAGCGATCTCTGTCCTACTGAGAGGTTCTCCCCATTCTGTGCAACTTCAAACGAGAGTCCATTCGTCAATGAAGAAATATAGTCCTTCAAATGAGCTCGATCCAAAGCTTCCCAGATCTCTGCATCGGTCGCTTGATCAAATGGATCCAAGTTTTCGCGGATGGTGCCAGAAAAGAGCGTGGGATCCTGTGGGATGATTGACAGACGTTGACGCAAATCTTTCAGTCCCAATGTTGAAATATCAACCTCATCAATCTCGATATGACCACCATCAATTAAGGGTTCAACATTGGTGCCATCATTAAAATGTCCGTCTTGAGCGCTTGCGCGAGCCCAGTAAGAGTCTGCGGCTTCAATAATACGGAACAAGGCCAATGTCAGAGATGACTTGCCTGCACCTGTTCGACCTACGATACCAATTCGCTGTCCTGGATTGACTTCAAACGAGACATTTTTGATCACTAAGTCCAACCCTTGACGATACCTTGCTGAATAATTCTTGAAGCTAACTCGACCTTGAGATGGCCAATTGTGAGGCAACTCAATCGCGATAGAGTTGGGTGCCTCTGTACGCTTGTTAGAATACTCATGAACACGTTCCACCGCTACCAAATCTCCTGCTAGATCACAGTATGATCTCAAAGTCCAGATCACGTTGTAAGTTAAGCTCAAAGAGTTGCTAAGAGCAAGGCCTGCAATACTGGGGCTCAATGAATCCTTATTCCCAACCGCTAATAAGGCAACAATCAGAACTGATAACGTAGAGAGGGCCTCCAATCGAACATTGAGCCATCGATTAATCATCATTGACGAGTAATAGGCATTCGCGAATCGGTCCGATCGGGCTGCATTCTCGTCAATGAATCGGCTTTGAATACCCATTGCTCGAATTGAGGAGACACCGTTTAACGTCTCGTCAAAATGCTGATAGAGGGGTGATTTTGAGATGGATTCCAGTCGGCGAAGCATGCTCGAGGTCTTAATATAGTACCGTTGAATCACAAGAATGATCAGAGCCATAACAGGAAGAGTTGCAATAAATGCTGGTGTGGCGAAAGTAAGGATGAATAATGTCCCCAACAAGTTGAAGAAACAGGTCAAAAGACTAAGAAAACTATCGGGCACTGTTTCATCAATGCAGGAGATATCGGATGAGAATCTGTTCAATACGCGTCCTTGACTAGTTCATAGCAGGAAGAGGAAATAAATTGAAATTAGTCTCAGTGAACTGCAGTACTGGTAAACAAAAAAAAAAAAAAAGATGAGTACCTGCGGCAGAAAAACAAAAATAAGGGAGAAGAAGGGGAGGTAGCGGAACACTTACGGAGTGACATCAAAGAAGCACATAGGAAGGCGAAGGACGCGTGCAAGTAAGTTTTCATGAAGAACTATGGAGGCTCTCAAACAGGCATGGACATTGGAGACGTAAGTCAGGTACACATCCACAGCAATGTAGGCAATGACCAAAGCTGCATACACCGATAAAAAGTAGATCACGGTGTGAGTTGTCGTATTAGCCACTCGAGTCCAGTATTCCAACCAAAAAGGTACACTCTGCTGGAATATTTCCCAAACCAAGTACAGCAATACGGTGATTGTAAAGTAGTAATAGGACCTTGGTAATAGCATTGAAAACATTGATAATAGAGGAATTAGGGCCAGCTATAGCAACACGTTATTATTGTGAACACCCACAAACACATAAGACACTTACATCGCCTCACAGTAAGCCTTGAACGTACTCCATCCAACGATACCGACTTGGGTATTTTCCTCATCCACAAGCCCACCATCAGCAGCTTCATGCTCTCCGCCACCCTTGACACTATCGACTTCATCGGCAATGGTAGAAGACTCATCTTCATCCCCGGTAGTATTGGATGAGGTAGAAGCATGCTTGACTTTTTTCTTCCTTCCAATTGAGAACTCCTTGATGAGGTTGTAAAACACATCGTTGGCTTTCATTAAGTGCGTATAGCCTCCAGCCTCCTTAATTCTGCCATCCCTGATCAGCAAAATATGGTCAACTTGCTCTAAATGGTGGATTCCGTGTGTAACCAAGACACGAGTCTTGTCCTTGAGCAAACCTGTTGGACCAAGCAAGTGCTCCCATAGATGTTGATCTACATGAGCGTCCACAGCGCTGAGAGGATCATCCAAGAGATAAATATCCGCGTTCAAGTAAGCTGCACGAGCCAAGGATACACGCTGCTTTTGGCCGCCAGAAAGATTGATGCCACGCTCTCCAATCTCTGTTTGATCTCCAGCAGCCAGGACTTGTAGATCTGGGAGTAATCCTGAAGCAAATAAGACGCGGCCGTATCTTTCTTGATCAAATGGCTTTCCAAAAACAATGTTATCCCTGACAGTCGCATTGATAATCCAGGCTTGCTGTGGTACATAGGCAACCGATCCATAGATTCGGACATGACCTTCTCGCTTATACATATCGCCAATCATTGCACTCAGCAACGATGACTTGCCTTGCCCAACTCGGCCTACTACTGCTGTCAGAGATCCACGAGCAAATGAAGCATTGATGCCCACTAGCGCCGGGCCATTGGAGCTATTCTGTTCTGCAGTCAAGAGCGCTGTTGTTTCTGTTATTTGCTCCTGACTACTCTCATCATCATTATCACCACCGCCAGCATCGTTATCCTCCTCTGCGGGATTTTCATGTTCGGGCGCCCAAGCAAAGGTTCCATTCTCGATCTGAATAAGAGGTACATTAGGGTCCTTAGGCACATTGGGATCACGCTCAATCGCCAATGGGTCCTGTTCTTCCTTGAGCAAAAATTTTTGAACACGACGAGTGGCCACTCGAAGGCCAATGGTCGATTCTGCCAGACGCGACATGATTCCGATAGGCCTGTACAATAGCGAGAATAGCGAGACGCTGACAAAGATCACCTGAGCATTCATATCACCTTGTGTGAAACCAGGGCCACCGACACTGGCATAAACCGCAAACGAGACAAACGCCATGAATAAAGGTAAGCAAGTGAAAATAATCGTCAAGAGAGACATAACCTTGCCTGTCTGACGCAAAAGATTGATCTCTTGCTCTCTGTAAGATGTAGCCTTGTCCTTGAAGTGAGGCTCATAGCCATACAGTTTGATGTTTTTGATATGGGACAACAACTCGCTCATGATGCGAACACGGCTATCCATGGCCTCCAACCGAGCATCGCCTGCGGAATCGAAAAATCTGCCTGCTTTGCCTTGAATTGGAGTAATCACCACGATGGTAAAGAGACCGCATAGTACTGACCACCCCAAGACATTGTATACTAGTAAGATTGGTAAGAAAAAAGAAGAAAAAAAAAAGTTAGCATTATAAAAGTATCTCGGCTAGACAATCAACAAGGAATGCAAAAACCTACACATGACTGAAGCGACCAGGATTTCAAATGGAACGGTGACCCAACAAATAACCCAGAAAAGGTCCTTGGTCCACTTCTCAGCGTCAGTCGACATATGGTTAGTGATTTCACCTGCAGAACCCTTATTATTTCTACTCTTGGGAGACAAGACCAAGGCCTTACGATAGATCATGGAAATTAGCGCACTTCGAACTTCAAGGCCTAGCTCAGTGATCTGCTTATTGAATTGTCCCGACAAGAAGGATACCATGATGTTGACCACAAACATGCCCAACGCCAAGATTACACCACGCGATCGTGGTATAGTTTCATCCTCAGACTCGATATAGGCCAAAATATGATGGATCAAAACAGGAAGGACAAATTGAAGAGAGGATGAAGCCAGCTGAACTAAACTCACGAAAATAAGGGGCCAAAAGAAGGTCTTGACAATAACTTTCATCAGACTAGGTGTCATTTTCTTATTCTGCCCACTTCTGTTACTTTTGTCATTGTCACACTCATGTCCAATCTGAGTTTGGCTCTTCTGATGAGCCCATCGTTTCTCTTCCTCCCAACTGTTGGTCAACTCTCTATACCCTTGCTTGGTCTCAATGTGTTTCGGCATCGTATCCTCAATATCATCAAGAGTTAAAGGCCGCCTGTATCCCAAGGAGACGATCGGCTGCAAGTAATGGAAAGTCCATCTACTAAACAAATTGGCTTTATCATGGTGATTGGCATTGCTCTGTTTTTGAACATGGGTATAGCCGCGCGGTAAAGCCTCGAAGAAGAATGCGGTCAAGATGGCAAAGAAGTAAAGATACAAAGACTTGGAAATAGTTTGTCCTTGTGCATAGAGCGAGTACAGAGATACAAAAGTAGTAATCACTGCATACAACTCATTCAGGAAAACATAGCTGGAGGATCGAATGTTATATCTGGACTCAAGTTCGTTGAGTCGAATGGTTTGGATCTGTTACATTTGTAGTGATTTTTTCGAGATTTAACAATTAGATTCGACATTCAAATTCAAATTTGCATTGCATGGTGATTCTTTCTTTTTTTTTTTTTTTTTTTTTTTGCGATTGCCGACATACCCATGACATAATTAAGGACCCAGCAGCAAACACAGAATAATAGCCATCATGGTTTCCGAAGAACTCAAACGTATATGCGGCCAGCGCACCGACAGCGATGAAGAGCGCCAATTGGCTAGGCCAGTATACAAAGACATGACCCAACCCATGAGGAACTCCATGATGACGTAGATAAATGGCTCTGATTAGGAACACAGCCGTTGCCGCTAATGCAGGTATTCCCAAGAGGACTGTGTGCCAGAAGCAAGGGGAGAGAGAGACACCATCATGGTTCAATGGGCCCTGTTAAATGAAATATTCATTTATATGAATATGAAACATGTATTAGTGTACTGACTTTTCTTTTCTGGATGTAATGAAGATGCGTCATAATGCTTTGTTTTCTTTACCCATCCCTGGGGACCACACCAGGACGAACTTTCCGAGGATACTATTGATACATCCATGACGGAAAAGAAAAAAAAAGAAAAGGTGGAAAAAGGAAAGAAGAAGACCTTCAGAAGGAAATGATTTGTATTTTTTTTCTCAAGCGTGGTCATGGGAAAGAGGAGTATTTATCCCAAATCCTAATTGCATTGCCATTACCAAACAGAGCCAGAACTTTAAAAAAGAGTCCTTGGAAAATATGCTTATTGTCCTTGCCCTTCATTTCGGGCACACAGATAGCATTTGCCTCACATTCCAAACATGCAACTGGACAGTTGGACAGTCGGCGTCTCTCTCATTGGATTTTATACTGCGGCCGCAGTTTCGAGGGAAAAAAAAAAAAAAAAAAAAAAAAACCTCCCATCGGCTCTGCGACATTTTGCATCAGAGTTTATTTTTTTATGGAGCGAAAATATATTTTGCTGTTGGTACATGATATGTAAGATCTCTACTTCTTATCCTTTCTGGTATCATCAAGGCTTTCATCCCATTCCCACCCTTGTTAAGATGAGTACAAAAAGAGAACCTCTATACCAACAGCAGTCAACGCCTCCTTGTATTTGGCCCAGACGTGATCATGGTGTGTGAAGGGCAGCTGTGGATATAGGCGATGGATATTGTGATGATGGTTCAATAGCGGCACTGCTAAATTGAACCCGTCGGATTGGAGGATCCCTCCCGCCGCATTTGTTATCTTGTACACGTTGCCGTTGGCGCTATATTGATGGCCACCGCCTGGACGATGAGACACATATCCATATAACCAGGATATGAGTGAGCGAGGCCCGTCATAAGTCCCGTAGGGATCAAGAGTTACCACTCATACGCCTATGCTGGCCTGGTTTGTGAATATGACCTTGTGCAGTGACAGTACGACGGCGCGGCGCCCGAGTAGTAAAAAAAACATTCATGATATATTTTTGGTTACACGGAGAGTGCATCGTACAAAAGCCCCTGCATTCAACCATGGTCGAGCAAACATGCCCTGTACCACTTCGTTGGGTCATCAAAATCAAAGAAGAGGAGGCTTTGAGAACTGCATCGAAGCGTTTCTTCCGAGCTGGCTTGCCCCCGGTTCGCCTCGCATAGTCGATATTCGAGTTATCTTGATCGAAATTGACTTGCCTATCAACCACATTGCTCAATTCTCTTTTTTCTTTTTTTTTATTTATTATATCGAACCAATAATTGAACACAGGTGAAAATCAATATACAAATACGGTACATTAGTTGTCTCTATTAGATTGATCCTTTATTGTGCACCTGATGTTACTGAACGACCAAGAAGGAGTGATGTGGCACCTTTAAGGGCCATGAACATGTTAATCTTTTGCTTTGCTTGCTCTTGGTATTCTGGAGGAAGAGCTGAAGATGCTGTGGCGAACAAGTTCTGACCCCTTGTCGATCTATTCTCAAATATCTCATTATCATCATTTTCATTGACATTATCATCACTATCCTCTTCTCCTTCTCCTTCTTCGTCATCCTCATCTCCAGAACTGGTGAAGCATGACGATGAGGATGTATCTGAGCCGCCTCGATTCATACTCATTAATAAGTTTCCTTCATCCTCTTCTGCGATAATGGAATGTCTTCGCATTGAGGATGATGGAGACAATGACAGTATGTAGGGTTTCTTATTTAAAATTGCTTGAGGATTATACGACCGCCCAGTCTCTGATGGCACAGAAGGCGCTCCTTGAGCTAGATTGTGCTTCTGTTGTTGCTGCTTTTGCTGTATTTGTTGCTGTGTCAATGCCTTGACAGTAGAATAGCTTGGAGTCTCCTTATATGCAATGCCTGCTTTGACAAGGCCTGTCAATGTAGCAAACAAAGTCTCTGTCACGATCTCATGGATCGCATACTGTTCATCCAATTCGATCACCTTCTCAATTGAATGTTTTGACAGCCTCCATGCCTTTTCCTGTAGACGAAACTTTTCATCCACTTTAGAAAGTATTATTCGCGAGGCATGGATACAAGTCTTGATCGCGTCCGGGATAGGAGATTGCTTCAATCGTATCGCTGACTCAACTGCTGTGGAAACAATGGTCTCACTTAATGTTGACTTGGATGGATTATCATTATTTCTTTTCTTTCTTCGTTTTGTGCTGTGACCACTATGAGGATCTGGTTTATCGCGCTGTTGTTTTTTGATTTTATCAGGCATTTGCTGTGGAGTATGAAGAGTATGGGGACTGTTGGATTGACCAAGTGAGTGTTGATGGATCAAGGATGTTGCTTGGCCACGGTGCTCGCGATGACGTCTGCGTCTACGACGACGAAGCAACTTGGTATCGACATCCTCATCGGTACAAACCAATTCATTCTCTTTTAAAAAGCTTTTCAACTGAGATATGAAGGCCTCTCGACGTAGAGGGTCGCACGTTTCAACTATTAGGAACATAACAAAACAAAATAAGCCTAAATATTTTTCTGATTCCAATTTGTAAGATGAGGGCAAGAGAACAGAATTAAGCGCATTTTCTCTTACATGGTAGAGCGTGCATCAAAGTCATAATGGCGGCTAGATAGAGCTCGAACGCATCATCACCAGCTTCATCATCAATAGTTTTTGACTGCTCTTCTCTTTCCATAGCCAACATTGACAAAGTAGTTGATTGATCAACCAGCTTTTTGTTTAGTTTACGGTAATGAACATCCTCTGGTGTGACAGCCTTGCTCCCTGAACCCTTGCTGCCTCCTGTCTTGGAGGCAATATATGTTAGAGTTGAATCCATCACTGGATGTGTGAGGATCCGACCAGCTACGGGAATGGATCCGAGCTGTTCCTTGGAAGGCAAAAGGCCCGTCCCAACGGATGTAACAGATGTAACTACTTTTTTAGCTGCCCTAAATGGCATCATGGGCGAAGGTCTTGGGATTGAAGGAAGCCTACCATGCCACGTGTTTAAAAAGGACAACGATGGCGAAGGAGGCGGGGTGGTGGATGGACTTGGGCTCACTGACGAATTATTTGTGAAAGTAGCACGAAGTGCTGGTGATGCCGGCGGTGTGCCAGCAGGAGTACTAGAGGTTGTGGAAGAACCTCTCCCAAAGAACAGGGAGGACATTGGAGACAATACCGACATTGCTGCAACATCCTCGGATGTCTGATCAAATGATTTTGATTCCTGCAAGTCTAAGGGTTCAACCTCGTCCTCAAGTACAGTCGGGACCGAGGTGAGCGATGCTAATGATGGAGTATTTGCTGATGATGTTGAGAGAACGGTCGTTGGCGCTAGAGGAGGAGAGACGAGCCATGATGGAGACGATGACGATTTCTTATGCCTTGATTTTGTAGGTAGAGACGTCTTGGTGGGTACAGAGGAGGAGAAAATTACGTCTACAAGTGTAGGTCGTAAGTACTTTGGACGATCACAACTGTCCATTGAAACTCTGCCAGAGCCCCTGTTGTCGGATGCAGAAGTACGGACTGAGGGGGTAGAGTTGTTTCTACGGATGGGGTTTTTTGGTACAGGTACTGGAGCAATCTTTGAGGAAGACATTATGCAATTTTATTTGTGGTGTTGAAAAGAGAGGAAGCTGAAATGGTGGTTATAGTAAGCAGTTGTAGTAGTTGAAGTGGTAGTGGTGTAATGCTGCTATTCGAGCAGGGAAGAATGTCCCTAGACCTCGATTCGAAAGAACGGGTAGCTGGAGGTCGAAGGAAGGAGAAGAATGAAGATTGGTGGTAGAGTTATTGCTCTCGAAATAGAGGATGGGGAGTGAAGAAAGATCCAATAACAGTCGAGAAAGTGTTCATTATTCCTCTCGAAAGAGTGGAAGAAAAAGAAGTAAGAAAAAGAAGGAAGAACTAATGGATCTGTCCTCTCTACTACTTTTACTTATTGAGCAGAAAATGAATTATGATAAAATAACGGATTTTTGTAACTGTTTTTTTTTTTTTTTTTTTTTTGATTGATTTCTTGACTTGTGTAGTGTTGTGTTCCGTTTTGTTTTCGCTGTTCTTGTTCTTCGTGTAATGGAAGAAAAAGGAGTTTTTAGCGAAGCATACACACAGACATTTTTATCTTTAAGAATACACAAGGAAGAGTGTAAGAGAGGTGTGGATAACAATTTACAGTATGAGAATTGAGCAGTCGGAGCGGCCCAGAGGGAGATTTGGCGGACAGCAAGCCTTTTTGTGGCAACAGGTGGGGTTTTATATGTGATTAACAGCTTCTATTATATTATAAATAGTAACATCAATAAAATAAGTCGTATAAATGTGTACATATATATATACGATTGCTGCGTTGATCGCGCAAGAAACCAGTATAAAATATAAATTATACATAGAAGGGAACGATAAGATTATGTTGTACTCCTTCCGCTTTGTCTTCGTCTTGACTATGGTCCCAACATGTGTTGCATTTATTAACAAATATATTTATACAGTGTATATATATTTATGTGTGGTATTAGCTTTTATGCATTGGAAGAAAAAAAAAAACTAAATGGTTGCACTTCGTATCATATCGCCACCCTTCGAACAGCCACGATGATGAATGCATTGTACAACATTGGAACAGGTTACTCGACACATGAAAAAAGAAAAAGCACATCTACTTTGCCAATAAGATGTTTCGACCTTTTTTTAAGTGCTCATTCATCGCGCCATTTTATTTTTCTTTTGTCTTAATATGCACGTACACACGCACCCGACTCTTGATCTTGTCTATCTCCACGAGGCTCGACAAAAGTTTGATAAAGTTAGGTTGCATTGTAAACGGTGGGGAAAAGACTGTGGCTCTTGTTTATTATCTCTTCCGCCTGCATATTCTTTTCGCTTCTTCATTGGTATAGCAGTGCTTCTTTAAGCCTGCTATCCATTGGTTGGTGCAGCTCTCATCTCAACCTGGATGTTCGCCCACATTTTATTTTGCTTCTGTACCCTCAAGAAATAAATAAATAAAATGGGTCAACGGCATGCGTGGCTCTCGCATATCCCTTTTTTCTTTGATATTCAAAAAAGCTGGACATTTTAGGCGTCTCATTGTGAGATTGCAAGCAAAGAACCTTGTGTTTAACCTTACGAACTCCCTTGTTTTGACCCTATCTGAACCACAGGAAAGAATGAAATGTGTATTTCTTCGATCATAACCACAACTGAAAAACAGGGGGACTGATTCTACCATACGTCATATGTCAACGTGGGTATGGCAATGTCCTGCAAGAAGGACCTGCACCTGTGCAGCAATGTGTACACATGCTTTCATATTGGACAAAATCCTGCTTTTTTCTTCCTCTTTTTGTCGTGATCCATTTGCCCTGGTCTATAGTATAAATACAAATATATTTAATTTCATTGTTATCCTCTGTGTTCTTTATTTTTTTGATGAGGAAAATCAAAGTTTGAGTTCGATCCCAATAAAAAAAAAAAAAAAAAAAAAAAAAAGAGAACGAACCTCTATATCCAACCGGGTAACAAACTACACATGTGCTTAAAAGGGAAGCGGTTGGTTCTGAATACATATTATATATATATAATGTAATAACTTCGCCGATTTAAATTATCATATGAAATAAAAAAAAAAATGAAAAAGTTCCAGCTTTATTTGGGTGACATATTGAGTCCTAGTAATAAAATGACACTCATTTTACACGCGCATGCATCAAGTCAAGATGAATTTTTATGCAATCGGATATATTTTTATATATATTATATAGATGTTACAGAACTAAATGAGCACTGGCCATGGTGGAGGTGGACATGAGTGGTAGTCTCACCCGAACATATCCCTAGGCAGGCATGTCATATGTTTATATGCACCATGGCCGTTTGATTCGTTCTACGCTATGACCATTCAAACTCAGTTGCGTAGCTTGATTGCTCTTACAGCATGTGTAAAGAAAGTTCCCATATAAAAATCGGTATCATTTCTATCCGAAGAGTCATCAACAAGGCAGATCACGTATAATAATTATGGTCCACCTTTAGCAAAACGTATTATATTTAGATCACATAAAGACGTGATGCGTATTTGGTGGCTGTCAACAATGACGATAATGAGAAAATACTTTTGAACAATTCCACGTGAAAGTCATTTTGAAAGGTGCATCCCGAAAATTCTTATATAAATTATTTTATTTATTTATAAAGATTATTCTCTGTACTTGTTTTGAGAGAGATTCATAAATATATTCGCCGGAGATCTTTTGGGAGTGTGATTTTTTGACATTGTGGACAAAGTTTCTTACTGCCTAAAGTTTTCATCCAGCATCCCTCGCAATGCACATGCCAGCAGACAATTGACGTTAGAGGAGCAGTATAAGGCTCTAAACAGATCAGACATGAGGGCACGTTTTTACTTGCAGATTCCAAGTGCTTAATCTTGGATCGCAACGCTTCAATCACCAGTCGCGTATCTCCGGACGCAAATGCATTGCTAATCATGGCATTAATTTTAAACTCTTCTTTCCCTTTTTCATCATTCTCATCATCAATGGCTTCTAGATCAATGTCCTCATCCTCATTCACTTCGTCATCAATCTTGTCTGGATATGCATTTTCTTCTATAATATCCACTTCGCTGCTCCTCCTGTTATGACGTGTTATCCCCGATGTGCTACTTCTCTGAGTTGAAGCGGTTAATGTAGAACTTGACGCAAGTACAATTTCCCTCAGCTCTTCTGCATCCGGGTCCGCACTATCCATCACCACGTCCCTCTCCGTGAACTGTGCCCCGCCATATTCATCCTCTTCATCGTCTTCCACATTCAAGTCATCATCAACATCTTCCTGAGCAGAAGCTGCTATCGGTTGGGACCCAGATCCTAATGCTCCCATACCTCCTTCAAACAGTGATGTGGCTCGGATCCTTGTCTGACCCGCCCAAGTGTATTCTTCAAAGGAGTCTGCTGTTCGTTCGTTCGGCATCGTAACCGTAGAGCCTCTCATCGAAACCTCTTCAGAGATTGGTGTATGTGCTTCAGAGGATATATTTACTCTTCCTGAGGAGTGCGGTGGTAGTTGTGGGTTTGTCAGACAAGAATCGATATGATTGTTAATGTCGTCAAGTGAGCCAAAGAGGCGCTCACTACAGATGAAACATGTTGCTGGCGCATCTTCACTCTGACCTAAAAGGAGGACATCGTTTAGTGCTCCTGTTAATCCAAGGTCTATATCTAAGAATCTACGACCATGTCCTGTTGACGATAAAAAAGGCCCTTCCTTGTTGTTTTGTCGAGCAGCTCTTCGCTTTTGAATGTCGCGCAACACCTGACAAAATAGGATTCAAGAGATGTGTATAAACAATGTAGCAGTATCGGTCAAAAAACAAAGACAAGAAGAAAGCCATGGTAATGTATTTTATAGTATTGGTCATAAGAATGTCTTACTCCACGCTTCTCATTATCGGCCGCTGACCCACGACTCTTTCCTTTCGTGAACTGTTTCGTCGCTGCGATTGCGGCGCCTCTTTTCCCTCGAGGTCTAAAAAAAAAAACTCAACATAAGAATACTGTAGTCTATTCCATGGCAAAGCAAATAGAATGTCGAGATTGGGTTCTTTTCCTTTTTTTTTTTACCAATGTTCATACATTTCATACGAAGCGCATGCTTCCAATTGTGTGAGCTCCATACGGTAGTGCTGCTCATACTGGCCTGGAACTACAATCTCGTGGCAGATGGGGCACTTGACTGACGGATTACGCTTTGATCGTTTGACAGGTGTTGAAGGTATGGAAAAAATGGACGCAGGAGCCCTGTCATTCCCCTCTGCATCTATGGAGATATCTTCATCCTCTACCAAATGTTCATCGCCGTTGTTGTGCTCTCCTTCTCTCTGACGCTTATCATCGATGTCCTTTCGAGAATGCTCTGTGTGTGTGAATGAATCCGTATTATTGTCCATTTGCTCATTAGTTTATATGCATTGAATGGTTCTCATGAAGTGATTAGGATCAAAAAAAAAAGTTATGAATGTTGGACCTAAAATAAACAGTCCGGTTCATTTTACAACGCGTCTAAATTACAACTACATAATTTATACATTTGACTTAAAAAGGTTATACTGCTCTTCTTTAATTGACATCGAAACATGTAACTAACAAACAGACTTTATCAACACGCTAGACTAGGACGTTGCCATAGTCTTATAGGTGTCAATATGCTTTCCATTAATGAAAGCAATAAAAATATTGACTAACTTCTATGCTCATCAATGATAGCCACAGTATCAGCTTTCCATCCATTTAGAGACTATTAAGAGAGATACAATAGACATAATGGTAGATTGACTACTAATTTCAGAAAGTCGATTACAATTTCCATATACCATTATATTTATTAAACATATTTGTAAGCATATTCCAATCGTGAGTGGCTAAAAATTAGTCAAAAATAGATAGTAGGAAAAGCCACAATATGTGGCTTCGTTGATATACATAGTTTATGTCAGCAAGACCTATAAAAGAGGGACTTGATCGCCATCTCCACGTTTTTTCTCAATAAAAATATAAAGCGCAAGTTCAACAAATATATTTCTCGTCCTTCAGCCACCAATATTTATCACAGCATAATTTTTTACTCAACGTACACAGGAAAATGACTGCAGCAAGAACATCTCGCTCTATTGTTAAGTCTGTTCTCTCAAAGGAACAGGCCGAGGGTGTTGGAGCCCGAGTCCGTCGATCTATTGGACGGCCCGAACTCCGTAATCACGATCCTTTCCTCATGCTCGACGAGTTCAATGTTGACAAGAACGGTGGCTTCCCTGACCACCCTCACCGTGGATTCGAGACCGTCACTTATATGCTTGAGGGTCAGTTCCAGCATGAAGACTTTGCAGGACACAAAGGGACCATCGGACCTGGAGACTTGCAATGGATGACTGCTGGACGTGGTATTGTCCATTCAGAGATGCCTGTCAAGTCCCAGACCCGTGCTCATGGACTTCAGCTCTGGATCAACTTGCCCAAGGAACACAAGATGTGTGAGCCTCAATACCAGGAGCTGCTCGATGGCCAGATCCCTCGTGCTAATCCACAGGAAGGAGTGGTGGTGAAGGTGATTGCAGGCGAGTCACATGGAGTCAAGAGCAAGGTCTACACTCGCACACCAACAATGTATCTCGATTTCAAGATGGACAAGAACAAAGCAGTTGAGCAATCCATCCCTGCCAACTACACTGGATTCATCTACACACTCAAGGGAACCATTTATGTAGGTGACAAGGAGTTCAAGGGTGAGGCTCACCACACCCTTACGTTCTCGGAGGACGGAGCCGAAACAGTCAAGATCACAACCAAGGATGAGGACGCCCACTTTGTGTTGATTGCAGGCGAGCCTTTGAAGGAACCCATTGTTCAACATGGACCATTTGTAATGAACTCACAAAAGGAGATCTATGACACGTTTGTAGACTACCAATTTGGACAGAATGGCTTTGAGCGTGCTCCCAATTGGCGTTCAACCATTGTGTAAATCAAAAGATTCTTATATCCTACTTTGTATAGTAACAGCTCCATAGACATCTAATGTGTATTTTATATGGTCAATAAAGTAAATTATATTATTCAGAGATGACCTGCTGATGCGACATTTGTGTCTTTCGTGGTTTGAACTGGAAGGCTTCTCTTTTAAAAATTTTTCGCACGCTTCATATATTTCCTCCAACTCGTTTGGTCAGTGATTCATATATTTTCTATTCAAAAAACGTTGATTGAATTGATTTGGTGGCTGATTTTGACATTTCACCCTCCGTGACGAACTGGTGCCAAGGAATATAATTGGCTCCCAATTCAATCAAGATTATTCAAAAAATATATGAATCACTGACCAAATGGGACGGAGTATACAATTCAGTAACCGAATATCAATTTGCGCAATGTTTATCTCCTGTCCACTCAAAACTTTAACGCCTTTTAATGTCGAAATCAAACTCATTAGGGGGGGTTTTTTTTTTTGAGGTAGACTAAGACCATAAATATCCCATGCGGCATCTTTGGGTGACCAGGAGCTGAGATTTAAAAGGCACGTAAGCAGCACATGTATACTTGTTATACAAAATACGTTGGTCAAAAAAAGGGGGCAGTGAGCATTCGTGATTGATAATCTGATCCATGTTGCAGTCGTAGCCTCGGCCAGTCTAGATCTCGCATTGCCCTCCCTGTCTTCCAAATGTAAAGGAGAGAGACAAGTGGAAAAACTGTGCATGGATGACAGTGCCCAATTAGACTACCATAGTACTTAAATAGTCAAAAGCATCGACCTAAAAGCCACGAGTAGGTTCAAGGAAAAGGAATCATTAGTTTACTTCCCACAGTATTGTACAATTGTGAGCAAATAGGTTGACAAAACGTTCTTGAAAGGCGTTAAATGGTGATCCCGCTGAGGATATTTGGGATAGCTCCATGGAGCCGATTCTTTCTTTCTGTTTTTCTTTTTCTTTTTCTGGAAACTAATGTATTGAATTACCAACTTTCGTGCCATATCTGCCCTCAAACCCATTGCTGCTAATATGATTCTAGGTGGCATCTTTCCTGATCTACTCATGGGGCAACTGAGTATTAAGACACACTCTGTTGTCTTGTGTGAGTCTATTGGTATGAAAGCAACAATAGGGAAGAAAGTGAAGAAGACAAAAGAAGAAAGAAAGGAAAAAAAAAGGACATAACATTTCGCGTTTTGTTTACTACTTCATGAATATACTGAGAAATGCTTTTTCTTTTCTTTTTTTTTTTTTTTCTATGGGTGCCATTGGTACTATATACATCAAGTATGCATTTTATGGATACATGAATGTACAGATCGTGCGGCTTTTTCTTCCAACTCGCGCAGATGAAGCAACTTCGTCTATAGTTGGTTCGCGACATGGCCAGGAACGTTGGTCTTAACTGGACGGATTTTCTTTTTCTCGCATCGATTTTACAATCCAAAAAAAAAAAAAGCTTATCCAATGAGCGTTAGTGCATGGCGATTGGGGGAGGGAAACAGAGCTTGGACCCGAAGTTTAGGGCTATCATGAGCAATGGTCTCGCTGCTTTATTTGCTTATTTAAATCCGTTACAAAATATGTAAGAACCACTTGTCATGAGTTTATAAAGAAGGAGGATTTATGCATGTCTTTTTCAAGGGGAGAGATGAGATCCCTCAAGTTCATGTGGGTGACATGCGCGTTATTATCATACACGTACACGCTAAAACACCTTTCAGAAATGTATTGTTTGCGGATAACGTGCAGCTCACTCACGAATAGCATCGCGTTTTTTTATCATGCATGTGTGGTTTGTGTATGCTTTAATCCATCGATTTTACCAATGGCCAAACCCCGCGGGGCCTTTTTTCTTATAACCTCCTGAGATTCTTGCAGACATGTAGCTAATCTATGATTACGCAAGAATGCTATAGTAGACAAAAACAGGCCCATTGTATACAAAAAATATTATGTAGCCCAGTTTATTTGGTTAATATCAGGTGTACTTTTTTCGAATAGTCTCGAGTGTATTAGCAGTTGAATAAATTGCTTGTTGTAAGCTCATCACTAGTGTGAAATGTTGTAAACGAAATGGACGATAAAGTTCAATTCAGTGGTGTGAGTTGTCGATTGTGGACTTTTACCAAAGCGCGGTCAATGCGCCGATTGTTTTCCTATCTGTCCGCGGAAAGATAAAACAAAAATGTACATTATTTTTATACACCTTCGACGTTCTTTACTCGCTGAATATTTTCATATATCTTTTGAATAACCTTGATTGAATTGAATTGGAAGCCAGCCATCAAATCAATTCAACCATCGTTTTTTGAATTAAAAAAATATATGAATCCACTGATCAAGCGATGGAGTATACTTCAATGAGTATAGATGCAATATCTCCGAAAACCAGGTTTTCGATCACGATTTATCTTTCCTTCACTGATGTTGTAATGATTTAGCGACTTGTTTGAAGTCAAGAATTAAAAATAAACAAGGCAAATATAAAATAAAAATCGTTGCATATAAAAATATATGCCATTTTTCCCGTAGTCGTGGTATGTGTAAATATATAGTTTTGTTCATGCAGAGGTTCTGCATGCTTATACTCTAGTTGTTATTACTTTATTTACTTTTTACAGATTTGCTGTCCATAGTGCCTGGTGTTACCAATCGAACAATTCATGCATCTCTTCACTGCCTAAAAAAAAAAAGAAAAAAAAATGCGCGCACACACAAACATCAGGCCTTGTGGCGTGCATATTTTTCTCACACCACATAGGCCAATTTCCTATTCATTTTAAAGCAGAGATAATAACGCGTGCATTATAAGGCGAAGACATATATAAAGGACAAGTATGCAACTAACGTCCTGTTTACATTTTCTTCTACAGTACTCACTCGCGTACGACTCATCCATACTTCTTTCCTTCTTCACTCATTCACAGATCCACACACTTTTCTTCTCTCCCCTTATCATGTCTATTAACTTCAATCAAGCTGGTTTCCAGGGCAAAGTCATTCAGCGCGGCGATGAAGCTTATGAAGAAAGCGTCTACCAATACGCATGGAGCTCCTATGAAGACAAGGGCACTGTCGAGCCTGCAGCTGTCATCTACGCTTTGGACGATAGCGATGTCCAACTGGCTATTAAGCTCGCCAAGCAATACAAGTTCGGTATTGCTATCCGTACCGGAGGCCATCACTACACTGGTGCATCTTCTACCTGGGACCAAAGTATTCAAGTTGATGTTTCCGACACCTATACTGACTTTACCTGGGATAATTCTGAAAAGACCTTGTTAACCACTGGAATCAGTGTCGCTCTTAGCAAGCTCAACAGCAGGCTCAGGAAGGCAAATCGCTTTATCCCCACTGGTCAATGCAGTTACGTCCACTTGGGTGGTCACCTCCAGACCGGAGGATATGGCCAATTGATTCGCAGCTTCGGTCTTCTTGCTGACCATGTCCAGAAGGTCCGCATCATTACTGCTGATGGTAATCCACGCTGGGTTGTACGTGGTGTTGAGGCTGACAAGGACCTGCTCTATGGCATTCTCGGAGGCAGTCCTGGCAACTTTGGAGTGATCACTGATGTCACTTTGAGGGTTCACAGAGATGAGGATCACCCTGAATCCCGTGGTTTCCGTGCCCAGCTGCCTTATAACATCACTGCCCTCAAGGCTCTTTTGGATATTATGGTCGAAATGGACAATGATGATTCCTTCGCTCCAGATTATGACTTCTGCGTCTCTGTCAACAGTGCCCGCGATGAAGAACATAAGCCCGTTGGAGGCATTGTTGTCTTTGCACAGTGGGCCAATCTGAAGGGTGCTGGCCAGCTATATGATCCCACCTTCTTCAACAAGATCCGTGCGGCTTGCGGTGGCTCTGGTGTTATGAGGCCTCACGATGGTATTTACATGGATGATGACAAGGCGCCTCTTTCAGTTCTCTGCTCTCACTGGCTCTTCCCCATTGCTCGTGAGTACCAGCTCCCCTATTACAAGCGTACCTACCTTTCCAACTCTAGGGCCGAAAGACTCAAGCAAACTGGCTGGACTACCTGGGTTACTGATCGCATTCAAAGCCTTGAGGGGGATCATTACACAGATAACAAAAACGGCGTCTTCGTGTCATGTCAATTCCAGTACGCTGGTGGCAGAGACTCTACCTACCGCAAAAATGGTACTGATGGTTACTCGTCATACAGCTGGCGCGATTCGACATTCGGCTGTACATTGGACGCCTTCTATGACGAGAAAGTCACGAATGCAAAGACTTTGGCCCTTGACTGGGTCACCAAGAACGACCAAGAGGGCACTGGTCACCAGGGAGCCAAGTTTTCTGAACAGGACCGCCGTTTGTTGTGGGGTTCGTTCGATTTGAACCTTCCTGACCGCCGTCTGGAGTACTATGATGAGCATCCTACTAAGTATGACCGCCTCAGTGCGATCAAACTAAAGAATGATCCTGAGCTTATTTTCACTTCCAATGCCTTTGCGGTTGGTCCTCTCCCTGACCGTGTTACTAAGGCTCTTCATAAGGCTCAGTTATGTGAACACAAATATGGATTCTCTCTGGCGCTGCACCATCAGGGCGATAAGGCAGGTGACAATATGCCCTCCGCCCACACACTGCTGTGTGATGAAGATGCCGAATCAAAGCCCTCTCACAAGCCAATGTGTCTCCACGCTGTGGGATCTAAGCTCGACGATATTAAGCGTGAGAGGATTAGGTCTGAGGAATAAATCCGTAAATATAATGTAGAAACCATAGATCAGGAAGGATCTTCTGGTGTATATACTATTCTCAAAATAACAGGAAGACACACTCGCCTCCATTTTGTCCAAAAAAAAAAAAAAAAAAAAAAAAAAAAGAATCCTTGACATTAAAAGTAAATAAGTTCAATTAACCGAAGTCGTGAATAGCGAAATCTTAATTTCATGTGTATTAATCTCATCACATTGACACAAAAGTTTGCTGTGAAGCATAAATAAAGTTCGCATGGTCGATGGGCTGATTGTCTTAAATGGAGGGTATTTTATCCAATTTGTCTTTGTCGACGACTTTCTGATGAGGACCCTAGGAGATAGAGCTGCTTCATTATCGAGTATACTCAAATTAATGGTTTCATTATTTACATTTATCAAACCGATTGATCGTTAAAGATCGTTAAAATTGCTCTTTTAAGGCATAAAGTGGCAATGCTTATCTAAGACAGTATAAATTAAAGCTTTTTTTATTCACATAGCCATTCACACAGCCCTATTCACACAGCCCTATTCACACAGCTCCAATAACAAGCCATAGTTATACACTCTTTAAAATCTCCCTACACATCCACTTTACGGCTGTGCATGGAAATGAAATATGATCGGGCTCTATTTAAAAGAAGTTTTGTACCCGAATTTTATTCCATCTCTCTTTCTTTCTTTCCAACAGCTCACTTACAAATACACCTTTCACTCACTCTATCTTTCATCTCTCGTACTCCATCATGGTTAACTTCGCGCAAGTCGGTTTCCAGGGCAAAGTCATTCAGCGCGGCGATGAAGCTTATGAAGAAAGCGTCTACCAATACGCATGGAGCTCCTATGAAGACAAGGGCACTGTCGAGCCTGCAGCTGTCATCTACGCTTTGGACGATAGCGATGTCCAACTGGCTATTAAGCTCGCCAAGCAATACAAGTTCGGTATTGCTATCCGTACCGGAGGCCATCACTACACTGGTGCATCTTCTGCCTGGGACCAAAGTATTCAAGTTGATGTTTCCGACACCTATACTGACTTTACTTGGGAGAACGATGACAAATCCCAGGTCACTCTCGGAATCAGTATTACCCTCGGCAAGTTCCAGAGCAAACTCAGGAAGGCAAATCGCTTTATCCCCACTGGTCAATGCAGTTATGTTAACCTGGGTGGGCATGTCCAAACTGGAGGATATGGCCAATTGATTCGCAGCTTCGGTCTTCTTGCTGACTACGTCCAGAAAGTTCGCATCATTACTGCTGATGGTAATCCACGCTGGGTTGTACGTGGTGTTGAGGCTGACAAGGACCTGCTCTATGGCATTCTCGGAGGCAGTCCTGGCAACTTTGGAGTGATCACTGATGTCACCCTTAATCTCCTCAAGGATGAAGACTATCCTGAGTCCCGTGGCTTCCGTGCTGTCTTCAAATATACTCCGGAGACCCTCAAGCGCCTTTTGGATGTCATGGTTGACATGGACAATGAGGATGAGTCTACTGCTGGAGACTATGACTACTGTATCTCGTTTACCACTGGTCGTCCTGCCGAAAACAGACTTCCAGGCATTGTTGTCTTTGCACAATGGGCCAATCTCCAAGGAGCTGGTCAGCCATATGACCCCAGCTTTTTTAATAAGATCCGTGAGGCTGGAGGTGGTTCTGCTGTAATGAAGCCTCACGACGGTATCTATTTGGATGATGACAAGGCGCCTCTTTCAGTTCTCTGTTCTCATTGGATTTTCCCCACAGTTCGAGAATTCCAACTTCCCTATTTCAAGCGTACCTACATCTCTAATTCCAGAAATCACAAGCAAAACGGGTGGACTACTTGGGTGACTGGTCGCATCCAAGACCTCGAGAAGGATCCTAACAACGAAATTTTTGTCTCGGCCCAGTTCCAGTATTCCGGCGGCAAATTCTCAGCTTTCCGCAACAATGGAAAGGATGGTTTTTCATCTCTTAGCTGGCGCGACTCGACCTTTGGCTGTACCTTAGATGCTTTCTACAACAAAGACTATCCAGCCTCCAAAGCTGCGGCGGAAGCCTGGGTTAACCAGAACGACCAGGAGAGTGTTGGCCACCACGATGCCAAGTTTTCTGAACAGGACCGTCGTTTGTTGTGGGGTTCCCACAACTTGAACCTACCTGAGCATCGTGAACAATACTATGATGAACATCCTACTAAGTATGACCGTATCAGCGAAATCAAGCAGAAGTACGATCCTGAGCTTATTTTCACTGCCAATGCCTTTGCGGTCGGTCCTCTTCCTGAGCGTGTTGCTGAGGCATGCCACGTCAAATTCGGGTTCTCTGCGGCGCTGTTCAAACAGGGCGATGCTTTCGCCAATCAAGCTCCTTCGGCACATTTGCAACTTCAACTCCAATCCGAGGAATAAGTTTAGGGAAAAAAAAAAAAAAAATCTAACACCATTCAAAGTGGAATATCTATGTGTATATACTCTTTCCACCTTCATAATTAAGACCACATACTCTTAAACAATTAAAAATAAATATTAAAAGTATATAGTGGCACTCGGTGCAAGAAAGCCTTTGCTTAGTAATTTTTTTTACTAATAGAGCATCACTATTTAGATACTCAAATAAGCTTGGGCTGTTTATGGAGTTTGAGGTTGATCGCATTATGGATCCAAATGTTTCGATGCACTATATCCTCAGAACGTGCAGCTTAAAGGCACTCTGCTTCTTTCCAAAGGCTAGGATTCCTCTTCCATTTTGAACTGCAATTATTTTTGTGCATTGAACCATCACCTATCATTGATCCATATCATACTAAAAAAAAACTATAGCACGAGTTTAAAATAAAAGGAAACATCTATGAGGTCTTCTGGATATCCAACAGTGAAGAAATGAAGTCATTTATTGTCGGTTTGTATCCAAAGAAGAAACTGCTAATGATGAGCAATTTAATGGGCACGACGAGACTCAGCAATGACGTTGGTCATCTCCTCCACCTTTTTCTTGGCGCGAAGGAAGGTTCCGAGCTGTAATAAACAAAATAATAAAGAGAAAAAAGAAAATGGTCAGATCAATTACTATTTTGTTTTTCAGCTATAGACTAGAAGCGTTGGACAGCTTTTTTTTTCCCCATCAAAATGGTGGCGGAAAGTGTATGAATCATTGTACGAACAAAATCCATTGTTGTATGCCATATACTAAGCGATGATTGCTGCATTTTTTCTGAATACTTGTATCTCCTTTCAATTGATAACCCAGTTTTGTCGATTTTCTCAAACACAATGCAGTAGTTATCTTGCAAATCAGTATCAAGGAGTCTTTGATCTAACGCCATGATAAATCCTTTCGTTTCGAACTAATCCTGCAATTTTCCGTCAAAAGCATCGTAGTCTTGTCTCAAAAGAGCGAAACTAGTATCTGGTAAACTAAATCGTAATGTTTTTAAAACGAATACGTACTCTCTTCTTGGCGAGCTTACGGGCACGCTTATCCTTGGAGTTCTTGATCAACTCCATGATGCGACGCTCATAAGGAGCAAAGCCAGCAACCTCACGGATGATGGAACGGACAAAGACGACGCGCTTACCAGCCTAGTCATATTGATCAGAAACCCAGCAAGCAAGCAAACAAAAAAAAAAAAAAAAAATTGAGTTGAAGAGTTTTTGACGTTGAAGGTAAAAAAGACAGGGTCCTGTCACTAGTCTCTATGGCCTTCCTGCTTTTCAAAATTCGTGTTAAAACTTTGATGAGAGAAAGTATGCTCAAGGCGCCTTCATAAAAGTGATGACGAGTTAATCGATCGCTGATTCCGACAAAACTGGTCCATTTTCTGTTTTTAATGTTTATTCTCTTAAATGGCGGACCGCATTGTCTATCTGTACTGCTGATTGAATGAAGAAAACTGTTGATCAAAATATCTCTGACATCTTATCGACGTCTTGTTTTAGCAAAGTATTCCATGTGAATCGATGTCATTGTCGTTTGGTACTGAATCGATGAATGTATGTCATACTGGACATGTAATATGTTGTCTCCGCTATTTTCCCAAATTTGTGAGCACGATATGCATCCATTGATACAAAGTGATGCTTTTATTTTCGTATCCATCGATCAGCGCATCCATTTGACTCATTGCACTTACAACACCCTTCTTATAGGAGATGGGGGTCTTCAACTCACGAAGAGTTGTGATGTGTCCGCGGTTCTGTCCAGATCGGATTCCGGTCTTCTGAGTAGCAGCCATTGTTAAATGTGTGCAATGGTTTGAAAAGGAGGATCCAACAAACTTGCAGGGCTTCTGCATCAAAAAGAAAAAAGGCATCTAACCCTTAAGAAATATGTTCTCTACTGTTCACGAGACTTGTTTTGGGTAGTATAAAATTTTTCCAGGTGTTGCAGCTTTAGTTTGTTCTTTCTCTGCGTTGCTTCCTTAGATCTCTCTACCGGATTGTCCATCAAGGCAATCCCTCGACAATCACGCCGAGCTTAATGGTTGAGGCATGAGTCATTGGCACGCTATAGTAATCTCCCTTCATTCCTTGCCTTAGTGGTCCCAAAACTTGAACGATTTCTCCTTCAAGTCTGGTACCAAATCCTTCTTCGATCCGATCACCTCATGTGTCAAGTTGATCCGTTGCCGCCCCTCAATCTCATCTCTCCCTTCTATCTACTGTTTTCCCTGACTTATTGTTGATCTATATTTCTCACCCAGGAGGCCACCTGTTTTTTGGAAGCTCACAGAACTGAAGTTCTTTCAGTTCGCTGGGATTTTTCGAGAGACAATAAGGGTTCTGCTATGGGGTTTGAAGTGCGATTAGCAATTTTGGTTGGTTGGGAACTCGGTTGGATAGTGATCTGAGATGTTTGAGATGTGCTGTGTTCGACAATGATGACGTTTGGGGTTTGGTGTTGGATCTGGAATTCCTAAAAGGAAGGATGTGGCTAAAGATGAGGACAATTATTTATATCCATTCTTTGAACATGGGCAAAGTGTTATATTATTTACTGTGATGGTTTAAAAATCTTGTAATAGCAATTTTTAAACATTTGAAAATATGGTTAACATCTTGGTTGTCACCACATCACCATTGCTAAAAAATGGTTTATTGATATAAAATATATACAAATGTGAACGGATTATTGTAAGAGACGAATGATCCTGTGGTACTCTGGTTTGCCCTCAGTTCATCAGCGCGGTTCATCCTTCTTTGAGGTATCAATTTTTGTTGAATGGCCGGTGAGAAGTTCGCCAGCCTTTCTAGTCATCTCTGCGAGGGCACCGCCGACCGCGGCTAAGGGAAGAGATGCCGTCTTGGCTGCCTTCTGTGGAATACCTTCCTTATTGGAGTTGGGATCTGTGAAGGGCTCCGGAGTTGAATGAGCGGGTTTTTGTGAAGTATCTGACATTTTTTTGATGCTGTGAAAGGAGAAAATAAAAAGCTTTTGTCTATTTTTGAAAGTTTAGAAAAAGCATTGGTGAAGAAAACGTGATGGATAATAACATAAATGACGGCATTCTTATGCTTTCATTCACGTCACGGATAGCCTTATTATATATATATATATTAACTAAATTCAGCTGCAAAACCTTGATTCTTTTCAAGAGTTGGTATAAATGGATAGGCCTATTTGACTCTTCCGAATGAATATGATCATATGATCGTGTCTGTATTTTAAATCACGGAACTGTACACCATCTGGGGTCAATGCGGATTTTCTTAATTAAATCCCTTCTAAATCAGAGGGTGCAACTGCGCGCGCAGATATTTTCAATGATAGGTGATCCTTGCCGCCTCTTAAACTCGTATTTTAAATTATTGTGTATAACAAGAATCAAAGTACACAGACGTTTGTCTTGCACGTAGTGGGATGATTGGCCGGGAAACAAGTCTTTTTTAACGATACATTTGCAAATGATAATAAATATTTCTATATTCAACATGCCAATTGTGTGCCTGTAAGTCCTGAGATAAGCCGCCGCCGGGACCACTCCGCACCCGATATATATTTGTTTTTTTTTTATTTTTATTTTTATTTTTTCTTCTTCTCCTCATCTACTCCCCACTCTTACTCTGTCTTTAAATTTCTCATCATGTCCACCATTCAACATCAGGCCTCTGTCGCCCCCACCGGCGCTTCTCTCTATGCTCGCTTCGCCCTTGCTGGTGCCATCTGCTGTGGTGTCACCCACGGTGCCCTCACCCCTGTCGGTAAGCAAGATTGATCTCAAACTCAGATTTAGATCTGATCCGATCTTAATGTGACAACCAGAATCAGTTACCTACATTTTTCTTTCCATTGGCGTCAGAGATGAACTAAAAATCTTAATTTCTTGCTACCCGTTCAGATGTCGTTAAGACTCGCATCCAGCTCGAGCCCACTGTTTACAACAAGGTAACGCAGTGTTTTCAGTATAGCATCCATCTCATCAATTCATCAATTCCGAGCATCGAAGAACCTAAAGGAGCTTCATCACATCAATACTATCCATTTATCCATGCCTTGAAGAGGAGCTTGAGCGAAGAATTTATTGGATCATGACAGCACATCCAATTAATAGAGTAGTCGAATGCTCTTCATGATTTTTGGTCGTCGCTATCTCTTTTGTTCAAAGTGATTTACGTCCATCTATTGTATCGCTCACATCATTTCTGTATTATCTTTTCGGGGTTTTCGATTTTAGGGTATGGCCGCCTCTTTCCGTCAGGTCGTCAAGAGCGAGGGTGCTGGTGCTCTCTTGACCGGATTCGGTCCTACTTTCGCTGGTTACTTCTTGCAGGGTGCCTTCAAGTTTGGAGGTTATGAGTTCTGGAAGAAGACCTTCATTGATTACGTTGGACTTGAGAACGCTGTCAACAACCGCACTGCCATCTACTTAGTTTCGTCTGGTATTGCTGAGTTCTTTGCTGATGTTGCCCTCTGCCCTCTTGAGGCCACCCGTATTCGTCTCGTTTCCCAGCCTACCTTCGCCACCGGTCTTGTCTCCGGTTTCACTCGCATCTTGAAGGAGGAGGGTGCCATCCGTGGCTTCTACTCTGGATTCGGCCCTATCTTGCTTAAGCAGATCCCATACACCATGGCCAAGTTCGTCGTCTTCGAGCGTGCCTCTGAGGCAATCCTCGATTCTGTTGGTCCCAAGGAGAAGCTTTCTGCTGGTACCTTGACCAGCATTAACTTGGCCTCTGGTCTCATTGCTGGTGCTGCTGCTGCCGTTGTCTCACAACCGGCTGATACCCTTCTTTCCAAGATTAACAAGACATCTGGCACTGGCTCCGTCATGTCCCGTCTCGCTGCCTTGGCCGCCGAGCTCGGCCCTCGTGGTCTCTTCTTGGGATTGGGTCCTCGTATTGTCATGGTCGGTACTCTCACTGCCTTCCAGTTCGCCATCTATAATGACATCAAGAAGGCTCTCGGCGCCACTGGCGGTATTGAGATTCGCAAGGCTTAAATGTCCTGATTATTCATTCCTCTTCATTTTCATTCTCCCATCATTCATCATTATTACCTTCACAAACACACTCTATTATAAAGAATAAATCGAAATGCATAGAGATATCAAAGATTAGACGGGTACATTTGTTTATTTTTTTATTTTTGTCTATATTTTTGTATGGAGGCCTCTTCTTTTTTTCAACATCCGCACAGACTTTTGTCGGAAAGAAATGGCGTTGGTCGGATGTATTTTTTTCCTTTCTGAGACTATTCCGTATCTATTAAGGGCTGAGGTGCACGTGATTGGGTCAACCTATAGTATTAGGCGACTGTTGGCATTTTGTAACACATACTCATTCACAATTGGAACTAGGAATAGAGGGCGTCATGTCAGACAATACTGCTGATCCTGATGCACGGTTTTCTGCAGAGGTGCTCGACAAACTCGATTTGAGTGGGCACAAAGTAAGTGATACCTTGTTTCCGTTTTTTTTTTTTTTTTTTAGTGAAAGCAATGCTTGCCAGATATATGAAAAAGATGTATGGTATTATACACCGAAAAGAATTCTCGGGAGATGACTAATCCATGGTCGCTTATGGAAATAACAACAATGATAATAATAATAATAATCTTAGAATGCAGTAGAAAAGACACAGGCATCAATCCAAGCACAAAAACCTAATTCGACGCAACCACCCACATTTGATAGTTTTCCGGAAATACCTATTCCCCCGGCATCAACTTCATCATGGAGTATCCCAACATTTGCGTCTTTCCCGGTTGAGAGCTTGCCGCTCCTTCGTGCTCCTCCCTTAGTTAGCGAAGCTATTCAGTTTTCATCAAACAGTGACAGGAACTACGAATACAAAGGCTCCAATGAACTTAAATCTAAAGATAAGAAAAGAGCAAAGAAAGAAGAAAAGGAACATGGTCGCATTTACGATCATCGTCGACTTGGCAGTAGTGATGCCTATAGAGCTAGTAAACAGGATAATGACAGATCAAGAGACAAAGATCATAGAAAGCTACCAGCTCATGACGACCATATAAAGCAAGATGCTAATTGGGAACATGAGCGGAGACGGGAACGACCGAAAAAAGGAAAACGACTTAGCGAAAGCAAGAGTCCCGATAGGCTGCTTGAGAGTCACCGCGATAGAAGCGAACGACTGAGTCGTGGTGACTCCCATATTGATCGAGAGCGGCGGAAAGAAGGAAAACCCAGTAGAAGCAGAAGTAGAAGTAAGAGTAGAGAAAGATCTTCTCGGAGGGATAGGGACCACAATACCCAGAAGGAACATGATCATCATGATAGTCGCGAGCAAAAGAGGAGTAGTAATCGCAATGATCGCAGAAGAGACAGCTCTAGGGACCGATATAATGATCGACATAGTGGGAGCCAATTGAAAAAACACCATGGCGATGACCGTAATATTACGCAAGTTTGGGACCAATATTGGGAACAGGACCGCCACCGTACAAAGCAGCATTCTACTATGCACAGATCAGACGAACCTTTGCGTAAGAACCTTGATCATAAAAGAAGACGGTGTGAGGAGGAAGAAGCGAAGGATGATTATGACAATTCGTGGACTAGCCGCAGTAAGCGAGATCGTCGGCTAGAACAAGGAACAGGCAGTGAAATACCGATCTCAGTATACCCATCCTCTTCGACATGGCAGCGTAGCGGCACTTCTGAAGAAAAGAACAAACCAGGTACATGGGTTATAGATGTTCGTGGTGACCAGGATTTCTTTCGTTATGGTGGCATCAACCCCCGGACAATACCAAAATACAACCGTGCAGGAGGTAGGCCATCATATATCATTGTGGCATATGCAGACAAAAAAAATGCACTTGTTTATTATAATAGCGCATTAATCAATAGGGACGTAATCTACAAATTTATCCAATATGCAGGTGGTCGAGTATTAGGAATGCCATCAGATATACTGATAGATTACGAGAAGACTAAAGCGCAAGGCGGGAAATTCATTGTTTTTAAAACGAAGAAAAAGAGCACTAAAACTAAGCGCTATGTTGATCCCCATGCGACGTGGCGCGATCAGAGTAAGGAATACAAAAGAATTTCACGAGCAAAGGCTGAAGAGCTGGCGAAGTTATCAAACATAGTGTGCGAAGATTCATCATTCATATCGCTTGATATTCGGTCGAGGAGCAGTAAGAGGTTGCATTCATCAGATCGGAGCGATAGTGAGAATACAAGCGGCGAGATCGATAGTGACAATGAACTAGGAATTTCAGGGAAAAAAAAGGTTGATTACAGAGATATCCATGGTAAATCTGTTTACAAGGAAGAGGATGAGGACTTAATGCAGACTACAAGTGACCAGGAAGAAGAAGGCGCAGAGAGCGCGCTGGACGTACTCAGAAGACGCAGGATGATGGTTGACGCAGAGTTGCGCAAAGATCCAAAACAACCCAGCAAATGGCTAGAGTTTATTGCCCTCGAGGATGAAATCGACCTAGTCTCGAATCGGCGTTCAACAGCCAAAGTTGGAGCCCATTCCACCAGTCATTTTGAGGTAAAGCTTAGTATTTTTGAACGTGCTTTGCTGTCCAATCCAACAAACGAGCGTTTGTTATTGGAATACATGAACACGTGTCGACAATGCTGGGAATCTGCCAAAGTCCTGTCAAAATGGGATGAGCTCTTGCAGTCAAATCAGATCCAAACAGCTTGGCCAGGCCTGTGGATTGAATATCTGGATTATCGACAGCGACATTTCTTGAGTTTCTCAGTCAAGAGTTTTGTGCGCGTTTTGGGGGAAGGATTGGAGCGTTTAGGGCAACTAGCGAGATCGACTTGGATGGCTATACAGCGGTCGCCTGAAGAGAATGCAGAACTAGGAATACAGCTTGTTAAGGTTGAGTCGGTCATGGTTCATATCATGGCTCGAGCATGGACATTCTTAAAAGAAGCAGGTAAGGGTTTAAATTTTTCAGAGGTTTGCCGTCATACTTTATTGACATTTCATATCCATTGTTAAAGGATGATTCTCCTTCTCCTTGACCTGTAGGATATGTTGAGCGAGCTCAAGGCATCATTCAAGGCCAGATAGAATTTTTATTCAATATGCCGCCCAGTCTGGCGACAGAATCATGGCGAGTTCAGATCAGGAGCCTAGAAGAATTTTGGGATTCTGAGTTACCGCGTTTTGGAGAAAAGGATGCAAAGGGATGGAACCACTATGTTACTGAGGAGGATGAAGTAGCAGTGGAAGGCTTGCTTGAATCCGTAAAACTACCTTCACTAAATGCCCCTACTGATGAGTTGATCAAAGCGTTCGCCGACAATAATGTTGATCGCTATCATTATACTCGTTGGGCGAGTCTTGAGAGAGAGCTTTCCACCCTCTGCTGGTTCCCTATACGAACCACAGGTAGGACTTGTTCTTGACACCTTATCCAGTTCTCCCCCAATGTGTACATCTTTTAACATTTGCCGTTGAATCAACATGCGATTTATAATAGAGGAGCTACCGGATCAGTTAGAGGATGATCCTTACGGGATCATCATATTTGATGACATTCGACCCTTTATTTCTTCACTTTACTCCCCTGAGGCCCGCCAACAGTATATAGAATGTGTATTTAATTTTCTTGGCATACCTATTAACTCGTCTATTGGGTCAAATGGGCCACAGACACTATCAAGTTCATCGGTATCAAATCCTGATTCTTACTCAAAACAATCGATAACGAACGTCAATAACATCAGCACCTATAATCCTTTTTTCCACGACAGTTTATTGCTGAACTTGGGCATGAATATCCAGTCTACATTAGCCTCCAACGAGGGCCTAAGAAGGTTCTTTCCCGAATTTGACGATCATGCAAAGTTGGTAGAGTGCATTCTCAGGGACATTGCGCGGGAATATAACTTTCAAGAACCAATGAGAAAAGGGGAGCAACAAAATTGGGACTATGTCTGGAACTTGCCATTGAGGTTATTTCCTCAGAGTGCGGACACGCTATTCGGAAACATTAATCAAACACTGGAGCCAGAAAAGATGGAGAAAACTCGATATCGATGGGCCACTGTGAGTAGCAACGAAGAGATACAGACAACAAACAAGCTTTTTATCCGGTATGCAACTATCCTTTATTTTGGCTTGCTTGAAAGAAATACATGTAGGATGTAATGATTTACATTTTGAAACTCTATCTTTCGCTCTCTTTTGCTACAATCCTTCTGAATTTCTCAATAGACGTTCACTTCAGCAGCTAATAGAGGTCGTCCCATTATCCAAGAGCCAGCGGCGTAATCTCTCGCTTTATCATATGATGTATGAGACCTTGGATACAATGTCTGCAGTCAAAAGCCAGAAGCTAGCCAAGAAATATTTGAAGAATGACAGAATGGATCTTGATTTGTGGAACGCATATGCTCAAGCAGAAAGGGCACTTGGCCGTATTTCTGAGGTACAAACAAACAAAAAAAATCCTCAATGCTTAAATTCAAAGTGTTGACTATTCATGATAATGGAACCAAGGAGATTTAATCTTTTTTTTTTTTATTTTTTTTTTATTTATATTTATATTTGAAGGCTCGAAAAATATATTCAACTGTCTTATCAATGTACCAATCTTTTCCGATAAATATCCAAGCAAGAGTGCCTCTAATTTACCGTTATTTCGCAGAGTTAGAATGGGAACAAGATCGACCTGGTGCTGCGCTGGGAATCCTTGTGGCATTTGCAGAAGGAACTTCAGGTAAATATAAAAAAAGAGACTCCCATCGTCGTTGTAATCACAGGGTATCAAGCCCTTGACATTAGAATAGGTTTTAGAATTTATAATGTTGATGTCTTTTCAATACGTATATTTTCACTTCCATTCCTACTAGTAACCGTCCCGGAGGATTCACAAGATGATATTCCAGTGCCTAACCCAACGAGGCTGATCAAAGCACGTCAGTTTTATGCTCAAAAGGTGGCACAGCTCAATTTGCGTCGCCCTTCTATTATGGCACAAAACAATCCAATAAATGCACAGAAAGAGTCAATCGGTGGTCAGTGGTTTGAGCCTGCTTTAGACCTAGTCGTCTGTTTTGCATGGTTCGAATACCTCTCTGCCACAACTGGCGCAGCAGCGGTAGGCTCGGGTTTACAGTCTGGTATCAGGGTTTTTGAAAACACGATCCACGAGCTGGACTTACGAAACCCAGACAGTGAAATTGAGGTGCCCATCGTATCTTCGCAAGATGAGACAGAAAAACGGAAACAAAGGCAGCAACCTCTATTCTATTCATCTCTCGCAATATTTGCGGATGCTCTAAAGGCCGAAAAGACAACCGTAACAAAAAAGATTTGTACAAGTGTTGAAGCAGAAATGGTATGGATTCAGCTTACGAAAATGGTTTATCTTCATTCCCAAAAAGGCATGGGTAGCACATCCAAGCATAATACCTCATCGCCATTATATCGCGGTAAAATTGTTGGAGGCAGGAGTGACGGAGCAGGGTTCCAGCCTCGTGACTTGCGCCGAGTAGTTCAAGAGGGTTTAAAACGATTTCCGAACTGTAGCATTCTACAGTCGCTATTTTTCTGGTCCGAGACAAAGCAACGATTGCATGGTCGCGTTCGCACATGGGTTAATGAACAGTTGGCTGGCCGGCAGTACCACAATTGTAATAATGGATCTCCCGTTAGTAAGGCGCCGATGTGGGTTTTTGGCATATATTATGAACTATGGAATCAAGAGCCATACAATCCCAGTGTTGTACGTTCTATTCTAGAAGCGGCTCTTGAATCGGCTTCGAAATCATCATCAGCCACTTTCAACTCGAGTCCAAGCCTATGGCTAATTTATATAGAGCTCGAACTGCGGGAGAGTGCTCGACAAGCTAAACCCTCATCAGCATTATCATCAAAATCAACAATCGACACTGTCACTCCAGAAAAAACTGAAACAAATATGCGAGTGAAGCAGCTTCTGTTGCGTGCGTTGAACGATTGTCCTTGGAGCAAGGATCTTTATATGCTTGCGTTTGAGCCGAGACTACGAAGATTATTTTCACTAGATGAGCTAGATCAATTGTATGAGACCATGCTGGAAAAGGAGATTCGTTTGCGCAACGAGATCCCAGAGCGAGAAGGAAAGCAAGCTCAAGATTCCAAAGACCATCAGGCATGGGAAAAAGAAGATCCTTCTCGTGATGATAATAGTGATTCTGGGGAAGAAGGACAGGATATCAAGATGAGAGATGGATGAGAGTAGGTAGTATAAAATGTTCATTTAATACAGTAGATATTGTCTGACCTTTGTGAGAGAAGCTCAGCTACTATTAATTCTTCACTTTGAAGTGATAGATAATAGTTGTTTTTATTGCTTAATGAATGTATACTGCGTAAAAAAAGGGAATGGGGGCAAGCATAGTCATAAAATAAAAAGAGAAAGATAATGTGCATGATAAAAAAGGTCATTCACTGAAGAAAGCCCCTGTTTAATCCGAAGCGACCTTGACAGTCTTGCCGGTCTTTTGAATAGCAGTCAGGATCTCATTCTAAAAGGTGTAGAGGTAATATGATAGAAACAACCTAGTGAGTGACCAAAAACACTCTTTGTCTTCTTTTTTACCCGCGTTATATTCATAACGTACATGCACGAAAAATATACTTATAAACACACCTCCGACAGAGTAGATGATTCAACAGTGACTTTCTGTTTTTCAAGAGAAACATCGAAGCTTTCGACACCTTCAGGAAATAATATTCAAACATTTGGAGTCATAAGTGACTTTGATAAAATAGAGACGATTGATTTCCTTACAGATATGATTAGTTTACCTTGGAGCTTTGACAGGGCTTTGGTCACAGCGCCAGAGCATCCGCCGCAGGACATGACAACGTCATACTTGTATTGCTATGTTTTTTATTTTAAAGGGATAAAATGGAGTAGAGGGATATTTAAAGTAAGTAAACACGCTATGGTTGAAATTACTTTGACCCGAGTTAGTGAGTAAGAATGGATTGATCATTGGGATACTAAGCTTACAGCCATGGTTGATGAAGTGATATTAAGCAAAAGAGAAAGGAAAGTAATGAAAGTTTTTTCTTTTTTTTTTTTTTTTTCTTTTTTGGTGTGCTGTTGTTGAGAATGAAGTGCGATAATGAATCCACCCACCTTTTATATCAGTTCAAACTTTGTACTGTGTAACCATGCAACATGCGCGATTTTAAAAATGTTTTCGTCTAGATTTTTTAAAATGCGCAAACAATCACGGTTGGACAACTATCGCCTACCATTCAAGGATAGATTATTTGTAAATTTGCTCACTCTATAATTTTCCATGGTGTGCCATAATGCCTTAATGCTGCAAGCCATGCGGTCCTGGGGCGTGTTTCTTCTTTATCACCCTCCTGCTCTCTTCTCTCCTCTTTTTTTTTTTTTTTTAAGAACGAGTGGACATCATGGAGAGCGATACCTACCTATACTTGACAAAGGAAGTTAAGTACCAAATAACGTATAATCGCCTGGACCACCTAGCAACTCGTCCAAGGCATCGTCATCACCCTTGTCTTGTTCAATGGGAGGTTGAGCTGTAGTAGTATCTACAATCGATACGGTTTCCTATGTATAGTGGACGACAGGCGGCGATAAGACTGCTTCTAGTCGTCTCGATCTCTGGTTGATGTACTATGCTGTTGGTAAGGAATTAGGAAGAGGCTTTGTAGTGGATGAGTTGTAATAACATGTCTCTATGCATCCTTTAGTAAAAGGGTTGGTTTGGTGTAATAAGGAAGATCCCCGCCTGGTCTGTGGGCATCGTCAAGCTTTAACTATGTGTAAAATGGCGATGTTTCTTAATTTTTAATCTGGGTTCCTGCCTGTTGATGCTTCATTGGGGTTCTTATGGCTCTGTCTGATACTATTTGTACTGCTGCTATTGCCTGATGCGCTTTGCCGCATTGGAGACTTGGCACTGCTGAGTTGTGAAACAGGGACCTAAATGATTAAAAAGAGGCAATGTTAAGCTTGAAAATATGGCGTCTATTCAGTTCGCTCTCGTTTTTTTTTTTTTTTTTTTTTTTTTTTTTACAAATATGGGTCCATTCCTTTATAGTTCCGTACTTTAAATGTCTTCAAACATCAAGTAATACACATGCAAACAACTCAAGTGACTTTATAAAGCGTTGCGATTCTCGCACATAAGAGTAGCCGAGCCTGCGATGATGCTCAATCCATTGACAATGTTATCTCAATTAATAGCTTCATTAATAAGTATCCAATTTGTAATCCCCACAGAGGAGATCGTAACCATTATACTTACTGCAATAAAAACTGGGCTTATTTACAAGACCACAATCATGGATAGCCATCGCAAACTATTCTCAGTACTGTAATAGTCGTCAGGGCGGGCGAGGGTCCGTGTAGCACTGGCACGCTAAAAGCTTTATGGCCTATTCACTAGAAAAGGGGGCTCGGTATCTAAAGCATTGTGCATGTGGCTGTAAGAAAAAAAAAAAAAACTTTTACAGCATGAGCTTTACAAAGATGTTATAAAAAAAAAAAAAATAAAAAAAAAAAGGAACTTGATGCCTGTAACCTATTGAGCTTTAGAGCAAGCGCTTTCTGAGAAGAGGAGCGAAAGTCCTTGGTCTTATCCATGAGCATCCATGAGGAGCAGGCGAAGAAGGGAAGTGATTTCGTGAAAGGGAGGCTTGGTTCATGGGCCTTTCCTTTTGTATTTTTTGGTGGCGTTTCTGCTGCGCCCAAAATACCAAAATCTCAAAAACTCCTCAGATGAACAAACATTACGCATTTTTATGCATACTGGAAAGCATGCACTAGGAACACAAAATACTTCTCTTTTTCTTTTCCCTCTTTCTTTTTTCTTTTTTTAGACGATTTAATATTAAAGGACCTGTTGAAATGACCTTGAAAACAGTATGTATATTTATTTTATACTGAATCACTCCTCTTTTTAAACTCATCAGTGTCCATAGGTTGATCCTGTACTTCTCCCTCCCTACCCCAGCCTCCTTCGTCCTCGCTCTCATGACTGCTAGTGATGCTTCTAGCTTCGCTTCCGGATCTACTCTCCCTAGAATCAAAACCAGACAGCTGTTCATCCCGTGCATGATGATTAGGTCTCCAAGACTCGACACTCCGGCGAACTCTAGGCTTTTCTTCCAATTTACGCTGTGGAATCACCTTTAAAAAAGCCTCCTTCCAGTCGTTGCACTCAATGAACTGTAACAAAATTTCAAAGACTTCAAAGAAAACGAGGAAAAAAAAAGGAGTATGAGGAAATTACATCTGGAATTCAACAACGTCGTTCCTTCTTTTTTTCTTTTCTTTTTTTTTTTTTTTGTTACCCTGGTTGACAGTGAGGATACGTCGGCTTGACATTTGGATGTAATCGCCAATAGGCAACTGAGCAGTTTCAATCCCCAGTTTTTCCGCCTTGTTCTGACATAAATTTGGATATCGGTTCTTATCAACAATTCCTCCAAGAACATAACATGTATTTTCTTCAAGTTGCGTGATCGTATTAGGCGAGTCTGCACTCAGATAAACAACTTTTTTAACTGCGGGGATCGTCGCCAGCTTTTCCTCCTTTTGCTGGCGCTCCTTCTCTAATGCTTTAATGTCAAGGGCTGGGTTGGTTGTGGTCCCATTTTCCAAAGTTGCTGGAGTCCCTGGAGTAGAAAGTGGTGAGGTGTAAGTCTGATCAACAAATGGCGATGCCTCAGCCTCCTTTGCTGAAATATTATCCTGTTTTTCTACAGCATTTTGTATGGCCACCTCTGATAAAGCACCAAGTCCTGATTCTGTTGTTGAAGCAGACGAAAGTAATGCCTCTGATGAATTCTTTTCATTTACTCCTCCTTCTTCTGCTCCCGTAGCTATCGGTAATGGCGCCAAAGTTGACGCTGAAGACGAAGCTGATTCTGTCTGAGCATAAGTCGCCAAGACCTTCGCCTTGACGGCTTCTGATTTAGCAGAGGCAATTGCTTGAAGCCTCTTGAGCTCAGCCAAATGCTGTTTACCAGAAATCTCTTCTGAAGGCCAAACTTCTTCAAGCCCTTTTTCATGGATCGTGAAGTTCTTCCAGAGCTCAAATCCATTGGCACGCTTGCAAAACTCTTGCTTCGATTGACCTGTAAATGAAGTGAGAGCCAAATGTACAATCTTTTCGCACGTCCTGTTGTAAGAGTAACAGCGTTTGATCTGATCCACCATTGATTTGACTTCCTGAGAGGAAAAAAAAAATTGAAAAAAAGAAAAAGATTAATGTCATTCTGCAATCGATCATATTTATGGCGCTAGTTAGCTTAGACACTATCACCTGGATTTCTTTTTTTTTTTTTTTTTTTTGTTTTTTTCGAAAGCAAAGTAGGTCACCTTCTCTAACATCAAGTCATCAAAGGACATGTCAACCCCAATTGTAATCCCTGTATGGATCTGGTCGCTCTTATGGCGTTTTGGTGGTGGCGGGATTAAGCCTATCAACAGAGACTGCGTTAGCTATCCAAATGCTTTTCTCTTTCTTTCTTTTTTTTTTTTTTTTTTTTTTTTCTCCTTCTCGTACCGGCTTCAATCGCATCATGACGCTCTTTGCTCTTTTGTTTGCGCTTCAGTTTTTCCTGAGCTCGGAGTTGTGGCTTCCGTTCCTCAAACTGTTGCTGCTTTAGTAACTTCTTCATTGCATTTCTTGACAAAGGCTTGCCATCGGGTCCCATAATAGGTGGTGGTCTTGGTTTCCAAAACGGGTTTTTACTTCTTGGATCAGCTTCTTCTGTCGTCTCTACTGTTTCTGTTTCCGCTGTTGTTGCTGTCGCTGCCGCTGTCGCAGGCTCTGTCTCCGTTGTTGCTGGCATTTCTGCCTTCGCCGTCGTAGTCTTTGAGAGATCTGCTTCTCGGTCTTCTGTACTAGTTGTATCTGTAGAATGGAAACCATGTTCTTCTTCCTTTAAAGCTGAACTTTCTTGCTGCGGTAAAGCTGCAAGCCCCTTTACTACTGAACTCTGTGCTTCGGACATTGTAAGACGAGTCGCATTAATAGATTGAGCCTCAATGAAGAATGGTTACTTTGTGAATCAAAGAGAGCATTAAAGAAAAACACTAGTCACATTTTAAACGCCACCAAAAGATTCAATTGAAGTGGGAGGGCTTTTTTTTATTTTTTTATTTTTTTATTTTTTTATTAATATCTAATATACATTGTCTGGACTTTGTTTTTTTTCTTTTCGCAAATGATCTGATGCAAGACATGGATTATGTTCGACTGTGCAAAGTGATATAATGGTTTTGTGTAGTCCTGAGTTTTTGGGGTGTTGTGTTTGATTAAAAATATATCAATTGGTATTCATTTACCATTGAGAAGCGCGAATACGTAAAAGTCCCATGGCAGCCTCTAAAATAGATTTATCAGGCTCAAGCTCAGAAAGATCTGTGTGCATATCTTGAGCTGCACCGCTGACCCACAGCTGAGATCCCATGCTGTGTCCCTCGCCTGCACTGTCCGTGGTTGAGTCGCGAGCGGGATATGGCCCATATTGGTCTATATGATGTGAGTGATCACCATACAGTGGATGGCCTCTCCCTTCGTGATTAGGAGCTCGCTCATGATAACGCGAGGAATGTGGCCCTGAGTAGCCATAGCTTTGCGGTATATCTCGATAATGGTGTCCATGCTGTCCATGAGGTTGGTATTTTGATTGAGACCCATGATATACAAGGGGTGGTGGAGGATAGGCAGAAGGCACTAAATCGTGGTGGTTTGGGGAATGATACTCTGGATACGGTTGCGACTGTGAATGGGAACGAGAGTGCGAACGTAATGGGCTGGGATAGAATGATCGTGGGTGAGACGAATGTGTAGTAGACCCATAGCGATCCTCAGCATAAAAGTCCTGAGGGCCAAATCCCTTCTCATAACGCATGGCCATCGGATAGGATGCCTGCTTGCTAGGGTCATAAATGACATCTTTCTCAATGATGCCAGCATCATGAGCGCCAGTTCGCTCCTGGGGTGGTGTAGGTGGTTGAGAGACCTGAACCTGTCTCTCAGACAGATGTTCTCCCTTGATAGCCATCGCGTGTTTACCACCATCGTCTTTGGAAATAGTCTTTTTTTGCGCCAGCTCTGTACGTGAAACTGAAGCTTTCTCGATTGATTTGGTGAATTTTGGCGAGGTCCGCCCTTTAGGTTCCAGATCCTCCTCTTCTACATCTTTTTCGCCATCATCATCATCATCATCTTTCTCCACATGTTCGCCGTTGTCCGCCTCCTCGTCATCCTCCGAGGCTGCGTCATCTTGATCTGATGAGTCTTTGCTTTGCTGACGCTTTGCTGAACGTTTCTTTTCGTTGCTACCATTTTCGCTGCCATTCTGCTGCTCATCCTGAACCTGTTGCTTGGCAGCGATCATATAGTTGTTGTTATTTTCACTGTTGCTCATTAGCATAGATCGCTGTTCCATCGCTGCCATGCACTGATTCTGAACACCATCCATCCGAAGATGTCGCACCAAAGCATCCTGTCGCACGAAGGTAGCTTCGCAGACAATACATTTGTAGGGCTTCTCGGACAAGTGCTTCTTTGCATGACGGTCGCGGTCGTGGCGACGTGAAAAAGCAAAGTTACATGATTCACAGACAAAAGGTCGGGCTTTTGAATGAGTGCGCATGTGAGACCGAAGGTTGAACAGGCGCGAAAAGCTCTTGTCACAGTCAGGTTCAGGGCAGGCGTGTGAAGGCTTGGGCTTATTGGAAGCAGGCTTCGACTTGGGAGCGATGTCCACCAGTCCATCTGTTGGAAGACCAGCCTTTGACCGCTCCCTAAGCTGTCCATTCACATATGCTGCATGAAGATTAGCAGAGGCCCTCTGCCCAATGCCCAGTTCGCTCAACTCATGGGGCTCCTGGCGCTTCTTAATCGGCTTCGTATTGGCGGTGACAGCTGTGGTGTTAGAAGTGTTAGCTGTACTTGCAGTGCTGGTAGAAGCAACAGAAGATGCTGGCTTTGATCGAGCCACTTCAACACGTCCCGATTCGGGCTTGGGTTCTTTCCCATAAGACCATGACGACGGAGCTTGATCATCATACGAGAGACTCTTGTTCCTCTCACGCGCGTTGAGTTCGTCACGCTCATTTTGATACGAATCGGGTGAGAGGGGAACCACAGCTGTTGTTGGCGAAGATGGGTCTGCCGTTGCAGCACTAGATATAGTGCCAGGTGATGGAGGCTCATCCGATATTAAATTCATCAAAGACATAACTGTAGATCGTTTGCGAGGTATAGATCCATTTTCAGCTTGGGCGAACGGATCTGCAGCATCCAAGCTACTATTATTTAAGTAGCCATAGGTAAGGTCCTGTACTATTAGTGTCATTATAATGATTATAAAAAAGAAAGAGACACGCATGAAATATTTTCATACCTAGTAGGTGGCAAAGACATCTTGCGCTTTACAGGACGAGACAATGAAGGAAGATTATCCATGGCCACAGGCTCAGGAACCATTCCAGGGCCAGCGTTCTTAATGGTCTGGGACATGAGTATACGCTTGCCGTGGTGGAGTTCAAAAGTGATGCTGTTATATCCAGAAGAATGCAATTTAATAGGGGAAATAACATTGTTATTGGCAATAAGAAATAGATGAATGCGATTGAAATATAATTAATATTTACATACATGTAACCGTTATTTTCATCGGTACTGGCATGATGTGATGGCGGACAACAGATCTTGAAGAAAATACGGATTTCGCCAGTGGAAAAAAATAAACGTTGAGGAGATGGCACCGTAGGATCCGGTCCTACGACTTGGAACGTGTCGCGCTTCTTGGTCTATTAATAAACATATTGCAGAGTGTTCAATACATTTAATTGTTTAAAGATTAATTATTGATTGATACATGTTCAGCACAGCACATACCCTGCAACGTTCACAAGGAGAGATAAGATCCTGTGACTTGAAGGTGTGTAGATCAGCATTGGGCAAAGCTAACCGAGGAAAGATCTTCAATACGAGGTCCCAGTCGCCTAAATCACATGATATAAATAGACAATAATGAATATGCGAGTTTTCGATGGTGCATTAAAGGAGCTCCAAGAGGATTTGAATGAACACAAGAGATAAAAGAATGAATGGTGTATTGTAAAATTCAAAAATTTGAACGGTAATTAATAATAACTGACAACAATGATGATAGCACTCCAGGCAAAACAAGGTTTCTTTCGGAATGGGCGGATGTATTGTACGAAACTGAGCCTCCCGTTGCCACAATAAGAAAAAAAAAAAGATACAAGGATCACAAATGGAAAGCATGTGCAGATCGTACGAAATAAAATTATCTCGAGATGTAAGACTCAACTAGAGTTTTCCGATTCTTTATCAATTTAAACTGTTTGTCCCGTTCCTTTCATCCCAACATATCAGCTACTCATTGAGAAGGGCTTTCAAGTTGTCTTGATGCAATCAAGCAACAAAGCAACAGATACATCTGAATAACCAGCACGTTCTCATCATGACGCGTGGGTAGCGAAGAGCCAGTCGCTTTTTTTTTTTTTGTGTGTATATTTGTGCGTGTGTATTTGTTTGTACGATTGGAGATGTGGGCCGTCGTGCACAACCCGAGGGAAAAAAAAAAAAAAAAAAAAAAAAAAAAGGCAGCAATCCATGATCGGAGAAATGATTGGAAAGAGAAAAAAAAAAAAAAAAAAAAAAAAAAGATCAATGGAGCTGGAAGTGATCATGCGAGATCATTACCTGGTGAAGATTGTCGTTGACCAGTATTGGGTGCACGGTAATGCTTTGGAATGTAAATCGAATTCCAGGGTGCAACAGTAGTAGGATTGGAGTCACGTAAACTAAACACGACGCTTGCGGTACAGTCGCGGCTGAATCTAGAGACAGTCAGGTTAACCGATTGTGGAAGCAGGCTGCGGTCCTGGGACGCAGGTCGAGTTTGTTGTCCTTGTTGGTCTTGCAGCTGATGTTGCTGCTGTTGATCAAGTGACTGAAGCGGATGACGAGTCATATCAGTCTCGGGGAGAGTGGTAGAGGACGGATCAGCCAAGCTACTACGTGTAAATGTCAAAGAAGGAAAACAAAAAGCAGGTCAGGACTCGGTGGAGAAAGGGCGTAGCAAAAAATGATTAAAGTGTAAAATATGGTTGGACGAGTGAGGGGACTGTGGCACGAGGAAGTCTGTTTTGTCTCATGAATTTCAAACTAAAATCACTCTAGGTCATCGGAAACCTGGTGAATGATGTGAATGATGTGAATGATAGAACGCGTGAAGAGCATTCTCTCGGCTTTCGTGACAAACACAAAAGATGGATATTGCTATCTTTTTTTTTATAGATATTCTTTTTCTGCAATCTTTAATAGAGACTAGCAGAACAGATTTGAAATGATTGTGAAATGTGGGTGGAGGTACAGGGGCTGGCTTTGGGGGTGGGACGGGCTGGGATGAGCTGGGAGGACAAGCACACGCCCACTGCCACAGACAAATCTCTTTTGATGACATGCATTGAGCATTTCAATACACATGTACGCATGCAGAAAGTCCTTGAAAAAAAAAAAAAAAAAAAAAAAAAAAAAAGAGATAGCCAACTCTTCTTCATATATCCTGTCTCAATTGCACTAGGACCATCTGCACTCGCCCAATTGATGCAATGAAGCTAGTCTCAACCCGCCAGTGAAGATCCTTTCTGATAATCATAATAAATACGGTGAAATTTAGGGAGAAAGAATAGGGGATGACCCAAAGATGAAAGATGATGCTCTTCAATTTTTTTTTTTTTTTTTTTTTTTTCGCCACAGTTCCGAAAGAGGATCTCGATTATCGCGCTTCTTTTGAGGTCACAAAGACACGACACGATTTTGTTTTAATGGTATGCATCCATTCCCTGAAGCCACACTTCCTTCTTGTCCATAATATGCAAAACAGAAAAGTACGCGGCAACCATTCCACACACCAAAATAATACACACGTGCAAACTCTGTATTCAAAACGTTTACTTTCCCCTTCACATTTATACTGATAATCTGATAACCCTAATGATTGCATCCTCTATCCAAAATCCTTCCTGTCTCTTTAGACGATCAATAAAGAATGGTGAATTCATGTTAACCTACCTTGAACTGGTCATGGTCATACTAATGCTTGCAAAGGCTTTTACTTGAGAGTTCAATATTAATGAAGTGTAAATACCAGGAGAGAATTGCGCCCAATGACGAAAAGTAAATCAATCAGGACAGAATTTCTACAAGAATACGATTCTTTTTGGAGAGAAAAAAAAAAAAAAAAAATCAATATCCTATCATTTCTAACCAAGGAAGAAAAAGAAGAGTTGCTACTCAAATTCTAGAGAAAAACTTTTTTTTCGGTTGCACGAAGATAGTATCCGAGATTGAAGGTCGCAGTCTTTTCGTTAACGATATGTGAGGGGGATAAAACCCGATTGAAACTCATTACTTCAAGTAAAACATGGTCAGTAGGAAAATCCATTTTGGGCTGTTGCTCCAATCCCAAGTACATCTTTCGGAAATATTTGGAGTAAAAAAAATAAGAAAAATAAAAAATAAACGGCTAGATGTAGTCATCGTTCAAGAAGAGATGTTTTTGTTTGTGAAGAATGGAAGTGTAACAAGTCCTTTTGCCTTGGAACTGTGGAGAGGTAGAGACCAGGAAGAATAAAAAACGTGAAAGGGATTAGAGAGTAAATAGAATTGGCTCTCAGTTTACTCTCTCGGAGATGTCTGTCGGGCGAAGACGTCCTCTGCATCCAAATTGAACTGAGATAATTATGGAGCCAATTTCTTTTACTTTTCCAAAAACCACGAAGCACATACACACATCCATGAGTCCGCCCTCAAAAAAAAAGAAAAAAAAAAAAAAAAAAGCAAGGTTGTTATCGAAGGGCGCCCTTGTTCCTGATGTTTTGTATAATCGAAAGTGCAACAAAGTAGGAGTGGATGTCGTAAAATGAATGTAGATAGATGGATCTTACTCTGTGCGAATGTAAAAATAAAAACAAATGATAAAATGAGGTTGAATGCAAAGAAATCAAGGTAGATCAAAGAGAAAAAAAAAAAAAAAAAAAAAAAATTAAAAATTAAAAAAGCAAAGAGTTGCCAGGAAAGGAATGGATGGAGAGTAGAGTGGAGTGGGGTGGGGAAGGATGGGGCTGAATGAGGATGAGGGTAAGATTGAAAATGATGAATAGATTGAATCGATCTTCGGATCCGACTGCGAAGAGAACAGTATGGAAGAGAAAGGGGGAGAGAGAAAGAGAGAGAAGAGGGGAAAGTTCAAAACGGCAAGTATCCAGAGCAGAGGGCGCGAATAACTCCTCTCTCTCACTCACACACGGATGGATTGGATTGGATTACCAACAAAAAAATCTTTTTGGGCACAGCAGGGGAAGGAAGTATAAAAGGTAAATACAGTGACAGACAAGAATAGGGCGCAGACTGTTCACATTGCCTTGCTTTGCCCTAACCCTCCATTATACCAATATACTGCCCTTTAACGCCACTGCACATAGATCTCAGCAATAAACAGGAAGACAACCCTCTCTTCCTCGACTGTGACGGTGACAATACCTTACTACCGCTCAATAATCAATCAACATTGTAAGAATCGGCTTCCTGTCCAGCAGATGAGGCCACAAATGATCCTAGTAGTCTTTAGAATCGCATGTGACGTTCTCAAAAAGACGTTTGCACAATTAGTTAAAACTAAAGAAAGGAGACACTCATCAGATGAGCGGTGCTCCTGTCCTTGAAGATTTGGGCGAAATAGACCTGACAAAGCGTCCGCAACTTTATCTTCTCAATCGCCCCTAGCTCCCACATCATGTCCTGTTATCACGCCACCAACACCAACAGTCAATTGATATTTGCTACAAATGTTTGTTCACCGTCTCCCTCACTTTCTTTTGCCCCATACTCACGCGACAACACGACATATTTAATTCCGTGGGAAGTCAAGTCGAGCAATGTTCCCAAGCCGCTTTAACAGACAACATAATATTTATTTTCATGTTCATGTAAACAGTGTAACCATTTTGTTTATAAGGAGAGACAATTTAAGGTTGGAAAAACGTCACACATTGCTCCGCCCACGGCGCAGTCCATTCTTTCCCTGTTTCTCTTAAGAGCAATTTCAAGTGCCTATCATTGTTATATCCATATTTCTATACTCTCGATGCTGCTAATATTGCCACCTGCAGCTAGCTGCTGTATTTAGTAATTGCTCTACAGGGATTGGGGGATCAGGGGTCCAGAATGGGTCTCAACAGAAGAATATTGATCTGGACGGACATCTCCTTAGAATGCGCGTGCAGTATTCTTCTGTACGACATTTACATACTACAAATATACATTTTATAAATTAATGTTCTTATTTCTTTCCTTTCAACAACAACAAAGGCATAATAGGTCCGTGACCATGCATATTAAATGGAATGAGAATTTATTATTACTATAATTACTAACAATTATGGATGATCTTTTTTTAAGCAATCGTCGAATGCCAGTTGGGTGCACGTTCAAAGCCGTTTTTGCCACCATGATAATCTTCAAACGTGTCATAGATCTCCTTTTGTGAGTTCATTACAAATGGTCCATGTTGAACAATGGGTTCCTTCAAAGGCTCGCCTGCAATCAACACAAAGTGGGCGTCCTCATCCTTGGTTGTGATCTTGACTGTTTCGGCTCCGTCCTCCGAGAACGTAAGGGTGTGGTGAGCCTCACCCTTGAACTCCTTGTCACCTACATAAATGGTTCCCTTGAGTGTGTAGATGAATCCAGTGTAGTTGGCAGGGATGGATTGCTCAACTGCTTTGTTCTTGTCCATCTTGAAATCGAGATACATTGTTGGTGTGCGAGTGTAGACCTTGCTCTTGACTCCATGTGACTCGCCTGCAATCACCTTCACCACCACTCCTTCCTGTGGATTAGCACGAGGGATCTGGCCATCGAGCAGCTCCTGGTATTGAGGCTCACACATCTTGTGTTCCTTGGGCAAGTTGATCCAGAGCTGAAGTCCATGAGCACGGGTCTGGGACTTGACAGGCATCTCTGAATGGACAATACCACGTCCAGCAGTCATCCATTGCAAGTCTCCAGGTCCGATGGTCCCTTTGTGTCCTGCAAAGTCTTCATGCTGGAACTGACCCTCAAGCATATAAGTGACGGTCTCGAATCCACGGTGAGGGTGGTCAGGGAAGCCACCGTTCTTGTCAACATTGAACTCGTCGAGCATGAGGAAAGGATCGTGATTACGGAGTTCGGGCCGTCCAATAGATCGACGAACTCTTGCGCCTCGACCTTCGGCCTGTTCCTTTGAGAGAACAGACTTAACAACCGACCGTGAGACTCCGGAAAGTGAGGAAGACATTGTTTCTGTTTTACGTGTTGCTTTTAAACTTTCTTTGTTTGTGTTTATGCACGTGAGTTTAAAGGGTAGGAAAAGATAAAGAGTTGGAGTTCTTTTTTTTTTTTTTTTTTTTTTTTTTTTTCAAAAGGATGCAGACAGGGTTAGACAAAGAGGGCGGGTTTTTATAGATTCAAGGTGCTGTGTTGATGCTTCGTTCTATACATTAGAAAGCACATGCTGACCAATTTGTTATTTATTTATTGTGTCTATGAGAAAATCAGATTCTACGTGCATATTTTTTTATTGATCTGGCTGCAAGAGGATCTGTCAGGCTTAGCAATTCTGTCAACAATCACAAATAATTTTTTTAAAAAGCCACTTCCGAATTGTGGCTCAGAAGGGTACATGTTTAATGGGAACATCCGCCTGAATACCTGACTAAAAGACCACACGACCCTACATCCTTCACAGCACGGTCCTAATATTTCAGAGATCGTCATTCCTCATACGACCATGAATAGCGGGCAATATCATAACTGATATACGATCCATCTATTAATTAATTTAGTATAAATATATATATCTAAGCATCTTTTTTTTTTTTTTTTTTTTTTTTTTTTTTTTAAATATCGTAAGGACTAGTCATAGTGGGACTTGGATAGTACATTTATTTGTATACAATAGCACGACCCCAAGGGCCCTGTCTATTTTTTTGTACTCAGTTAGACTTCCACGTATATATTGAAACCTAATTCAGGTAATGAACGTCATAAATAAAGCATTAGACCCGTCATTTCATACTTTAGTCTGCAACAAGGGGCGGAGGTCGATCTTTTTTTATTTAATTAATTCTGCCTGGATCAGGAACAGACATTTCCGGAACCTGCTATATCCGTTACGTATATATGGTTGATCTTATAAAAGTAAGGCTTAGCTTATTTATCGACAAAGATGACGACGATCTAGAAGAAAAAAGACATGCAGGTTCCCTTTTCTCTGATCAAAGATCCGTACCACACGAGCATCAGTATCATTAATGTCACATAATGAACCTTTTGTTTTTTTTTTTTTTTTTAATTATTTTTCATATTTTTAATTTTTATTTCTTATAAAGTATAATACAGGAAGAAAAAAAAAAAAAAGAGGAAGAGGAAATAGAAATCTGACATCATCCTTATATCTTTTCCCTTCACTCTTACGTCCCCGTATCACTCCTTACTAAAATAATGATAAAGGAGGATACCTGGTATCCGTGATTTGTTTTGTACAGACAACTTTGTGTACATGGGATGCAACAAAAGATAAAATAAAATAAGATTTGAAGCATCTATACCCATAAAATATTTAACAAAGGACTATTTTTTTTTTTTTTTTTTTTTTTTTTTTTAAAACTTGGCAATAGCGGCGACACAGCTGATCAGACCAACGGTAGCAATGCCACGCCAGACTGTGTATTGGCGGTAATTAATACCAAAGATGCTGAAATTGTCGATGATGCAGGAAAAGATCAGTTGAGCGCAAACAATGATCGCTGTTGTTGTACCGGCACCAAGTTTGGGAATGGCCAAAATAGTGATGATGACAAAGACGGCACCAATGACACCTCCGGTCCATGCCCACCAGGGTGCCTGACCCATTGTCGACAACAGGTCCGTTGGTGGACGACCCTTGACCTCAATTAAGAAATAAATACATGATGTTATGGCACCTATTTTAAGTAAAAGTTATAATAAAAATAAATTACCAGAGAATAAGTATTTTTAAAACGGCCAAAAGAAAAAAATAACTGTCCACTTAAAAAAAAAAAAAAAAAAAAAATGCAGAAACATGCAAACATATTCAGGGATAAAAAGGGAAAAGAGGACCAATCATGCAAACTGAAATGATAATAAAAGGACATACCGACGAAAAAGACGATGGTTGAGCAAAGACCCTGCCCCGAAAATTGGCCGAGCTTGGAGTTTACAGCGCCCTGCGAGGCTGTGGCAATACCACCGACCACGCAGATGAATGCGCAGAAGATGATGTTATCGAGGACAGACATTTATAAAGATTTGATAGAGTGGAGATGAAAGGATTTTTTGTCGAAACGATCAATGATATCGAGATTACAAAAGGGAGGATAATAGGGATAAAGAATGATGATTATGTACTGCTGACAACTAAAGGGTGAAGGAGAGTCGATCTATAAGTTTGTAGAGAATTAACAATGTGGTATAATAGATCTGACACTAACAGAGATTACAAGTGAAAGGGAGAAAAAAGAGAGAGAGAGAATGGATGTAGATGAGGAAAGTTGAATGAAATAACTGTTTAGAGAGGAGAGAGGAGAAGAATAGCTGGACCAATTGGAGGTCTAATGGAGATGGATAAAATGTTTTGAAAAGTAAAGAAAAGGACCCCAAGGATGATTGTCGGGGTCTGAGTATTTATACGAAGTGACTTCGAGGACCATGGCCACGGGGACTAGGTTACAAGGTATATACACATGTACATCTGAACACTGCAGGCACAGATATCACTTGAGCCAATAGAATCTAGTTTAGTGAATAAAAGAATAAAACCGATAGGTCTTTACGATCGAGCCTATTGTCCCGGCGGAGGAATTGCAGGTGTCGGATTGGGTGTTCTATTCAGTCAGTATATAAAGTTAGTTGATTCTATCAGCCTTGTCAGACTTCCTTTCTTGGATTCATTTGAGGCTTCTGGTCTATCTCTTAGAGAGCATGTTACACATCGAATGAGGGTATCAAGAAGCGAGGCAAAGCAACAATACAATTGAGAGTTTGTTGAAAAATAAAAAATAAAAAACACGGGCAGTTGTTGCATAGAGTTTTTTACTCTCTTCCGGGGTGTGTAAACAAACAAAGGTCTACATAGATCCTGTTGGTCTGTTTGTTTGTCAATCAATGAGATGTGCCTTCCTTCTACATCAACACACAATAACAAAAAGGGCCCGTTGAACGCTGCCATCGACTCATTGCTATGCACAGCACAAATCTATCAATGCTATGCATTCATGTTATATTGTATACAGCTTGAAGCAGACTGATCAACATTATATTTTGTTACATTTTGATTTTTTTGTCATAGAGGATACTTAAAAGGCAAAAGGTACCATCATGTAATGTCATCACACGTTTGCTCATACGTAAATCAAAAATGCGGGGTCTCTTTCCTCTTATGACAGGAATCTACTGATCATGAAATATTTTTCAGTTTAAAGGTTCAGCAAATGGGAATTCTTAACCAAAAAAAAAGCGGGGAATATCCACTTTTTTTTTCTTTTTATTTTTAATATTTAATTGAATACGATGTTACTATACACGGCTCGTATTTTTCCATTCTTTTCAATTCAAATTAGTTATACAAACCTCTAATTATTAATATATGTGTATATTTATATAACATGTATCTCTAAAAATCGAATTGGGTGCGTTTCTTACTGTTTATCAATAATATTTATTACACATGTATAAGATGGAAAAATAATATCCTATAATATAGATATTAGTAATATTTATTTTTCAGTTATCATATATTTACATATGACTGCACTCCAGTGTACTTAGTGAAAATGTCATTGTCTTAGATATTTATATATATATAATATTTATATACTTTAATAATAATTATTATTATTTTTTGAACAGTTTATCCAGAGAAGAATTACGAGGACGATTACCTTTAATGTCATCTCTTCTCCACCTTTCCGATTCCGACAATGAGGGAAAAAAAAGGTGTAGCACAAAGGTAAAATACAAGTAATGCACGCGTGGAAAATATCCTAGTGAGCCAATCGATTCGTTGATTCCTGCTTTTGAAGAGAAAGAGAAACAGATGGGGTATCTCATGTGTACACAGATCAGTGGAGAAAATAATAACAAAAAAAAAATTGTCTTCCCCGCGTTGATACATTTGCCATAACGAGGAACTTGCTCCCTCAACCCAAACAACCAAACAATTTAACCTGCAAGGGACTCATGCATATGTATATATCATTCTCGAAACTCCGTAAAGCTTGAACGTTGGACAGAGCTCTTTTTTGACACGAGGATGTTCATTATTCTTCTAGCGGATCTTCATTATCCCCTTGAACCCCTCATCCAATATCTTTTTATGAATGTCTTGTGTGGAGAAGGATGGCGATTTAATTTTCTATGAGTATGATTGGAGTTGATACAAAATCTTTGATCCTCATCATTTTTAAGCTATCAAAGTTACTGGACAGGTGATAAAAAAAATGTCTTGCTTCGATAAGAAGCAGCCAAGAGGATCGCCTTCTGTGCTCTTAACATGATATGTAGCTTTTCTAGTTACTACCTTCAAGTATCGGAAAGAGATGCTTAAGCGATACCCAACAACAACAGCAACAACAACAACAATAATAATAATAATAATAATAATAGAAAAAAGACGACTCGGTGGAGGAAAATATGTATTGTCATGATAGACTTACATAGAACTACATAGAGCTATCCAAATAATCTACAGCACCTTTCTTTTCTTGTATTTCCTTAGCCTCATCAACTCTTGTAAACGTCGCTTTTCCTTTAATGCGGAACCACCAATGCAGAAAACAATGCAAAAAAAAAAAAAAAAAAAAAAAAACATTCCCCGTTTAAAATGTTCATACCACTCCCCAACAGATTTTCAGAGGCAAAGGCAAAAAGAAAAAAAAAATGCACTAAAAGGCCAACTTGTACATAGTCACCATAAATAAAAACATGCAGTAGTAATAAACGTACACAATATGCGAAAGACATGTATATATCATCCAACCCACACGTTATCTTTTCCTGTTTATATCACAAAAAAAAAAAAAAAAAAAAAAACAAACGTGTCATTCAAGGGAAAAATAAAACAATACCTATTTTCGCCAAAAAAGCCAAATTATATACAAACAAATATATATATATCTATGCGCAGCGGGGAAGACGAACACAAAACCGCCGCGTTTGTTTTTTATTTTTTTTTTTGTAACGCGTCTACGCCGCTGATACCATCGATTGATTCCCTCGTTGCCGTTGTAGGACTATGTCCTTATGGATATACTAGCCATCAAGCTCTTTTTTTTTATTTTTTTTATTTTTTTTTTTTTAGAGACGCGTATTGCGTGTATTCTTTTTTATTTTTTTTTTATTCCATACTTGAATATATATATTATGCAGACAAGATATGCAGTATATACAAATATATATGTATAAAAACGAGAGAGGAGCAAAGTGACATCAGATGCCAAAAGTATAAAGACTATAAAGAGTATATGTCTATATGTATATAAAAAAAAAATTGCCCGCGATTTAATACTGTTATAGGAAAAAATAGGGTGCTCTACAACTCTACAAGGATTAAGAAAGTTAGTTGTACAAGTAATGACCGCGTTTAGCAAACCGAACTAGACTACCAGCTCAATTATGAGTATATTTATAAATCTGTATTCATTACTTCTTTCTCACATGCACCATTCCTTTCTATTTTTTCCCCGCATTGCATATTATTACCATTTTCAACCAACAAGAGTTTTTATGCTTACTACCTCGGCCTCTCGGCATTTTAGTTTGTGCGATGGGCTTTAATAATATCCAGCTCAATCACTTGCTTGTACTAAATTAGTTAAATGACCAAGTTATAACATATATATATATATATATACATGTATATACTGTATACTGATGATGTTCTAGGCTCTTCTTTTCATCCGCTCGACCTCAACCAACTATCTTTACAAAGAAAACTCAAAGCTGACATTGATTTTGGACTCACGTGCCATGTGAACTACCTTAACAAGCTTGCTGGTTGCATAATCAAGAACGTTCGAGGTAACGATCCCAAGTCCTGACTCTGTAGTCAGCTTTTTGGTCTCATTCCTAAAACCGGACCATCAGACGGATCCGGAGCTGTAGTGATGATGCGACTGCAATAATGTCCTACGTATTCACTCAATAGGATATGATTTCTCTAAAAATATTGTCTAATGATCTTGAACCTGCTCTGCAATCGTTCCTCCTCCAACATTCAAAAACTTGACAGGCGCTCCACCATGAAGCTTCATGATATCTGTCGTCGACTTCACCAGCCCGGGCCCTTTGGTTAAACATGCAACCGATCCATCTAAACCAATGTAGTAGAGGTAGTGTTATTCTGCAGAGACCTCACGAAGATCTTCAGGGTTGATATTACAATGACTATGGACTTCATGCTGGTGGGTTTTGGCGTCAATCCAGAGAACTGGGAAGGGAATGGGGGAGATGAGGAGTGAAATAACTTTATGTATAATTTTAAGAGCTTGAATTATCACTGGTGTTTGGGCAATAGAACCAAAAGTAAACTATCTTCGTGATTTACAGATTCTCCCATAAGCTTAATCCCCAACATGACAACATTCTTCTGTATGAAGGGTTCTTAGTCCGTTGCTTGATCAGTGCATTTGGGAGAAAAAACCATGTATTCAGCCAAATCATGGGCCACACAGTTGGTTTCCTCATTAATATCAACCAGCTGTTGCGAGGTTGCTTCTGAGTCCTCTGCTGGTACAGATTTGAGGTCTACGCCGTCCTGAAAAGATGCTACCATCATAGAGCCTTGTGGTTTACGACCCACCAGTATCGCAAAGTCGCACAACGAGCGTACTTGTTGTTCACAGATCCAGACAGCATTGCAAACCTTACCTGCAGCTCCTGTCTGCTTAATTTGTCCAAGCATCTGTTCAGTAAACATCTGGGCCTGTTTAAGCCAAAGCAAAGATATATACCAGAGTACTTTCTACAACATCCTACACAAATCGAATTTACGCTCCTCTTCTGCGGCATCCAGACATACACTCAAGGTCACGATAATATATATATATATAAGCAATCCTCATTAAAAATAAAAATAAAAATAATAGTGAAATTGTTGTTAACGGTGAGAAAGCAGTTTAATAAGTGATCAAATCTGTTTGTGTCCGTGCGCTGAGAATGTGCGTAAATTTATATCACTAGACACGTGGGATACGCGGTTGGACGGAATATCGGGTAAATATTTGAAATTATTTGCCGGTAAATCAATCCAGAGTCTCACATAATATATACATTCACATTAAAAAAAAAAAAAAAAAAAAAAAAGATACAACATGCTAAAGCCCAGTAACGGGTGTCGCCAGCCTTAAGCAATAAAGTCCTGCCGCTCGCGAAATATTGGAGGGAAATAAATACTTTTGTCTTAATGAGGACGACTGAATCTCAATCCCTCAGAATATATTGCTTTTCGATTATTGAAGCGACCGCTGTTGTTATAATGGGACGTATATGTATTAGGTATAAAATCTACAGAATAGTTCATTTGAGTTTGCGCGCCGGTAGGCAAATGGTGTACCAAATACGACGAACGATAGTATTCACAGCTATTAAAAGAGTTTTATTGTTACGGCAGATTCCCGAAGTTCCTTCCGACCAAGTAGCACAATCTGACGCGTCTTTTGCATGACCGAAAAGGTGGTGAATCTATTTAGTATCGTTTATGTTAATCCTAACAGCTTTCTAGACTATAGTTCTTCTAGAAGACTCTTCTTATTGGTTCGAGATGAGGCAGCCGTTGCTACCCACATGTCCTTTACGAGAGAAGAGACTACTCGATGTTAGAGCGTAGGTGCACTGCTGCTTAAAATGTATAAAGTGTGCGCGGTACTTCCTGTGCGTCAAGGAATTCGTTACTATTGCCAGCAAGCCTAACTTACAGAAATAGGTATTGACTTTTTTTTTTTTTTTTTTTTTTTTTTTTGGATTTCAAGCGCTCAAAGGCCTTCAATATATTAAAGTGTATTCTTTACTCCCAAATGTTGCCACCATGCCTCTATAGAGTAGCCAAACATCAGGGGAATGGATATAATCTGCCTAGGATGGGTTCAGACTTAAGGCTCCAAGTGATCTATTTGAGAGGCTTTCCATCGATGACAGTAGTAGTAAAAGCTTTTGCCAAGGACTTTCAAACTCTCCGCAGGAAGATACTTCGTAGTGGTCGGTCGTCCCCATCGGATTGTATGTCTTGTTGGACCAGAGCAGTAATCGTCATCTCTTACACTTGATCGTTAGATATTAGCCGAGTGAGATGTGGCACGGATGGAGCACGATAATTTTGTAAATCTTTGATATATAGTTCTGATACTGCTACCAATAATAGTTAGTTGGGCAGTTAAATAGTTAACTCTTATATTCACGATGAGTGTAATGCTTAATGCAACGTAAACACCACCTTGTGCCGTTAAGTCGGATTCATCCAACATTTAACAAGTCCCCAAAGAGAAAATATCAATGGGATTTTACCTTTTGATATTGTCTTCCCCTTTATTAATGCCACATAATTTGCAGAAGTAAGTGAAGGCCTCGTGTCGATAAATGGGAATCATGTGATCCTTATGGCCAGTGACGTCGACAAAAATATCTCGGAGAGAGTTTCCGTCTTTCATTTTTATTTTTTTGAATTGTTTAATCAATCACAAACAACGAACGACACTACCTTCTCAATACATCGAAATCAACAATGGCTGGAGGTACATTACTTTGTTCCTGATCCGTTCACACTCAATCACGCTTGTTTTTATTCGATTCATCGAACACATTCAGCTGAAAACACCAACTTTACTTGATCATCCTTTTTTTTTTTTTTTTTTTTATTCCTTTGCTTTCCGAGTTCGGAACTAGCAGATTTCTAACTCGCTGTCTTTTTTCTTTTTTTTTTCTTTTTTTTTTTTTTTTAGGAAAATGGATGGGTTGGTGGGGACACTTGGGTGCCCCAGTGCAGCGCGGCATTGTCATCTACTCATTGTCGCCTTATGAGCAACGTGCTTTTTCAGGAGCTCTTCATCAAGCAGTCTTCAACACTTTCCGTCGCGTCTCTGGACAGGCCTTTTATGTTGCTGTTCCTATGGGAATCGGTTACGCCGTTTACTCCTGGGGCAAGAAGAATCACGGTATGTTTTTATTTATTAATACTTCATAATCAAGACAACAAAGAAAGAAAGGGGAAAAAAAAAAAAAATACATTGAATGGCATCAAAATAAGATCAGGAATTGAAGAATAAAAAAAAAAGTACTGGGATTTCAATCAGGATATTCACTGTCATTATTGGTCAAGGAGAGAGGAATGGACATTATCCGGTGGATATTTTAAAGGATGACGGTTAGAAACGATACTATTGTTGTGGCATTACTTCAAAAAAAAAAAAAAAAAAAAAAAAAGCATTATATGATGTACGATTTTCATATCGGATCTGTGTGCAGTTCGCTCTTTCAGAACGTATTTTTGGGTCGATACAGGAAGCGGCAGTTGCAGGAATTAGTTTTATGATCCTGGATCACCTTTTCTTTTCCTTTTTTTTTTTTTTTTTTTTTTTTTTTTTAAAAAAAAAAAAAAAAAAAAAAAATAGAAGCATTATAACTGACCTTTTGAATAATGTTGATGATGATGAATTATATAGAGTTCCGTCTCAGCAAGGAGGGCCATAAGTACTACGAAGGTCATGAGGGCACTGCTTAGAAAAGAAAAAGAAGTATTGGATGGACGTATGATCGCGACAAACATATTATTTTGAATTACGAATAATAATAATAAAAAAAAAAAAAAAAAAAAAATTAGTCAGGGCAATAAATTCTTGCATTCCCAGATTTTCTTGACATTTCAGTTCTCCAAGTCAATGTCATTTCTGGGCAATGTTGATAGACTTTTTTTGTTAATAATTGGTGTGCTTTCGCTTTGCTCTTTGTATTCGACTTAAAAAAAAAAAGTCTTCTTATTTCTGTTATTACCTCGAAGGACTATTGTTACAATTTCTCCATGAGGAGTGTTCTATTGCTACTCTCGAAGCCTACCATCCTCTTTGCTCAACGATCACAGCAACAGCAGTCGAATCTACCGTCTAGTTGTAGTCTTACTGATATCATCTGGATGACCGAGGAATAATTAAAAGATGATTTTGTCTTCATGAATAGGATGATAGATTCAACTTTCGCCCGAATACTTGGCTCGATAAAGTGATGAAATATAAAAAAATAAAAATTGAACGATTGAATGAGGTGCACAGTCATTATCGGCTCCGTTTTCCTTTAAAGTCCTTTTCATCATCGTTGGTTATACGGAAAAGATCTGAAGAATGTCTTCTACAAAGCACGTTCGCCTCATAATCAAAAGCTTCATGGGATCATTGTAGATGAAAAAAAAAAAAAAAAAAAAAAACTTTGCTGCAACATCAGTTTGTATTGTTTGTATAGGAATCTCAAGAGAAGATGTTAAGGACAACGGTGGTGGTGATGATAATCCAGAGAGGAAGTAAGGTTATCTCATGCTTAATATTCCCACCCTCGTGAATATGGATCTAACCTCTGGTAATGGTGTCATGCATCTTTAAACGTGATACGCCCATCTCGATGGATATGGGCCTGAAAAAAACTTGGCGTTGCAGTCTGAATTTGATCCAAATCGTCTCTTGTATGTGCATCATGGATGATATGCGGCTACAACGGACAACTGATTGAATGATATGAAGGTCTGGTAATTTATGTCAAGTATCGATATCAGTCGTGAAACCAAGCATATTGTTAACTAGGATTGTGGTATTCTCGGCCCGTTCTTGTTGAGGCGTGCTTTATGGACAGATGAGACTTGTTATATGGATGCTATGTTTCGGATACAAGACACGATTCATTGATAGGCGCATTAAACTCAGGGCCAAATGTGTTTGTGGGTTCATGCTAACATTGTTGGTCCTTACGATATTAGAGTTATTTATTCTTGTAGGCTTGTGAATGCTATGTTTGTCCTGAGTGATTGTTTCTTTGATTGCTTTTCTAAAAAGAGATGGTTTTTTTAATGACTGATCAATCAATTGACGAGCTGAACGTTGTACGACATAAAAGTCATGACTTCAAAGTACGCACTCGCGGCTGGATGGGGTCTGGACAGGGATGGCCAGGTGCCTTTCATGTGGTCTATCGCTGCGTGGTTGATGTCCCTGTCCGTTCTCAGACATTACCCGAGGTCATGAGCTTTCAGGGGAATTTTGATTACAAATCCAGACATCAGTGATAGCAAAGTATATAGCAACCTGTAGTAGACCTAATTGGTAGCTAGAGCCAATGGCACTAGCCAGTCAGCTTCATTTTTAAAATGTTATGTGGGCGTTGCAGGCAAGAACCAGTTGTCTTCACCCTTGCCACAACGACTCGTGATAGCTCAAGGGGCCTTTGAGAGCCAAGAATCAATCCGTGCCGCCAGTGTTTCTTTTCACAAAGGCGAAAAAAAAAAAAAAAGAGTCGAAGAAGATGAGAACGACCATCGTTTATTGGAATAGATAAGACATTCAGAAAGCTATTCGAAAATATGGACAGGAGATGTAGGCTCAATGACTACCCATCACCATCGTCATCGGTAGAGTGAATAAACAAAAAAAAAAGAAAAAGCATTGGCATCTTTCCTCTTTCAAGTATACATTTCATCATGAAATTTGTCCTACATTCGACTTCGAAGCCCTTCTCCAACTTTATTTCATTTTTGTACACAGGTAGACATCTCGGAAAACCAAAGATTGATTGATGACAGTGATTCTTTTTAAAAAAAACATGGGGTATTGAGATGGTTACTTTTTAGACTAGTTTCTGATGACCGAATCCTGGTATTGAGTCGTGTTCATTACGGTCCATCGGGAAGAGGCCAGTAGCTGGTGCTCCCATTGGTTTGGCAAAAGCAGGATTCATTGACTGTGCTTGTGCCTGTTGCATCATCGCTGTTGTTGGAGTTTGTATCTGGGATGAAAACGAAGGCTCTACTCCGCCAATTATTGTGCTTGTGTCTGTAGTTCTGGTTGGCCCTGGTAAAGATTCATCGCTGATAGGTACTTTATCATAGCCTAGCTCGTGTCCAAGATGGGGATGATAATGCTCAGGCGGATGTGGATGAGTAAGGCTGAGAGTCTGCAGAGAGCTCAAAACAGGATGCTCTGTTGGGCTAAGGACCATGTCAGCTGACAGTCTCTGTGCTTGTTCATGTGCTAAAGGACCCTCAAAGTCCTCTGATGTGTACGTTGAGCTCAGATGACTAGATCCATGTGTTTGTTGTCGAGGATAGTGATGGTGAAGTTGGTGACCAAACTGCCTGGACGATCCGTTTAGTGCTGACGATGCTTGTGAGGATGGTGAGTGGAGTGCAAAATAGCCAGCGGCAGTTCCTTCTTCAGAAAGTTCCAATGGTGTGATGGGTGCAGATGGTCCCATGTTGGGTCGCAAGAGAGGTGAAGCTTTTGGAGATAGGCCCATGAGAGGAGTTACATCGCCAGATCGCAAAGAGACCGCGTTATTAGAGGAAAGAGATGAATGCTTGGTGTGAGCAGAAGGGTGGTAAAGACATCCGAAAGCATCATACAGGGCCGACTTTATCAACTTTGAGTCTTGTTGAGACTGCATAGTAGGTGAAGTGGATGCTGAGGGTGATTGGAGACCAAGGACCAAAGGTGAGATTTGATCGTTGACTTGGATAGCCTTGACCAAAGGTGACGGACAAGAGCCACTGTCCTCAAGTTGTTTGTTGTGAGTTGTGCTTGAAGACGATCCTGGGGTAAGTCTAAGACGAGGACTAGTACTGTTATTATCTTGAGTATGATCTAAAGATAAATGATCGAGCTGTGGTTGTTGTTGCTGTTGTTGTGGTTGTTGTTGAAAATCAGTTTGATGGGGTAAAGTGGAGGTAGTGGGCTTGGGTGCATTGGACAGATGTGGCATCCTACGGTGAGTAGCCACGTTTGGGAAGGGCATTATGGAGGCCATCTCTGTCTATCTGTCTTGTCGATGAGGTTGACTTTGGAAGCAAAGGATAAAGTAAAGAAAAAAAAAAAAAAGTAGGAAGAGAGAAAGAGAGAGAGAGAGAGAGAGAAAAGAGAATGAATTCAATGAATAAAGTGAATGAAACTGCAATGTCTTAATGTGTGGGAATGATTTTTTTTTTTTTTTTTTTTTTTTTTTTCATTTTCTTCCAGTCACAATCACACAGTTTCATGTGTACTTTCAGTCTGAAGAAACAAGTCAGGCACAAACAGCACAGATACTTCGAGGATAGATCAAGCACAATGATGCTTTTGCTTCTGCTTTTACTCTTTTACTTTCACTCTTGCTTGTGCTTTGTTTCAACTTTGTCATGCTTCACGGAAAAAACAAAGCTTGTGCTTCTCGTCACGGCCACAATGCATCTATGCTTACATTTCGCTTCTCCCAACGGTCCGCCTCCCTGCCGTCCCGCGCAGCTAATTTTTTTTTTTTTTTGATTACCCTCATTCTTTTTCTTTCTTTTCCTTCCTTCTTTCTTTTTTTTTTTTTTTTTTCACACATCCTGCAACACTCGATCCATCCCATCTAACCATCTGATACACCAAAATGGTTGATTTCCAGTTCCACTCCTTCGCCACCAGTTCAAACTCATTAGTTGCTGGCAAGCTTCTCACTGTCGCTTCTGTTGGTATCTTCGCCGGCACCGCCCTCTCCTTCAGCTCCATCATCATTCCCTCGTTCCGCAAGTTCTCTTCTGCCAGCTCGCTCGCCATCTGGCATGAGTCCATCAAGTCCGCACAGAGTAAGCTTTGTCATCACTGACAGAAGCGGAAAAAAATAATAAATAGACATTGCACATCATCTTTATCCTGGATGAGACGTGCTTATTTTGTAATGGACATTAGTTAACATCCTTCCTTTCCGATTGAATGTCTAGTCTTGCAAACGGCTTCGAATGCCGTTGGTGTTATCGGAGGTATCGGATTGTACTACGAGACAGAAAACCCTTTTTATTTGTACAGCGCTATCACTTTGGCCACTGTTGTTCCTCTTAGTCTTTTCCTTAATTATCGCGTCAACAAGAAGCTGATTGAAATCCGTCAGGATAACACAGTCGACGGCAAGGCCGACAGCATGAGGGACAACAAGTTCAATGATGCCGAGATCGAGATGTTATTGCGTCGCTGGAACCTCCTCAACATCGGACGTACTGTTCTGGGCTATGGCGCTCTTCTCGCTGCTCTCTACGGTGTTGCTTCTGACAGCGGAGTCAGGTTCATCTTTAGCGCATAAGATAGTCACACCTTATAAAAGCAAAAAAAGAATAAACCTTTATGAAACGTATCTGTGTAGGAGTGACATTGCAGATTTTCAATCACCCGCGACAGGAATATTAGAAAAACTCAGTAAGGATTAATTGATATATATACATATAAAGGTTGATCAAAGACGCTTGATATCCAGGTTGGCATTGAAGCACAAAGTCCCAGACAAGAGCAGTGTAAGTATACACAACACAAAGGAATAAAAAAAAAAAAAAAAAAAAAAAAAAAGAGCATTCAGTAAGCAATTGAAAACCAAAATTCAATTTTTTCCTCGGATGCTTCCTCATTTGTATCCCATTGGATCATTCCGAACAGGGGTTTCCCATTTCCAGATGAAAATTGCACAGTCATTTCCAAGGACGCAGACAACGACATGGCGCATCCTACATAGAATCGAGTTATTAACACGTAACGTAGCGCGAGTTCTGACACTATCTAAATAGCGCACTTGCACTTTGACATTCAGCCATCCAAGCATCCACAATGCTATTACGCTACTATTTCCAGTTTCGTCCCCCCTTCACAATGTGCTTTATCTATCAATTGGCCATAGAAATGTGATTTGCGTGTGTTACCCAAACAATGGACAAATATTTTTGTATTTGCCAGGCAAATAGGAAATAACAAAGATCATCGTCATCATCGTAATGAAGGGAATGCAGGAACACACAAGTTTTTGTGTAAGCCTGTGAGGCATGTGCGCGCAACACGAGACATCGGCAAAAGTGCACCAATATTAAGAGGAGACTTGCCTTTATAAAAAATAAAAAATAAAAAGCCTCAGAATAAATGAAAGCTGTGCATCATATGCGTTGTATTTCATTTATAAATCAAGTGAACGCGACATGGCCAATGCACTCAAAACTCGAATCGCTCCGCAACCTTTTTTTATTTATTTATTTATTTAAAGAGGGTTTTTATCGAGGTAGAAAAGTAGAATTCGGGTTGATTCTACAGTACATTATTAACACGCCCAGATGGGGAAGAACAGGGAAAGAACAAGGAAAAAACAACAACAAAAAACTCACAGGACCTGATGAATAGGGGATGCTTCATGGAAATTGGCGGGGTGACCCGTGCAATATGAAGAATATTCAAAGCAATCTAATGCAACTTGCGCTTGCTTATGAACCCTTGAAAAAAAGCAGTTTTTTTCTTTTTTCATTGTTTTTTTTTTTTGTTCCTCTACTGCTTCTTCTTGCCTTCCCACTTTCTCGAATTACCTTGCATTATATTCACTCTTGTGGATTGCCGAGCACAATCCTGCATTTTTTTTTTTCCGCTTCTCCAAGGTTAGTAACACTGGGATTGCCCATACTTTCTGAAATGTTGCTGATTTAAGCTTCCATTACATTTCAACCCAACAGCTGCTCATGCATCGGATTGTTTTGTAGTATAAAGTCCAACGGAAACAGCTAATGCAATTATATGAGAAAAGACGACTTGATGTCATCATCCCATTCCTCATTGTCATTATTCTCAAATATTCTTATTATGATGCCTTATTTCCCATGGGAAACAAAAGTCCGTTGGTGTAGGAGTAGAGGAAAATGGGTAGAATTAGATCGAGTTTCAATTTTTTAAATTGGGGGCAATCCACATCAACCTAAACTGGGTCTTGGCAAAGAGCTTCCAAGAACAGCGGCTTCTCTCCTTCCCCTTCCCTTTTTTTCCTCTCCGCCGGAGATTCAGTCGAAGCGATGCGAAAATGAGAGAGATCAGCTGAGATCTTTAGTTTACCGGCTGGCAGAACGCTGGGTAAACCGAAGCGTAATGCCTCGCTATCCATCTGCTTGAAGATAGACTGAAAAGGGAATTGGTCAAATGACAGAGAAACCATCACATCATATCTACATTTACTGTTGGATTTGTAAATGTGTTTTGCTGTCATCATATCGCTGCCCAGAAAACGCGCAGCTGCTTACTTACATCCAAGTAATGCAATACATTTTAGCATTTTGCATTTGGTGTTAAGCATTGATATTGAGGAGATCATGGTCGTACACATCATTCACACATGTCATTGGGAGTCCGGTTTTGAGTGAGAAGTGTCAATTACTCTTCCCCAAACAGAACATGTTCGATCCAAACCAGGAAGTGCATTCAATAACTGTAAACTAACACTCCGCCGATCCGACGGTGTTGTTTTGTTACAGTAGGTCATCATCACTGGCATGTGGGGAAAGAGCATTTTTAATGATATTCTCCCCTCTCTCATCTCCACGTTTCTTTTCTTTGATTCTTATTTAAAACCACCCTTGTCACTACACACACCACTAAAATAATATTTCTTCACTCTCATATCTTGCTTACTTACTTGGACCTACTCAATCTACTTTTTTTTGTCACTCCTTTCACGCGCGCTGTCTTTTTCTTTTGTTCTCACATTCCCCTTCTGTACCACATTAACATTCACTCCATCGATCTCACTCTCCGCATTAGTTTCTACTTTATCCAATCTTCATCAACATTTCCACATCCCAGACGGCTCTCATTTTATTTATTTATTCTTTATTCTTTTCTAAACAGCTTCACTCATCCAGACCCGCACAGCTTGTCTTTGACCTGTAAGGAGCAAGGGTATAGAGAAAAAGGTAATATAATCGGGCTGAAGCTCTGCGCTCTCGTAATTTTCATTTGCTTATTGCAGCAGCCTGGCCTATATTTACGGCGAAATAGTACATTTTATATAGACAACACACAGATCTACTGTGTTAATGTAGTGAGCATTTGGATAAAAATGCTTATTTTACTCTTACTGTATTTGCAATGTCTACACGTGCATTGTATCACCTAAAAAAAAACTTCATTTTGCAATGTACAGTTGTCCCTTGATCCTTTTTTCGTCTTTGTTCACTTTCTAGGCTAAAATACTCTTTCCATTCTCTCTTTTTCTATCCTCCTGTCTCTCTTCCATCTCTTCACTTCTTTCTTTCTTTCTTCTTCACTTTTTGCTTTGCTTACTGATCCTCATTATTACAACTTTTTTTTTTTTTTTTTTTTTTTGTCTCCCAATTCATTCCTAATCAGGGGGTGTTTTCATTCATTTCCTGTTGAATTGCAACTACGAGCATGTCAACAGTAGAACCGACCAACTTACCCCTCACACCACCACCAGAATCTGGCTCTATTTATACCTCAATTAACAGCACTATGGACTCGGACACATATCCCACATTGCAGACTTCCTCTGTTCCTCTCAAAGACTCAGCGTCTGTGACGAAATTAGACGTACCGGCCCATGATCTGCAAGGAAACTCACCAGCTGTGGATCGCGTAGATGAACATGAAACCACAGACGAAGATACAATCACCACAACGACATTTACAACTTCACTGTCATCCAAGGAACTTAAAAGCCATAAAGGCGGGATGAAGGACCTACTTGCTCAGCACCAATCTCTCCATCAAAAAATCCTTGAGGATAAGAACAGAGAAATTGATCATCAACAATCAACACAAGGGACTAGAGCAATTCCCGATGATGGAGAAAATATAACGACCAACATTTCAACTATTCAAGCTCCGTCTGCAACATCAACCTTATCTGAAGGTCAAAGCTCGTCTTTTAGGCCCAGCAGTAGTCACCACGACAGCCATAGTGCCCTATCAGCAGAGCGATACGGGCTGCCTACCAGCACTAGCACAAGTTCGATCGCAAGTGTTCGATCCAATACTAGCCCAGGAAACTCTAGTTCTGCTGAAGGGTACCATTCCATCTCGACCACCTCTGTCACAAGAAAGAAGCGTCAAGTGCGTCGCCCTACGTTTGAGGCCCGTAGCTCTCGACTTGATCCTGAAACAATGTCCAAAAATCAAGACCCTTTCCGTGGATTTCATACGCTTTTCTGGATTGTGATGGGCGCCTATGGGCTGATTACGTTTGACGAGGAATGGACACGAGTCGGAAGGGCCTTTGGAGGCACCTTATTTTCTTCTTTCTCGCAAGATGCAATCATGTTGGCTATTAGTGATTTTGGACTCGTGTTCTCGACTGGTATTGCTTTCGTGTTGATCAAGGTCATTGCCAAAGGATGGATGCGATACAGAGTCGCCGGAATGGTTATTCAACACTGTGTACAGGCGTCGTTTTTGCTTACGGCTATTGCATGGACTATTTGGAGGTATGTTTTTTTTTTTTTTTTTTTTTTTTTTTTTTTCAATGCAATCTTTGGTGGACGACTTTTCCATATTGCTACATTTGTAGCCTTTAGTTTGTTTGTGTCACACGATTCAAGGTCATTAATCCCCATTGTATTGTTTATTCTCCAGGGATTGGCCATGGGTGCAGTCTGGTTTCTTCACACTTCATGCCATCACCATGCTCATGAAAATTCATTCTTATATTGCCTACAACGGAGATCTCTCCGAGAAGCTGCTTCAGCTCAAGCAGAACGAGGCTGCGTACGCTTTGATCAAGAAGAGGGATCCCGAGTTAATCGATGATATCTCAAAGAGCAACAGTGGTAACTGTGAATTTCCCAACAATCATAGCAGTAACGACTCTTCACCCGACAACTCCAGCACCGATTCTCTGATTCGCGAGCAAAAAAAGGGTGCCAATCGCCGTCGCCATCACCGTCGCGCGTCGGAAGCAGCTGCAGCCCTTCTTCATGATCCTTCAACCCATACGACTGCTGCTAACGCAAGCTTACTTGCAGCTGATATTGAAGAGCTTAAGGGTGAATTACGTTGCCAAAACGGAGAGCTTTGGCCTGCCAATGTCACTGTTGCGAACTTTCTGGATTACCTGATCGTGCCCTCATTGATCTATGAACTTCAGTACCCACGTACTGACAGGTAATGAATCACTTTTATTTATTTTTTTTTTTTTTTTGTAAACTTCAGTAGAAAGGAAACTTACTGTTTATTTTTTATTTTTTAAAAAATAGGATTCGTCCTATGTATGTGTTTGAAAAGTCTGTTGCAACCTTGGGTACATTTACTCTGTTGTATTTGACGACCGAGCACTATATTTATCCTGTGGTGTTCGATCCCGCTATTTCGCCTTTGCGTGCATTGGTGCTGCTAATGATACCCTTTATGATGAACTACCTTATGATCTTTTATATTATTTTTGAGTGCATCTGCAATGCATTTGCTGAACTCAGTCGGTATGTCTTGTATTTTATTTTTTTTAAAAAAAAAAAAAGATATTTTGGAGGAAGATTTAAATGCTAATCATGCTCTTGTCAATATTTTTAATATCATCAGATTCGCGGATCGTAACTTTTATGAGGATTGGTGGAACTGCACTAGTTTTGATGAGTGGGCACGCAAATGGAATAAGCCAGTCCATCATTTTTTGCTTCGACACGTCTACGATTCTAGTATTGAGTCTTTCCATTTGTCCAAGTCCAAGGCAGCAATTGCGACGTTTTTCTTGTCGTCATGTGTGCATGAGCTAGTGATGATGGTGGTGACAAGGAAAGTTCGACTATATCTGTTTGTGCTTCAGATGTTCCAGCTGCCATTAATTTGGATGGGCAACCACAAGGCCATTCGAGAGAAGCCTCGACTCGCCAATGCCTTCTTTTGGCTCGGTATGTTCTGTGGTCCACCATTGTTGGGTGTTGCATACTGTTACGCCTAGGAGCCAAAATATGAAAAAAAAAAAAAAAAAATCTATATAATGTCTTATTTTTGCCAGGATAGAAACGAAATAAAAAGGTTACGGGTGCTTTTTTTCCTGCTTTTGGATTGATATTTGACGCCCCGCATGGTTGTAACGGACAGTAGAAAGTTTGTTTTCTTGTACAGAACAAAAATTATAATCTGAATTACAGACAGCCAGGATACCGATGATATGCGGAAATGATGAGGATAGAATTCACAAAACCATTACAATCAGATGCGATTCCCAGGAGAGTTTCTTCGGCAGAGCAGAGCCAGCCGTGAAACATGAGTAAACACATTATGGTCACACGTTTTATTTTCTTTCTTCGAGAGCAATTGGAGATGAAGGTAGACGGGCCGTGATCCACCCCAACCATATGATGGTCTTTTTTTTGGGGTGATCTCCTTTCACTTTTTTTTTTTTTCTTTCCTTTTTAATCCCTACAACACTCGCAACATTCTCGCATTTCTCTTTTAAACGTACGTACCTTAAAAAACCAGAAAAAAAGAATGCTGTTTACAGTTCACAGGTGGTAGATTATCTGGACGTGGAAATTGCCTGCAATCATCGTATAGGAGATCAATAGAAACAACATGATCGAGGAAAGGAAGAGGAGGACCAGGACAACGAGAAAATGAAGGAGCAGATTGAAACAAGTACAACAAGAGTTGCAGCGGCAGTGATATTATCAATATTGGACATATACTTGCATGAAGAGGAAAACAGATGTATGTGAAGACAAAAAAAAAAAAAAAAAAAAAAGAATAACAATGAAAGGATTGAGTGAAAGAGGACGATGTCGAATCAAGTATTTTGTGCAAGAAAACCAATGACTTTTCTTATACATGAGAATGGACAGACAAACAGACGAGTGCGTTTCTACGTTCCTTCTCCTACTTCTGTGCGCCACAATACCACAAATACATCAGTCATACTTGTACGGAGTGTATGGGGAGGAATAAGGAGTCATTCTTGGCTCATTGCCGTAAGCATGGCATTGTCTTCATTGATTTTGTTATTTACTCTACTTGCATCTTGTTTCTTTCATTCCTTGTTTTAGCATCGCAACCACGACATCCATTGATTCTCTTTCTATCGAGTAAATAACAATTACTTTTACAACTACAGATACAACTACATCAGCTACTACAGCAACAGCTATAACTACAGCGGTGACAACGGCTACTACAATTACTATAAAAAGTAACTCTTGGTCTAGAAAAAAAAAAGCGCAAAATGGTTCTTCCTGCACCTGCTTACCCAGTCTTGGGTGTTGTCTACCTTGCGCGCAATATCTCACAGCTCGGCCCCCAGTTTATCCGTTCAATTTGCTGGGCATTAGGGGTGGCGATCTCGACGATCACGCCCTTGGTGGCATTGACATTCAAATATCAGAACCGGATGATCACCAGCATCATCGATACTACACTCCCTCGTCTGGCAAAAGTCAAGATTTTGGGCATTGGGATCCAGACTTGGTCCACCATGTTCCTCACCATGGGCGAGTCCTCCCTTTTGGTATCGATCATTATGGGTGAAGTCTTTAAGAAAGAAAAGACAAAGGGGCTTTTCCAGAGTGTCCTTACTAAAGACAGCGTCCAAATCGGACCCCTTGCCAAGATCACAGACAATGGAATGATCAAGGTATCGTCAACAGAGGATCGTATCCAACAACAGCGCCAGCAACATCATAAGGTCTGGGACAAGGCATCATCATCATCTTCACATTATGGGCAGCGGATGGGGCTCTGGTTGGTTACATTGCCTCTCAACTTCATTCCTGTGGCAGGACCGATAGCGTTCTGTTATATCAATGGCAAAGCTCGGAGTCATTATGTTCATCGTCGATATTTTGATATGAAGGAGATGACAGCGCAGGAGCGTGAAGAATGGATCAAGACTCGCAAGGTGAGTTTTTTTTTTTTTTTTTTTATTTTATTTTATTTTTTTATTTTTTATTTTTTTTATCTTATTATCAGTATAGTTTCTCATTCTCATTCTCATTCTTTACCTTTTTCTCTACTCTTCTGTTCATTTCACCCATATAGTCCCAGTACACAACATTTGGTATTATTGCACAAGGATTAGAGTTGCTTCCATTCATTGGCATCCTTTTTGGATTCACCAACACTATAGGGTAAGACATAGAAAGCAAAGTGCTATCTTGATGATGAATGTTGGAGAAAAAAAAAAAAAAAAAAAAAAAAAAAAAGGAAACCTGAACTTTGGACGAGCAATATCCTGACCAAGCGATTTTTTTTTTTTTTTTTTTTTTTTGAAAAAAAATGGTTTAGTGCGGCATTGTGGGCTGCTGATCTGGAAAGGCAACAGTACGAACTGAGAAACAAGAAGTTGCGCCAGAAGGCTACTGCTGAAGCCGGTGACAATGGTCCTTCTGTTTAAAATTGATTTTTGTTTCTTTCATTCCTGAAGTATTTTGTATAATAAGATAATAGTTTTCGAGCGAAAACCCTCCCCACTCCTTTTTTTATTTTTTATTTATTTTTGTTGTAACCCCAAAAAAATAAAAATTTTTGAGAGAAGTTTCATTCATGACATAATGGGCATAATGATTCAGTTAGAATCCAACAAGATCCTGAAGGCTAGTCAGCTTGTGAAAACTTAACACACAGAAATCTTTTCATTCTCCACAAAATGGTCGTACTGCATAGCCACACGCCAATCATCACGAAACGCGACGTGTTGTTGGTTGCATCGTCAGTAGTCCAGGGTCCAGATCTCAGACTACATGCCTTTTTTTTTAAATTAATTCATATTATACTCCCTCATAGCGTTGGAGACCGTTTATGAAGTTAACAGGAACTTTATTTAAACAGAACAACAACAACAGAAGGTATGTAGGAATATTGGAACGAAAAGTTGTACGAAGATATATGGCTCTTTATCCACTTGCTAAATAGGGCTGATGATGAGATGGATAGTGTGCGCGACAATGCTATAACCCATCGGAACGGATTTGCCATTCGCGTCCATTTCCCTTACTCTCCTTTCTTTCCTGTCCATCCTGCCACATTCATAGTTCCACTCATGTCATCCTAGGTCGCGGCACAGCGCGTCGTGGTTTATCATCCAATTTAATGGAGAGGGGAAAAAAAAGGCTTGATATATTCTCCCTCAATAAGCTCCAGCAAATATTATAACTTTTCCAAAATGCTTTGGCTGGTATATTACTCTAGAAGTGCGCGAAGTTTCAGCTGATAGTATACGATAATTGAGCGACTCGATTTGGATTGCGTTCCGTGAAGGCTAAGTTGAAGAGCGACTATTTCATATTCCAACAACAAGCTTACAGGAACTTATTGAAATCAAGAGAGCAATAGGCAGGATAAGGCCACCACGCTTGGCATTTATATACATGGATCGTTTGCAAGAACAACTTGACCATTGCGGAGGATAAATACCACACTTTGGTGTATAAAGTCATAGCACGTTCTCACAATAGTGCGGTTATTGTTGCCTCGCATTAAGAGACGCAGTTGGTGTAGCCAATGAAGGAGCTTAAAGATCCAACTTTAGAGGACAGCAACTTGTATTTCTCTACCACTAGACTCCGAAGTGGCACGGATTACTATTTCCCGAAACAAATATATATCACTAACTATCTCTAACTTCAATTCAGCTATCTGATGAGGATTATTTTCGTGGCTTCAAAAAGCGCATGTTGAGAAAATAAAGAGGTCGTCAAAAATGTTTACTTGACAAGTCTTTATAGGATTAGTTTGGAATACATTTTTCTATTGAATATCATTAGGTTAGTGCATACGCGGTTACCACGGGGGAGCTTATACAATCTGTACTGCCTTGCTGCCTTGCTGTTGGGACTGACGATCTTCAAAGTCTTATCCAAGTACAAAGCTCTGGGCTTTTTATTTACAGGTAAACACGTGCATTAAAAATGCTTGTGCGCAAAGGGCTGACTGACGCGTCTCTAGTTTTTTTTTTTTTTTTTTTTTTTTTTTAAATGTAGCCCCAGTCTGGTGTTTATGAGTTGCTAGAGTTGTTTTGATTAATCGTCATCATTAAAAGTTTCTTCGTGCTTCCCTTCTTTTCTACCATCTTTCTTTTTATTCTATTCTATTCTATTGCAATGCACTTTGATTCTGACCCCACCCCTGTGTCTACACACACAACAACAGCAGCAACAGCTCAAGTCGACAACGACTCAACACACTCTCATTCCGCCGCAGTCAAACCTTCTCAAGTACAAGCACAGGAGCAACAGGCACACGCCACATCTCCATTGCCAACCACGGCTTCATTGCCATCTGTCACAGCCACAGCAACTGCCCCCTCGCCACCACCAACACAGACAACTACTATCATCAGCACCATTACTCCTCTTTCCTCTACATCATCTCCGAACACAAGCTCCACCACCACCATTACTTCTGCACCATCTCATAAACGAGGCCGCGAACCAAGCGCCATGACCGATCCAAGCGAAGCTGCTCGCTATACTCCTCCACGGGAAATGTTTCGCCAAGAGTTAGACGACAATTCATCACAGCCTACTGTAAGTAGTGTTCAAGAAAACGACACTGAGATTGAGATGGATGATGCAACTCCTCAACATGCTCTCCAACATGATGGCCCTCAACCCGATGGATTTCACGGAGACGCTGAACTAGATAACTTAGGTCAACAACTTTCCATCCACAGTCCTGAAAAGACAGCCCATGCATCTACTGACCTTGAGGATCCAAGTGGTCCTTCAGCTGATTTTGATTCAACTGCCGTTTTATTAACACAAGGGCCACAAAGGCAAAAGCAGATGCAGGAGCACCAGGGGCCGTCCACAGTACCTTCTTTTAGTGACCAGCTCGACACAATCCGGAATCTGATACATAAGAGACTCGAAGAGAACGATCCTTGGTACTTGGTTAATAAAGTGTGGTATGCTCGCTTCCGTAAATACTGTATCAAGATGAATAATGGAGGAGACGCAGAACACCCTGGCCCCATCGACAATTCTGTACTTTTCCAAGGCGACGCACTAAAACCTGACCTCCAACATTCCGTGGAGACAGTACCACAGGAAGGATGGGACAAACTGGTAGCTTGGTAAGTGTCGACGTAATAGCGTATTTGGCTGTGTATGTAGAACTAACTGTTGAGGCTGATCCTTGAATGTCAACTACGTCATTGTATAATTCCCACATACATTAGGTATGGCACAAGCACAGCGCCTATCATGCGTCTCGTTGTTAATACTGGGTCACCTCAAGCACCCAATCTCATGATCGACTATTACCCACCCACATTTACGTTGTACAGAGTTGTAGAATCCAGTCAAGTTGATAATCATCTCTTTGCCATGAATGTGCCTGATACCTTGGAAGTATCCAGGTCAACAAAATTTGGAAATCTCAAAATGGCTTTGATCTCAACCATCCTAGGAGGAGTGGCTAACCCAAAATCTACTCGACTCTGGGCGATCCCTAAGGATGCCAATTTAGCAGCGCAAGGCAATGTTATCGGAGCAAATGCGGTTTTATCTCTAGGAGCGACCTGTTTAGACAATTTAGAGGATGATGCGGCACTTGCTGAAATACCGGAGCTCGTCAGAGGCTGTGCCATTGCATTGGAGGTAGGGGTCAATGGCTCCTTTCCCGTTCCATATGCTGCTTCTGAGCAGGGATTCAGCCTCAACATGCCCATGTCATTTCCCCGTAGCTTACAAGGCGCGCGCGGCTTTGCTTCATCAGAAGCGCCTGTCGATGGCATCTGTGGACTATCTAATCTCGGCAACACTTGCTTCATGAACTCCGCTCTACAATGTCTCAGTAACACTCCAGATCTAACACGGTACATTTTGGCAGGAGCATGGCGTGATGAGCTTAATAGGGACAACCCATTAGGAATGGGCGGTGAAGTTGCTCGTGCATACGCCAATCTCATCGACAAGCTTTGGAAGGGGACCAACAAAGTTTTTTCACCCAGAGAATTCAAGGTATGAAAGCAACCTGCATACCATTTCTGCAGGCTTAGTAGAACTAATTCCAAGTAAACAAAGCCATTTCCATAGATCATCAACTTAACGCTTTTTTATTTTTATTTTTATTTTTAATTTTAAATCCTTCTTGGTTACTCTTGCAGTCAACAATCGGAAGATTCGCGCCCTCATTTACAGGATATCACCAACATGATTCACAAGAACTTTTGGCGTTCCTCTTGGATGGCTTACATGAAGATCTAAATCGCATCATCAAAAAACCTTATACCGAGGTTCCTGACTTTTCGGGCCGACCCGATGAGGAAGTTGCTGCAGACTGTTGGAAGCTTCACAAAGCTCGCAATGATTCCATCATTGTAGATCTCTTTCAGGGACAATACAAGTCGACATTAGTCTGCCCAGAATGTCACAAGGTAGAGTCAGTGTATTGCTAGCGCTATGCAATTTTATTTTAGGAGAAAGGAAAGCAGTTGAATAATTAGTGTCTCGCTTTTTTTTCTTTTTTTTTTTATTGTACGCTGCTCAATCATAGATCTCAGTCACATTTGATCCTTTTATGTATCTTAGTCTGCCTTTACCCATCAGCAAAAAGTGGGTTGGCACCGTTACCTATGTTCCTTATGATCCTAAGCAACCTATTGTAGACATCCGTCTGCAACTGCCCAAAGGCTCGACTCAGAGGGTCCTGAAGGAGAGGGTTGCAGAACTCATGAATACCCAAGCAAGTCATCTTTATTCGGCCGAGGTCTTCGCCAATCGATTTTACAAGACGCATGAGAATGGAGACGTCGTAGATGAATTGAGCGACACTGATAAAACATTTTTATATGAGCTTCCCGTGCCTGACTTTACAAATGCTCAGGATCATGTCGTATTCCCTGTACTCAGTATGATGGAACCTACGTCCTCATTCGGTCGGATCAGCACCTTCGGCCATCCCATGATGGTCTGTGTAACCAAAGAGGAAGCTTTAGATCCTGATGCAGTATATAAAGCTATTTTGAAGCAATATTCCCGATATACAACAATGGATTTATACGAGGACGATACTGCCGAATCAGGAGAAAGAACGAAAACTGATGAGCAAAGTGCTGATGTTGATATGACAACTCCCGACGATACTAAAGAAGAGAGGATGGCAAAGAGTGGCCTATTCCGCTTGTTGGCGTTCCCGCCGCCGCCTTCACAGCCTTCAAGATATCAGTATCGCCCAATGACCAAGCCGACAATGTATGCCCCCTCGGTTCCTCCATCCATGAATGACATGATTGACATGTACCAAAGAGTGCTTTCAAAGGAGTCTGGGACCTCAAAGGAAATGGACATTTTCAAGAGTCGACATGGCCAGTCTTGGGGCGACGACAATGAAGATGACAGTATGAACAGAATTGGTCGTCTCGGCTCACCCTCTGGGCTGTCAAACTCTTCACGCTCTTCTAGTCGTCCTCGAGTACCGCAACCTGATCAGGACGAACTCTCTGAAGATGAGGGCGAACAATCCATACTGCAGAGTAGGCGTCCTAACTTTGCTACCGCCTCTCCTTCGATTCCAGTATGTGAGCCCGAACCAGCAGTTCGGAAAGGAGAGATGGTTTATTGCGTCTGGGCTCGACCATATGAGTCGTCTATTTACGCTCCTGAACGGAGGTACCGTAGCTACCGCAGTATGGAGGAAGAGGAAACACAAGAGTCGGGAGTGCGTGTTCTTTGGGAACAACGTGGTCCTCCTGTGGTCGATCCTGTACTCCAGGAAGAGATCGCTGCTAACAAGAAGGGTAGGAAGGTCATTACTCTCGAAGACTGCTTGAACGAATACACTAAAGAGGAGCAACTGGGTCAAGAAGATCTATGGTATTGTCCCAATTGTAAAAAGCACCAACAGGCAACGAAGAAATTAGATATTTGGCGATTTCCAGATATCTTGGTAGTTCACCTGAAACGGTTCAGTCATACGCGTGCATGGCGTGACAAGATTGATGCCATGGTTGACTTTCCCATCGAAGGTTTAGACTTGAGCACTAAAACGCTAAAAGAAAATAATCGCGAGGACAATATTTACGATCTATTTGGTGTATCGAACCATATGGGCGGACTTGGTGGTGGTCATTGTAAGTTGGTTGTTTCATGAGTATGTTTTATTTGCAAAAGATTATCTCGTTTTCTCTTAATGTTGATTTTTATTCTTCATTTATTGTCCTTTGTAGATACTGCCTATGCGAAAAATGAGAAACTTAATCAATGGTACAGCTTTGATGACTCTCATGTCAGCCCTGTGAACAAAGAAGCAATCAAGACCTCCAGCGCCTATTTGCTGTTTTACCGTCGCAGAAGCGCAGTTCTTCCTGAGTATGAGCAACGACCAGCTTCACCTGTTGCAGAGCCAAGCGTCCAATCGATATCAGCCACTCCATACTATAACTATAGTGTATATTCAGGGCCTTCTGACGCTCCCAGCAGCAGTCTTTGGCGGAGTGAGTTGGAAGAAGGACAATATGGGCCTTGGGGAAAACCACCATCTGAAACTTATGATGAATATGGGCCTATGCCTCCTGCCTTCTTTGATGACACAGATCTCCCAGAGTACAACTCAACCATCGGAGCATCTGGCATGGCAAGCCCCCCTTCTCCATTCTCAGAAGGGTTGACATTTGTTTCAGATAAGAGAAATGGAAAATCACGTTCACGGAATGACGATAATGATGCAGATGATGAAGACTCGACGATGGCAGTCAGCTATCTAGATGATCCCACTGCACATTCGCCCGACTTGTCGACTTGCGCTAGTGACGGCTCCAATCCAGGCACAGCGACCGTGTCACCAGGCTTCTCGCCTCTTGCCCATGCTACTACAATTGGAGAATACCCACCTCGGATGCAATTACCGCCACATATCACTCTGGAGGACGGCCGGATTGATGATTCTGATGAAGGAGCAGAACTGCCGATGAGACTATATGAAAATATTGGGACTGTAGGAGCCAGTATTCCGACTCCAAGTTCTACAACTATTGAAGGCACAGAAGAGGCTGCGGGTGAGGAGGAGGAAAGCGAGCAAGACGGCGTGCAGATGGTAGAGTGGCGGAAGGGCTCTTCTGACCATTAGATAGGGAATCATTTAAGACAGCGTAGAGAAAAATTGGACAACTGCAAAATAGACCTTGACCAAGCTATTTCATATTGTATGCATAAACAAGCTTCATCTGCCCATAGTCCATAAAGCTTATTTCCAGGAACCAAAATCAAAAAGCTTTCCCACTCCATCCAAACCCTTTCCCGTGTTTTTATTGATGAATACAAGTAAACCAAAATCCTTCGATAGTGTGAGCGCGAGGTGTTTTTTTTTTTTTTTTTTTTTTTTTGACGTCTACAAATGCAGAAGTAGCAGACTGGGGCTGTTTGTCGACTACTTCGCAACACCAGCTGCAGATAATAATACAGCCACCACAGCTTCTGCGACAGAGCTTAGGGTGGGTGGCAATGATGATGAGGGCGAAGATATTGTTGAAGATACTACAGTCGCTGCTATTGATCCATCTGCAACTGTTGCTGTTGCTGTTGCTGTTGCTGTTGATACTGCTATAACAGCAGTGGTGGTGGATTTGACGGCAAAATCTGATCCGGCACGAATAACCTTAGCAATAGGTTCTCCACCTCCAAGAATCCGCAATAGACGTTCCAACTGATCATCAAATGTGTCCATAAACGCAGGTAATTGAAGGCCAAATGTGGAGATCGGAGAGCCATCCATATGACGTATCGGGTCAAAGATTCGAAGACCATTGAGATCTATCCAGCAACGGTCTGCGCCCCAGTAACAGGTTGTTGTAAACAATAAGATGACTGTTAAAATGCAGTAGACACTATCATGGAAGTAAATAGGAGAAGGAAGGAAGACAGACAAGGAAGTGAGGGGAGCGAAAGAGTAAGGAGGCAAGTTAGCTTTAATATATTCAATCAGCTACATCAGCAGATATTATGAGTCAACCGACTCACCATGGACGGTGGTGACGATAGAGTGAGATGGCATAAAGTATGACAAAGTAAGGTGCTGTACTCGGAAAGGGCATGAGTAGCAATGGTAAGAATGTACGGATGCAGTACATGGTGTGAGAGAAGAATTAAGTGAGTGCTCTAAGGGTTGTGAGGATGTGCGTTACACGTATGGAGATGTGTATTTGTAATATGCAGTTGGGTCGAAGTTGGAAGGAGAGTGATAGAAGACTGTTTGTGAAAGTTTGCGTAGAATGGGTGATGAGGAAGCCAAGAAATGTGAAGTGAATGAGCGAATGTCATGCACGTGAGCATTCGTGAATACAGTCACTATCAAAACAGTGGCAAATGTCATTGAAGCCACTTTTCAATACTTCAAAAAAAAAAAAAAAAAAAAAAAAAGGCCCCTTCTATTTGTCCAACTCCATACATATCATTCTTCTTTGATTTCCTCTTCTTTGACCCCCTTTCCTCGTTCCTATTGCCGAATAGCAGCACAATTAATATATAAATTACATATAATCATGGATCAAGATCAAGTTGTAAAGCAAGCCTTTTATGATATATAAATCAAAGGGACGTCTTGTTCAATCAGCCAGAAACGTAGCAATTGACAATTTTTTTTTTAAACGTGAAAACAGGAACTCTATGCAAAGAAATCCGATATCGATAATAACCTATCGGATCCCACAGTCATTGCAAAGTACCGTCTAGCTGCTGACATTGCTCAAGGTAAAAGAAAACATATATATCTCTTGTTTATCTTGACCATTGAAGTTTCTCTATTGCTGGGACTTCTATCATTCAAGAAAAATAAAACTGATAAACAGGTTATATAAACTGACTTTTTTCTCCTTTTTTGAATAGATGCTCTGACTAAAGTGATTGGTCGTATAACAGATGGTGTCCGCGTCAGTGAGCTCTGTGCCTTTGGTGACGAAGTCATACTTTCCTATGTATGTCATCTATATCATCTATATGCAATATCAGGGATTTAAATAAGATCGTAATAGAAGTAGCATCAGCAGCAGTCTAGGAGGGATTTAAAACGAAACGTAAACGGAGTACTGATTGTTTTCTATTTCCTTTTTCTAATAGACTTCTAAAGTTTACAACAAGAATAATATTGAAAAGGGTATTGCTTTCCCCACTATGATCTCAGTAAACAACTGTGTTGAGTATTATTCCCCTACTGGAGACAGTGAAGAGGATGTCATTCTTCGTAACGGAGATGTTGTCAAAGTGTAAGTGCCAAAGAGGGTTAAGGTTATGAATGAGTTGGGTCCAGAGACGATATACCAAGGAATCCTCCATTGATTAGTGATTATCTTGGACTTAACTCTTTTCTTCTTCAAAATTGACTTTGGTGGATTTTTTTTTTTTTTTTTTTTTTTTTTAGTGAGTTGGGCGCACATATTGATGGTTATATTGCTACGAACGGACACACAACGATCATCAACCCCAACCCTTCAATGCCTGTGGAGGGGCGCGCTGCAGATGTGGTTTGTGCTGCTTATTTTGCTGCCGAGGCAGCATTGAGATTGATGCAGATCGGCAACAGCAATGTTCAGGTTCAGGAAGCAATTGCAGAGGCCGCAGCACTGTTCAACTGCAGCCCCGTCCAAGGAACTGCATCGAATGAAATTAAACGTTATGTGATTTCAACCGAGAAATTGATCATGAACGTACCAGATCAAGAGAACAGGCCCGTTCAGGATTTTGTTTTTGTGGCCAACGAAGCTTATACACTCAACATCTTGATCAGCACTGGAGAGGATGGTGGTTGCAAAGAAGGAATCCAAAGACCTACAGTTTTTGCTAGGAATGTCCATGAGAACTATAACTTGAAGCTTAAAGCTGCACGTGCGGCTTTTAATCAAATCAGCACACAGTTTGGTGTCTTCCCCTTCTCAATTCGGTAAGATATATTTTCAAATGAATGATGTATATTCACAAAGAAATACGCGAGGGAGAACAGAAAACCATTTTTCTGACTCTTATTACCATTATTATTACTATTATTATTATTGATTAATTCATGCCAATCAATAGTGCATTGGAAGATAAGCGCCATCGTTTGGGAGTGACTGAATTAGCCTCACACCATTTGTTGACGCCTTACCCAGTCTATTATGCTCGTGCCTCTGAGAGGGTGGCCCAGTTCAAGATGACAGTCTTAGTCTCTGCAACTGGAACAACCCGTATCACCCCTTCATTGCCTTTGCCCTATGTTCACTCTGCGTATACAATTCCACAAGACTCCAACATCTCTCGTCTGATGGCCTCAGAAAACTTCAAGGTCGTCAAGAGTGGCAGGTCTTTGACGGGTATCAATGCGGGCGAAGTTTCAGCACCTGTCGCAGGCATGGACGTTGACATGTAATAAAAAAAAAAAAAAAAATAGAAAGAAAGAAAGAGTATTTTCAAGCAAATCTCCCATAACCATTGATTTTTCAGCATTCGGTGGTATCTTTTTTTTTTTTTTTTTTTTTACCTCTTCCTTCCTCCTTTTCTCCCTTTCACATATGCATTTGACATTAAAGTAGCACGCATTCATATATTTTTTGCACTCGTTTTGTTTGTTTGTTTGTCTTGTTTATTTATTAGTCAACATTTAATGTTTATATCAAAAGTTTAAAAGTTCATCACGAGCATCTCGTTGCTGTTCTTCTGATAACAAAGTATCATGAAGCTCCAGTTCTTGTAGTCGGCAGGATGTGGCCCTAAAGGTCCTCAACATAGCTTCTAAAGCTAAAGGCCCAAAATTCGATCCTGCCAACTGTAATCGTTCCAAGCACTCCAAATTCTTCATACCTGTCAACGCAGAGGCAAAATCCTCGTCCACAAATCCAAGATCGAACCGAAGGCACAACTCTTTAGACTCAAGTAATTCGAGCGCCTGTACCAAATTGTGTCGGCCAGTCGCATCCAAGTCTTGTTTGGGAGGTGATGACGATGCTGTGTTGTCAAGGGCAGGGTCCTTAGTGTGGTTGGGGACGCGCTGTGTTTCTTCCAGCCGGAGGACTTTGTAGATAGCCATACTACTACTCCATCCGTGGGTCTCGTTATTCTGCTGGATTTCTGTCTGATGAGCTTGCAACATGCTTGCCAATGCAAACGCGCTCGTGTTACCAAACCCTGTGTGCCGAGCATCCAACAGATACAACTTTCGACCTATCGCCCAGATCAATTCTGCCAGTCCTTCATCATCCAGATTAGGATTGTTGTGGATATCTAGATGTGTAATTCGATTTTCCAGCAGATTTAGAGATGCAGCCAAAGTCGAACAATGCTCCCGTCGTAATCCACAAGAAGATAACTCCAAGACAGATAACCTTGGCAAGTAAAGTAATGATTGAGCAATCTCGAGGAGTTGTGCAGGATGCCTTGTTAATCTTGTCAAGAGAGCGGCGCTAATATTGGCATCATCTACAGTGCTTATAATCATATTGATTCCAAGGTCGATACCGGTGATATGTAGCTCTTTCAAGTTGGAGAACGCTCTTATGAGCGAACCTAATCCCTGTGTGTTCCAGGGCTTGTTGATTGAAGATACTGTGCACATAGCGCTATTGCCTTCACCACCGCCTATGTTATGGCTATTAACACGCTGTAGACCCGAGGCATCAGATCCCCACAACTCTAGTATACGAAGATGTGGAAAATCGCCTGGACTAGGGTCCAACCCTGTGAAGAGTCCACGATCAAGATCTGGTATTTGGAGAGTTTGAATCTGTTGCAGAACAAATGCGTTACAAATAGGTTGAAGCCCTCCCTGAAGCTGTCGTTGTGATGATGTGCTGCCAAATTGCGGGACACTATCCCTATTCCTGCCGTTGCAACTACTATTGCTACCATTGCTCGGTAAATGTATTGCCCCTGCTTCTGTAGTGCCATTAAAGTGAAGAGGATCGTGATCGGCGTTCTGCGAATAGCGTGGGAGAATAATGGACCTTCGCTTAAGTGCTTTTGCCCTGATGTATTCCACGGTGGAGTCGTTGTTGTCAACCCCTTGTTGTAGCTGTAAGTCTGGAGCAAGAGTGAGGGCCCAGAGGCTAATTTTAGATGTCGAGATCATGTCAATCAAAGCCATAACTAAGTTGTCACTTGCAAAAGTCGATACCAAGGTCACCTGTTGAATCATGTAACCGTTCTCAAGAACATTTTCGAGTTCATTGACTTGTTTCACCGATGTGAGCCCAGAGAGTCTTAGGTGCTGTGTCTGATCATCGAATACGACTGCCTTTTCGGTACCAGCCGTATGCCGAAAGTCGTCGTCATTGTCATCATATGGATCGTCATTTGGGCCTTGGTTATTGCTTAGTTGTTTGCTGATATTGTCGCCTTGATCATCCCCCAGAATTTCTTTACATCGCCAAAGAAGGATATCACGGTCTTCGTGCATGTAATTAAATGTGCTCTGAAAGTGGTTGGAGCAAATCCAACGAATCGTACCATCGTGGACAAATGCGCGACGCATACCTTCTACATGGTAGCTCCCTCCAATCCGGAGTCCTTCAACGCATTCCCACAGCCGATGTATATCAACCAAAGGGACCCCTTCTTCGATATTCAAAGATAATAGAGCAGAGAGAATATTACCCTCCATAGAAAGGAAAGAAACCATCATCTCCTCAAGAGCCTTGATGGCTGTTGAAACCCGTTCCTCAATCTCCCAGGTGAAGGGTGCAAGTACGTCTGTGTAATGTCTTTGAGAGAGGGGTGGAATAGCGATCTTTGACTGCGGAATACGGCCTCTCTTAGCAGCAGTAGTATTGAGCCCTTGTTGAAAAAGTCGAAGGATTAAGAGTGTATATAGGCCAAACTGTTCTGTGAACTGCTTGAGGTCCAAGACCTGATAACCAGATTGATTCGCGATATGAATACAGTTTCGTAAATCAATGTGATCTGCTGTATCAGTATCGCTGCAACCATCATTCCTATCAAATGGATGACTGGTTGAGGTGTTTTCGTCAGTGCCGACAGAGATTGAATCTCGATCCGCAGGGAACGTCGCCCCTGGCCCACAGTCACATAGAAAATAGAGTCGAAATGTTTGCGACGACCGCGGTTCCCCTACTCCTCCCCAGTTGCTCCGTGGTTTGAGGTCTGGAAGAATGATAAATAATCGAGGGACTGCCTGTTCTGATAAGGGTAAGGATTGTGATACCAAAGCTGCTCCTAAAGCAGTTAATTCAGCTGATGGATAATTTTCCACAGTCTCTAGATTACTGTTGAAATCATTGTTTCTAATGTCGTTGAGATGGTTGAAAATATCTTCGTTCCCAGCACTGTTATCGTCACCATCAGCATCACTGTCGCTGTTGCTGTTTTCTAAAATGGCTCGCATTTCGAGAAACCTAAACAAATCCTCTTCATCGTTAGAGTGGTCAGGGTTTTCTGGTAATGATATCGGATTGTATGACGAAGGATGATGCACGCCGTTTCTCATTAGTTCTGCTGCATATCTTTCAAAGGACAAGCCATCATGCCCCCTTGCCATATATTGAGCTTGAGTTCTGCGAGTGCAGGTACCAGCAAAGATATCTAGCGACTCCTGATTTGATGCTAGTGTTGAAGTTGAAGAAGATTCCAACCGGCTCTGGATTGACAGGGAAGATCTCTCTAATTCGGACAATGCGACAGGTGAGGGAGTTGAGCCAGGCACTACATGCAGAGTTTCACCAGGACAATAGGCTACTCGCATGGGTACCAACCTAAGCAATGGTCATAGTCGGCATGAGGACATAAAAGGTGAATATGAGAACAAATTCACGAAGAGTGGCGCGCTCTATTTTTTTCATAATTTTTTGGAATTTACAAGACATCTTCTGAAGAGACAAGGAAAGGGATTGAGCTCCCGTCTGGTCTTCGTAAGGCAATGGTTTCTGGAAAGATATCGATGATGGGCTCTAGCATGACAACAGGCCCTTTTGAGGCCGAGTCGGTCCGGACAGGCACTTGAAAGGATAGAGTTTCGCCATTGACAACATGCTGGATAGTTTGTGCCTCCGCATTAGAGTCAGAGTCAGAGCTGGAGTCAGAAGAGTCAGGGTTAAAAGCTGAGTCTGGATTCGCGTTTGAGTATAGGAAGTTAGAGTGCGCCGAAGCATGCCTGACCATTGTTCTGTGCATAGCTTTTTTTTTTTTTTTTTTTGAAAAAATAAAAAAAAATTAATAAATGAAAATAAAAAAAAAAAAAAAAAAAAAAAAAAAAAAAAACCCTCCTTGAAATTTACGAAATTTACGAAAAGTAAAAGTTGAAATGAATGAAGATTAAAGAATGAGGATGAGGGAAGGGAGGAATTGAAAAGGTATAGTAAAGTGTCAAGCAAATGAGTGAGCTTGTGTGCCTTTGTTTGGCGAAGTTGCTATTTTTCAAAGAGAGCACCGATAGGCTGTGGCCTGCCTAAAGAGGTATCTGCCAAAATAACACATGCATATTAACATTGATCATGAATCTCTTTTGAACAAACAATACAAACAAACAAACAAGCAGCATACATGTTCATATGGATTGTGAATATTCACTATCCAGGAATGTTAATCGCGTCTGTGTTGTTCAAACGGGGGGGTCCATTTTGCGGGGACAGATCGAACCTGAGATGACTATGACTAAGAAAGAAAAAGACTCACGTGGGGATACTCTTACGCTATTTAGCTTGTCTAAAGCGCAACGCAACTTGGGACGGAAGAATTTCAAACCTAGTTCTGATCACGACGAGAACCATGCAAAGACCTCAAGTCAGCTTTGGGTCGCCTTCTTTTTTCATTTTTCATTTTTCAATTAAACATGACAGAGATGTTTGGGGGAAATGGGGTTACATATTCAATTATGTGGAATTGGAGTGTTTAGTTCGAATTTGCACCGAGAATATCAAAAAAACGAGGTCTGTCTGACTGTTCGGATGTTCAAAGTCCATACCAGCAAATGTACATTACAGTGCCCGCAATGTGAGCACAGAATGACAGATCGTTTCTTTTTTAGTGTGTGGACTATGCCTAATTGGATGCATGTTACATCTGATAAGATCACTTGCAAAGCAAGAAAAAAACAGACTGACGCTGTTCCTGTCTGGGCGATGTTTCATTGAAAGAGTTATCAGATCCTTCTTATTTGCTTTGTTCATTCACTTTCTTTTCTTTTTTACTCCTCCTTTTTTTTCATTTTCTTTCCTCTTCATACTTCTCTTTCTTTCTCCTGTCCCTTTTTTTTTTCTTAGCGCAAAGCCGCCTTTTCTATCGCATTGACTCAGGTAATCCTTTTATTTTTTAGGAGCATGATTTTTTTTCTTTTTTTTTTTTTTTTTTTTTTTTTTTTTTGCTTTCGAGATATGTGTGTTGGAATCAAGTTCATCTGTCAAACATTCTCATGATGAATGAAATGAATGAACAGCAAATGAGAAATAGCGAATTTATAATAAAAAGATCAGGCACATGAGTATACGGAGACTCCCGAGGTTGTTTTGAATTTTTGAAAATGTGGAATAGTCAGCCTCACAGCTTCCTATTCCCGTACTACTCTTTTGCCTTTCCTTTCATTACGTATGCAAAGTGGACAAGAAGCCTTGTTTTGGATTGAAATAACATGACCATTGAAGAAAAAAAAAAAAAAAAAAAAAAAGTCTAAACCAGCAAGGAATAGGAGGCCATGAGAAGCAAGGGAGAGGTGTATCACGCATAAAAAGAGGGGGTAGGGGAAAGACTGACCGCATTCAAAAATAAAAACGAACTCTCCATTAAAATCGAATAGTCATCCTTACCTGCTCTCTAATCCCAGGATGGCATCAGATTGTATTTTATTATTGTCTATTTTTCATTTTCCCACTTTCCCATGGTTATATGCTGGTGTAACGACTATTTTTTTTTTTTTTTTTTTTATTGCGCTTCCAGTTTGTGATTAAACTGACAAACTCCTTTCGTTTCTAATGTTGGCAAAAGGTGTCATTTAAGCCACACAATGCACCATCTGCACCAAGCCGACGCCAACCATGGCCACGAAAATGAGAGCACTCCCTTCCTCGCTTCTGCTGCCTCAGCCCAGCAGCAGCAGCAGCCAGCGTCCTCACGCTCTCCTTCACGTTCGCCTCGTTTAGACTACCGCTCTGTCAACAGATCATACTCACCCTTGAAGCAAATCGATAGCCATTGCAACAACGACAACTCCTCCAATAACAATAGGAACAAGGGCAAGAGTAAAAAGAATACAAAATCTCCCTTTGACTCTGATTCTGACTCTGACCAAGACGGCGACCATCCAGGAGGTCTGGCGTCATCTGCTTCCTCCATTTCCTCGCTCTTGCCTGACGACCAAGAGAACTCTCCCATATCTCCTTCTACAAGCCCCCTGACTCAACGCCGTCGTGGTCATCGCCTTCATTATCTCCAGATGTTGCTTGCAATTGCTGCTCAGCTTGGACTCTTGATCTTCTTTGGAACTTTGGCAGGTGTCACCGCTAAAGCACCATGGGTCTATCCATACTCATGGCATCCTATCTGTATGGGCCTTTATGGCTTCGTTGCCACCGAAGGTAAATATAAAAAACCCTTGCATGAATGGACTATTTTCTCTGAATATCATCTCCTCCAATTCGTTTCCCATTGTTCACATTCAAATGTTTGATTGATTACATGACCTCATCTGTCTTTTACTGTCTTTTAGGCATTTTACTGCTTCAGCCAATTGAGAAAGCATCGCAAAAGAGAGCTGCACGGACAGTGCACGGAATTTTGCAAATTTTGGCTTTGATATTCTCTTTAATAGGATTCGTGGCAATTTATAGGAACAAGGATCTAAAAAAGAAAGTCCATTTTCACACAAACCATGCTCTTCTCGGGTGTGCCGCCGTTGCTGTTTTCTTTCTACAAGTCTTATTCGGCGTTCTGGTCGCTTATGCACCTCGGCGGATGTTTTCATGTATTGGCTATGCACGGGTTTTGAGAATTCATCGTGTGGCAGGCTATGTGTCGATTGTATTGATGTGGGGGACATTTTGGTTGAGCGTATTGACCAATTGGATGAAGACCAATTTTGCCAACCATGAATGGGTCTTTGCGCTGGGAATGGGTATGATTGCGGTGGGAATCGTTGGGCAAGTCACTCCTTCCAGACTCTGGTTGTCCCGCAGCAGCAATAACAGCAGCAATAACAACAGCAACAACAAACGTTCTCTGGTTCAGAGTAATGCTGACAACAGCTTTTCACCGTAAAATATCATGTCCCTTCACTTCGCCCTACTCTATTATACTTATTCCATCCATTCTGCATATAAAGTTCATCCATTCATAATCTTTTCTATTATAATAGTTATACATTCTAGTATTACAAAGGTGTGATAAAGTTATTTGATCAGCTATTTAATTATGATCCAACGACGTTCAATGAGCGTTTGCGGTGTTTGATTTCGCCAGGAATAGGGCCCAATCCAAGCTGATCTGCAACAGCCCTAAGTAATGGAGTACTTGGTACATCATACCGTAAGCTTGCCAATGGATCACCACGAGATGGACCAAGATTGATTATGGCAATCGGAAGACCCGTATCTTTTGCCAACTTGACAAGGCGAAATGCAGAATAGGTAGCCAAAGAAGACCCAATGATCAAGAGACCATCGGATTCCAATATTGCTTGATAGGTATGCTCCTTGACACGAACAGGGACATTTTCGCCAAAGAAGACAACGTTGGGTTTGTAATGGCCAGATCCACAATGTGAGCATGTTGGATACCGGAATGAGCGATAGTCAAGTAATTTGTTACGCGTTTGTTGGTGCTGTTGCTGTTGCTGTTGTTGTTGCTGTTCGGGTGTCAAAAGCTCAACATCTCCATCGGCATTCATCCTCGAATAGAGACTGGAGGACGTCTGACTCTGAAGCAGTGCGTCCCATTCTGGATTCATATCTGCAAGAATCTTTTGGAATTCAGATCGATCTTGTTCATGTTCACAACTCATACATTGAACGCGATGCAGTGATCCATGCAGCTCAACCACATCGGTCGTTCCTGCCTTTTGGTGCAGTCCATCCACGTTCTGAGTGATTAGGGTTCGAATATATCCACTTTTTTTGTATCTCTGGGCTTCATTCTCTTGTAGACTCTTCGAGTCATGACCTATATTTTCAGCAGGAAGAGGACCTGGGCTGATTGAAGGAGGCGAGAACCGAGTAGGTTGCTGAAGCGCGGTGAGAGCAAAATGAGTTGGGTTGGGTTGGGTGGTCATGATGGGAGGAAATCCAAAGAAGGATCGAGCCCAGTAGCGATGGCGAGCTTCATTGGAGGCTACAAAGGCCTGATAGAATATAGGTTTGTAATCTGGATTAAGGGTGTATGTGCCATTCTCACCACGGTAGTCTGGGATCGCAGAGTCTGTGGAGACACCTGCACCTGTGAGAACTGTGATATTAGGCCCATGATCACGGAAGAATGAAGTTAGTTCTTGAACTGCAACTGGGGAAAAGGCTTTATTGACATTTGAAGAAACAGACGATCTAATTGAAGTTGCGACAGAGCGCGAGGAGATCCTCACACGCATCTGTTATATCGTTACTTAAATTAATGATAGAGAAGAGTAAGGAATGAGTGGCTTTCTTGCCCTCCCGTTACTTCAGTGAGGAATCAAGAATAAAGAATGGAGACAATAACCGAATTTTGCGATGCATTAAACAATGGAGCATTCATAAATACGTGAGTAACGTGACCAAGCTCACATTTCCCGCTTTTTTTTTGCTCTCTCGCTCACACTTTTACTCTTTTTATACAAAGTTTTTTTTCTTTCTCCATTGTCTGTTATAATCCATCCCATTCCAATAACCAACGTTAACCAATCAACAACTATAATTGCTGCAATGCTTGCTTCTGCTCAATAACATTCAACCCCCTTCACGATCCTCTTCTACTCCTTAAACAATCTGCCTGTGCCTCTTGCTTTTGTTGCTAGACCACCTGCTGCTTGCCTTGACTTGTCTTTCTCATTTCCCGCTTTTTCTTATTTCTTTTCTTTTTTTTTTTTCCGTTCTCCCTTTCGTCTACTCGCTGTACTCTTCTCTTTTTAAAGTCCTTTATTCTAGGCGATCTATCCTGTTCTTTCTTTCTCTCTCCTCTCGTCAAAATATAACATTCGGCCATGCTTGCTACTACATCTCAACATCTCAACTATCATGAGCTGGACAATATCCTCAGCCAGCCAGAGACTGAACATAACTGGGCCGCCAAAGAGGCTACTTTAAAGACCTTAGGAGCCGCATGCCACTCGGGTATAGCTCAGAACAATGAGTACATTGTTTTCATTAAGAATCATCGAAAGGCTTTTGCTGAATGTGTAAGTATAAGTCTTCGGAAAGGCATTCATGAATAACAATAAACAAAAGTCTCGTGTTTTCTTTTTAGCTTCTCTCTTTTGACTTTTTTTTTTTTTTTTTTCTTGTGGTACTAATAAACCTTTTTTTTTTTTTTTTTTTTTTGTAAACTTTGTGCTATGACATCCATTTCCAGCTCCTTACAGAACGCACTCGTTTATCAGGAGCGGCATGTGAACTGGTTGAAAAGTTGTCGACAGCGATGGGTCGCGACTTTGGAATACACTTCCCTGACCTATTCACAAATCCTTTACTCAAAGTCTGTGCTAGGACTAACAAGGTCATGGTTTCACGCTCTCTCAAGGCCCTCAACAGCATGATCAACGCAGGTAATGTTGTTCCCTTACCTAGAGCATGCAGTGCGTTTGCAACCAACAACAAGACACTCAGGATCGCATGCATTGGGATTATTGCTAGCTGCATCACGCAATTCTCTTCTCAGGAATTGGAGCCTCATCTCCATGCGTTTGAACCGATTTTGAAGGAAGGTGTGTCCGATGCAGCACCAGAGGTCAGAGACACAAGCAGAAAATCGTACAAGGTCTATGCAGAAAAGTTTCCAGAGAGATCACAGATGTAAGTAAGCATGCAGGACAGTACAACACAATAATACCCCTCTTTTTTTTATTGGGATCGAGGATAATATTAAACAACACCTGATTACATCTTTTGTATGCATGTATGTGTTGTTTGTGCTGTTGTCCCGCCTTCCCATTTTTTTTTTTTAATACCTCTCTATTATCATGGATCTATGATCTTGCTACTGCAGAATATGCTTTTTTTTTTTTTTTTTTTTTTTTTTTTCGTTCTACTGGCTCATATCTATTTGCTCATCGTATTATTAACTCATTTTTGACAATTCGCTCTTTTTTCTTTTCTTTTTTTATAGACTTACAGCAACATTGCCAGCAAATGTACTCAAGTATTTACTTCCTGACACAAGATCATCTGGACCGCAGTCAAGAGCAACCGTGTCTAGCCGCCTGGCGTCAAGTACAGGTCGTTCAATAGATGGAGGAGAGTTGCCACGTCACCAGTCCAGCCGCGAACTCACTGCGGGACTCAATAGACCACCAAGCAGAGTTGGGCCTGTTCGCTCTAGAACAGTGTCTTTGGTTGACCATAGCTCATCATCATCATCATCATCATCAAGTAACTTTAAACCGCCTACGCATTCATCTCAGCATACATCTCAATCGAGCCACTCCTATTTGCACCACGGAACACAAGCTCAGCAGTCGCATGGACCCTTGTCACAGCAGCATCTCCATCATCACACTACACATACCTTGACACGAAACCATGGACCAGCTAGTAGGACTGGCTCGCTGACAGACTTGTCTGAAGGATCATCAGGACATGGTGCCCATCGTTTATCATCTCAAAGAAACCGCTCATTCAGTAGCAACGCGTTAACAACTACCCAGCGTTCTCCTTCCATCAATTTGGCAACTAACGGAGGACCTCAAAGGGTCGTTCCTCCTGCTCCTTATAGTGCTGACGGCTCAAAAACAACTCGACCAAGCTCATCACAGAGTCGGTTTTCCAAGACAGAGCCCGTTTCAAAATCTAATCGGGCATCAGTGCTCTCCAATCATCCTACTGCTTCTGCTGACCGCGAACACCAACCAATGAGCGCTAGTGAGCGAGCCAAGGCCTATGCAGCGAACCTGAAAGCTGAGATGGCGAGCCGTCGCGCTGCAGAGACCCACATGCGGATGGGATTGAACGGTGCCACGAGAAGAGCTACCGCAGATTTAGGTCACAGTGGGTTTCATGCTTATGGATCCATATCATCTTCTGTCTCTGCTAGCTCCAATGCAAGCACAGCCTCAACGTCCACCGCTACCTCGACGACCACTGTCTCCCCTGCCTCTTCCTCTTCCACATCACCCACTACCGTTCATCCTCCCAACCACGACTATCTCTTCTCAACTTTCAGAAGTCAAACGAATTCCCAATTAGGGTCATCACCCCCAGAATCCTGCCCTTCTCCTGAGGCTAGACATTCGACGCCACCCATGTCTCAGCCACCAGAAGAGTCTCTTGCAGGTGCTACTGGTGTTGTCAGCGGTGCTCTAGAAACCCCTCTATCACCCACATTCATGGCTCAGGTTTCCTTGGATACCTCCTCTAACAATAGCATGGAGGATGCACATCCTTCTGAAGGACAGCCCAGCAGGACACACTCGTCACAGCCACAATATCACGGCCTATCGGGCGATGACAGCACAGCCAATTTGGCAGGATTTTCTCCTGCACCATTGTCGCCATTGTCGCCTCGTTCCCCCCATTCACCCCACTCGCTTTACTCGCCTCTCCAGCAACAGCAACAAGATTCAGTCTATGTGCCACCATCACCTAATTTTGAGCCAAACCATTCTGAGGAGCGTAATCATGACTTTAATATCGTAGGTACATTTGTTGGGATTGACAAGGATCATGATCATGATGACAAGGACCATGACCATGATCAGTGCTTAGATCACAACATGAGTATCCCAGATCACGAGAGCTTGTTTGGAAATACAGAGAACTATCTGCAGGCGGAGCAAGAAATTTTAGAGCTGCAAAAATCGCTTCGACTCTCCAGTCAACCAACAGGAAAGGAAGGTGATAGCATGGTTGAGGACCATAACGAGCTCAATGAGCATTTTATGGACGAGGACCCACTGTCACTTGATCAGGCAGAGGAGATGGAGGTTAAGGCCTATGTGGAGCGTTATGGGGCTGCGATGGAGGCAGAGGCGGAGGAAGAGATCATTGCAACGTCAGTAACAACAACGACTGTAACCACAACAACTGTGTCGCAGTCGACGAATGAAGTATCCGATGTCACACCATAGCATTTGCATATTTGTCAGTGTCAACCTCCTCAGGAAAGCATTCAAGTATACACACAAGGCACAGCACATATAAAACCTCATGATATTATAAATGCCAAAGAAATAAAATAAACGAGCCAAAGATCATGGCCTCGCCGCGGTCGGCTCTTGTCTTGTTGGAAAATCTAATGCTTTGCCTGAGTTACGTTCAAGGTCGAAAGAAAATAGTAAATTATAATTTCTCACAGGGATGGAGACAGTTGTTGCATTCTTTACAGGGCGCCCATTGCATAAAAGATTAAAGAAAATACTTTTCTTGTGCTTATGGACATTCATCCTGTATTAATGACGCACATTTTATACTTTTTCTGAACATACCTCTCTCTATGTTTCTCGTACACAGACCTGTAGCTATGCTTTTAATATGCTCTGATAAATATGATAAAAACTTCAATAAATACCCCATGGGTATGGTATGTAGACCTACATCTTGTTCTTACTCTACTATTTATCTTGTCTGCCAAAAACTTTTCATCAGTGAATGCATGGACTGTTTTATTTTTATCAGAAAATGGATTCAGATGTTGCTCTTTGTTTCAACACCTTCAGTACATTTGCGTGCGTTAGATATTCATTGGCTCTCAGATTTCGGCATCAATGGTGGAAATAGGAGCGACATTGTTGATTGTGTTTATTGCTTGGAGGTAAAAGCTATTTAATCACCCTCTTCTTGCTGGGTGGTACCTTGTTGGTGATGTTGTACAGTGCGTCTTGTAGATGGATGGGAGAGCGAGAAAGAGGGCAATCTTTTGATGTGTGGGTGTGTGAATTGGATAGTTGAGAAAATATATGCATACAGAAATATAGATTACAACATGGTTTTTAACAGAAGCGACGCGTTTGAGTGTGTTTCCTCGGTACTAAATTTTGTTTAAATTCACCAAAATGCAATGGGTAGACCTCAATTTATTTTGTGGAATGTTTATCCTCTCACCCGTTTGTAACCCGAGAGATTACTAATCTTTTGATAGTTGGTGGCAGTTCTCACTCAAAGCCGATCGTGCTATAATTACCTATATCCCTATATCTAAATAGCTAAAATACTTTAATAGAATAGTGATAGCGAAGAGACCAAAACACTCTTTTTTGTTACATTGATAAAGATCCTTATTTTTGTCTCATTACATTCCAAGTTTATTATTATCAGGGTTGATTTTTCACCAATAAAATAGTCAGAACCTGCCTTGGGTCGTCTGAAGCACGCAGTGTCGCATACTCAGCAGCACATGTAGAGCTTCATATTGTACAATCACCTGAAAGAAAGTTTGCTCAAAAAATAAAATTTTAAAGAGAAGTACTCTTCAATCAGCATGTACTGCCCAAAAACTTCAGTGATTATCCACATTGGCCTCATTAATAAAAGTGTAAATTCCATCTTGGGTGGTGAAGTATTTTTGTATATCACAAATGAGCTGCTTGTCAGGAATTCAAAAAAAAAAAAACTCTGACCAGACTTTCTTTCGGGTGACTGTAGAGCGGAATAGAGCGTTAAAATATTTTGTAGATAGAAAAGTAAGTGAGAACAGGATATGGGTCTACACATCACACCCATGGGGCATTTATTCATTTTCTGGTGGAGGTAATTACGTATCTATCTATAGGATGACAAAAATTCGTTTTAAAAACTTCAAATCAAAGATTTATCGCGTCTATGTGTGGCGCGTTATTGCCACTAATTTCTACTGCTAATCTTTTTAGCGCATTAGTGTTTTTTACCCTAATTTTTTTCTACCATAATATTGCATACTGTGGAATATGCAACAGAACGCGATGAGTATCGCGGCTCCTACGGCACTGCAACTTCCAACAGTAATACTTCTAGACTACTCTAGACTCATCTTTGTTTATTTCATTCGAAATAAAAAAGCTAGAATAATGTAGTCTGTAGGATACACGTTGCCGCTTGTAGATGAAATAAAGACGCCTTGCAAATAGTTTTTATTTTTATTTGCACGGGGGTGGTACAAATAAGGGGTGTACGAGTCGCGCAAATAGCTTTATCCTTATTTCAGTCTTTCAATTAAAACTCGCTTTTAATCGGCGGGCTTCCTCTAAATAAAAATGTCGAAAGACAGGAAGCATTAGGATCGTATAAATATGTTGACGCACCTCTAGCCGTTACTGTCACTGGATTATAGATGAATGTCACGATCAAAAAGCTCGTTGAAACCTTTTTTTGTTGGATGTCAACAAGTTCAACAGGAACTCCTGTGCTTCTCATCAACACAGGATAGTTCTCAGTAAACAAGATACGAGAATTTTACAGAAAAACAAGAAATAGAGGTCAAATAACACTAGATAGGTTGCCAAGCAAATCATGAGGGTGTTCCTTGACAACTGGTTTGCCAAAGAGAGTCTTCTAAATTCATTATATTTGGCACCTAGGCTGCAAATTAGATTAATCCAATTAAAAATATTAAGAGGTTGCCAAGTTGAATAAGATGGGATAACGCTTATATTGAGGTTTATTTTTAGTTTAAGAACTAGAGGAAGCAGTTTTTCAGACGAGGATTTATGCGTGGACTATGTATTAGGATAAGATATCGGAGTCTTTTTACAGCTCGACTTGCTGAATCCCGAACGTTATTTTAGAGTGACGAATGTAGAAGAGACTTTTATTCATTTTGGTTGAAGACGCTAAATTATGCATCATTCGTCTCGTTTGTGAACAGTATTTCATATGTTATTTGAACAATCTTGGTTGTCTTCCTAATTACAATGAACGGAGGAGGAGAAAGACCAAAAGAAGGATTCTGTGGTGAGCCCATGGCCCTAGCAGACAAGCATCTAGGTTGATCTCTTCTGCCGGCTCTACCGTTATAGCAGTCAATGCTTACTTGCAACGTGATCTTGCTTCCACGGTCCATTACTAAAAAAAGAAAGCAGGCGGATAAAAATCGATAGATAAAAAAGCGACAAAAGAGATGAAACTCTGGACACCCAATGAAGGGTGAGCTCGACGAACCATATGGTCCCTCTCACTCATTGGTATCTCTCCAACTGCCGTGGAACCAAGATCAGCGGCTAGGACTGCATAGCCATTGGGCAGAGTTGCATAGTCCGTGCCAACCGTCCTGGGCGACGTCTCCAGATGCGGGGAGCAAATACTCAGCGGCATGCGGGGAGCAAATACTCAGCGGCATCCAGATAGGCAGGGACTCAATATCCAGAAAGGCACCCATTGCGTAAAACATCAAAATTTGGCTGAACACCCACTCCAAGCAGGGTGAGCTCGACGAGCGATGTAGCTCCTCTCACTCATTGGTATCTCTCCAACTGCCGTGGAACCAAGATCAGCGGCTAGGACTGCATAGCCATTGGGCAGAGTTGCATAGTCCGTGCCAACCGTCCTGGGCGACGTCTCCAGATGCGGGGAGCAAATACTCAGCGGCATGCGGGGAGCAAATACTCAGCGGCATGCGGGGAGCAAATACTCAGCGGCATCCAGATAGGCAGGGACTCAATGTTCAGCAATACGCAAGGACAAGAAAGAATTCGCTGAGTACCCCAGTGCGGGGTGAGCTCGACGAACCATATGGTCCCTCTCACTCATTGGTATCTCTCCAACTGCCGTGGAACCAAGATCAGCGGCTAGGACTGCATAGCCATTGGGCAGAGTTGCATAGTCCGTGCCAACCGTCCTGGGCGACGTCTCCAGATGCGGGGAGCAAATGCTCAGCGGCATCCAGATAGGCAGGGACTCAATGCTCAGCAAGGTGCCTTAGATGAAAGGAGAGGTAACTATGATGAAGAGAAAGACCGAGGAGGAAAATGTGAATGAGTCCTCAATTATGTCTCCAGCACTGATGATCAATATGAATTAGTATAAATTTTTCCATCACTTACTGTCCTGTCCTCTTCCTTTGCCAGGTATTTCCAAGTATTCATGTGGCTATGGCTACAGAAAAGAGAGAAGAGAAAGACTGTTTAGTAAGTCGTCTGTAGTGAGCAAACAGCTCTTCTAAATGTTGCTTGCTGTAAGGAATGAGTTGGTGTGCTGATGAAAGGAGGTTCGTCACCAGGCTGTGTGGCTTATCCCTTCGTCCGTCACAAGGTTTTTAGTTATAACTTATAATGAGGTGACGTAGTAGGCTTTTTGCTAAATCCATCCCTTTCTGCCAGTTGATACTTCCGAATCACCGCCATTTAATCCTCTTCCATCGCTCATTACCCATTTTATTTATGTCAGGATAGCTCTCCTGCAGACTCCATTCAGGCCCTTCTCGTGTTTCTGTAGTCCATCTCTTGTCCCAGGTAACCTTTTTACTTTTTTTAAAAAAAAAAAAAAAAAAAAAACGCGTAAATTCAAATTAGCCTACTTCATTTCTAACTCTCTGTCTTCCTTTCTGAGATAGCCGTCCTTTCCACAATGGTATTTATAAATATCACGAACATGCTAGCTATTTCGATTAGTTCGTTAGCTTATAGTTAATTATTTTTCTTAATGCAAGTTATAGGTCCTCACTACTGATACCTTAGTTGCCTCGAGTAACGGTGAGGATGCAACTGAAGAGGTCCTTGAGCCAGGCTTCGAATTCTACGATCATGATGAAGCTACCGACGTTGATACGGATCCTGAAGAGCACGACTGTGATGATGGTGAAGACTATTCTTCGGATGTGTCAGATTCCGAGCCAGAAATAGTGTGGGGGCCAGTTGAACCATCCGGTGAAGACAATACCTCTGGGAATGATCTCGCAACAGAATCTCTTAAGAAAACTTTCGTTGAGGCGCCATCTGAAAATAACGTAGAAGAAGTAGAGGATATATCGGGGTTGAGTCAAGATGAGGAGGCTCGTGCAATCAGTCTGGCTTCCACAATTGTGTCTGCGCAGCTACAAGAATACTCTTGGATTGAGTCGATGGTCCCAGAGGCTAAGATTAGGGATATTGTTGATGGCCTCAGGATTAAAAAACAGGACTACGATTATTTGCCGCACGTATTCTATGTGGACAAAAGAGACTTTGAACTGTGGAAGGATCGAGATGGCAGCGATCACTTTTTTATTTGGAATAAAGGCAACTCTGAGATAAATGGTAGAAATGAAGACAATGAAGACTCTGAAATCATCAACGACAATGATAGCAAAGGCAAACTGCATTCATTTCAACTTTATTT